CTTATGACCAAAGAATTCAAATTGCACCGAACCGGTCCATGGAATGGAATCCGGTTTAGTGGCGTACCAACGATGCACGGGAGATACATTGTTAACAGATTCACAGAGAACAGAGAAGAAATCGGTTACAGTTTCCGAGTCACCAACGAAAGCATCCACTCGAGGTTTATTCTGAGCCCCACAGGGTTATTACAGATGTTCACATGGAATCCGACAGAAGCCGAATGGAACTTGTTCTGGTTTCTCCCGAATGAGGATTGCGATTCGTACTCACTCTGTGGTTACCACAGTTACTGTGACACGGAAACGTCACCGACATGTAATTGTATCGGAGGTTTCGTCCCGAAGAATCCGACGGCGTGGGGTTTGGGAGATACGTCCGATGGCTGTGTAAGGAAGTCGCCACTGAGCTGCGGCAGCAGCGGAAATGGGTTTTCGCGGTTGACGAAGATGAAGTTGCCGGAGACGAGCAGAGTCATTGTGGACAGAGGAATTGGGTTGAAGGAATGCGAGGAGAGGTGTCTTGAGGATTGTACCTGTACCGGGTTTGCGAATACGGATATCCGAAATGGTGGGTCGGGTTGTGTGATTTGGACCGGTGAGCTCGTGGATATGCGTAACTTCGTTGCCGGAGGTCAAGACCTTTATGTCAAAACATAGATCGGATATTAAATTGCATATGTTGTTACCATATTAAAAAATATCTAAAAATAATGATATGATATTTGAATATTAAGGATAATGTGTGCCTTAATTTTTTTTTACATATAATATAATGGTAACAATCAAAAGATACAAAGTCGCTTATGTAAAACATCAGCATTAGTCTTCCAAAGAGACCGGAACACCGATTTGGTTCCCAACTCTTCGAACACAATCGTTCCATGACTGTTTGGTTTTTGGAATAGCCTTAAATGCAATGTTTTTATATTTATAACTCGAGAGAATGAGTTGAGCCAATCCTAGATGACAATCTTTGCCAATCTTCAGTAGATCACGGCAACATTCATCTGTCAATATCTGCGTTGTCTCATCCAACAAGTCTTTGAAAATACTATCTCTGCATTTCGAGTTTTGCTTTTCAAGGCAATCTTGAAGGAAATCGAGACGTTTATACGTGTAATGATCCGCAAGCTCCATGTCATGTTCCATTGTGGGTGAATCAGCTTCTTCCAATGGAGATTCGTCGGGAGATTCGACGTAAATCTCGAAATCCGACGTAGGAGATATGTTCACATCTTCTGGTAACTCTTCTGAATATTGATCAATTTCTTGGGAGAATATTGGACTAACCATGAGAAATAATATTATGGGTACGAGCATTACCATGAGAAGAGACTTTCCCATATTTTGCTTTTGTGTTTGGATTATGATATTAGATTGGCGACAAGAAACGAGAGATGTTATAGGGCAGCTTAACTGGTGATTTGTGGAGGGTAATTAATTGATCAAAACGTTTGTTCATTAATAACTTTATGTTATTGACTTTATAAGGTAAGCTTCATTTTCCTTTTGAATAAGTAACAATTTGGCTAACGTTAAAAATTGACTTCGGTTTCAAGTTTTTACTTCGTTTTGGATCGAACATGATTTAGATTTTGGGTTTACTTTGAAGATCACACTCCCCTTTCCTTCACACATCTAAGTGTTAATATTAGAAATTACACGATTACACAGAACAGAAAAAAAAAAAAATATCAAAGAGAAGATTGATTTGGTTTTGTCCGGTTTACAAGAAATAAACTTAAGTTTATGATCTCAATCTAAATCTTACTCTTCTTGACAATCTTTAAGCTTATGTGAGCACATAGCTTATCGAATAATAGCTTGATCCCCAAGTTTCAAGTTTCCAGGCACTTGATGCCTGGTCCTTACAGGCTTGCTAAACCAGCGATACGGTATTTGTAGATCATTGCTTCGAAGATCATAGCAGAGGGAGAAACCAACTTAATCGGTACCAAAACAACCTTGTCTCTAAGAATCCTACCTTTTGGCTTCATTCTAATATCAACGACTAGATGCATCTGACAAGTCTGCAAAACCAGAGTCTTCATCGACCATTCTTTCTTCCTCCAGTCTTCCACAATCCACAGATCCACTTCACCCTTGTCTTTGAGATAAGTGAAGTCAAAAACAGTCACTTTCCCACCATAGTCTATTTGCGTCACCCACTTGTCTACTCTAGTCATCACATCCCCTGCCTTGCGAGGTACTTGCAACATTTCAAACTCCTCTGACCTCGCGTCGAAACTCACAAGTATACGAGTCAGTCCAAGCCAAATAATATAAAACACCGTTAATAGTCAGTTCTAGTGGATCAGGAAGATGAGGCTGAAAATCCTTTAATAGTCACTGCTTCCTACTCCTTAATCGTAATAGGAAGACGAAACTTTTTCATCAAGCTTCTTCTTTTAATTTACTTAAGTTTCTTTTTTTAGCGATTTAGGGCTTGAGAGGCGTCAAAGTCTTCCATTTTTCTTCTTTTGCTAAACCAATACGGCCTCGTTTTGATGTTCTCTTGTGGCTCAAGAAAAATCACACTCTTGGCTTTGTCCGACTACTTAAACGATACAACTAGCTAAGAATCTGCAATCTGAACCAATTACGGCAACTGAATGCTCTGATCTGATAACACAAAGCCATGGATATCTCAATGTTGAATTTCAACCCCTGTTTCCAGGTGTAACCAGAAGTCATTTACATAATATTATAGTAACCTCCTTGTAAGATACTAGTTAGTAACATATCACAGCATGAGTTTTAAACATCTTATCCTTTTCCTTCAAATTATTACAAATTAAAGTGATATATTAGACATAACACGATTACAGAGAACAGTAAAGAAAAACAAACATTCAAAGAAAGGAATTGTTTCGGTTTTGTAACGGTTTATATAAACTTAAGCTCTTCCTTTCAAGACATGCCTTCTTAAACCGGGAATATGAACGTTTGTAATGTAGTCCTTCCAGTTTATGCTTCCAACATCAAACCCAAACTCTCTCTTCTCTTCCTCAGACATCTTCTCCATTAATCTCTGCGTGTTGCTATTATCAAACCTACAAAAAAACCAAAACCAAAATTCAAGTTTTTTTCGGTTGGTTTGGTCTTATTATAATTAGAATGTTGTTCTTTCTCACCTTCCACCATAGAAAGTGTATGGCTCATATATAGTAGCAAGATGTTTGGCTTGCTCAACAGATTTCTTGCATATAAACTTGAGCTTCTGAAGCATCTTACTATCCGCTGAGCTCATACCATTCATCAACCCGCTCCGTTCTTGAACATCTCTCCACAAATGTTCCGAGAAATCATCAACGGAGTCGAAAAGCTTCATCAAACGCACCATGATAGGAACACCTTTTGAGTCCATGCATGGGGAAGTTGTGTAGTGCTTGTAAAGTAGCTCTGCTAACTCTTCGAAAACCAGTGGATTTATCGCCGAAGATGCGATCTGATACACGTTTATCTCAGGTTCCGGATCCTCCATTGCCGCTCCGTGCTTTGCTATAGCAGCTAACGTTGCATTAACGACCATATCAGCAGGAACCACATCAAGAACTCCTTTTGGATCCACAAGAAAACCTGTGAGCTGTCCCTTCCCGTAACATAGAACTATAGGATCCATCATCCTGATTTAAACATATCATATAAACACAAATTAAACAAGAATCAGTTTTGAAACATTTACACGTTCACATCAACAGACATGTATATAGATTCACCTGTTTCCTTCCATCCATCCAGGGAAAGGGTCTTTGTAAGTGCTTTCGATGACGCTAGGTCTTATGATAACAACAGGCACGTCTCCTCTGGTGCTATTGATCATCATTTCTCCCATTGCTTTTGTGAAAACGTAAGTGTCTTGCCATCCATATGATCTTGCTCTGTATTTGTATATGGTTTGTGTGTGTGTTAAGGTTGTTGCGAATATATTTGAGCAAGAAATCGATGTAGTTAAAGATTACTACCTCTCTAGACCGAGATCTTTCATCTTCTGCGCTTCCTCCTGATCATAAGTCCCTTTTGTAGCAGCATCAAGAGCTAACTTCATCTCTCTATCGACGTCTAAAGCTTTTCTTTTTTCTTCAAGGAAGTTCTCAGTTGCTATACAATCTCCCATTGTGAATGGCTTCTCCATGATCCTTCCTTGTCTTTGTCCATTCACATAAGCTGCACAAATGTGAAATTCAAAATGAATCAAGTAGCTGAAACATCACAAAACCCTCTTTTATTTCCCCATTCACATACCTGTGGAGACTTGCAAGAAAAGCTTCAGTTTCTTGCATTTCTTGGCGAATCCCATGAGATTTCCGGGACCTCGTGTGTTAATGTCCAGAGCAACATCATATCTGAAACAAGACTTAGTAAAATCAAGATCCATTGATATGATCTTGATAACAAAACAAGAGAACACAGAAGCGCATTTAAATATTGTCAACCTTTCATTGAAGGTTGTGTTGGCAGCAGAATTGATAATGACATCAACTTCTTTTGCAATCTCCTCGGCTGAGTCTGCTTGCAAACCGATGTCTGAATCACAAATGTTTCCCGTCACAGGAACGAGCTTGCTCAACATGAAAGACTGGTAAGATGCTCCATGAGTCTCTCTTAGAGTATTAAAAAGCTCTGCATTTAACACCTGTAATTAAAGAAGCAATCCCATTGGCTAGAGAGTTATGCACACACATGACATGAAAATTAACTTGCCTGACTAACATAGAATCAAAGGACTTACCTCTTTCTTTAATCTTTCAAACGCAGCTTCTTTGTTTTTGGCTTTAATCAGGAGATATATCTTCCCAACATCCGGAGCCATTCTTAAAACCTTCTCAATCAGCACTGGAGATACCAAAATGGATATGGTTTAAAGACAGACAGTTTCCAAATATGAACAACATATAATATAGTTTTTTTATTTTACCTTTAGCTAAGAAACCGGTTGAGCCAGTGATTAGAAACTTCTTCCCTTGGAGGAAACTGACAATGCCAAGTCCTTCTTTCATCCCCACCATAGCAGCGTCTTTATAAGGCATCAAAGTCTTTACTCCATTGATCTCAATGGCTCTCCCATTCCCGTTCGGAGACAGAACCAATGTCTCAGCATCCACAGCCGGCGAGCTCTGTTCCCTTATCAGTACCTGACCTCTGTCTGTCAAAAGCGAAGAGACCCGAATAGGTCTCTCTGCGTTACTGTTTCTCCCACCACCACCATCACTACCACCACCACCCACACGACACCACGTGGGGCCTAGCCTTTTCTTGTCCGTAACAAATGTAGACCAGTCACGACGGTTGTGTAGTCTGGCAAACTTGATTGACACGGCGATGGAGGAAGAAGAAGAACCTAAGAAGAGAGCCTCCATGACAAACTAAGAAATAAGAGATACGGAAAGGGTCATTTTGAATTAAGACAGAGAAATTAACCGTTGACCTTGTAAAAATCTAAAACACAAACTGCATTTTCATTATTTTAATCTTTGAGAAAACAGAAACTTGTTTGTTAAGAAATTGGTGACTTGTAATATACTTAACCTAGAAAGCATACCTTTGGTGATGAACAACAAGAATATAAATTTAATTAGAAAGAGATTAAGTAAACCAAGACAGATATATTTGTTCTTGTTTTGTATCGTTAAGAGACAAGTAAGTGGGTTTTGTTTTTTTATAAGAGGAATGAAAGATTGGTAGGTTAGTTCATGAGGGCAAAAGATGATGAGAAACCTCCTCTGTTTTATAGGAAAATAAATATTTAAAAATTAAGTGAAACTAAAGATCGCCTAACCAATCTTTGTTTCCAATATTTTTATCAGTTTTCCTACACGTGATTGTAGATTTCAAACTAACAAAGAAATTCGGAAATGCATCAGTTGCAATAGCCATCTGAGATATTAACCTCTCCAAAACCATCCAATGAAAATAGCTATCTAACTATCTTAGATATTAACCTCTAAAAGATCACCATGAAAATAAATATCTTACCTATCTTTTCTTGTGGATTTGTTTCTAAACGATCTCTACTACAAATCTCATTTCCTGGTTGTTAGAATTTAGGAAGTTCAGATAAAATTTTAATTGCTTAAGGATGGATATATATTCATCTTAAAAATTATATATTCATGTAGTCCAATCCTTCATTTTATTATTGTCTCTAGGAATGGACCAATCTACTATTGCTTCAACACCACAGAAAACCTGCAAAGGATCAAATAAAATTGTTTCTAAGATAAAAATAAATGCATCAAGAGTACGAAGACTAAATCAGATTAAGGAAGCATGGAGAGAAACTTAAACTCATTATAAAGAGAGCAGCATTGGTGTTGAATAAGTTTGTGGAGTAAGAGAGTTGAAGAAGTTAGTGGAGAGAGTGTAGAATAAGTTTGTGGTAAGAATAACGTCAAATCTACACATAATAATGTTTGTTGAACAAATTGTGAAATTTCTAAGGTATATTAATCTGTTTGGTGGGCCGTGGGCGTGACGTGACTTGAAAAATCAAACCTTTGCGTCATCTTATTGAAGCGAGAGATAACAAACGGAATCAACCAAAGAGTAAGCTGCCATTAAGTGGCAAAGATACGAAACCAAACCATACATTACATTCGTTTCTCCTCTACTCTCAACCTATGATTTATTCTTCTTCCACACAAGTCTCAACTCCTAAATCACAAATGCTTATAATCATACGTTACTAACTCCCCAGAGTGTAACACCACACTCCATCTCCACCATCACCTGCTAAGGTCGTCGTTGCAAGTCACCTTCAGTATCCGGGACTCGGGCTCCTGCTTCTCGACTCATACCGGGACCTTGAGCTTGACCTTGAGTATGATCGCTTCCTATCCTCCGGGGAAACAGATCTGCTCAAAATATACAATATGGTATGTCCAATTAGAAAGAAGAGTAAATCATGCTTACCACCTAACTAAAAGTGCTTAAACCGAACTAATCCAACCCAAACATAAAACAAAACAATATGAAAGCTGGTTAACCAAAACTAAACTCATATGAGTCATATCTGATGGATAGAAAGTTAGAAACTGAACTGAAACTGTATAAACCATCGGTTTTGTTATACATAGGTAAATATTTTTCTAAAACCAATAATAAAAAACCCGAGCTAAAACTGGGACTAAAACACCCCTACTACAGTACCTTGAATGGCGCCTATCATCATATGGTGAATGTGAATAGCTTCTTCTTCTGTTGTCCGGCGAACGCGAGTACCTTCGTCTGTAGTTTGGTGAACGCGAATAGCAAGGAGACCGAGAGTGACCATATGGAGACCTTGTAGATGTTCTGCCCCTGAAATTGACATTCAACAAACAAAACACAGAGAAAACGTTACTTACAGTTGAAACAGTTGTGATTTAAGTAATTTTAATATTATGATCAGCAAGCTAATTTGGTCAAAATGAAAGCTTAACCTTGATCGTTCTCGTTCTCTCATTTCGGAGGGTTTCTTTCTGTTCTCCTCTGCAAATACTACAGTAATTTCACGGCCAAGAAGAACATAGCCATCTAAGTGATACTTTGCGTCTGCAGCATCCGCAGGATCATAGTACTGCACAAAGCCAAACCCACGAGGCTCCCTGCAAGTTCATAGACGTCACAAGCCGGGAATACAAATAGAAAACACAAGGGCCTCTTTTCTAAATCAAATTGGCAATAGAGCTGTGAAGAAGAAACCTTCAAGTGGAACACAACAAAAGCACTCAGAATTGTCAAGCATAAACAATTAGCCGGCTGCTAACCTTTTCGATGCCACTGTACTAACTTCGACTTTGACCAGACCAGAACATCTTCAAAATGAAATAAAAAACAACTTCCTTCTCAATCAGGAAGTATTAACTATCATCAACAGTATATATTCACTTACCCTCTGAGTCGTGAAACAAAGAATTCTTATTACTTCATTGATCTCATGCATATTAATCTTCCTACTTCTTGATCTTCAACACTTCCAATAAAAACAACCAAACTTTGATAAACCAACAGCCCATGGAATAAAAAAAATCCATTATGATACACATTCACAAGGATAAGACAGCAAGAAGTCACGCAAATGTCTACATTTAGTAGGAAACAAAAAATGCTCTGACTCACCTAGTGTAATAATTACGAGGTATATAGATATCCTTGACTCGACCAAACCGCTCAAATGGTCTACGCAGATCTTCTTGCCTGAAATTATTTAGACAAGTAGCATTTGAAAATGTCAAAAGGTGAAAGCTTTAAGATATCAAACTCAATCAGCTACACATTTCCAAAGGGAACTAGCCAGTGCATGCACAGAGAATTAAAGGAGCATGTAGAGTGTTCAATACCTACAGTCGTGCCGGAGATTCCGAACCAGTAGACTGGTTTGGGAATCTCTAGTCCGGCCTCTGTAGTATTCCACAGGACTTGGGCTTCTATACCTTCTCTCACAGCTCCTTCGTGGTGAAGGACTGTAGCCATAGCTCCTCCCCATTATCTGCCAGAAACACAACAATTTAGACTTACGAATTAATCTAATATTATCACCAAAACAAAACGGACGAAATATGAGATTTTTTGCATCAGGAACACAAATTCATCGCAGAAAACAACAAGTTACGATAATCACAAAAGCCGATTAAACAAAAAGTGCAAAAACAATATGATCGTGAAACTAAAACCTGAATCCCACAAGAGAAACGAAACTCGTTCGCGCCGGTTTGGTCGCTGATCTCTCTGTCTGTCTGTCTTGTTGAGAAGGTCGTGTCGTGTATACTCGAGAACGTTCTACTGTGGGCATTTCATTGATCGTATCTATAGTAAAGGCCCATTTAGGCCCATAATATGTCCACGTCGCATCCTTTTTTCTTTTGGTCGGTTAAATTTAAAACCGGTCGGTTCTAAAAATCCATTTTCTGTAATCTAGTTAACATCAAGACCGGGCGGTTCTCCAAAAACCCTACAAAACTTCGTCTTCATGAGTCAGTGACTCTGTGTTAACGGAGCTCTAAACCCTACAGCAGAAAAAAAACAATCCCGCCCCAAATCTCGCGCGTCCGCCATTGAAGATATGGTGGTTCCGTCGAAGAAAGAACACAGCGGAAAACGTAATGATTCTTTAAAGGCATCTAAACCGTCGCACAAACCGTTTAAGAAGACCAAGGACGATGTTGCAGCGAGGTCTGAAGCCATGGCTATGCAGCTCGAAGAGGTTCCTGACTTTCCTCGAGGTTTGTTACTCCCTCCAATTCATGCTCTTATGCAATGAATTATTCAATTTCGTACTCGGTTTCATGAATCACAACACACAAATTAGGCTGCTAAACATAAAATTGCGAACTTCATTTATCTTTGCTGATATTCTTATTTGATTGTCAGGAGGAGGTTCTTCTCTGAGCAAAAGAGAGCGTGAGAAAATCCATGAAGAAGTGGATGCTGAGTTTGAGGCAGATGAGCGTGGTTCTAAGAGGACTAAAGGGGGGAAATCTAAAAAGAGAATCCCTACTGATGTAGACGAATTGGGATCTCTTTTTGATGGTTTTACTGGGAAACAGCCAAGATATGCCAATAAGATTACCATTAAGGTATTGACTCGGAACTTTCTTATATCTTTCGAATTGTTTGATAAGTTCATGCCTGTGTTCAGCATGATGACACTAAAGGGTATTTCATTGTCTATGAAAATAGTAAAGCTCTTTAGTCAGAATTGGCCAAATGATTTACTCAATTGTTCCCATTTAGTTTTAGCTTGTGATTCGAGTCAGATTCATTTGTTTTCTGCATCATGGAATTTCATAGAACAATAGTGTACATTGTACTAACCCCCAAAGTTTAATCAAGATGATCAGATCACAGTGACTAGATAGTTCTTAGATCAGTTGCGTCTAGTTGTATTTTGCGCGTTAACAGGTGCACATGTTTTAGTTGATGCATCTGACCTATGTCATTTTCGCTTTCCATTGACATCCATCTATCCTCATAACCATGGTTGCAAGATTTCCTTAAGCAGATTATATCTCTATATTTCCTGTTCTGACGTTTAATGGAATTTATTTTCAGAATATATCCCCAGAAATGAGGCTTTTGGGAGTTGTTACTGAAGTAAACCAGAAAGACATTGTGATTAGTCTTCCAGGTGGCTTACGTGGATTAGTTCGCGCAAGCGAGGCATTGGATTTTACAGATTTTGGGACTGAGGTAGCTGCTGTGGGTTATAATTGGCTGTCTAAATTCCCTGTACTTTGGTCATTTTAACCTCTTTCCGGTTTCGTTTCTGCAATTCGAACTGAGTTGGTACTCCTTTTTGTCAACCAGGACGATGAAAATGAACTCCTTCGAGACATTTTTTCTGTGGGTCAGCTTGTTCCGTGCACTGTACTGCAGTTAGATGATGATAAGAAGGAGGCAGGCAAAAGGAAAATATGGCTCTCATTGCAACTTTCTTTATTGCATAAGGGATTCAGTTTGGATTCCTTTCAACCAGGGATGGTATGTCAATGCTTGGTTCATCTTCCCTTTATTTTGTAATTTTGTACTTCTTAGGAGCTCTGACTTTGTGTAAGATTTTCAAATGTATTGGTGGGTACTGGTATTCAAGGATGTTGACGAGTTGAAAAAGTAGTCAGAGCTTAGAATTATTTATTAAGCTGCATAGTCTAGCAGTTTTAGTGAAAAATAAGCTATATTGGTACTGGTATTCTGCTATTTTCTGAAATGGGTCGTATCTTTACCAACTCATTAATTTATTACTGATGGTGGTTAATGTTATAGCTCCTTTTTCGTATGAGTTATGATTTTGTGTTTGAAAATAATAAGTTTTTATCTCTTTACCGTAATGCTTGTTCAGGTGGTTAGTGCAAACGTAAAGAGTGTCGAAGACCATGGTTATATCCTTCACTTTGGATTGCCTTCTATCACAGGATTTATCGAAAAAAGCAATGATGGTACTATATCTCGTTGACCTACCTCTTAGCGCTTTATTCACTATTTGATTTCTTCAGGCGAATGATATTCAGTTTACTTTCTAGCGTACATCACTATAAAATGGACTGTCTGTGTCCAACTAAAGAAAATACTTCATTCAAAAAGACTTTGTAGATGTTTCTTGAGAACTTCCTGGCTCTCTGGTTTGTCTAACTCCATCTTTAAAATCTTTGTTTTACCATTTTCTTGATATTTCAGGAACCCAAGAGTTAAAGACTGGGCAACTTATTCAAGGCGTTGTTACAAATATTGATAAAGAACGTAAAATTGTTCGTCTTAGTTCGGACCCAGATTCAGTGGCGAAGTGTGTGGTATGCCTCGTATTTCCCAAATTACAAAGTAAATTCTCCTTGATGTAAACAAACCTAACGTCGTGAGTACTATTTTGCAGACCAAGGATCTTAGTGGGATATCGTTTGATCTTCTCATTCCAGGCATGATGGTTAATGCCCGTGTGCACTCCGTCCTAGAGAATGGGATATTGTTAAGATTTCTTATGCACTTTACTGGAACAGTGAGTTACTAATGGTTTTGGTCGTGAGCATTATTAACCTAAAATCATGGCTGCATTTATGAGTTACGTTTCTCATTGATGTGCAGGTTGATCTATTCCATTTACAAAATCCAATGTGTAACAAAAGCTGGAAGGATGAGTATAATCAGACTAAGATGGTATGCATTTTTGTGCTCACCCCTTTTCTGAGTTTCTGTTATAAATCTGTAGTAGCATACAGAAGCATATTGATTATATTTATGTCAAGTCTCAGGTGTGCGTGTCTTTTTCTAGAAATGAATTGTTTAATCTAGGTGTCAGAGCTTGTATAGAGCAGTTATCTAAGAAACTTCGTTAAATCCTGGATTTTTTAGCTGGAAACTTCTTTTAAGTCTTTAAAGCTGTAGGTACAAAGTTACTTCGAAACGATATTGCATTGCTCAGAAACTTGGGTGTTTGTATCTAATGCTTACGTTTGTTTTTATCTGATGTTTAAGACAAGTTGATTTCTTTGACTACCACATTTTTGGTATAGTGCTTAACTACTACTTATTTTGATCTGATCTCTTTGTTTTGACTGTTTTCTAATTTTGTTTTGTTCTTTGGTCGAAGATATTTTTTCCTCCTATCAGTTACATTAATGCTGCTACTTTTTTTCAGGTTAATGCTAGAATATTGTTTATCGATCCATCAACTAGAGCTATTGGTTTGACGTTGAACCCACATCTTATCGGTAACAAGGCTCCTCCTTTGGTAAGCAACTGACTTTGTCGATTTGCTTCCACTGAAATATAATGGTGATGTGGTAGTAAGCGAACTTGATTTGACAGCTACTTTTGGGGTTGAAAGAAGGTTCATTAATTGTAACACCAGCAATTTTTTGCATCCGCTGTTTTCACCACTATCTTTGCATAACTAAGCTTGACTCAAATGCTCATCCACTAGCTTACAGTTTTTGTTCATCACTTTGATACATAAGCCGCATTTTCTCTGTGTTTGGTGGTCATGGACATACCTGTATGTGCCTATCTTAACCATTTTCTAAAAGAATAATGCAAAATTTCATTTCGCTCTTTACAGCATGTCTCTAGCGGAGGCATATTCGACGAAGCAAAAGTTATGCGTGTTGATAAATCAGGCCTTCTTCTTGAACTCCCTTCCAAGCCTGTTTCAACTCCAGCATATGTTAGCGTATGTACAATTGCCTACCCTTACTTTTCTGAAGACTTAGTGTTTTGATCTCCTTCTTTAACCTTAGATTACTGTAATTGCAGACATATGACGTCGCAGAAGGTGAAGTAAAGAAACTGGAAAAGAAGTACAAAGAAGGTAACCGTATCCGTGTTCGAATCCTCGGACTTAAGCAGATGGAGGGGTTGGCCATAGGGACTATAAAGGTAAATTTACAGCCGGGCATGCTAATAGATTATTACCTTTAACAGTTGTTGGCATGGGAAGCATCTACTATTCTTTTAGTACTGATTCTTAACGTTGTACCAGCATTGTAATCTGAATACCAATACGCAATAGTTTGATGTAGAATTTACATTTATGCCGCTTTCTATTGGGACATGTATGGTTTTGTTTTTGTTTTATTACCATTTTTGATATTAACTTTTTTCTTTTGGTGTTTTTGTTGAGCAGGAAAGCGCTTTTGAAGGTCCAGTTTTCACCCACTCAGATGTCAAGCCTGGTATGGTGACGAATGCTAAAATCATATCTGTTGATACATTTGGTGCCATTGTCCAATTTCCGGGTGGTCTGAAGGCAATGTGCCCACTTCGGCATATGTCTGAGTTTGAAGTTACGAAGCCGAGGAAAAAGTTCAAGGTTTGTTCCTTACACTGACCTCACATGATTAATTGATATGCAATGTTGCTGACATGCGTAAATTTTAAAATATTTTTCTTTCAGGTTGGAGCTGAATTAATATTCCGTGTTCTTGGCTGCAAATCAAAGAGAATAACTGTTACCTACAAGAAAACACTTGTAAGTTTTCTTATGATAGTGGATCTGACTTTGTTTCCGTAGTTGATGTGTCTAGTTACTTAATTAGTTTTGTTGGTTTAGAGGAGGCTTATAACTATTCAAATAATCTCCGTCTTATGAAATGGGTGATAAATTGCATCTCGTTTCTGTTATCATACCTTCTTGTATTTCTATCTGCTGGATTTTAGGATTTACTTGTTGCACTTATGTCTGTTTCGGTTTATAATGGAAACTAAGTTTCGTCTTTGTCAAGCCTTTTGACGAAAGTATTTGTTGGAACTTTTGTCTCAAACTAGTATCTTTTTTGGAGGTTAGGAGTGGATAAATCTTAGTTTTATGTACTTTCAGTCATCTACAAGTTATCGTCCTGTTAAATCCCTTCGTACACGACATATATGCTAAAATATCATCTGTAGCTGTTGCCTAGTCAAGTATGTGCTCGTGAAGTGCCGGTGGAAATAATCTTTATATCCTTTGCAGGTGAAATCTAAACTTCCGATTTTGAGTTCTTACGCTGATGCAACTGAAGGACTTGTGACGCATGGCTGGATAACAAAGATTGAAAAGAATGGATGCTTTGTTCGATTCTATAATGGGGTGCAAGGATTTGTTCCCAGGTCTTTGCTACACCGTTTTTTTAATTCATCTGCCATTGCCTTTCTGGTTTCTTTAAACTTGTAAAACATGAAAGTTTTCCCATCATAAAGGCTTTGGTTATTTTTTTCGGTTTTGATGTCTTAAACTAATATACTTTACTTATTTTGATTAAGCAGATTTGAACTTGGTTTGGAGCCTGGAAGTGATCCTGATTCAGTGTTTCATGTCGGGGAGGTTGTCAAATGTAGAGTAACCAGTGCGGTTCATGGTACTCGAAAGATCAACCTCAGTTTTATGATAAAGCCAACAAGGTATTCTCTTATTATTCTGATATTTGATAATCGTCTTGCCATGAAGGCTGCCTTAATACCATTAAATGCTTTTGCTCAAAATTTGTTTACATTTCTGACAGTGTTTCTGAAGACGATTCAATCAAGTTAGGTAGTATTGTGTCAGGGATAATTGATAGTATAACTCCTCAGGCAGTCATTGTCCGTGTTAAATCCAAAGGTTTTCTGAAGGGAACAGTTTCTACTGAACATTTAGCTGATCATCATGGTAAGTGTTTTCTCTCACATGAGCGTACATACGAGCTTTGCATTTTTGTTCATTCGTTTCTGAGTTTTCTTTTTGTGATGTAGAGCAAGCAAAATTAATGATGTCACTCTTAAAACCTGGATATGAGCTTGACAAGCTGCTGATAATAGGTATGTTCTTGATCACCTTTGCCAATTTTCAGAACTTGTTTCCTTTGCGTATATCCCTAACATACTTGAAGGAGGTAGATTGACTAAATTTGCACTGTTCTCGATTTTTTCTTTTCTCCGTGGGTGCTTATTGATCGTTGAGAGAGAAACAGTTTAATGAGTTTTGTTTCATCTAGTGATTGATTTAAGTCTGCTTTCTCTCTCATTGTGTAGTATTTAAAATTAAGAAAACAATCCATCTAGTTCCTGGAAAGCAGATATGATGTTGCAGCGTTAACTATTTTATTGGTTGAAGATATATAATAGTTACGTGGAGTAATTTTTGTTTATCTCAGACATTGAAGGCAACAACTTGACTCTCTCTTCAAAGTATTCTCTCATTAAGTTAGCTGAAGAGCTTCCTTCGGATTTTAGCCAGCTCCAGCCTAACTCAGTGGTTCATGTGAGTAGCTGCGTCTTTTAAAACATCGTAACCTCTTATCATGAGCAGTAGAAATTAATTTTGGTTTTAAGTCACTTACGTTTTTATATGAATTTGTAAACAGGGTTATGTTTGTAACTTGATTGAAAATGGCTGCTTTGTCCGTTTTCTGGGTCGATTGACTGGTTTCGCCCCGAGAAGCAAGGTGGAATTTTTTTACCCTTTTCTTTATCAAATTTTGCTGGCATACGTTGTTTCTTGAAGTTATTTCCATTTTCTTTTGAAGGCAATTGACGAACCCAGGGCAGATCTGTCACAATCCTTCTTTATTGGGCAATCGGTTCGGGCTAATATAGTTGATGTATGTGAATACCTGACTCAAGGCATTATATTAATCCTGTTGAAGATAAGATGAGGTCTTGATCTTTTGCCAAATATTTTGTAGGTCAATCAAGAAAAAAGCAGGATAACTCTTTCACTGAAACAGTCATCTTGTGCTTCTATAGATGCTTCTTTTGTGCAAGAGTACTTCCTAACGGATGAGAAGGTTGTGTTCTTGGGACATACTTTTTCTATTTATTGGGCTAAAGAACTTTATGCACCCCATTGTTTATTGCACTTAAAGCGAGTTTGTGCCAGGGATTTTTTGCATGTGGCTGCATAAATTTTACTAGCACTCTACTGCAAGTGATTTAAAAGAAGGATTGATTTCTAACTGTTACTATTTCATTTTTCTAGATCTCGAACCTGCAATCATCTGATAGTCCTGAAAGTGAATGTAGTTGGGTTGAGAAGTTCTCTATTGGGAGTTTGATCAAGGGAACCATACAGGACCCAAATGAACTGGGTGTGATGGTGAATTTTGAAAATATTGATAACGTCCTTGGTTTTATACCTCAGTATCATTGTAAGTCATTTTGGATTGCATTGGTCTTGATCCACTTCCGAACTAGATTAACACATCTGTACCTAGCCTCTGTCTGATGCATTGTTTTTCTCTGAAGTGGCTGGAGCTACTTTGGAACAAGGTTCTGTTGTCCATGCAGTTGTTCTTGATATTTCTAGGACAGAGAGACTGGTTGATTTGTCTTTGAGGCCTGATCTCATAAACAACTCTACTAAAGAGGTGTCCAACAGTCAGTCAAAAAAGGTTGCTCTCTTAGAAGAATATTCTGGCCAAGTTTTGCTTTATTTATGTTTTCTTGTATGCTACAGCTCGCGTCCAAATTGAGCTACTGTGGATGGCGACGCAGATTTTATGACATGTTGTATTTTTATTTGTGCTTCAGAAACGTAAAAGAGATATCTCCAAGGAACTTGAAGTCCACCAGAGGGTCAGTGCTGTTGTAGAGATTGTGAAGGAGCAATACTTGGTAAGTTCTTTCTTTAATTAACTTAAATGATTATTGCATCATTTGCATGTTACTCAGAGTTGCCCATTTTCCCACAGGTTTTGTCCATTCCCGAACATAGTTACACAATCGGATATGCATCAGTATCAGACTATAACACACAGAAATCACAAGGGAAACAATTTTCCACTGGACAAAGGTGCGTGCTATTCATCCATTTTCTAACCAATCTTTTCTTGTTAATTTTCGCCCCTTTTTCATGGATCCTGACTTCCCATGCTTTCTTTGGGCTGCCTGGCTAAACCAATAGAAAATGTGAATTTGTCTTTACTTCCATTAGCAGTTGATATTCTATCTTATTGTACCTATAATTAGCAATAGAGAAAGCTGTCCTTACTGGTGTAGTTACTAAATGGTAGCTAAGTTTTTTGGATTAATTTTCCCTGGGCAGTGTTGTTGCGTCTGTTGAGGCTCTGCAAAACCCTTTGACGTCTGGGAGGTTGCTTTTACTCCTTGACTCTGTTTCCGGGATTTCTGAGACATCTCGTTCTAAGAGGGCAAAGAAGAAATCAAGCTGTGAAGTTGGGTCTGTTGTCCATGCCGAGGTTAGTAACGCCCTACTTTCTTTTGTCTTTCTGCTTTACTCAACAAGCTCGTCTTTTTCAGTGAGCTTGAGTTGCAGTAGAAATTGCTTCACTAGATGGGTTCTTAGTTGTGTCTAGGCCACCATACTTTCTACTGCCTCAAACTGTCTTTTATTTTTTCAGATTACGGAAATAAAGCCGTTTGAACTAAGAGTAAACTTTGGCCAAAGTTTCCGAGGAAGAATCCACATAACAGAGGTAATTCTCATATGCTGTCATCATCAGTTATAGATGTTAATGTCATTCGTCAATATTGGGTGGACAAAAATTTGCTTATACGACTCAAATCTTGACTGAATAGGTAAATGATGCAAGTACAAGTGAAGAACCTTTGTCCAAATTCAGAGTCGGGCAAACAATGTCTGCAAGGGTTGTTGCAAAGCCCTGTCATACTGATATTAAAAAGACTCAACTTTGGGAGCTTTCTGTAAAGCCCGCAACGCTTAGAGGTAAGCCTAGAGAATTGAAATTTTGAGTAGTGTTAATGTGAGATCCATCTATTTGAGTAGTGTTAATATGAGATCCATCTATATAATATGTTCTAAGATGCCCATCTGAAGCTCAAAATTATTACCATTTGTCAATATTCAGAGACTTACATCAATAGCTACGAAATCGTATATGCTTGTCTGTATCTTAGATATGAACTTTTTGCTCTCACATGGTTTTAACATAGTCTCCATATCTTTCCTTTTTTGTTGCAATTTCAATCAGAGTCCAGTGAGTTGAATGACCTACAAGTGAGTGAACAATTGGAGTTTGTTGCTGGACAACGTGTCAGCGGATATGTCTACAAAGTGGACAAAGAATGGGTATGGTTGGCAGTATCTCGCAATGTGACAGCACGTATTTTCATTTTAGACACTGCATGCGAAGCTCGTGAACTTGAGGATTTTGAGAGTGGTTTTCCCATTGGTAAAGCCGTTTCAGGCTATGTTTTGACGTACAATAAAGAGAAGAAAACATTGCGGTTGGTTCAGCGTCCACTAGTTGATATCCACAAAAGAGACAGTGAATCGGATAAACTAGACGGTAGCATTCCTGGTGATGATGCTACTCTATTTATTCACGAAGGAGACATTCTGGGTGGAAGAATTTCTAGGATTCTTCCTGGTGTCGGTGGACTTCGTGTGCAAATAGGTCCTTACGTGTTTGGTAGAGTTCATATTACTGAAATCAGTGATCCATGGGTCTCCAATCCATTAGATGGTTTTCGTGAAGGCCAATTTGTCAAATGCAAGGTCTTAGAAATCAGTAATTCTAGTAAAGGGACTTTGCAAATTGAACTGTCATTACGTACATCACTAGATGGCATGAGTTCTGACCACCTTTCAGAAGCTTCCACCAATGTTTTCCAACGTTTTGAGAGGATTGAAGATCTTTCTCCTGATATGGCCGTCCAGGTACTTTTTGCCTTAATAACCATGATTTAGCAGCATATTACTTTCTTCTATGTAGACTTATGTTACCTCAAACTTTTACAGGGTTATGTCAAGAATACGATGTCAAAAGGTTGTTTTATTATGCTTTCAAGAACACTCGAGGCTAAAGTTCTGCTGTCAAATTTATGTGATACTTTTGTCAAGGATCCCGAAAAGGAATTTCCAGTAGGAAAACTTGTATCTGGCAGGTAACGCAGATTTCCTGTCAAATAGATTATTGATACACTTTGATGCACTTAATTCTGCCCTAACAAATTTAAATTTAGGGTGTTAAATGTGGAGCCGTTATCCAAGCGGATAGAAGTCACTTTGAAGACAGTAAATGCTGGTGGACAACCAAAATCTGAATCTTATGACTTGAAGCAATTCCATGTTGGAGACATGATTTCGGGGAGAATCAAACGTGTGGAGCCCTATGGCTTATTCATTGCAATAGATCAAACGAGCATGGTAAAGATTTAGTTTTGTGTATACCTTTGAACCTGTTAATATTTCAAACTTTATGCTGCTTGCCATATTGTTAACTTATTACTATCTGCCTCTTGTTTGTTGTAGGTTGGATTATGTCATAAATCACAGCTTTCTGATGATCGTATTGAGGATGTACAAGCCAGTTATAAGGCTGGGGAAAGCGTCACCGCAAAGATTTTGAAGGTATGTCGTTCTTTGTGTAATATTTGTCTTGATAGATCTAGCCTTATGCTAAAAGCCCAGTAAAATCTGGAAGTTGATTTGAACATAGCTTTAAGAGGGACATCCACAATATCATGTTTTAAGATGCCTTTGATTTGTTTATATGGAATATTAATGATGTTTCTTTTCACTTTGGTGTTTAATCTAGCTGGATGAGGAAAAGCGCCGTATATCGCTCGGGATGAAGAATTCTTATTTGATGAATGGCGGCGATGTCAAGGTTCAGCCACCATCTGAAGAACACATTAATGAAGCCAGCATGGAATGTGACCCAATCGATGATTCGAAGTCGGCAGTTGGTGATTTTGGGTTCCAGGATACTTCTCTGGTTCTTGCCCAAGTAGAATCAAGGGCTTCTATCCCTGCGCTTGAGGTTGACCTTGATGACATTGAGGAGTCTGACTTTGACAAAAATCAGGATCAGAAACTACAAGGAGCTGATAAAGATGAAAAGAGCAATAGAAGGGAAAAGCAAAAAGACAAGGAGGATAGGTTGGCTATTTCTTTAGTTCCTGATTTAATATGCTTTATATTTGGTTTCAACTCGTACTGAAAATTTTACTTGTGTAGAGAGAGAAAAATACAAGCTGCTGAAGGAAGATTGTTGGAGAATCATGCTCCTGAGAATGCTGATGAATTTGAGAAATTGGTTAGAAGCTCTCCAAATAGCAGTTTTGTGTGGATAAAATATATGGCGTTCATGCTCAGTTTGGCTGATATTGAGAAAGCCAGGTCCATTGCTGAGAGGTAATGAGAGTAGAAACTGTTTGTTTGAATCTCTCATATTACTAAATTATTCTAAATTCTGGAACGAATACCTGCTTGGTTAACCTGACTGATCGTAAAATCTCTAATGCAGGGCCTTGAGGACTATAAATATCCGTGAAGAAGAAGAGAAGCTAAACATATGGGTTGCTTACTTCAATTTGGAAAATGAACATGGAAGTCCTCCAGAGGTAGAATATAGATGACCCCAGCAAAAGCTTTCTAGATGTTTCTGATAATAGGCTTTTATATATAGCTATCTTACTCGTGTTTGTTTCTCATATCCAGGAAGCTGTTAAGAAAGTGTTTGAAAGAGCCCGTCAATATTGTGACCCGAAGAAAGTTTACAACGCTCTCTTGGGCGTGTACGAGAGAACAGATCAATATAAATTGGCTGATAAGCTGCTTGATGAGATGATCAAGAAGTTCAAGCAATCCTGCAAGGTTTGGTTAAGGAAAGTACAAAGTTCTCTAAAGCAACATGAGGAAGGCATTCAGTCCATAGTGAATCGCGCATTGCTATGTCTTCCGCGCCATAAGCACATTAAATTCATATCACAAACGGCTATCCTTGAGTTCAAATGCGGAGTTGCAGATAGAGGAAGATCACTGTTTGAAGGTGTTCTTAGGGAATATCCGAAAAGAACAGACTTGTGGAGTGTTTATCTTGACCAGGTTCGTTATATTCTCATTCTCCACACGTCTGTTTCAATGCCATCATTATAGAATTCTTTTTTAACTTGTGATTGTTTGGTTTTGTTGTCTACAGGAGATCAAGCTGGGAGAAATGGATGTAATTAGATCTTTATTCGAGAGAGCCATTAGCTTGAGTTTGCCTCCTAAGAAGATCAAGGTGCGCCATAACCTCCTATTACTTCCTCAGAAAGTCTCCTGTATAGTGTATTTGATAACTGACGATTTTAATCATCTTGTGCTTCGTGTTCTCAGTTTCTGTTCAAGAAGTTCTTGGAGTATGAGAAATCTTCTGGTGACGAGGAGAGAGTCGAATACGTAAAGCAAAGGGCGATGGAGTATGTAGACAGTGCCTTGGCCTGAGATGTTTGTAGCGAAACACCGAGTTTTTTTTGTAAAATTACTATATTTTTGAGAACGAGGTTGTGAGAGTTAGACGCTCAAAATGTTTAAAGTGTAAACGACAATTTTGCTCCTGTTAACTGTTTTTTATATAATTAAGATATTAAAAAATCTGAAAACTGATTCTCTTATTTTACGATCACATAAGTTGCAGTCTCTTGCAAGTTTTAAAATTTGTTACTTGCACAAGATATATATAAGACAAAACTGAGATCCAAAAACAAGAAGCTTTCCATTAACGCAAATCTAATGTTTCGACACCATTTTTGTAGTCTAAAATACACAAAAAGACTACACAAAGGAAAGTATACTTTTGTTTTTAACTCGAGTAAAATAAAATTATTTTGTCTTGTTTATGTACACAGCAATGATGATACCGAGTCCCATGCATAAATGTAAAAACCCACATCATTCAGATTCTGTACATAGGAAAGTGTGCACTGCTCCTCAACAACATGTTGCAGAGAGGGAGAGAAGATTCGTCGTGAGACTTGTTACCCTAAAGAACACAAGGCTGCCCCTGAGACTGGGTATTTTCAAACTCTTTGCATTCTACGAGCAATAACGTCAATCATTTATAAATTATCACTTCACTGCCACTTCATTTATAAATTACATATCTAGTTTCCAGCTACAAAGATTTTGGGCTCTATTACGCATCAGGTCGAATCACTGAAACCGTTAAACGTGGAACTGGCATGCTACAATTTGCAAGCTTCCGGGAGAAAGAGGGCTGGGAAGAGGATAACCTAGTGGAGAGCGTAATGGACACGTTCTAGCAACTGTACAACTTGGTGTAGCATGAGAGGCGGTGAATAACATTGTTTTGAACTTGCTTTTGATGTGCTTGGTGATGGCTGAGTTGGCGATAAAACTGACTCCTGCTGTCTATTTGTTAGCTCCAAGAACTGAGCAAGCATGTCACCGTCCAATATCTTTGTCGCTTGAGACTGCAACATGTGAAAACATATGTTTCATACTTTTACTAAGAAAGAACTTTTAGCATGCCCTTTATATATGTCCAGCCGCACAGACATTTAATGACCCAATGCAGACATCGAAGTGTGAATTCAAATCTTAGAAATGACTAGTAAAATTAGAACTGGTTTTTTTATCACTTACCGGATTCTCTCGACCTCGGAACTCCTTATGATCATTACCAAGAACAGGCGCAGTCAGCGGATGGACCACAAGCTTTGCTTGTACGGCTTCTAGGAGCTCATATTCCTCCCTACAGAAACTTGTGGTCAGTCATTGAACTTGCCATGTAAAATAAACACAGAGAATTTCATCCCGAGTATAACTCAAGACCAAAAAGCATCTACTTGGTGGAATAGGAGCAAAAACTACTAATAGTCCATGATATACAGCAAATCATACCTTGAAATAGGAGCAAAGACATATATACTTCCCAATAGTGTGCCAGCTATGATAGTGTCATCAGCTGCGTCATTACTTTTACTAAGACCATAACTTCGCAGAACATCATCTGCCGGAAGTTTGTAAATGTTGCAACCCTGTTAAGAAGGAAAGACAAGCACTAATGAATTGACATACAGATACATATTGATCTTGGTTAATAGCACAATTGCAATGTCCAGCTAGAAAATTGACTAAAACTCTCTAGTGGCTAGAGCAGAAATTGTATTTGAACTTGTTAGACCAATGTGCGAAGTAGACATTAACTTACTTATCTAAAGAAGGTATTAAGCTGGTTACAGTATTAACACACCACATAAAGCAATCCACAAAGCAGCATTAACTCTTTAAGTTATAGTCAGTAAAATGCTCGCTGCAAGTTTGGGATTTACCTTTTTGATAGCCATTGCTATCTCACCCATGTAATAAGCACAGTTGAGATTCAGATTGGACTCCGGACTTGAATATTCTGGACGATCACGAGGTATTTTAGTTAGCAAATTCTTATGAATCATAACAAAGCCTATACTAAAGAGATTTCAAATCCCAAGTTTGTTCCACAGCACCTAGAAGAATCCTAAGAACAAGGAAGATCAGCGAAAACTAAATTTTAGTCCCACTACCAGGTAGTCAATTTTCAATGACGATGGCCTCTTCCTAACCCAGGAAGCTTCTGTTTTCTTAACGAATATGATACATCTGACCAGTCGCCAAAAAAAAAAATTGTAATTCAAAAGAAGCTATAAAGAAACCTAATGCAAAGTTGGACAGTACAATTTCCCTACAGATTGCTTTAAGCATTGACACCAGAATAAAAAAAAACATGTTCTGCAAATTCTTAAATATGATTGCATACTCCTCCAACTGTGATATGCCACTTAGCTGATACAACATATAATATTTGGACAAGCCTGTTTCATTCACACGAATAATATATTTGCATCTATCATCTGCAAGTTGATAGTTACCATTTGGATATTGATTCCATCTCTCACTGTCGAAAAAGATCACACTTTTCTAACTTAACTGAAAATTGTTCGTATAAAATCTAAAAACTACACAAGGAAGAACGAAAAGAGAGTAATATCTGAACCAACGAGAAAAGGCAAAGTGTTTAGTACCAAAGTCTGAATTATCTTTGCAAGACAGGATAGCTATACTCCCTTTGCGATCAGATACAGCCACGGAATTGGCATCCATAAGAAAGCAATCAGCAACTAACCGTTGCGCTGGATCACAATATATCTGGTGAAGTTTCTTCACATCCTTCAATAACATGAAAAGAAATATTGATAGGCAAAATAGAACAGACAAACAAAGAAGAGGACATATATGAAAGGGACAACAGAACAAACCTCGTGATACGAGTAAAATAGAACACCATCACGGCAATCTCCAACGACAATTCTAGTGAAGTATGTTCGCAGAGATGTTATCATGAAACGAGTCCTTCCCACCGCAAACCTCTTCATTCTCTCAGGACTATCGTTCGGAAAACCACATACATAGAACTATTGAAGAGCAGCATACTTGTTAGCAGATTACAGTGCTAAACAGTTGGCAACAAAACTATAGATCATCAAAGTAAGGCTTACAGCATTGCCAGCAGACGCCAGGAAGAAATTATCAAGGTATGGACAGATCGCAAGTACCATTCCTGGCCAAGTGGTTGCATAGGCCAATCTTAAATGCCATGTTTCAGCTTCATCAAGTTTGATTCCGTCATAGCTGATATCATCTGGACTGCTGCAGAGACTACTGCTTGATAGTTGTTCTGTTGTGTATCCCACAACATCACGAAAAGGTGATGTACGTTGGGAAGATGAACCAGCTTTCGAACAAATTGTCATTGAGCCACTATCCGAGTTTTGAGTGTGTTCTAAGCAGAGAATGATCAATCGTCCTTTTGTACTGCAAAACAGGCATTCAAAGGTACACACACAATCAGCACAAAGTTCATGTTACTTCAGTCACCACTTTCACTCCATGGTCAAATGAAGAAGTGGCTAAGAACCAGATTTCTAACCTTTCAGCTTCACCGCTGGGTAGTATAGCAGGACCAGAAGACAAACTCGTCCCAACCACAAGAACCTGCTCATTTCCTACACGTACAAGCTCCATTGACTTTCCAGTTTCTCCAGGTTTGAGCTTGTAGGATGACAACACTGACCCACTGAGCGGGTCCACACAGCATATATCAGACGTACACGCATTATACAAATCGGTTCTCATCACAATCAATAGTTTGCTTTCATTGTGATAGATAACCTTGCGCGGAGTGCCTCCAAGGTGAAACTTTTGCGCATTAAGCCGTTTGCTGTGCACCATCTCTACCTACAAAAGAAGCCTATGCATCAGGCAATCATAGCCGGACCAAAATAATAACTCCAACGCAACCCCACAACTGTCCTCGTTCGTTGGACATTATTTTTCAAGTACACTATATCAGAACATTAAACATTGATTGATGGAATTTGCATATCAGTGTCCAAAGCACAGCACAATGGACAGAGAAAAACTGGAATTAAAATTTGTAAAATAGAATATACATACCAGATGTAAACAGTTCTCTGCAACAAAAAGAATTCCTTGAGGGCATTCAGAAGAACAAACGGGAGTTGCATGAGTAGAAGGTTGGAATGAGATGGACGTATAAGAAAGACTTTGTCGAGCTGTTTGTAACAACCATGGCCTGTCACTAAGAGCTATGATGTCGGAATCGAGTGAATCACTGAGTGGAACCAGAAAAACAGGTGTGATGCCGATGCGTCGGGTGGCAATTAACAGAAGGTTGATGGGTGAATTGTCTCTTTCACCCGCAACAATGTCCATCTCTTCTTTACGTTGACTAAGATAATCTGGACAATTCAACCCGGATGATTGTGAAAAGGAAGGCCACTCAAAACGGAGCAGCATTCCATTTCTCAACCCAGAAAGAACATAAAGCTGATCAACTAACACGAGTCTTACATCTTGAGGAATACATCCACTAATAACAGTTCCCATTGTATTTGTTAGCGATACCAACCCAGAAGCAAGGACTCGGACACCAACACCATCTTCTGAGAAGGAGAGGACCTCGACAGAAGGCTTATGTGTGCCAATCAAAAATGTATAGCCTCGCTCCATACCAGAAGGAATCGCAGCTTTGCAACTATTATCCAGGGCAGAAGCACGGGATCTCTTTCTTCCGATATATTTTTGAGGAATAGAGATGCAAGAAACTTCATACTGCAATGTTACTCGTTGAATTTCATAGATTTCGCAGCATTGAGATGATACTGACTTGACCCCAAGAATAGACAGGAAACAAGGGTTAGACGTAGAGACAACTATCAGATTTTTACCAACTGCGCCCAAGCTGATACTGACATTTTCTGGAAACCAAGAGGAGAAAATTGGTGAAGAAACTTGAATACCATCAGAATGAGCATCCATGGTGGGCATGCACAGCCTTATTGCATCTTGGTGAATCTGAACCAACAAACCATCGGCAACAAGCCCACATGCCAAGGTGCAAACATCAGGCTGGAAACCAACTGAATCAGTGACATCTTTAAAACTTAGACCAACTGATAAAACCCTGGTCTCCTCAACGAATGACAGAACAAGAAATGAATGGTACACATCAGTAAGCTTCATTTTAACAGTCCAGGTACCAGTTATTCCTTGATAAACAGGCGCCGTTTTCAGAAGTTTTTCTACACTAATGCCACTACAAATAATTCTTAAAGAGCCTTCAGGCGTTACACCACAGCAAGCAAACATTTGGTCTCGTTTCTCATTTTGGTCATCCACAACCGAGAAATCCAAGATAGGAGCAATGTTTTGTATGGAACTCATCCAATGTAGCTTCTCAGTTCCCAATTTGAAAACTGTTCCATCCGCCATTTCAGCAAAAGCAGCCAGAAATCCACCTTCGACCCATAAAATTTCCTTGCATGGTGAACCTTTGTATAAACACTCTGATAGATTAACTTGTACCCCATCATCTTCATATATGAGTTCAAACATGAAAAATTCACCATCATCTAAGCAAATAATCATCCGGGGATTACGATTATTTTCCGGCTCCCAAGACCATGAAGAGACATGCTTAGAACTCAACTTTCCAATGTCACTTTCGGAATCTATGAACATGGGATCATAATCCTTGAGCTCTAACAAAGCACATGCAGCAACATTAAAAAGACCTTCATCATCTCCATCGTGTACTCTACACGACTCTTCAACAAAATGCTCTTCCACTAATGAAGCAGGAGCAAGATCTAGAGATGTCTTAAACAAACAGTGAGGGTTTTGAGGATCTCTAAGATCCATTAAGAGCACATCACCAATCCGTAACAGAAAGGCAAATCCAGTGGAGTGAGGAACTTCGACAATACTCTGTGCTAGACCCCCAGCTTCGACATACTCTGATATTAAACGTATGGATTTCTCTTTGACAGTCCATCTATACAAAACAAGCTCATTCAAGATAGACCCTTTCCTATAAAATCAGAAAATAGTGACGTAAGGAACCCTGGGATGGCAGTCCCTCTTATGGAGCAAGCATAATAACGTAAAACAAATTGCAAAGATTCCATACCTATTTAAAACAACGGCAAGAACAGGATCATACTCCTGGGATTCATTAAAACCCTTCGAAATGAAACACATGCTCCAAATAGTACCAGATATTGCTTGGACAGAGCTGCCATTCCCTCCGTCTTCAGAAGGATAACAAATTTTCTAAATTTACAGAAATTAAATACAGTTACAGCAACTCTATCTATGTCACTCATGCCACGATCAAAAGGCAGCCCTCATATCTACTGAAGTTACAAGATGCTCCAGAAGTTGGTGACAGAAATTAATACCTCATTATTAATATCACGCATATACGATGTTGAGAGGGGAAAAAGAGAGAATTGATCATGATACGCACTGACAGCAAGAAAGAGACCACTGCAATATGCATTGCATGAGTCAATATTAAAGGTGTGGCTTAAAAACATGAACGCTCCAAGCAAGTAACCATCATTCTAAGAGTATTATCTAAAGTAATAAAAGCATGGTTTACAGAAACTAGTATGAAAACTTGCCTGGAATCTACAGTGAGCATTCTTCCAATTTGCATCCTTGAGTTCCCAGGACTAGAAAGTCTAACATGTTGTATGGGCGAAAACCTACACAAAACGGCAGTGAAATGAGAAAGGTGACATGAGGATCTGGGGATAAATAATAAGAGAACAGAGGAAGGAACCTGTGCATTTCATTGTGAAATGAGAGAAATGAGAGATTTCCAGAATCAGAAAGAACAGCCAAAAGGTCTTTTCCCATCTACAAAAGATAGCACAGATGGTTATCAGTAAAATCCCTGGTCTAATTAAACTGTACTCTACATGGAAAATGCTTACCTGAAAACTATTCGAACATAGTTTATTACTCTGAGGTACGACAGCCAAATCCGTAATTGTTCCAAATACATTCTGCTCACACACCGATTCAACAATCCCGTCTTCACCGATAACCACCAATTCTATGCAGGTCTCCTGGTGTGAGAAAAATTTGCATTCTAGTTACTGACTAAGCAACAAAATTTAATATAGCATATTATATTTGGCACGCACGAATTGCTCCAGGTCAAAGTTTTCCCACAAACACATAACATAATCCTAGAGCCATGACGCCTGAGTCTTTTAACTCATAGGATCAAACTAAAAGAGAAAACTTAACAGGATATATGATTCCTGCTAGGCAAAAGCAACCATACTAAAAAAAGAAAGTTTTGAAAACTCAGAAGGAAGAGTCAGAGAAAGAAAAACAATGAATTTCAAGCTAGGACCAGAAAATTTCCTGAATTTATAAGACTGAGTGGATTTCTGCTCTGCATATAAGAATCCTGCTAACTATACATCTAATTAAAAACAAAAATCTGCAGTCTTTTATAATATCCTGATGCAGCTACCAAGTTGTAACCACAAGAAAGCATCCAAATTTTACTCTTTTCACAATACCCTCAACTTCAAACAAGTGCAGATTCCTGAGTGGCAAATCAACTTCACAAAAACCCAATCCCTAAAAGAGAACGAATTCTCCACAGAAAACAAAACAGAATCCAAACCAAAGCAGAGATTCGAGGAAAGCCGGACCTTGCCGAAAACGATGTCGCGGGAGGAACGGGAGCGGAAGTAGCCATAAGCAACCTGGAGAACGACGCTGGGGCGGAGGACGCACTTAGCGAGGTAATGATCACCGGCGGAGGAAGGGGAAGACGACGGAGGAGTGGGAGCAGCCGTGGCAGAGGATGATTGAGACTGAGCGGAAGATTCATCCTCCGGAGCCGCCATCATCAATCAAAGGAATCGGCAAGGGTCGTGCTTTGCTTTGCTTTGTTTTGTTTCAAGTTTCTCTCTTTCTCGGTAGATTAAAACTTAAAAAGGGAAAATTTTGCAGTGACACTATTCAATTATTAAAATCAGTTTATTCATACATAAAAGTTAATAATCCCTTATATATAGGAGTATATTTTAACTGCCATTAACATAATACCCTGATTTGATAAGATATAGCAGTTTGATAAGATAGCAATACAAACAAATCCAACCGGTCTAATGATTTGTGTTAGTGTCACAACTTATATCGGTCGTATACAAGTATGAATGAATTGTATACGAATACGGAAAGATGTAGCATTTTTAGAACACAGAGACAGAAAACAATCATGAGGTGCACTGAATGCAGCTACTGTATGGCAAACATCGTGTTACCACCACTTACCACATTCCACTCGTATGCTTTTGTGGCGTAGATTATGTTTAATTCGCCGAATCATCAAATCTCATCAGCCACGTCTCGCTCCAAATAGTATTAACCGACTCAATATCCGACAGCCGATTTATTTCTTGAGCTAGATATAGATATTGACCATCGTCCTCTTCTGTTATCTGTATTTTTATGATTGTTTGTCCTCTCACTTAACATGGTTTATTAGCAAAAATCTATAATCCCAACAAATCTCTTTCAAAATTCCGGATTGACAAAGACATTTCTAAAGCTGAAATGGGAGTATATGGAAAATGTTCCTCACAATTACATTATGTAGGTAACTTTACCTAGTAACCAGATCAAAAGTCGATTTTGTTGGATCTTCTTTAATTCGGGATCAAGATTAATGAAGGGCAATTTAGGTATTCTCAATTGTGAGATACACCATTTATCAATTTATCACTGTCCGAATTACAGGTCGTTGTAAGAAACCAGTAAAATTAAGAAGAGGCGACCAAGTTGTGGTAAAAGAAAAAGAGACCCGATTATTGCGCCAAAACCAGAGGTGTCTCCCTCTCTCTTTCCCTCTTTCTCCATTTCCATTCTTCTTCTCATTCTTGTGATATTCGGATTTCCTTCCAGCCTCTGTTACTTCCTGCTGCGATTTATCCCTGTCTCTGTCTGTTTACGACACGAATCCGATGGTAACTTTTGTTCCTTTGTTTCTTATACATTCCTTTTATCAATCCAACAGTTGAATTCGATTTGCTACATGACCCAATTTTGAATCTTTCATCCGTATTATCTGTGAATTTCTTGATCGTAATGGTTGCTACGATCGGATTGAAGAGTTGTCTCGTCTGAATTTTATACCGGATCAGTTCCGTAATCAAAATCTATTGATTCGTTGGATCAGAAATTTCAGGGCAAAAAAAAAGTAGAGACTTTGCTTTAGGGTGTTTATGTGTCTAATCTCAATCCTTTGCATTATTCAATCTGATAAAAATCTGATCTTTACTCATTTCGCATGTTGTCCCTGCAGATGATTTCCGATACACCGATGGATCCTCCATCGTCAGACGTGGACAAAATCGAAGACCAGAAAGAGAACGGACCTTCTTTCCACTGCGATCTCTACGACACAGAAGTAGTCCACAAGATAGCTCAGTTCTTCCTCCCCGGGCTCGCCACCGCTTGTGTCGACAACACAACCGGAGACATCTTCCGTAGCCCAGGCTCCGTCGCCGCCGTCGTCAGAAAAGAAATGATCGAGTACCTCACTCGGAGAAGCGAGAGCTTCGTCGCTGAACACATTGTTCTCCAAGGCGGTGGCTCAGAAACAGAAGCTTCTCACGTTCCTTACGACATCATATCAGACTTCATCGACGACTTCGCAACCTCCAAGAGAAACCTCTTCAGCCGAGTCTCCGGCTGGTTGCTTAGCGAGAGGAGAGAAGACAACATCGACGACTTCGCGCAGGAGATGGAGATAAGCGGCTTCTGGTTAACGGATCACAGAGAAGCCATCGCACAGACATTGCTTAAAAACGTCGACTTCAAAAACGCTTCTCATTGCGAGATGAAGTTTCAGACGGAGAGAGAACTCTCCGAGCATGCTTTGACTTGCGGTTATAGAACGATGAACTGTGATAACGAAGGTTGCAACGCGGTCTTCTGCGCGAACCAGTTTGAGAATCACGACAAGGTTTGTCCGTTCAAGATCATTCCGTGTGAGCAGAACTGCTCGGAGAGTATCATGAGACGTGAGATGGATAGGCATTGTATCACTGTGTGTCCTATGAAGCTTGTCAACTGTCCGTTTCATGTCGTTGGTTGTCTCTCCGATGTGCATCAGTGTGAGGTCCAGCAGCATCATTTGGATAATGTCAGCTCTCATTTGATGTATATTCTCCGGAGCATCTACAAGGAAGCGTCTCTTCATGATCTCAAACCTCGAGCGGAACAGATACAACAGGTGAAAATGTCACATTTTTATTCAATCTTTCTGAGTAAAGTTTTGATTTTTTTTTGCTTTGTGTGTTGCAGTTGTCTAGTCGGTTGTCTGAAGCCAAGAATGCAAGATCGCTGACTAATATGGTTAAGGAGATTGATGCAAAGCTGGGGCCTTTAGAGATCAAACCAAAGAATGTTAGTGACTCAGAGTCTGATAAACGTGAAAGTACAGAAGAGAGAGCTTTGGAAGAAGGTGAAAGGAAAGAGAAAGAAGAGACGAGTGGGTTAAAGATTGATTCATTGGAGGAAACGGCGAGGGAAGCAGAGGTTTTAGTAGACAATGTGATGGTGGAAGAATCTGTGGGGAAAGTTTCAGAAGCTGAGATAGCAGAGAATGTTAACGAAGAAGGCGAAATGAAAGCTCAAAAGCTTTTGGAAATAGGGGATTTCAGCAAGGAAGAAGACAACAGCTCTGCGTCTGATTTGTCAGAGAGAACTGAAACCAAAGCTCCAGAAGTTGTGGTCATGGATGAAGATAGAGAGGAAGAGGAGGAGGAGGAGAGTGCAGAGACAAAAGACTTAAGAACAAGTGAAACCAGAGGTTTAGAGATTGAAGCCAATGACGTGATTGATGAAGAGAATAGAGAGACAGATAAATCAACCGAAGCTCCGTCAAGAAAAGCGATGGACAAGGAGGAGGATGAAGAAGGAACAGAGACAGTGAGTTTAAAGGCTCAAATTTCTGATGAAGCTGAAGCATTGTCAAAGAGCATAGAAGGATTTTCTGTTGAGCAAGCTAAAACCGAACCCAATATGTCTTGACATCTTTTTTTTTTTTTTTTAACTTAACATGGAGTGTTTTTTTTGTTCCTTTGAACCAGATTTTGTTTGTTTTGTAACTTTTGTTGTCTTTCTGAAAATAATTAACCTCTTGCTAATTTTGTTGAGTCATCATTAAAATGTAATCACAGTTGATTATGATTTTCAGTTTTGTATTACATAAGCAAAATGAGAGTTGAAAATAACATAAGCAATGATGCACTCACACTTGGGTTACTAAACAGACAAGGAAAAAAAATATGTAAGGCAACTTAAAAGTTTAAAAACATCTTCAGCCACCACCACATCTGTTCCTTTGTTCCGTAGAATTTCAGCAACATAGCCACAACGGATGACTAATTGATATAGGGTTGTTTCATCGCCACTTAAAAAGACAAGAAAATATTGGTTAGCAATAGCATCAATCAAAAAAGTAAAACTGCAATTCCAGTATGAGTAAAAAGTACACTAACCAATTCTGGATTGAAGGACTTGTCCATGGGAAAATATTAGATTCAAACATCTACGAAGCTGATATATGTATGCAAAATACTTACTTCTCGTAATGGATTATCCATCAGCTCGTCTATGTTTCCTCCAAATGGGCGCCAATCGAGTTGCAAGAAATGGAAATCTCTTTGCAACCAATGAAGACGCTCACCATCGAAAAGCCCACATTTTAAAGTCATTCTCAGGTGTCTTCAACTCAGAGAATAGAGCCTCTGCTTCTAAGTGGTTAGCTTTGAAAACTTTCCATTCATAGAGTAAAAACTAACATCTGCTTTGGTTGGTAACCCACTTAGCAAAACAATAAAGTTTGACTAGCATACATCAAAAATATAATTTTATCAATTGGCTTTAGTGGTTACTTCTTATTATCTTGTTTAGATTATGAATTGGTTTAATTTCGTTGGAGAAAGTTTGTTTTTAAGTGATTAGTGAGCAATTCGATGCTCGTCCAACATGATCAACGATTAAGTCAAACACAAAAAATTTAAATGTTCATTTTTTGTGCTTTACCAAATCACAAACAATAAATACATTTGACTTTTATCATTGGTGGTTTTTCTAATTAAATGGAATGTAAACTTTGATACTCCTTTTAGTTTCAAATATAACTAGACTGGAAGGGGATAGAGAAGATATTCTACTACCTTATTTCACCAGCAGTGGATCCAAGGCTCAGATATTTGCTTTTGACAATTTTCCGAGTTGACTTTTTGGATGTAGAACCAACTGTTTTTTTCCACCCAACTGAAATCCTATAGAAAAAGTCAATTAGAACATCATCATCAACCCTGCTCAATATGTCTATAGAGCAAGCTAAAACCGTACCCAATAATATGTCTTAACATCTTCTTCTTTTTTTGGGTTTAAACTTAACATGTAGTGTTTTTTTTGTTCCTTTGAACCAGATTTTGTTTTTTTTGTAACTTTTGTTGTCTTTTTTTGTAACTTTTGTTGTCTTTCTGAAAATAATTAACCTTGTTAAATTATTTGAGTCATCATCAAAATGTAATCCAAAATTAACCTTGTTAGTACAAATTTTTTATTTTAGATCATAGCGATTCTTTTTGGTGGAACTGAGATAGTGGCCAAAGTTTTTAGTTTCCTTTTTTTAGGAACAAACTCGATATTCTAATCTTTGATCACAATTTTTTTTTATCAACATGACAAATGTAATAAGAAGCCTGTCAAATTAACCGCAAACAATAATGAATCCACTTAAATTCATTTTACTTTCGTTTTTGTTAGGTAAATACATTGAAACAGAAAAAATAAATGAAAACAATTGCAGAAAAGTTACAACTTCCTCTCTCTCTTTTTTTCAGCACAGAAAAGTCTTTTTGTGTTGAGAGAGTCTTCATCTATAATTTGAGAGCTCTACGTAAATTTGAGGCCATATACGTTTATCTCAAGCATTTGTATTACTTTATACTTTTTGTAGATCTGGTTTTCTTTTGGCTTATGAAAGACTCTCATCTGACCGAATTAACCGAAATCCATTAAACCCAAAATAAAATAAAATTCGATTTTTTCTTCTGACCAAAAGAAGAAAGAGAATCAAACAAAGTAAAACCGAACCGGAAAGATGACTGGACTGGACACAACACAACTATACAAGTCAACTTCAGTGTCCTGGTCCTACACAGTTCTGTAGCAAAGTGCCATCTCGTTTGGTCGTGCAAAAGAAAGTAGAGTAGTAGAGTAAGAGTGTGGCTGGCTATTAGTGGCATCAATCAATGGAGTTCTCGATCTCTCAATCACCGCGTCTTCGGTTCTCGCCTCGTTTCTTAGTAGCTTCTCATCCTTCGTCGCATTTAGCTGGGAAATTTATAAGTCGTCCTATAGATGTTGCCTCCACGGGCTTATCAACTTCGAGAATGCGGTCGAAATTTGTTTCAACTAATTATAGAAAGATCTCGATCCGGGTATCCTTTCATTTGTGGTTTCTCCTTTTTAGCTTGGTTTGACTTTTTTTGTAGAAATGAGTTTTTTTTTTTTTTTTTTTTCTTTTGACAACTTAGTAGAAATGAGTTTCAGGTGAACTTTCTAGTCATATGGGTTCCAAAATGGGTCAAAATGGGTCAAAATGGGTTTCAGAGTTTTCTCAAAGTTTTTTTCTCTTGTTTTTTTACCCAAAGTTAGAAGGTTTCAAGAATTGTTTGTATTCAATTAATTTGGGGGTGGGGTGGTGGTAGGAGGTTTTTGAGCTACATGGACCTACAATCACATTTTTTCCACATGTTTTGTTTTGCAATATATATATTGTTCTTATTTCTGCAATTTGAAGCTTGATTGCTAAAAGCTAGAATCTTAAAAATGTTTCGGAATTTGCTAAAAACTTTTTTTGTTTTTGACAAGACAAGTTAGAGAAGATTTGGCTAGGTACTATTAAATTTTTGTGCTAGAAGGGTTTAGCTCCCATAATCAACAAAGTTTTGATAACTTAGGTGTAGCAAGATCGGGAAAAAACGGTGATTGTTTGTGGTAGAAGTCTCTAGTATTTATTCATTTTGAACATCTTATTTAGCTACCTTTTTTTTTTTTGGGGTCAACTATTTAGCTACCTTAAGACTTGTTTCGTTTATACACTATTATTCTTCAGTTTCAGTTAAAAGTGTTTGTGCGTTTTTAAGGCTCTTTTCAATGGCACTCACAAACGTAGATACTACCAGGCATGTTCTCAGGTTGATGCTCCTGGTTCCGATCCATTTCTGGATAAAGTTGCGCATTTCCAAAATACATGCTGGAGATTTCTTAGGCCCCATACGATCCATGGAACAGCTTTAGGATCCACGTACGTTATAATACTGAATTTATGAAAGTCTCCATATTCCTTGGTCTCATTTACCTTGACTGTGATTTTTCAATGGCAGTGCCTTGGTGGCAAGAGCTTTGATAGGGAACACTCATCTGATAAAACGGAGTCTCGTACTCAAGGCACTTTCAGGTCTTCTTGCTGTTATATGTGGAAATGGCTATATAGTTGGCATCAATCAGATCTATGACATTGGAATTGACAAGTATGTGGCACCATTAGATCATATACTTATATTGGTCACCATTATTATTTTATCTGGCATTTGAGCAATGATTTTAATCCAACTTATTATTGTTTGAATTTGGAATCATCTGTCTTGCAGAGTGAACAAGCCATACTTGCCGATAGCAGCAGGAGATCTCTCAGTTCGGTCTGCATGGTTGTTGGTGATATTTTTTGCAATTGCAGGGCTGTTGAATGCATTGCATGCCTTTGATCCATTCATTACAAGCCTATACTGTCTTGGCCTTTTCCTGGGAACCATCTACTCTGTTCCACCGTTTAGAATGAAAAGATTTCCAGTTGCAGCATTTCTTATTATTGCCACGGTTGGCTTCACAATTTGATCATTCAAGTAAGATGACCCTATGTAGCATATAGTAACATGTCTTGTGTATCTACATGTCCTTATCAGGTACGAGGTTTCCTGCTGAATTTTGGTGTGTACCATGCTACAAGAGCTGCTCTTGGACTTCCGTTTCAGTGGAGGTTAGTAGTCGTCTGCTCAATACTTATCATGTAGGGTCGAAATAATGAGATAAAATTTTGCATGCTTGTATGAATGTAATATTATCTTTGATTTTCATCATAACATAATGGAGCATATATAGATTACTCAACTCTCTATCTGAAATTTGCAGTGCGCCTGTGGCTTTCATCACGTCTTTTGTGAAATTGTTTGCACTGGTCATTGCTATTACAAAAGATCTTCCTGATGTTGAAGGAGATCGCAAGTAAGTGAACTGCGTATATAACATTGCAATGGAACATATATCCTCAGCATCCATTTTACTATCCTGGTTGTATTTATGCTTATTTAACCAACCATACCTGATTCCTTACATAGGCCATAGCAGAGGAGGTTGTATTTCTAAGTTGTAGTGTCATCAATCTTCTTTTGGATTGATTTTGAATAGGTTCCAAATATCAACACTAGCAACAAAGCTTGGAGTGAGGAACATTGCATTCCTCGGTTCTGGACTTCTGCTGGTGAACTATATTTCTGCCATATCACTAGCTTTCTACATGCCTCAGGTGACACACATCTCTCCCTCCAAATTCTCACCAACTCTTTCGGTTATGAACACCATTACTACATTTATTATCTTGATAAATTGTTTCCACAAAACTTACTCGGTATGCAGCTTTGAAACACCAACCCTCTATCCTTAAACATTTGACAGGTTTTTAGAGGTGGCTTGATGATTCCTGCACATATGATCTTGGCTTTTATACTTGATTTTCCAGGTAATGCATCCCAAAATAGTACTCTTATGTATCTAAGCTGAGATAATATCCCAAAGCTCCATAATATTTCACTGCCATATTCATCAATTTTAATATCGTTTTTGTTCTTCTTTTGTAGACATTGGTGCTAGACAAAGCAAACTACACAAAGGTAAAATACCATCAATTTCCTATCACGAAACAATTTAAGAAGAACATGAGGATGATGATGATGAATGGAGTGTGTATCTAATGTGATATAGGATTTTTTTTTTATTATTATTGCAGGAAGCTATTGGAGGATATTACCGGTTTATATGGAATCTCTTCTACGCTGAGTATTTGTTATTCCCTTTCTTCTAGCATCTAATGTGAACATTTGCAGTTTTGCTTCGTATATTTTGGCGTGAAAATCAGTTTGTTCATGTAAACACTAAGAGGATTTATGTTGTTTTGAATTTTGATATCTTGCAATAAGAATGCGTGTAACACAAGCCTTGTGAGTTTCATCAATAACTAGCGCTCAAACCGTAAAAGAATAGATCAGAGAGTCTCTACAAATGTTGATATATATCTGAATTTTTGTTTCCTAATGACATGAATGATGACGAGAATAGAGAGACAAGGAAATAAACCGAAGCTCCATCAAGAATAGTACTCAGAGATAAGGAGAAGTAGGAACAGAGACTGTGATGAAGCTGAGAAGCAGTGTCAAAGAGCTCAGAAGGATTTGCTACAGAACAAGTGCTACTTTTCTTTTTCAAAAGAAGCTAGTTGGTTTTAAGATATGAAGCACTTGAAAATAACTAACAAGTTTTGTAGTTTTTCCTTATATTCTCAGGCCTTAATCGCCCTAGTCCACACTCTACTTAGGCTCGTTTTTTCAGGATGCTTCAAAGCCTCGTCTATGCTTCCTCCGTATGGGCGCCATTCCAACTGTAACCATGAAACAGACACATTTATATGATTAGGGAAATGAGAGACACCACATTTTCCAAGTATACTCATATATATACCTGTAAGAGACAGTGGTCTCTATGTGACCAGTACAGAAACTCTCCCTTAAAGTTCCACATCTTAAACCCCTTTTCATGCTCCTCCTCAGGCTCTTCCTCCATATCCTGGGCTATAAATGCGGTTGATACATACCTAGAAAGAAGTAAAACTAAAATGATCATTTTCTAGAACAAGGGAAAACATAATGGTTAATGCAAAATTGTGTGGTTGTACCTTCCAGTTGGGTCCCATGCGACGTCGGTGGCCTTCAAGTGTATAGCGGTTCCCAAAGTCTCCATAGCATCGACGCTAAAAAACTCAAGACTGCCACTGAACCTCTTCAATCCAGCTAAAACGATGTGCATGCCTCTGGGCGACCAAAACAGGGCATCGGCTTCCTTAGCCTCCAAAGTGATTAGCTTTGAAACCTTTCCAAGGTTCTCGGCTGTCTTCATAGAGTAGATGCTCACATCTGGCTTTGGTTGGTCACCGTGAATCACGGCGAACCTGTCACCATTGGGCTCCCATGCGAAATCAAGCATGTTGTCAACCTTAAGAAGGTCCATGGGAGTATCACCTCCATCTTTGATGCGGAAAAGTTCAAATCCAGAGTCAACTTTGATAGCGAGATACTCTCCATCGCCCTGCCAGTACATCTTGCACTCGGTAACACTGAAAATAGTCTTATGCCTCAGCTTCACATCGTTAGGGATTATTACCACAAGAGCAACCTGGACAAATCATATTTTTACGACACCAATGCAAATCACAGATTCCAACTTAATTAAAAAAAAAGAAATAAAAGAGCATACCTTGGGAGACTGTTGTTTCCCATCCCCTTTTATCATTGCAAGAATGGAGTCCGTAGGAGACCAAGACATGCCAACAACATGATCAACATTCAATATTGGCTTCATGTCTGACAGGCATAAACTGTCTGTTTCAGAGACATTCGTTAAGCTAGCAGTATCATAAACAGATACAGTTTTTTTGCTCAACATGAAAAAATATTTATCATCTTTTCCACCACCCCATCCAATCACAGGCCCTGAGGCGTCATCACCTCTTCCTTTTAACAACAACCTCCCACTTGTCACTTCAAAAAGTTTGAAGTCGACTTCCTGCAAATCAGAATACTCTTTTAAGTCAAATTTGGACATGTAAAATGAGACTTGAAAAATAACACAAGCAATGATGCACTCACACTTGGGTTACTTGGCCCTGATCTTCTGTAGGTTACCAAGTATTTTTCACCTGGAGAGAAATCAACTTCTTCTACCTTCAATAACAAAAAAAAACGCCACCTTCAGTTGTACAGAGAAGAAACAACAAAAAAAAAAAAAAACAGAACCAAGTATTTTCTCAAATACGTACCATAGAATGCATAAAATACATGAGACGATTAAAGGTGGTATCAGCTCCACCCCAAGCAACTACTCCATGCTTGGTCAGTGTCGCAATGTATGTACCTAATGGAGACCACTTCACATTCATGTCGTTCCACGACTGCATAGGACGAGTAACAACATTAGCATTTCACACACAATGGTACTACTAAACAGACGGGAAACAAACAACAATATGTAACGCAGCTTACAAGCTTAAAAACATCTTCAGGCACCACCACATCTGTTCCTTCGTTCTGTAGAATTTCAGCAACATAGCCACAGCGGATGACTAATTGAAATAGGGCTGTTTCATCAGTACGCCACTTAAAAAAGACAATAAAATATTGGTTAGCAATAGCATCAATCAAAAAGTAAAACTCAGTACGAGGAAAAAGGTCCACTTACCAGTTCTGGATCGAAGGACTTGTCCATGGGAATCTCCTGCACGGGAACCAGATGCAAATATCAGATTCAAACAAACATCTAAGAAGCTGATATGAAAGAAAAATACTTACTTCTCGTAATGGATTCTCAATCAGCTCGTCTATGTTTCCTCCATATGGGCGCCAATCGAGTTGTAAGAGATGGGAATCTCTTTGTAACCAATGAAGACGCTCACCGTCGAAAGCCCACATTTTAAAGCCATTCTCAGGTGTCTTCAACTCATCATAATCAATAGTATCGGTTATCAAAGCGGTAGTCACAAAGTTTCCCGTAGCATTCCAGGCAACATTGGTGGCTTTGACATGTATATCCGTTGCCATGATCTGCAAGGTATCTAAGTTGAAGAACGTGAGCTTCCCATTGAAGCTCTTCAACCCAGAGAGTACTATGTACTTCCCTCTGGGTGACCAGAAGAGAGCATCCACTTCGCTGGCTGTCAAAGAGATTAGCTTTGACAACTTTCCTCCTTTCATGGAGTAGAAACTCACATCTGGTGGATGATCACCGTGAATAACAGCAAACCTGTCGCCATTGGGTTCCCATGCGAAAGCATGCATCTTCTTCTCATTGAGAACATCTCCTCCTCCATCTTTGATCCTCAAAAGCTTAAATCCAATGTCGACTTTGACAGCAAGATACTCTCCATTGCTCTGCCAGTACAACTTGCATTCCTCAACACTGAAAAGATTCTTGTGCCTCAGCTCCACCTTGCTAGGGATTTCCACAAGCACAACCTGGAAAATTTAAAATTTACAGCACCTCAATAACAGATTCCAACTGAACATAAGAAAAGAAATAAAAAGAACATATGTACCTTGGAAGACTGTTTTTTCCCATCACCTTTGATCAGAGCAAGGATGGAATCAGTAGGAGACCAACTCATCTCCACAACATGATCATCAAAGATTATTACCGGCCTAAAGTCTAATGAGCTGAAACAGTCAGTATCATACACAGAAACAGTGTTTTTGCTGAAGGTGGCAAAGTATTTATCATCTTTTCCACCAGCCCATCTGATCAGAGGCCATGAGACGCCAGCAGAACCACCACCACCTCCCATCAAAAATTCGCCAGTTTGCACTTCAAATATTTTTAATACGAGTTCCTGCAAAACGGTGGAAAAGCTTTACCTTTAGTGAAAATGACATGAAAATAAGAGTTGGAAAGAATGTAAACAAAGAAGCGCTCACACTAGGGTTGCTTGGCTCAGGTCGTTTGTACGTTACCAAGTATTTCTCGCCGGGAGAGAAATCAACTTGGTCTACCTTCAATAACAAATGTTAAAACTTCAGTCAGTCATAAGGAAACTAAAAAACACGATGACGGTTTATTTGCAATAAATAACATAAGAAAAAACAAACCGAAGAGTGACGATAAGACATGAGACGTCGTTTACGGCAGGTATCAGAGATATCCCAAATAACTACCCCGTCTGGTTCTATTGTCGCAAGGTATGTACCTAGAGGAGACCATTGCCCATTTCTAAAGTTCCAGTGCTGCATAGGAGGAGTAACGGCATTAGCATTAGTATGAAACATGGCACTAAACAGGTCAAGAAGCACAAAGAGACATATGTTAACTTACAAAGTTTAAAACACGCTTGGGCACAACACATGTTCTATCAACATTTAGAACTTCCACAATATGGAGACAACGGATGATTAACTGATCCAAAGTTGTTTCATCCGTACGCTACTTGGCAAAACAAGAAATTATTGGTTAACATTTGTCAAAAAGATAAATCCTATCTAGCTGAAAAAACAGTCAATTCGCTATCAAAGAAGAAAGATGCAAGGTATGAGGGAAAAAATAGACTTACTTCCACAGGATCGAAGGGTGTGTCCAGGGGATTGCGTTTCCTCTGAAAATTATGGAAGGTCGTGTCCTTGAGACTCTGTATCTCCTGCACAGAACAAAATTTATATGGGACAAATCTTAGCAAGTGTAGATACATGCATCTACCATATAATTTCACAACAATCGAGGGGTTACAGAACCAAGCTATACTGAAATATTTGATCAACTACGCAATAGTTGATGATACAAGTAACCTGAGGGGTCATAAAACGAAAATCATCCGAGGGCACTGTCATATTCTCCTGATTGTCTAATTCCTCGGAGACAGGGAGCTGATCGACTACAACTGTACCTTCTGTCGGGTCATTGCGACTTACAACAACAAAAAAACCATAAAAAAAAATTAGAAACCCTAGTGTACGTACGTACCACGTAAAAGACACTATATTCCGGTTTCTCACATCTCCGACAAACTTTGGAAAATGAAAAGAAAGAAGATACAAATAGAAAACCTCACCACTCAACCTTTTCGTTATGCGACATGATTTCGATACTTGTGACTCACACTCACTGAGAGAGAGAGAGAGAGAGAGAGAGGATGGCGCGAATCGCAATCACAAATGCTAGGTTTTCACAAGGACTATGTTTAACTCGTTGGGCTTGTGGCCCACATGTACAAGGATGAGAGGAAAAGTCACGTGACGAGATTTCAGACGAACTAGTTATGCAACAAAACTCTAAAATCAACTGAATCGTAGTTTGTGTTTAACCTTTCGAACCGGAATCGAAACCGAAATCTTACACAAGAAAATCGATTTATGTAGTAAACCGAGCGAGAAAGAATTAACCGATTTCTCACTAAACCAAAATAAAATTCATTTTGAATATTCTTCAAAAACCGAACCCGAAGGATTGACTGGCCGGTTGATGGGGTCAATTGAACAAATTAAAAAGTGTTAGCCTTCTATTGGTTATACATAAAGATTAAAGGAACCCAATTGCAAAACACCACCAGTAGAGATGCAGAAGAAAACAAATATTCTCGTGCAAAAGAAAGTGGCAGAGTAAGAAGAGTTTGTGTGGCATCAATCGAATCAATGGAGCTCTCGATCTCGCAATCACCGCGTCTTCGTTTCTCGCCTCGTTTTTTAGCTGCTTCTCATCATCATCATTCGTCGCATTTAGCTGGGAAGTTTATAAGTCGCTCTACAGATGTTGCCTTCACGAGCTTATCAACTTCGAGAATGCGGTCCAAATTTGTTTCAACTAACTATAGAAAAATCTCGATCCGGGTATGCTTTCATTCTTTGGCTCAACAAGCAAATTATCCTTTGCTTTGACTTTTAGTCAATCAACATGTCTCGAGATTTTCTTCAAAACTTGAAGATTTCTGGAATTGTCTCTATTCAATTAGCTGACAAAGCTTGTTGAGCTTAAAAAAAAAAACTGCAATTTAGGATTAGATGAATCACATATATTCTTCTGTAATGCTAAATCTAAAAGCTAGAACCTCACGAATGTTGCTCAGATTTTGCCTTTTCTTTGGTAAATTTTCTCGAAATTTCCGATTTTCACAAAAGAACGATTGGTATGTTGTATCTGGAACTGGGAAGCTCAGAAAGATTAAATCTTGTTTAGTCTTTTTGTGTGTTAATATGATATTTTCAATGGCACTCACAAAAGTGGATACTATCAGGCATGTTCTCAGGTTGGTGCAGCTGGATCGGATCCAGTTCTGGATAAAATTGCGCGTTTCCAAAATGCTTGCTGGAGATTTCTCAGGCCCCATACGATCCGTGGAACAGCTTTAGGATCCACGTACGTCAGTACATGTTGCATATTGATTTACAAGGAGAACTTCGGTTTCCTTGGACTCATTTAGCTTGAATGTGATTTTTTAATGGCAGTGCCTTGGTGGCAAGAGCATTGATAGAGAACACTCATCTCATAAAATGGAGCCTCGTACTCAAGGCACTCTCAGGTCTTCTTGCTCTTATATGTGGAAATGGTTATATTGTTGGCATCAATCAGATCTACGACATTGGAATTGACAAGTATGTGTAAAGTGTAAACCATTACAAATTTTTCGTTATTTTGGTGTCTTTAAGTCTTGAGAAAAAGATTCAGGTGTTACTAGATTCTGTATTGTTTGTTTCCTGCTCACATATTATTCATTTCTTAAAGTTTAAGCATATGATCACTTCATCCAAATCAGTACATCATTTAACTTGCTATTGTTTGAATTTGCAATCATCTGTTTTGCAGAGTGAACAAACCATACTTGCCAATAGCAGCAGGAGATCTCTCAGTGCAGTCTGCCTGGTTGTTGGTGGTGTTTTTTGCAGTTGCAGGGCTGTTGTTGTCGGATTCAACTTTGGTCCATTCATTACAAGCCTATACTCTCTTGGCCTTTTCCTGGGAACCATCTATTCTGTTCCACCATTTAGAATGAAAAGATTTCCAGTTGCAGCATTTCTTATTATTGCCACGGTAGGCTTCTCAATCTGATTATTCAACTATACCATATGTGATAGTTTCCATAGCTTGTAACTTCAAAATGGCTTATAACATGTCTGTGTATCTACATGTCCTTATCAGGTACGAGGTTTCCTTCTTAATTTTGGTGTGTACCATGCTACAAGAGCTGCTCTTGGACTTCCGTTTCAGTGGAGGTTAGTAGTCGTCTGCTCAATACTTATCAAGTAGGGTCGAAATAATGAGATGAAATTTTGCATGCTTGTATTGTAAAACATGTGGTCCCAAACATATATAGATTACTCAACTCTCTATCTGAAATTTGCAGTGCACCTGTGGCTTTCATCACGTCTTTTGTGACATTGTTTGCACTGGTCATTGCTATTACAAAAGATCTTCCTGATGTTGAAGGAGATCGCAAGTAAGTAACTGCGTATATACCATTGCATGGAACATATATCCTCAGCATCCCATTTTACTATCCTGGTTATATTTATGCTTACTTAACCAACCATACCTGATTCCTTATAGGCCATAGCAGAGGAGATTTTTTCTAAGTTGTAGTGTCATCATCTTCTTTTGATTATTGAATAGGTTCCAAATATCAACACTAGCAACAAAGCTTGGAGTGAGGAACATTGCATTCCTCGGTTCTGGACTTCTGCTGGTGAACTATATCTCTGCCATATCACTAGCTTTCTACATGCCTCAGGTGACACACATCTCTCCCTCCAAATTCGCATCACTCTTTCGGTTATTTTAAGCGTGAAACACCATATCCTTAACATTTGACAGGTTTTTAGAGGTAGCTTGATGATTCCTGCACATATGATCTTGGCTTCATCTTGATTTTCCAGGTAATGCATCCCAAGTCTGAGATAAAATATCCGAAATCTCCATAACTATATGCTTTATTTCACTGCCATATTCATCTGTCTAATATCGTTGTTGTTGTTCTTTTGTAGACATTGGTGCTAGAAAAAGCAAACTACACAAAGGTAAAATACATCAATTTCTTATCACGAAATGTTCAAGAAGAAGATGATGATGATCAATGGAGTGTGTATCTAATGGAATTTTTTTTAATTATTGCTGCAGGAAGCTATTGCAGGATATTACCGGTTTATATGGAATCTCTTCTACGCAGAGTATCTGTTATTCCCATTCTTCTAGCTTCTAGTGTGAACATTTGCAGTTTTGCTTTGTATATCTTGGAGTCAAAATCAGTTTGTTCATGTACATACTAAGAGGATATATGTTCTTTTGAATTTTGATATCTTGCAATAATAATTCCTTGTAACGCCAGCGGCCAGCCTTATGAGTTTGATCAGTAACTAGCTTAAACCGTAAAAAAGTATATATATCAGTCAAAATGTTGGGAAAGCTTAATTCGTTCTACAAATGTTGATGAATTATAAAACTGACCAATGTGATGTGAAATTGGTGACTATCCATCAAAAGTACAAAGTGTTGCCACCAACTTGTGATGGATATTATCTTCATCACTTAACATCTTATATATAATGGTTAGCGGGTCCATGTGATTATAAAACATCTTACCGAAGAGAACTATATATAAGATATAGCCATGTGATTTTAGGTCTAAAATTAGGGGGTTTAAACGGGCATGTTGTACAAAATCAGCTCGATTATAGAGATAATTTTAAAAGGTTTAAAAGGGTTGGCTCGTTTAGTCATGTTAACCAAATTGATTTGAACCCAGTTAAACTTGTATTTGTTATGGGCTATTTGGTGGATCCCATTACAAAGCCCAATTCTATAATGTTCTTACTTTATCTCCAAGTTGTACTTCTTCTCCAAGCTAAATCCTACTTGTATTCTTATATAAAAGATTCATTATTCATGCAATAAGAACACAACCAATTCCTCTTCTCTTGTTCTCCTTCTTACTATAACACGTTATCAACACGAGTTCTAGCCGTCTGAACTAGAAGAACAATGAATGGTGGAGATTTATGCTTGGCAGACAGTGCAACTAGTCACACTATTTTGAAAACTAAGAGATATTTCTCTCATTTGATAATGAAAGAAGCCAGTGTGAGCACTGTAATGGGTAGTGCAAATATAATTGAAGGCTCCGGAAGAGCATATATAGTATTGCCTATGGGAACAAAATTCGAAATTTCTGATGCGCTATACTCGCCTAAATCTAACAGAAATTTACTGAGTTTCAAAGATATTCGCAGAAATGGATATCATATTGAAACTATGAGTGAAGGAGATGTTGAATATCTTCATATCACAAGTAATACCCAAGGCTCTAAAAAGATTGTGGAAAGACTACCTGCTTTCTCCACTGGATTGTACCATACTAATATTAGTACAATCGAAGCAAATGTTGTAGTAAACCAGAAGTTTACTGAAAACTTTATCGTTTGGCATGACCGGTTAGGCCATCCCGGTACAACAATGATGCGAAAGATAATCACTAATTCGTGTGGACATTCATTACAGAACCAGAAGATTCTGCCTAATGACTTCACATGTGCTGCTTGTTCACAAGGCAAATTGATTATAAGGCCTTCACCAGCCAAGATAACCTCAGAATCAATCAATTTTCTGGAACGCATACAAGGAGATATTTGTGGACCGATTCACCCACCATGTGGAACCTTTAGATATTTTATGGTTCTAATTGACGCATCAACAAGATGGTCACATGTATCCTTGTTATCAACTCGCAACCTGGCGTTTGCGAGATTACTTGCTCAGTTGATTAGACTACGAGCACATTTTCCAGATTTCCTCTAAAGGCAATTCGACTTGATAATGCTGGTGAATTCACATCTCAAGCTTTTAATGATTATTGCATGTCAATTGGGATAAGTGTTGAACATCCTGTAGCTCATGTTCATACACAAAATGGTTTAGCTGAATCGTTAATAAAACGTCTCCAAATGATTGCTAGACCATTACTTATGAGATCCCAACTCCTGTCTCTGCTTGGGGACATGCCATATTGCATGCAGCAACACTAATTCGCATCAGGCCAACGAGTAATCATAAGTTCTCCCCATCACAATTGATACTGGGTCAAGAGCCAAATATATCCCATCTCAAAATTTTTGGATGTGCCGTATATGTCCCGATTGCTCCACCACAGCGTTCTAAAATGGGACCCCAGAGAAGGCTGGGTATATATGTTGGATATGATTCTCCATCAATCATTAAGTATCTAGAGCCATCCACAGGGGATCTATTTAAAGCTCGTTTTGCAGACTGTCATTTTAATGAATCAGTCTTTCCGACATTAGGGGGAGAAAGTAAACAGCTGGGAAAAGAACTTAGCTGGAATGAATTATCATTAAATTATCTTGATCCTCGGACTAAAGAATGTGAATTAGAAGTCCAAAAGATAATTCATTTACAGAATTTAGCAAATCAGTTGCCTGAAGCATTTGCTGACCCAAAAAGAGTGACTAAGTCACATATACCAGCTGAAAATGCTCCGATTAGAATCAATGTCTCAGAAGGACATAATCAAATTGCTACTGAGTCTAAGGCACGCCAGAAGCGTGGTAGACCTATTGGTTCCAAAGATAAAAATCCTCGAAAAAGAAAAGGAGCAGAAATTGGCACAAGTGAAATCGAGGAAACTATGAATGAAAAATCTCCAGAAGAGACTTTACACATGACAGAAATTCAGGTACCTGAGAATGAAGAGATCTCAACAAATTATGTCATGTCTGGAATAACATGGAACCGTAAGCAAATCGACGTCGATGAAATTTTTGCATACAATGTAGCAATTGATATTATGGATGAGGATCATGAACCAACATCTATTGCAGAGTGTACACAAAGAAATGATTGGCCAAAATGGAATGAAGCAATAGGTGCAGAAAGAACATCTCTTGGAAAGAGAGAAGTGTTTGGACCAGTAGTCCGATACCTAAAGGTGTCAAACCAGTAGGACACAGATGGATTTTTGTGAGAAAGAAGAACGAAAATGGTGAAATGAGATACAAAGTTCGCTTAGTTGCACAAGGTTTCTCACAAATTCCTGGAGTTGATTATGAAGAGACATACTCTCCTGTGGTGGATGCAACTACGTTCAGGTTCCTTATTACTTTGGCAATAAGAGAAGGACTTGACTTACGGCTGATGGATGTAGTAACAGCCTACCTGTACGGACCACTGGATATGATATTTACATGACAGTTCCAGAAGGATTCCCACTGCCTGAAGCAGTAAATCTGAATCCAGAAATCAATACTGCATAAAACTGAATCGATCTCTTTATGGATTGAAACAATCAGGGCGTATGTGGTATAACCGCCTTAGTGAGTATTTGTTAAAGGAAGGTTATAAAAACGACCCTGTTAGTCCATGTATCTTTATAAGAAGATTCTGGGCAAGGATTTGTCATTATTGCAGTATATGTTGATGATTTGAATATTATTGGAACTCCTGCAGAGATTTCATATACAGTGGACTATCTGAAGAAAGAATTTGAGATGAAGGATCTCGGAAAAACAAAATTTTGTTTGGGTTTGCAGATTGAACATCTTAAAGATGGAATTCTACTGCACCAGAAAACATACACAGAGAAAATCCTGAAAAGATTCTCTATGGATCAAGCGCACCCACTGAGCAGTCCAATGATTGTAAGGTCACTTGATGTGTTAAAGGACCCTTTCCGCCCTCGAGAAAACAATGAAGATGTTCTTGGTCCTGAAGTACCATACTTAAGTGCAATAGGGGCATTGATGTATCTTGCTAGTCACACAAGACCTGATATATCATTTGCAGTAAATCTATTGGCAAGATTTAGCTCATGTCCAACTCGAAGGCATTGGAATGGGATTAAACATATATTTCGTTACCTTCAAGGCACGAAAGATATGGGTCTTTTCTTCTCTAACACATGCAAGGAAGACTTAATTGGATTTGCTGATGCAGGATATTTATCTGATCCTCATAATGCTCGATCACAAACTGGATATGTGTTCACATGCGGAGGTACTGCTATTTCTTGGCGTTCTATGAAGCAGACTCTTGCAGCTACTTCTTCTAACCATGCAGAGATTTTAGCTATTCACGAAGCTAGTCGCGAGTGCGTGTGGTTAAGATCTGTAGTTCAACACATCCGAGAAGATTGTGGTCTTTCTACAGGAAAAGAAGCTCCAACGGTCATGTATGAAGACAATGCTGCATGTATCGCACAACTGAAGGATGGGTACATCAAAGGCGATAGAACGAAGCATATTCTACCAAAGTTCTTCTTCACCCATGAATTGCAGAAGAATGGTGATGTACGTGTTCTGCAGATTCGTTCAAGTGAAAATTTGGCGGACTTATTCACCAAGGCGCTTCCCACCACTACTTTCAAGAAGTTAACTCACATGATTGGATTGCGTCGTCTCAAAGATCTCAACGGATGTCTCATTAGGGGGAGTAACTGCGCGCTACACTCTTTTTCCCTTAACTATGGTTTTTCCCATTGGGTTTTCCTAGTAAGGTTTTTAATGAGGTAGCATCTTATGCGCGTTACAAGTTATCACATTTTAATGGACATCCAAGGGGGAGTGTTATGGGCTATTTAGTGGATGCCCATTACGAAGCCCAATTCTAGAATGTTCTTACTTTGTCCCCAAGTTGTACTTCTTCTCCAAGCTAAACCCTACTTGTATTCCTATATAAAGGATTCATTATTCATGGAATAAGAACACAACCAATTCCTCTTCTCTTGTTCTCCTTCTTACTATAACAGTATTTTATTTTTTTTCAGTTTTCTTATGAAAACAACTATGTTTTTCTGGTTTGTGCAGTTTCAATAATGGACTCTGTTTTTCCACACAAATCAAATGGTTGAGACTATTTGAAACAAAGATAAACCTGAAACATCTCGGATTTAGTTGTACAAAATCAATATAATTTTGATTTGAACTGTTTAGATATAATATCGGTATTTTTTGTTTCTTTAAAAGTTAAAACTTTGGATAAAGTAGAAAAAAACTTAAGACAATTTCTTAGAGCGTGTGTTTAGAGTTCGATCCTCGTTCAAATTAGTCTTCATTAGGTTCAAATATTGGAATCCTAAATTCCTCTGAACTTTGCTAGAAAAGTGTGTTTGTTTAAGCTATTAGTCAATAATCTCGAGTTTTATTATTTGGTTAGCTGTGAAATTATTTAAGTTTGGTCGTGGAAGAGGTATTTGCTACATGTTCTTCAATTTCTTACTCCTTGTTGTTAGGATAATGATGTTAAATTTCTCAAACGGGGTGGTGTATTCAATTTCTGAAACACATATGTTATGATATGTCCTAGATTTGCACCTATTAACGTTCATTAGTTATATAACTATCCATAAACCAAAGTTGAATCCAAAACTGTTTAACCCGTTTTAGAAGGGAAGTAGAATATGTAGCAAATAAACTAATTATATTAAAGTTGATAAGGGAAATAGATAAATGCAAAGTATATTATTTTGGTTTGGTTTAGTGATTTATCAATTAACAAACCTAATGAAAGTTTACGTCATACACAAAAAAAAGTATTATCACCTTAACTTATTAGTTACTAGAATTTGACCCGCGTTACGCTGCGGAGTGAGGTTATCATTTTATTTATATATATTTTTTTCTTATCAAATAATATAATTTTAATTTTATATAATAAACTTTAATTTTTATACTATTTAGTTAGATTTAAATATTTTATACAATTTTTTATGATTTGTAATAAATTCATAAATATTAGTATAAGATATTGTTCTATTAAGATTTATGAAAACAAAAAATATTTAGTTTTTGACAAAATATTGTCTTTACCGCCGTGGAAATTTATGTATCTTTTTATTTTTAGAAAAAAAAATTACATCGAATTTGTATTTCTAAACTTTTTATATATACTACAGTACTTTTTTTTAACACCTTCGAAATAGAAAAACTCAAACATTTCAACACCTTCACTTTTCGCAGAACAATTTTAGTATTTTTTTTATTTAACCACCAATTTGTTTTGATATCCTAAATTTTTAGTATACCATATTTATTATCTATTTAAATTTTGTTATCAATTTCAAATGAAAGAAGTTAAAATTTTAAAGAATTTATATTTTCACCTTTTTATTTACTGGTGAGATTGAGGCAATTAAGTTAATTAAACTTACATCTATTAAGCTAATAGAAAAACGCAAGGTGTGGTTAATGGTATTCTAACCTGCACTTCAATAGACGAAGAAAATGCGAACGCATAGACAATAAACTCTGCATCCATGGTCACCACCGTAACCTGTAATTCAAGAATAAAAATAAATAAACTAAAAGCAACACATTTGTGTGAACAGATTAATGCAACAAAGTAAGTTAAGCTCGTGTTTCGAATTCTACAGTTTTGAAGTCGATTATAAATTTTTCCACCTCAGTCTCTGTCCTAAGAAACCACGTCTCAAAATTTCAAAGCTTCTTCTTTTGTTTTTTGTATAAATCATTTGATAAACATGGTTGTTGATGGGAATATCACCAAGTTATAACAAGTTCATGCTTTACGATTTTGTGTTTCTTACTATTTAATTGCCATCAACGTGTACACATTTTCAGAATTATTTAACACTTCAAATCTTTCAACAATATTTTCGTTAACTCACACAAACGATTCAAGTAATGAATTTAATTTATAAATCGTAGAATAAGTGATGCACTTAGAATGATCAGATAACAGACGCAAAGCTTTTGAAACCAACTTAAACGCCTTTGTTGTGCCGCTAAACTTGTTCTTATCAGGATGAGGCAGAAGAGCTAACTTCTTGTATTGTTTCTTCCAAGCTACATCATCAGCTACATGATCTACACGGAGGTGTTGTTTTGGAGATCTTTCTTGCTATTCAGAGCATGAACGAACATCAAAGCTCCACGGCAATTGAAGACCCATTGAAAAAATCAGATAGCTGAAACTAACCAAAATCAAAACTACATTTCTTTTAGAGGTAAATTTATTTCTCCTAATTCTTCCAATTTCTCAACTATAACCCCGTAACTTTAGCTCCTAAATCCTCCAACTTCTCAGCTTTTATCCAAATTATCCGACATCTAAGGAAACAAAGCGAAGTTTGAGGGGAAATAAATCAACAGTGGATAGAATAAAAAACCAAATTGGTTAGAGCAACAAACAATAAGCACAAACCTAAGCTTCACAAAATAATCACAAAATCAAGAGGCATATTATAAAGCAGCATATCTACACTCAATAGCAAGACAAACCAATTCAATACTTTGTAAAATCTCTATATCACAAACAAATTCAACAAAAGAGGAACTTTTTCATTTCTTAAGGTGAACAGAAATTCTAAAAAGAAGACGAAACTTTAACCTGTCTATCATGAGAAACATGGCCTTTCTAGTATTCCTTGAAACATGAAACATATCACGGATCAAATACCAAGCTATGTTGAACTTTAGATGACTACCCAACACCCAGATCATCAAGTTACAAGCTTTCTGATCATCGCAGCCGCGTTTCTCGCCACATTTGAATGCCAGAAAGGATTGAATAAAAAATGAATGGAAGATACATGTATGGGATTGAGATTGCAGATTAATAAAGAATCGAGAAACTTCCGTCGCCGGTGAGATACTCGAGAACGGCGGCCTTGTAAACCGGAGCTCCAACACCGAGCCTCTGGGCGTAGAGTCATTTCGACCTCTGAAACAATTCTCCACTTTCTAACTTAGAGTTTACCATTGACCTTAGCTCCACACTTACAGTCAATCTCTGCAGCAACATACGCTGAATCCTTCTTCTCCTTCCCGAATTTCTTCTTCATAACTACACTAATTTCCTCTCTCTGGATCTGATTACGTGGAGAGAACACTGCCACACTCGGTTCAAGCTTCGATTTCGGATTCAGATTTATAGATTTTTATCGGAGTGAAAGAATCGATGAACAAAACAAGTTATCAATCGAAACGGCGGAGTTTGAGCGAGAGGAGAGAGATTTGCAAAGTGACGTGTTTAATTTTTTCAGCTGACTGGTATTATTTAAAATGTCTTGATTAGTTGTTGATTTTAAATGAGGTGTCAACTCTAGGATGCTTAAAAAATCCTAGGTGTCAACTCCTAAAGCAACACAAGAGATATTAGTATGTTGATTCCAGTGTATTAAGTACAAAATAAATTAGTGACAATTGTTTCCGAGTAAGATTTATACTTTCTCAATAGTTATAGATTGATTTGTAATTCTTGAAATAATTTAGGCCAAACATATTTAAAAAAAAAACAAATTTATGATTTGAGAGCATTCTAAAATCAAATTAAATAAATGAAAAGATGTTACTTATACCAAAGACAGAGTATCGTAGATATGATAAAACATAAAAGTTAACTGATATAAACACATATTATAATTTTTTATTACTATATAGTCCCGGGCAAGTTAACCAGCTAACCACAAACAAACCGTGGAACACATTAACCCGGTTCTTTACTGGATAAACAAAAATGGAAGCCCATTTTGGACAGCTCCATTAGAGCCCAAAACCCTAATCGCCATCTGTATATAAATTGCTCTTAGGGTTTTTTGTCCGTCCTCTTGAAGCTTTCACTTACATCTCTGCCGTCGTCTCTCTCACCCGCACGACGCTTAACGACCTCAGGTGATCGATCTCGTCCTCCCCAAAATTCCCTCTCATTACTCTCTTATCGTATTCACTGGTATTGACTCACACTCTGTTCCTCTCACAGCCATGGCCGCCGTCGCAGAAATTGACGCTGAGATTCAGCAGCAGCTTACCAACGAGGTCAAGCTCTTCAATCGATGGACCTTTGATGACGTTTCGGTAATTTCCTCATCGATTCATTCTCCTCTGCTTAATCCTTTCTCCTGCTTCGATTTGTGTATTCAATTTGCTTGGAATCTAGCCTTCCTTAATGCATTTCTCTCAGTAGATGCGATATGTGACTGCATTGGCTTCACTGTGTATGTCAATAAACAAATTGCAGTACTTTTCCAGAATCTAGCCATCATTTCTGTTTACAGTTTCGTGTAGAGATTCACATCTTTCACTGCTTATTTTGAGGTGTAGAGATTGTTTTGCTTGAGCTCAGTAGCTTAGTTTTTAGTCGCTAGATTCATTGGTATGAAATTTCTGTTGCAAGTCTATAAAGATTGGAACTTTAATTTAGTGTCATGAGGTGTGAGTCTTGTTTCTGTGAGTAACAATTGTTCATTTTTGATGTTGTAGGTGACAGACATCAGTCTTGTTGACTACATTGGAGTGCAGGCAGCTAAACATGCGACCTTTGTGCCCCACACCGCCGGAAGATACTCTGTGAAGAGATTCAGGAAGGCTCAGTGCCCCATTGTTGAGAGGCTCACAAACTCCCTCATGATGCACGGGAGAAACAACGGAAAGAAATTGATGGCTGTTGGGATTATCAAGCACGCCATGGAGATCATCCATCTCTTGAGTGACCAGAACCCAATTCAGGTCATCATCGATGCTATTGTCAACAGGTAATAATAAGCTTTGGGATTGCAATGGAGAGCATTTGTGATATCGTACAGTGTGATGAATGTTTTTCTCATGGTTGGTTATGTGATATTGGTTGAGACAGTGGTCCACGTGAAGATGCAACCAGAATTGGATCAGCTGGTGTTGTTAGGAGACAAGCTGTCGATATCTCTCCTCTGCGACGTGTTAACCAAGCTATCTTCTTGCTTACCACCGGTGCTCGTGAGGCTGCTTTCAGAAACATTAAGACTATTGCTGAGTGCCTTGCTGATGAATTGATCAACGCAGCCAAGGGCTCTTCCAACAGGTAAACACACTCTCCATTGAAGGGTTAATTATAGTTCCTGTGTATTGTTTAGTTTGCTAATAAATTACACTCTTTTTTTTTTTTATCTCTTGCAGCTATGCCATCAAGAAGAAGGATGAGATTGAAAGAGTCGCAAAGGCCAATCGTTAAGGATTTTCCTTTTCCCCAGAGGGTTACAATCTTATCAGTGAACTTGAATGTTTTATTTTCATTTTAGATTCGAAAATGTTTCAGATGTTTTGCTCTTTTGTCCTATGAAGTTTATCTCGTCTGAACTACTTTGAATAGATAAATTTTGATGTTTTAATCGATTTCACAACAGTTTATCCGCCTTTTTTTATAAACCTATCTGATCAACGATCAAAAGTGCCTAAAGTTTCTAATCAATTCTCATATGTAGAAATTTCATCAATTCGTTAGTGACACTGTATACAAACGAAATCGAAATTCGTTTATACAAATTTCATAAATAGTGACACTAATACAAACAAGATTCTTTAGTAATTATAAACTTAAACGTCCAACGATATGATTAGAAGACATCATACAATTATTAGGTGCACACAAGCAACAAACTACAAGCCGTCGCTTCATTACTCGAATTACAATACTTTTCAAGACACAACAAACAAAGTTTTCTTAATTATGTGTTACTAGAGTTATCCAATCCAAGTCGAACATTACCAAACACACACGTACGTACGGACACACTCGTTGTACAAGTTACTATTACCCAAACATATTGAAGTTGTTACTTGGTCATCTCCTTTGGTGGCTTCACAATAAGGATGGGACAGTTGGCGTGGTGAGCACAGTAATCGCTAACGCTTCCGATAAACGCTCTTTCCAAAACGCACAAGAGCAAAAACAAAATTGAAAAATCGGTTACAAATGTTTTGAGTTTGGTTTTAGAAGAAAGTAAAATGAAAAACATATACTATTATACCTTTTGATCTTGCCGAGGCCACGACTACCAACAATGAGAAGATCAACGTGCATTTGCTCCACCGCCTGGCAAATCATGTCCTTCGCGTCGCCTTCAAGCACCTTTGTTTCAACACGTATCTGTATGCTCCCACAAATAAGATTTTGTTAATTACGTTTGATGTCAAACATTACTGAAATGTACTTTTAGCTAGATGTATTATTCAATCAGTCATCAAAAGTTCCAATATTGTGTTATTTAATATTCCCTACGTGTCGTTTTAGGCTTATTAATTATTATGACTCATCTATATCAATAATGCTTGATAAAAAGCAATTCTGGTTATGAGATACTGATTAGATTCCAATTAGTTCTTTTAGACTTATTTTTTCTTAGCAAAAAAAAAATATAAAACTGAAAAGTATATTAACCTGTTTGGCTCGGCACATTTGGAGTGCACGCACGAGAAGTGCTGCAGAAGTCTCTTTCTGAGCTTTTTTCACTGACTCTATCACCGTCGAAGATGCGTAAACTGCTGTTGTGTGTAAAAAGCCAAGTTATTTCACCATACCACAAAATAAAATTGTTTCTTTCAATACCATATGACATCTGATTTTTTTTTTCTTTTTCGAAAAATTGATAAATTAAACAATACATCAATTTAGGGTGCAACAAATAAGAGAAAGAAAAGACATAGATAATCTAAAATGTAGATTAAGCCCAAATTCAAATGTTTATATATAGTGAACGAAACCAAACTAATCCGTCCTATTCTGTTGACAACATTCAAAGCCTTAAGATTTCTAATTACTATGACTGAGATTGCCTTAACTATATTTTATGATATGATTTTCTTTTTGAGATTCAAGAAAAAGGACTAAAAGAGAAGAGAGATAAAGATTAATGGACCGGACCTGTGGCGCCGCCGGGTCCAGCCGGAAAGGCAGCAAAGTGGTGGAACGGAGACTGGACATGAACCACCGTGAGCATGCCAACTTCAGCATCATCAGCCGCCGCAGTGGTCATCAAGAGGTTGGAGAAATGATCAATGACCCATTGGAGAGCGTAGAAGCTCACATCGCTCTCATCGATCGCAACCATCATCTTCTTCGTACTAGTCACACTCAAACTCAGTGCTTCGGCCTCTGTCATCGTCTCTGGCTGCTTCTCCACTGCCGATGTTTCCATAACCGCCGTTGCTTGATTCTCCGCCATTGATCTTAATGTTGTTTGATAGTTGTTTTAGTTAGATGATGTGAGCAAACTTGGTTTCATTTGCTAAGCTTTTTATATTGCATGTAAAGGATGATATGTCTTGGATAGCAGCGGACACGTGGCATGCATGGTTGAGATGTAACGTGCAATTGTAAGATATACATACCTTTATAATTTTTATTTGCTGGCATGCAATTTATTTTATTGTTTGGTAACTTTATGTTGATCAAAGGTTGTCTGCGATATGTTTTAGTGGTTTGTAATTGTTTGTTTGCTTATGATTTTTTGCTTTGATCGTGGCTATCTCTTTCTTGATCCTTTTACTTTTAAATCTAAACGCCACTCAACATAAAGAAAAAAGTGGGAATTAAAAGAAGCAGAAAGAAAATTCTAGTTGGATTTGAAGAGATAGAAAAGAAATGTTCGCTATTATTAGAAAACTGTTAAGCTAGTGTATCGTTTGATCAATTCAGATCATTTGTTTCTTTTTCTTTCTGAAAAACCACACGGTAAAAACATTAGCCTACTGTCTACATAATCGAGTTTTTAAAGTTTGTAGATGTAGAGTGGTTATCAGAGTAAAATGAAAGTTAAAAACTCGTTTCTCGAATTGGCTTGGAATTAAAAGGCTTCGCGCTACCAAAGATATGGTTAAAGTGAGAAAAGGAAGAAAGGGAGAAAGAAAAAGCAAAGCAAGAGGATGTTGATATGTTAATATAAAAAGCCTACTCTCATTTTCCAATCCAAAGAAAAGAAGAAGCTTCTTCTCCAACCACATAAACATAAAAGTGGCCTACTTGTCCATAGATACGAGAAAATCCACAAGACGTTATCGGAATAGAGGTTTCTTTCCCTAATTTTTGGATAACTGCTGCGTAGAAGAATTATGGTCATTAGTATCGGATACGCGCAGACGAAGCAGTATCATATCATCTTCGATTATTAATTAAAAGTCTAAAGAACAGAAAGTGATTTCTGTACCATTTACCAGTGAATCATGCATGAATCATAAAGAAAAACAGATGAGTTTTTAACTTTTAATACAGTATATTTATGGTATGGATCATAAGAGTTAAATGCTAATTCAACTGTTGATAGACCAATCATAGTCTTGGTAGACGATGTTAACAGAACCACATCCGTCAGCAAGAAGATGGGTTAAAAGACCTGCTGTGTTTGCATCTATATAACTCATTATCCACTTCAACAATTTCTTCTCTTCATTGAAATCCTCTTTGTACCTACATTGACCATAACAAAACATACTAGATTGAATATGCTCTAAATTATTATTGTAAAAATTTGACAAGTCTGGTTATTCAGTTTCCAATGTAGAAATTATTGTAATGAGAACTAATTACGTACCACTTGATGATTCTAGACAGGTGAATGGTTCTCTTGTCCAACACAATCTCAATTGCACCATGTTGGAAAAATTCTCTAGCTGCTCGTTTAAGCTCAGCTTCAACTCCTTGCGGTGTGAAAAACCTCACTACTGGACTTGACTTGGTCCCATCACAGAGCCCAAAATGTACCAATGGGTTCAGTTTTTGAAGACCATGCTGCCATTAAAGACCAGAAAATTAGGACACAAAACAAAACAAGACCAGAGTATATTAATTTCAGGTCTAATTAATTACCTCATGACCTGCATTCATAAACGGTTTACTAAATGGATACGACGACAGTCTGCGACCGCCTCGAAGGATGTCGTTCTTTATGGAGCTGAGGGAATAAGAATAGCCTCCTACGACATACTGAAAATCTGTGAAGAAAGATCTTCTTGCGATTATTCCCTCTGGACGTCCGATTCTGATCAAAGCATGGATCACCATTGCGTTGTACAAGTTCAAGAAAAATGCTAACTTCTCGTCTCGTGTGAGTTCGAGAAGATCCAACCGGTGAAGGTCTTGAGCCAAATTCAAGTACCTTCATAACCAAATTAGAATCAGTTAATGTCAATATAGACTTTACAAATATATGAACTACTTTTTAATACGGTTAAAATGATTTTGTAACAACAACAATAACTAGTTACTAGCCTTTTGGTCGAAAAAAAAAAAACATCAACGTTAACTAAAATCCACTTACTAATAAACCCTTTGCGAAACTATCTAGACTAGATTCTGTGTGCTTTAGAAGAAAAAAAATAATAATACTGTGGTTACAATATTGTCTAAATCTGAAAATTGAAACTTAAATTTGGATCGAACACTATCAAATCATAATCTTAGTCTTAGGCTCTTAGCTAATAAGAATTCTCCACGGATATAACTAAAGATATGTACCTTCGAAACTCCTCGCTCTGGCTGATTCTCATGTAATTAACGCGAGAATGGTCATCAGACGAATAAGACTCGATAATAGCACTCATGATCTTGAATAGCTTCTGCCCAACCATTGCTGCATTTGCCGGCTCCATGTCGTTCGTAGAGCCTCTAAAATTGTAACATTTCGAAATAAATGGCTCGTGCTCAAGAAAACGGTAGTAATGATTTCCATCCTCAAAGTCATTTTCCCTACCAAAATTTGAAAAAAATAACAAAAAAAGTTAGAAAAATCACACTCAATCAAGAAGTAAATTTACATAAAAAAATCCTTTACAAAATAATAAAAAGGAAGAAGATCTCTGTTACCCAAACACATGGTGGATAAAGTGTTTATTGGCTAGCCTCTTGCCAATTTCAACCGCCTACATAAGAACATAATCCAAATTATATAATGTGTTCATTATTTTCTGACTATTTAATTCTATCATGGTTCATGAGAAATTGGAACCAAAATGTTATTAGATATTAGTTTAAGCTTTTCAAACCAAATGTAAGTGGTGGTGGTCTACCTAAAGATAATATAGACGCGAAACACACGATTATAATTTGAAAATTCACGTGTACCTTCTCCCTCCCGCAATCCAAGTGACCAATGAGTATCTCGATCATCTCGCCGCCGGCGAAACAATTCTTAACGATCTTCATCTTCATGAAACGATCCTGAATCGGCAGCTTCTGTCTCAAAACCTTAACGAATCTCATCGTCTCATCTCCAACAACGTCTTTATTCTCTTCGTCGAACCCGTACATCACCGGCGACGGCGCATCGCCGCAACACTTCTCATTCAGCAGCTCCTTAATCCTCCGGTCGAATTCTCCGCTGTTTCTCAGCGAATTCAACGCCATCAATCCGCCGAAGTGTTTCTCGTTGAAGAAAATCTGAGGGACTTGAGAATTCCCTGTTCTCTCAATCAGCTCCTTCTCCCTCTCTATATACACGTCGATGTTGATCTCCGAGAAATCGAATCCTCGTTCCCGGAAAAACAATCGCACGGCGGTGGAATCTCTGCAATTGGATCTGGAGAAGAAAGTGACTCGTCCTCTGATTTCTTCCTCGCTTTTCAGCTTTACGAGAACCTTAACTCCGGAGATGCTAAACTCAGTCACGCCGGATCCGGCGAGATCCAGTTTCGAATCGCCGCCGCCATTCTCCTGCAAAAACGCGAGGCGTTTTGAAATCGCGTCCCCGCTTTGGCGGATGAGTCTCATCATATCGGCGGTGAATTTCTCCGGCGAGGATTTGGAGGGATGCATCAATTCTTCTAACGAGACGCGGCGTCCGTGCGGCGGCTCGAGTTTTGGTAGCTGAGGATGTGGTGGGAGAGTCTTCTGGAGGTTGATTGAGATTTCGTTCATCGGAATTTGAGTTACCACCGGAGATTCAAAATTTGGAAAACGATTATTATTGGGTGTGGCGGGATGTCCGTGATCACTGCCAGAGTTTGAATTTGAATCTGAAGAAACAGTATCGTCCGAAGAGATAGTGACTCTTTTTAACTCTTTGTTTTCGATACCGTTCGTAACTTTCTCAAGTTTTATCGGATTTTCTCGAGAAAGTCTACTTTCTTCGTTGAGATTTTTTTCTGATTTTGAGAAGTCCATCTCTAGAGTTATATGTGACCAATCACAATGTTGATATGGAGAAATATAAAGCAGAAGTTCAACGTTTTATGAAATGACAAAATAAGCAGTTTTGGGAAGTGTAACAATTAATTACATGCATATCTCCATAGTCAAATTATATTCACTCATTTTATGAACTTGCCAAAATTTTCACATCTAATAAATTTTTTTAATGTGACTTGTGAGAAATTGATACCGAAATAAACCAAACCAAATGAAATCATCCGGGACCAAGACTGAACCGTAACTTTAAAACAATTTCGTACCAAAAGAAAATGTCAGAACCGACGTAGATACATTACTGAATTTAGATCCAACCAAACTACATAAGAATAAAACACCTCAAAACAGTCAAACAAATTATACAGTAAAACCTCTATAAAGTAATAATGTTGGGACTTGAAAATTTATTATCTTATAGAGGTATTACTTTATGAATAAATTCAATATTTAGAAATTTTAAAATTTATAATCTTCGAAAATTATTCTCGATATGATAATGTATTAAGAATTTAAAATAATTAATATGACTTAAATAAACTTGAAATTACGATCAAATCTTTTGGATATCGTAATAAAACATATTTTATTAGCTTCTATAAATATTTATTTATATAAAATTTTATACATAATAAAATTTAAAACTTTAGAAAAAACTTATAGCTACTAATGAAGTTGAAAATAATGTGTTTAGAATATGTTTAACAGTTTTACATGCACAGAAAAATTGCATTATGAGTTTTTATATAATAAAGTTAGAGATAAACTTAAATTCATAGTTTAATAATTTTTTTAGGTATATATAATGTATAGTTATATATATTTATTACTTTAACTTATAATTGGGACCATATTTTTACATAGAAGTTTCAAAAATATTATTATCTTATCATCTTATCGCATTTTGCTTATTTTTACACTGGCCCGAGTTGGGACCGGAAAAATTTATTATCTTATAGTGATTATTACTTTATCGAGTATTACTTTATAGAGATTCTACTGTATATGGTTCAGATAAAACTCTAAAGTTTCCTTACAAGAGGTATGATTTGAATTATAAATTTTAGATTTAAAAACTCTTAATTTTCTTAACTTTTTTTTTTTGCTAAGAATGTTAATATTCATATTAATTTTCTTGACTTAGCCCAACCGTTCCCTATATGTATGATCACATGGGGAAGTGTTGGATTTCAAAAGAGATTAGAGATGTAGGAATATACTTCAAAGTCTATCAAGCTATATCTTCCTAGAGTAATACCCCCATAATAAGAGCTTGTCTTTCTAAAAAGTGATCATGAAATAAAACTTACGTTCAAATTGTTATGAATTTATCAATAATTACTCGATGTACATTGGAACCATCGCTGAGGTTAAAATGTCTATGCCAATAATAGTCCAATTGAAACCAACGGACTGGAAATGAAACTCCATGAGAAGCGTAGTTATCGATTTCATCATCACCATTTCAAGAAAATGAAACAACTGAAATATCAATGGATGAATGAATAAAAGAAAAAAGAAGAAGATAGATAATAACGATCTTGTAGACCACCTGATTAACGAGGAGTAATGAGAGACGAGAGCAAATAATATTTACTCTCTATTTACAAGACACTATTGGTGAAACAAAACAATATTTTAGGAAGACATGACCGACATATTTAACCAGCTAATAAAAAAGAAAAGAGATGACCGACATACAAAGTGTAGTGAACAGAAGGTATTCTTGTTGTTGTTGCTGTTGCGAAAGGCAAAGTTCGAGACCCGCGTCTATTTTTAATTTCAACATTCAAGGCTTCCATTATGGCACATAGTAAACAAAGCTATATAAAAGATTAATCTTATAACTATAAGTTGCTCGATTTAATACTCATTTTACAACAAACTGGTTTACAATAAACTGGATAGTAGGTATACTATTGCTAATAAATATTCATCAAAGAACTAAGTATTTGTCGCTTTAAAATAATTATATTAATGAGAAAGAAACTCAACTACATATAAACATTTTCAAAAATAATGTAGAAAATTATAGAAAACATTGGAGATGATCTTTTAACAAAGTGCTGCGAAGAAAATGAAAAAAAAAATGCATTTTGTTCTCTTTCCGTTTTTAAAAATGAAAATTTGTCATTCATATTTTTATAGTGACGTTTGAAGATAATTATTATTTAAAAAAAAACTTTTATGATAGATTCACATTTAGTATTGTGATAGGAATATATCTACAGAAGTCTTACCATTAATTTTTAGTATGGATTTTCTTGATATATATGAAAGTTTTATTTTTATTGAACTTGTTTAACCCTAAATAAGGATAAAGATGATGAAAAAAAACTTGGAATATCTTGTAGTAGAGTAAAAATCTAAAAGTTCACCACTTAAATAGTTCAGATTATCATGATCACAATCTAGATACGTGGTGGATTCTATTTATTTATAACATTTTACGAGTCACGATTGTTGCATTCTAACAAGAATCCGGAGAAAATAAATTATAAAAGTTATTTATGAATTTTTGTTCTTTCTATTTTTTAAAAACGAGCATTTGTTCATTTTTTAAATGACATACTGACGTGAAATAATAATTATTTTCTAAAAAAGTCTAAAGATAGATTCACATTTTAGTATTGTAATAGATCATATCTACAAAAGTCTAATCATTAATTTTTAATATAAATTTTCTTGATATATATGAAAATTTGATATCTATTTAACTTATTTAACCCTAAAGAAGGATAAAGATAATGAAAAACAAATTTGGACATCAGTAGAAGCCCAAAAGTTATCCCACACCGTCACGGTCACAGGCAGTACACGTGGGCGATTTGCATTAGACGGTCACGTTTCTCAGTCAAACCCTCAGGGATATATAAATCTGAATCCTAATAAGAAAATCGGAGTTACGATATAAACCCTCCACTTTGCGAAAATGTCGTAATTACCCCTTCGAAAAGTGAGAAAGAGTAAGAAGACCATAGCGATTGATCTCCTCTGCAACTTCTCTCTATTTCTTCTTTCACTGCTTCTTCTCCCTTAATTTTTTCCTCTGTTCGGCGCTCTCTTTCACTTATCGATCCCACCGTCAATCGCTCTTAGAGGAATGACTATGATGACTCCGCCGCCGCTGGATGTAATCTCCGATTAACCCTGTTTTGTGTTTTGTGTCGATTTGATTTCGTGTTCGTGGGTTTCTTCGCGTATTCTACCTGAGCCTGCTTGAGATTCGTTGTTGGCTTCGTTTGGCTGATCCATTAGGGTTTTGTTTCCTTGGATTTTTGTTTTCTGTATCTGTCTACGAAGCGCTAGTATCATCGAGAAAAGAGCGTGATTTTGTGTTTTTGAGGACTGCGGTTTCTGTTTCGACGTTCTGATCACGGGGTTGGGAGATTAGGGTTTCTCTTAGTCAGAAGTCTGATTTTTTCTTCCTGCTGATTTTACAGCAGCAAGAGGACGAGGAGATGCTCGTTCCGCATTCGGATTTGGTGGTCGAAGGTCCTCAGCCCATGGAAGGTAAGATTTTCGGGTTTGATTGAATTTGATCCGCTTCTTCGATTCTCTTCTCTGCTTTGCTATGATTGGATGGTGTAGATGCTATAGCTCTTGTGGATAGTGCAGGAGATTATATTAGACGTTTCACTGTGCGCTAGGGTTTTTTTGGGGGTCAATTTTTGGGTTTTAGGTTTCTTAACAGTTGTTGATGCATTTGTAGTTGCACAAGCCGACCCTGCTGCTACGACTGTGGAGAATCCGCCAGCCGAGGATCCTCCCTCTCTGAAATTCACGTGGACAGTCCCAAATTTCACTAGGCTGAGCAACAGGAAGCATTACTCTGATCCATTTGTTGTTGGAGGTTATAAATGGTAATGGCAAATACAGTTTTCCGACGCAATTTGTCCAACTGATTTCCTGATGTGCATGTTGTTTTGTTGACATCGTGTGAGCTTATTTTTCCCTTGCAGGCGAGTACTGATTTTTCCCAAAGGAAACAATGTCGACCATTTGTCCATGTACCTGGATGTTGCTGACGCTGCGAATCTGCCGTACGGGTGGAGCAGATATTCACAGTTCAGCCTGGCTGTAGTGAATCAAGTGAGCAGCAGATATTCCATCAGAAAAGGTATCTTAAGTGGTTAATTTTGCTTATATATGTAGCACTCTGATTGCATGCTTAACATGAGTATGGACTGGCGATTTCTATCTCTATTTCTCGGAGTTACAATGTTGGATTTGTAAAAAAATTGTATATGGGACCTTGTAACAGATTGAGCATGATTTATCTGAAAACCTGAAGTGAGCATCATTAATAATGAATATGTGGGTTATGCACTCTTTTAAACTTTCTGAACAGCCAGCGACTCTGTTACCTTTTTTTTCTACTCAAGCTGTTGTTTAGATGCAGTTTTCATTGTGATTACTTTCTTTTTGTATGGCTGCAGAAACCCAACATCAGTTCAATGCAAGAGAAAGCGATTGGGGTTTTACATCATTCATGCCGCTCAGCGAGCTATATGATCCCACTCGAGGATATTTAATGAATGATAATGTTCAGATTGAAGCTGAAGTTGCTGTGCGGAAGGTTCTTGATTACTGGTCATATGACTCAAAAAAGGAGACTGGTTTTGTTGGACTTAAAAACCAAGGTGCTACCTGTTACATGAATTCTCTTCTGCAGACCTTGTACCACATACCTTACTTCAGAAAGGTTGGATGCATATCTTTTTTTCTTCTTCAATGTACTAAATCACGAGTTTACCAAAATTTAGATAAAGACATCTGAATAATTCACCATGCTTGTAGGCTGTTTACCACATGCCAACGACTGAGAATGATGCACCTACAGCTAGTATCCCATTGGCGCTCCAGAGTTTGTTTTACAAGCTTCAGTATAATGACACCAGTGTAGCGACAAAGGAGCTGACAAAGTCGTTTGGTTGGGATACCTATGATTCTTTCATGCAACATGATGTCCAAGAACTCAACCGAGTTCTCTGTGAAAAGCTTGAGGATAAAATGAAGGTAAATGTCTACTTCTGTGTGGCTATTCTTCCATTCTTCCATTCTCAGTTAGTGATTTGTGTTTTTTCCTTTCTCAAGGGAACTGTTGTGGAGGGAACAATACAGAAGCTATTTGAGGGTCACCACATGAATTACATTGAGTGCATTAATGTAGAGTACAAATCTACACGGAAAGAATCATTCTATGGTATGTGGTTTTGAACCGTAACCCATAGTCTGGCTTCTTGTTTTATCAAATGCTATTTGAATTTGCCAAGCTAACATTACACCCGTGTAATTTATCTTTTGGCAGACCTCCAGCTTGATGTCAAAGGCTGCAAAGATGTATATGCTTCTTTTGACAAGTATGTTGAAGTTGAACGTCTTGAAGGAGACAACAAATACCATGCAGAAGGACATGATTTGCAGGTCGGCTGTCTTTTTCGTTCTGTATCATATTTTGGTCCTGGGGAATGTTGAATAATTGTTGAAGTTTCTGTTAGAGTACCCATCTATCTTAATGCGTCTTAATGCTACCAAGCAAGCTAAATTAGGAATTTATATAAAGCTTTATAAATTAGTGTCCGCTTAAGTCGTATATTTGAATAATTTTAAATTTTCAGGATGCAAAAAAAGGTGTTCTATTCATAGACTTTCCACCAGTACTTCAACTTCAGCTCAAGAGGTTTGAATATGATTTTATGCGAGACACAATGGTGAAGGTATGTATTTGAAGTTCTGTTGACCCAAACATTTTGCGCTGAATGTGCTGGCTTTATTTTAGGCTTGCACTAATACAGTCTGCGAGTGCTGACGTAGCTTTATTTATAGATAAATGATAGGTATGAGTTTCCTCTTGAACTGGATCTCGACAGAGAGAACGGAAAATATTTATCCCCTGACGCTGACAAGAGTGTCCGTAATCTCTACACACTCCACAGGTATGTATTTTCGCTATATCCCGGCTTTTGTTACTTGAGTTGCACTAGATTCAAACAGGGGTATATAGTATGGTAGGATGTTTTCCTCAACTTTCAAGTTCTTTTGAATACTGCTAGGTTCTCTTCTTAGGGAATGCTGTAGCTTAGATTTCATTAATATAAGGACAGTTGATTTTCCTTTTGTGAAAGTGAAAGACCACATGAACTACGTTGTAGTAATTGTGTTACCTAACATTGTGTTGCACGATGTGCTTCTTGAACTGTTTGCTGCTCATTTCTATGCAGTGTCTTAGTTCATAGTGGAGGGGTGCATGGAGGGCACTATTATGCTTTTATTAGGCCAACACTTTCAGACCAGTGGTATGTATCCTTCTATTGTCTCCAACTCTCCGTCTATTTAATGCTTACGTATTTTTTTTTTTGTATTTTGTTGAAGTAGTTTTATTGAGAAATAGCTTGCTCATTATCTTTGCTAGCAAATGTTGTTGAATTTCTTTAGACTCTTCTATCCACATCTCTAAACTTGGATGTATCGATATTAATTTCACACTTTAGTGTCACTGTATAAGTGTTCCTTGTAGTTTCTTGTTTCCCTCTAATTCTAGCATTGTAATTGTTACGTCTTTCTGTGGTTTCTGGTGTGGGTTCAGATAGCACTAATGTACATATTTTGCCTCTGCTTTACATGAGACTATCTAAACCTCTAATTCTTTCAGGTATAAATTTGATGATGAACGGGTCACAAAGGAAGATGTGAAAAGGGCACTGGAAGAGCAATATGGTGGTGAAGAAGAGGTAACACTCTTTCTATGTTTTCTATGTTTGCTTAGTAAGACTTATTTTTCTCAACTTCCAAATTTGGTGTCTCTTCAGTTGCCGCAGAATAATCCTGGTTTCAATAATCCACCTTTCAAATTCACAAAATACTCAAACGCATACATGCTTGTTTATATCCGGGATAGCGACAAGGAGAAAATCATCTGCAACGTTGATGAAAAAGACATTGCGGAACATTTACGGGTAAGAAATTTATTTAACACGCTCTTTCCTGTACTTGCCTGTCTTGGTTTTGCTGAATCAGTTTGATATTTTCTGACAGGTGAGGCTGAAGAAAGAACAAGAAGAAAAGGAGGATAAAAGAAAATACAAGGCTCAAGCTCACCTTTTCACGACAATCAAGGTTTTCTATTTCTACTTCTCTTTAATTGAGTCAGAAATCGGTTCTTATCTGGTCTGGTATAGATTTGATACTGATGTTACTAATGCAATTCAATTTTTATAAAGGTCGCAAGAGATGAAGACATCGCAGAGCAAATTGGAAAGAACATATATTTTGATCTTGTTGATCATGAAAAAGTTCGTAGTTTTCGAATCCAGAAACAGACCCCTTTTCAACAATTTAAGGTAGATGCCTCCATCTTTATATTTTCTTCCAAAAAAGGTTTTTTTTAATCTTCAGCAGGAGATGGGTTTTACGTAGATATTTTTCTGTCGACCTGAATTTATCTTGGAGCAGAAGAATAGTTATCGGGATTCTAATAAGAAAAAATCCATCTTTTCTGCTAAAGTTTTCCTATATGATGCTCTCTTTAATGGGAATTTTCCAGTTGTTTGTGTACTTGTAGCAATAACAATATTTTAAACTTCTACTCTTGTAGGAAGAAGTGGCCAAAGAATTTGGTGTCCCGGTTCAACAACAGCGGTTCTGGATTTGGGCAAAGCGGCAAAACCATACCTATCGTCCCAACCGGCCCCTATTATCTCATGAGGAGTTACAGACGGTAGTTATCCTTTTACTCTTTTTTTTTTTTTATAATTATTTTCATGCATTTGGTTTGCAACTTTCACACGGGGTTATTAATGTGATGTACATTTGGAATATACAACACATTAAAACCGTCACTGATTTATCTCTGTCTATAATCATCTGCTCTAATATTAGTAGTTGGGATTATTCTTGTACTAGGTGTGGGCCCTTTTGGTTGCCATGCCTATGTATCTTTTCATTCTTACGAACTGAAAGTTCGTCTTGTTCTCCATGGATTCATACTCATCATTAGTGGACTAGCTACCCTGCCAAAAACTGTATTTACAAAACCAGCTTGTTGTCTCGGAATATTTAATTTTGAAGATGTTATTGTAGGTTGGACAAATAAGAGAGGCATCTAACAAAGCAAGCAATGCTGAACTAAAGCTGTTTTTGGAAATAGAGCGTGGACCGGTAATACTTCCTTGCTGCCAAGTTTAATTATGTTCATCTGATGGATTTCTGATATCAATTGGTCAAAGGGAAGAAAGCAAATAGTCTTTACTAATTCTTGAAAAATTCAGGATGAGAGTCCTATTCCTCCCCCAGAAAAATCATCTGAAGATATTCTCCTTTTCTTTAAGCTCTATGACCCTGAGAATGCAGTACTAAGGTAATTCTCAATTTCCTCTTGAATGGAGAAACTGTCGCCCTTTCTCCGATTCTACTTTTTTATAAATTTATTTACTGGATTTGCATCCTCATCAATGTTACAAAACTTTGTCCATTTGGTGCAGATATGTTGGCAGGCTCATGGTGAAAAGTTCGGGTAAGCCCATGGATATAGTAGGGCAACTGAATCAAATGGCTGGCTTTGCTCCTGAAGAGGAAATAGACCTTTTTGAGGTATGGGATAATGCCTTTTAATTCTACCTTTCCATATGCTAATGGCCATGAAATATTCCATTGAAGTACATTTTGTGCCCATTTTCAGGAAATAAAGTTCGAACCTTGTGTAATGTGCGAACAGCTGGACAAGAATACCTCTTTCAGACTGGCTCAAGTAACGTTGCTCTTATCGTATCAACTGTAATGATTCATGGTTTGGTGTCTCTTTTTTCTAAATGGGTTTCTCGCGTTCAGATTGAAGATGGAGATATCATTTGCTATCAGAAACCTCTTTCTGTCCCGGAGAGTGAATGTCCATACCCGGATGTGACATCATTTCTGGAGTATGTACAGAATCGAGAGGTATAATTGGACTGTTCACTGTTGGCAATAGTGAATTGAGCTAGAGCGTCATGTTAGGGCTTTATGTTGTAATCCATGTCTTAGTTTGGTGGTAACTAACTTTATATGGTTTGTTATTCGTAGGTGGTACGTTTTCGTACTCTGGAAAAACCAAAAGAGGATGAGTTTACCATGGAGTTGTAAGTACCCCTATGAACAACTTTATATCGTTTACTCCAGTTTTGGCAGCTTTGTAATTCATATTGCTTCTACATTCAGGTCAAAGCTGCACACTTATGATGATGTTGTGGAAAGACTGGCTCAGAAGCTTGGCCTTGATGATCCATCGAAAATTAGGCTTACTTCTCACAATTGCTACTCCCAGCAACCCAAGCCTCAGCCAATAAAATATCGTGGACTAGACCATCTTTCAGATATGTTAGCTCACTATAATCAGGTGATTTTCGTGGGTTTGAGTCAACTTATATAATCATCTTTCTAATCCACTGCAGATTTTGCTTATTATAGTTGTTTCTTGCTTTTACAGACGTCCGACATTTTGTATTATGAAGTACTGGACATTCCTCTTCCAGAATTGCAAGGTCTTAAAACTCTAAAAGTAGCATTCCATCATGCCACAAAGGATGAAGTACGTGTTGGACTTATATTTGTGATTCTTAGCCCTCTTAATTGCATGTAGTTTCTTCCAAGCGTTATAACCATATAATTTGCAGGTTATAATCCACAATATCAGACTGCCTAAGCAGAGTACTGTCGGAGATGTTATTACCGAACTGAAAACAAAGGTGTGTCAATCTTGTTTGCTATATTATTGCATGTATTTACATTTTTTTCCTCCGTACATAGGGCTTGCGTTTTTTTATGGATTATGTTCCGTATCATTACTGGTTTAAATAAAATTTACACTTGTGCATCAGGTGGAGCTTTCGCATGAAGATGCAGAACTTAGGTTACTTGAGGTGTTTTTCCACAAGATCTACAAGGTAACTGGCTAAATTTTTGTCCTTTACACTGTAATTAACTTTCTCACTATTTTAACATGAATTTTGGCAATATTCTGGAACTTGGCAAATTTTGATCCAATGTGCTTGGGCTGCAGATCTTTCCATCTACTGAAAGAATTGAGAACATCAATGACCAGTACTGGACTTTACGAGCAGAGGAGGTACATCCCTTTTGATTTTTGTTATTCGACTTCTCTTGTTTCCCTGTGAATGTTGATTCTTGCTAGTGCTACGGTTGAAGTATATTAGTAATTGTAGGAGCTCTTTAGTTGCGCTGTGTGAAGCCTTTTCAGAGGCCTAGATTTTTATTATTTCACCTACCTCTTTTCAAAGGCGCATTTAGAGATTGATAATTGCATTAGAGGATCATACACTGAATTGCACCTAGTTGTGTTTGAGCTACACTTGTTAAACGCAATTGCATGTTTTTCTTGTTAGTGTATGACTTCAGAGATGCTAATTTTCTTCTTTTAATGTCTTCTGAAATCTCAGATACCTGAGGAGGAGAAGAATATCGGTCCCAATGATCGGTTAATCCATGTGTACCATTTTACTAAAGACAACGGCCAAAATCAGGTGGGTAGAGTCCATATCAAGCTTGAGTTACTTGAAAAGTTATTTGAGTTTTTGGTGTCGAAAACTTTTTTTAACCATTGTTTCTTCTTCAGCAAATACAAAATTTCGGCGAGCCCTTCTTTTTGGTAATCCACGAAGGTGAAACTTTAGAAGAAATCAAGACGCGTATCCAAAAGAAACTCCATGTGCCTGATGAGGACTTTGCTAAGGTATACGCACGTTAATAATTTTTGTTATTATTGTGGCGGAAATGGATTGTTGTTAATGCGTTTTTTTCTTATCTTATCTAGTGGAAGTTTGCTTCTTTTTCAATGGGACGTCCAGACTACTTGCAAGACACAGATGTCGTTTATACTCGCTTCCAGGTATATCAGACTTGTTATCGTTTACTTGCTTATTCCCAAAAAGAAATTCGAGACATTAACTTTTGGAAAACGAAAATGGAAACAGAGAAGAGATGTATATGGTGCGTGGGAGCAGTATCTTGGGTTGGAGCACATTGATAATGCTCCTAAAAGGGCTTATGCTGCAAATCAGGTAACAAGCTCTCTCTCTCTCCTTGTCTCTGTGTCTCTCTCTGTTGTAGCCTGTTAACATGTTTTGGATGCTCTTGTTGTAGAATCGACACGCCTATGAGAAGCCGGTGAAAATATACAACTAGGAGGGAGACGTGGCGATGGATGGAGGAAACCAAGGGTGGTTTTTGGTGTGAGGGTAGGATGTAGAGAGTCTCAGTTTAGATTTGATAACCAAAGATGAAATATATATTTTCAAGGGAAAAAGGGTTTTGATTTTGGCCCTGACGGTATTAAGTGTGGTCTCTTTTGCTTCCAAACTACTTTTACTTTGGTGTTAATATGGTATTGTCTGAGACTCTCTCTCTCTGCAAAATACTCATTTTCAAGACAGAGCCCCCCGTTCTTGGATTTGTGGGAAGGCGTTGGCTTTTTTGGTTCTCGATTTAGGATTTGTATTTTCAGGTATAGTTTTTATGTTCTAAATACTTCAAATTATTCTACCTTGTTTTCTTTTGCTGATTTTTCCCTTTTATTACTACTCTCGCTTGATCAAATTATTGTTCGAGGCCTTACTAGAGAATGAGAATATGCCTTAACAATGAATACATATCGATATAAAGTCATCTATTGTTTTGACGAGTTTCCAGTGATTCTTGGGTATAAAATAAAATCCACAAAAAAATAAGATGCTTACGTAAATAACCGACATGCAACGTATAACTTTCTTAGTTCAGAATAAGTTTCGTTAAACGCTGTTTATGTGAGGGTGAAAATAATGAAATATGGTGAGAAATATAAAGAAAATTAAGAGAAATGTTAAATGTGTGAAACCGAGATTCGCATAAAGGTTATGTTCATTTGGGTTTAGAAAGAAAACTATAAAGATAAAATGAGAAGACAGATTATAAATCACTATATGAATGTCGTCAAAGGCGCCTGTAGCTCAGTGGATAGAGCGTCTGTTTCCTAAGCAGAAGGTCGTAGGTTCGACCCCTACCTGGCGCGTTCATATTTTTACATTACTCTTAGCCACATTAAGTTTTTACATTACGCGTTAATACCTATTATAGTTTCATGTCAAGTGATTTAAATATAAATTAACTAAATAAATAAAAATGTATTTCATTGCCAACTTATTTTTTATTTATTTCATGTCATGTCAAAATATTAAAGATATGTCATCAAAGACCTTATTTCATACATTTTATAATTTATAGTGACAGATAACTAATGCCAATGGCTTCATCCAACGTCCATAATTATAAGATAGATAACATCGGTGTACAGAAATATCAAAATTTCGTTTAATTAGGTCGACTGTAACATTTTTCATTTTTTTTGCGACCAAAACTTTCTGTTCCATATTTGGGACGGATCACTCAATACATGAGCAGGAGTGTCTTTAACCCTTTTCCATATCCTTTGAGCTGTTCGGACATGAATCGAATGTATCTTCGATACCTCTCTTGTAGCCTTTGGCTTCAGTTTTCCATGTATACTCCTCATCAATAGAGAATAGTAAATTTCCCATTTTTGACCGACAGTCATATTCTTTCTCCTTGCAAATTTGCCATTATTGCCTACGCCTCGTGCTGGTCCAAAATAGTAAAACACAATTAAAAAATGATTTGATATTGAAACATATATCATATATGCACCAAGAAATATTAATGTGTATCCACACTCCTACGCAGTGTTTTTAAAACCGGACCGGAAGCCGAATCGGATAAACATCCGGGTCATGGTTCAATCTGATTCGACCGGTTTGACCCCGGTTCATAACATTTATATTATAATTATTTTTAAATATATAAATTTTAAAATAAAAATATAAATAGTTAAAAATTGATATATAGGTATAAATATAAATATAATAATATTAAAAACTTATATTTTCATTGTTCTAATTAATTATTTATAGTATAAACATATATAATTTAAAAAAGTGAAAATAAAAAAAATTAATTAATTAATTAATTGATCGTATTAATTGTTTTTAAACCAGACCGGAAACCCAATCCGGTCACATGTCCGGTTCATGGTCGAACCCGGTCCGACCACCGGGTCGGTCCAGTTTTCAAAACACTGCTCCTACGAGTATTCCTTTCCTTTATTTAGATTGAATAGACACACCTATGACTAAATGAATTAGATGATGAAAATGACGACTATGACAAATTTCACGATATCTTACATTTGTAAATATTATTTTATCAATCACCAAATAGTTATATACGAAGTGATAACAAAAAAGGAGAAGGAAATTACGATTTAATTTATATATATATATACCTGGATCGACATTTGGTTCTAATATTTGAGTGTTGGACTCTTCAGCCGACATGAGAACGGCATTGTATGAAGATGGTATGATGCTTAAGGGAATTGCTTTCACAATTACTGGAACGGAGTTACCTTCATCTCCAACCTCTTCAGTTTGGGAATCATGACAATCACTGCTCTCTGGAATGGTATTTAAATCAAACAAATATTTTTTATTGCTTGGAGGTGAAAAGTTTAAATCAAAACTGGCCATGGATGATCTACTCTTGAAAACCCAAGTTGTATTATATAATAAGATAAGAAAGTGACATTAATTTTGTTCCTTCCAAATATTAGTCTTGTAGTCAACACTTCAGGGATTAACTTTAATTTATTCGTAAGTTGTTAATTATGCATGGGAAGAAAACTAATTAATAGGCTATAAGAGATGGCAACAAAAAAAAACTAAGTGATAATAAAATATATGGATATAAATATATAATTACAAAGAAACAAAATTGAATATAAACTGTAGATCATTCCTATTACGAAGAGTATAGTAGACAAATTAAAAAAATTATTAATTTGCATGAAAAACCTTAAACGACAATGATTTAAAGTAGAAGGACTTGTTATTATTAGACGACTCTATAGTCAATGATAGAAACGTCTATCATATAGTTTAAGGAAATGATTTATGACTGATTTTTTTTAGTTTTTGTTTGGTCAACTTTTTATGTGAGTGAAATTAACTTCTTACTTATATTTTGGTCAAATGAAAATTAATTAACAGATTAATCAAAGAAAAATAAAATAATTACAAATAATTTCATACCAAGATTTTCATATAAACTACAAGATTTTCATGTATCTTTTTAGTTTTTACATTAAACAGTGTTTTTACGACTCTTAGTTCACTTTATAGAAGACGTATATTCTGAAAAGGATGCGAAAATTTAAAGAAGCTGTCAGCATTTCTCCTGACACCCCCATTAATAAATGATGATACAACAATTTGATTTCTCTCACTATCTTCCAATTTCAGATTCATGTAAAACATCTACATTTTTTCCCCTGGTCTGATCAACTTACTATTACTGTGTTCGTTTTACAGAGTTTCACTAATTCGCCTTTGTCAGACTCCAACGATTGTGTTGTAAGTACCATAAACAGCAAAGAGCAACCCACAAACCACGATGAAAACATCAACGGATTTGTTCCATAGGTTCAACGATGGACCGAGCAGTGTCAGGTGATAAGAAGCCGGCAACACAAAGGATATGAGTGCACAGAGAGTGCTTCCCACAAGAGATGCAAATGTACCAAACCCCGGCACCAAAGACGCGATTGCCGCGAGCCCCACCACCAAAAGCGTCCTCGTCGTGAAGATTACGTATTTGGAGACTGAACCTGTCTCGCTGCAGTACTGATGCTTTTGAAGCCAATCGACCCTTTTCAGTTTCTGCTCTATGATCTCGTTAAGCGGATGCACCATGATCGGGAATGTAAACGTCAGTCCCACACATAACCCAATCTGTTTCAACCAAAGAAAACATGAAAAGTATTGAGCTTTATCAACTGAAATTTCTACATGATCAAGAAACACCAAGATCCCAAAATGATCCCAAAATTTTGAGCTTTTTTCACCTGGACGGCAATGGCAGACCAATTCTTGGGGAGGTTAAGTGTGATGATATCTTTCGTTTGATCTCCATAAGCCATATAACCACAGAACCCAAACAACACATAGACAAACGTAATCCCCGCAAGCACTTTCGCTAGCAGCTTAGGGAACGCTTCTCTCTCCCTCATAGAACCTTCTAGCGCCAAAGTCATAGCAAAACCCTCAAAACAGAACACAGCAACTCCTCCAGCAAACGGTAAACCTCCGATAGTAGACGAAATCGCCGTTCTATCACTAAACGAGAAGTCTCCCTCAAACACCATCTCCACGTTTTCCTTCACAACGAAACACATGGCTATGATGTTGCAGATATCAGCGAAGATACTGAAAGGCGAGAGAGCTGATAAAGAAGTGATCCACGAGAGTCCAACTTCGATTGGAACCAGGATCAAGATGAAAGAGATCATACTTAGTCCGTATGATTGGAATATGGATGACAGATTCCGGCCGATGAACACTAGATACGCTACTGATCCACCGCATTGAGCTGTGAATATTAGGAATTCGGTCAGGTATCGACCTTTTGTTCCCATACATTTGAATCCTAAATCACCATACGTTTTCGATTCCTCTTCCCCTTCTTCCGATTCTAGCTTGTCTCTACACTGAATCTGCAATGGAATTTGAATCGATTTCAGAAATCAAAATCTAGATTCCAGGAGATCATGAACTATATTTGAGATTCTGCAGAGAGGAATTGATAAATTGCTAACCACAGAGACTAAATTAGAATTTCATTTTCAGGTTAGGAGGATAAGGAGGCGGAGGAAAAAAGTGAACTAACGAGGAGGAGCATGCAGTAATAGGTGGCGAATCCGACTATAATGACGCCGAGAGATCCGGCGAACCATCCGGCGACGCGGAATGCGTAAGGGAGCCCGAGGACGCCCGTGCCGACGATGGAGACGATAATGTTACCGAGCGTCTGAAGAGGCGTGGTTCTGTCTCCGGCCGGCGGAGATTTTATCAGAGGGAGAGAGGCGTCGTCGTTCGTCGCCAGGTCATTGATCGCCATCGCCGAGATTCACTGCTATTTTTGTTTTTTTTTTCTATTTTTCTATTTTTTTGGAGGAATTCTGGATTGAGGGGAGACGTAGGAAGTCATCCGCCGTCGTCATTCTTATAGGTGGCACTGTAACATGATCCCGCCAAAGATACCTCTCCGTCTGACGTGGCGTCCCAACGTCCCTTAAATCTTGGGGAGTGCTCACCACGCGCTTTCTCTGTCCCTAGATCTGTGCAGAGGAAATCAAATTCAATTATCCATATATTCCTTTCTTTTTAAATGCTAAATGAGTAGATTCTGACATAATAACTATACATGGATGATTATATTAAACTGTACAAACAAATCTATGTCATATTTTGCCATCTACCATAATTATTTATTTTGTCGTGTAATACTAACACATGGTCCATGTAATCATGTTTGCAACAACTCACATATATCTGCAATATATGTACAGTAGGCACAAGATCTTGAGAGTGGAAGTTATACCTATGTTATGTTCACTGTTTGATGTTCACGGTAACATATATTACAAATAGACAACTTATAAGTTATCACCAACCCGAAATAGTATGATCACATTATCATGTGGGACCTCTCACAAGTACCGCAGGTTTTTCTCCCACCTCCGTCTTCCTGAACTTGCATTATCTACTATCTACTAGCTTGTAGTAAAGATAAGAACATTGACCCCAAAATACGTCGGAGATTCCCTTGGATTCTCTGGCACCTGTGGAAAGCTAGGAATGCTCTTACCTTTGAGCTGACCCGTTTCAATGCCCCTGTTATTATATCGAGAGCCTTTGAAGATGCTGATATATGGTTTAAGAATAATTAAGATAGATGCTCCTGCACAGCATTCAGCACTTATGCCTATCAGGAACAAAACCCGGGGATGAAATGGAGGAAACCTGCTTTGAACACGCTCAAGTGTAACATTGGATGTTCTTGGCATTCTGATAGTTTCAACAGCGGTGCGTCATGGCTAGTACGTGATCACTCAGGAAAGGTCTTGCTACATAGTAGACGTTCTTATGCTATGGTCACTTCTCCGCTTGAGGCTGAATTGTGTAGCTTCGTCTCGGCTATCGAATCTTTGCAGAACCTACGTTATAAAGACCTGATTCTTGAATCACCTTTGTTACAAGCAAGGCAAGCTCTACTGGAACCGCACCTTTTTCCCCAACACAGGAGCTTGATTGAAAAAGTCTTTACCCTACTCCAGTCCTTTAACTCATGGAACTTTCATCATACGTCCTACGCCTCAAATCGTGCTGCCAAAGCTATTGCCAACAGCGTGTTTGAGATCAACAAGTTCCAATCTTATGTTGCTAGATAAGGCCCTGTGTGGCTCCATACACTCCTTGCGGAGGAAGCGATGTCTTAACTTGGTGTTGGGTCTGTCTCCAACTCTGTTTTGCCGTTCCATGTGGCTGGATCTTCTTGTTGTGCTGTTTTGGCCTCGCAAGTCCCCTGCGCTCTATTGAGCCCTTTTCTTTAGTCGGTTCTTTGTCGTTTTCTTTGTTTTAAGTGTTGTCTTCTCTTTTGAGCCTTGCTGTTATCGGCTTGTGTGGATGACTTCTGTCATCTGCGTCAAACTCTGTAATCCTTTCTCAATCAATTTACTCAGCGTTAAAAAAAAAAAATCAAAATAGTGACATGTCTGCATTTCACACAATCACACTTGGACGTGTCGATACTAAATAAGATAATGACATCGTTTCATTCACCCACATACATTTCTACATTCCCTCCTACTTGTTCCATCTACGGTAGATGATCTACCTCTGGCTTTTTCAATCGTCATTTTACTTGATTTGACTCATCAACAAATTTTAAATAGTAACGTATTTGCTTTAATTGGATACTAACCAAAAATTTAGTAACACCGAGATTAGAGCGTTTAACCACCGCCTAACGTCTAACAACCGCATAGCATTTAACAAAATTCATCAAATTTGACCATTATTAAGTAAAGTGAACCAAAAGTGAAACTCAATCACATCAAACAAGCGATTTCTAACTTTTATTGGCCAAATGAATAACTAAACTTTTATAGTTTTGTGTTTAGTTGAAGGAAGCACGAAGACAATGTGGGTGATAGACACAATGAATAGCATGTATAAGCTTTCTTCTTGGCCCAACGGCTAAAGCACCCATATGCTTAAGCTTCTCCATTGTCAGATTCGCCACCTGAAACTTGTTCATCCTCTGTCCTCTCAACATCCTCTCAAACTCTCTCCCCAACCCTATCGACCCGACCCATTCGTTCAACCCGCCCGCTTTCTCAACCTTCTTCTCCAGGTTCACCACTCTCAGCTTCTCGTTGTCCATTACAACAGAGCTGCACATCACTCTAGGAAACCTCAAAGGCTTGCGACGCGTACGGCTCCTGTGATTCTCCACTCTTCTACTCGCATGCGTTCTAATATCTTGATGTGATCTCCTCTGAGCTGGAGCTTTCCTGGTTGCGAGATTGCGGCTTCTAACTATCTCCGGTTTGTCCACTGCGGTGAAATCAGGACAAGCCTCGGGCTCCACAGTGTAAACATGAGTATCTCCAACCAAGCCTCTCAGTACAGATTTTGAACGAGAAGCTGCAGGCTTCTCCAAAATGCCATGTTCAGTTACAGGAACAGAAGGCACCACTATGTGTGCATCTTCAATAACATCAGCTTGTGATTGAAGAGAAGGCACCACTGTGTGAACAAGAGTAGTTTCGTGCTTATCAGCTCCTAACTCAGGTTGTGATTGCGAAGTTTCAGGTTTCTGCAGAGTGGAATGTTCAGATACATGACGAGAAGGCACCATTGTATGAGCGAGAGAAGTTCCGCGCATATCCACTCGTAACTCAGCTTGTGATTGAGAAGTTTCAGGCTTCTGCAAAATGAATTGTTCAGGTATCGGAAGAGAAGGCACCACCACAGTGTGATGAACAGGAGTAGCTTCTGCTTGCATATCCGCAATACCGTCTCTTAACTCAGCTTGTGACTGAGAAGTCTCAGGCTTCTCCGGAGTGAAATGTTCAGGGAGAGGAAGAGAAGGCAATACAATGATGACTCTCTGCTTTTTAACAAACACCCAACTGTCTTCTTCTCCATCGAAACCAAACTTTAAAGGACCAGTCTTGCTCGGTTCATACTGTTTCGACCTTTGCTTCGCCATTAAAACCTGAGATATCAGCAAGATTAAGCAAAAGGGAAACATTCTTCATCACAAGGAGTCAAGGACACACATTTGCAACAAAAAGGAGTCACATTTGAAACCATAGAGAATCAAAGAACGATGCTTTAAGAGACATAAGCAAGACGAGAAAAAGCCCAAAATGTTTTTTCAAAAATTAAAGCAAACCACCGAAAATTTGTATATCGATCTCTTAATCATTGTGTAAATCGGAGTAAGGGCACAATTTTATGAAGGGGATTTGAGAAATTATAATCGAAATAAAGACTTTAACCAGTGAATTAGCGAGGCTTAAAAGAGAGGAACAAACCCTAGAATACAAAATCTTTCTTAGTATCGAGAGATTGGAGAAAAAGTCGGCCGCTTTGTTGTGATCCAGAAGCGCCTATACTAAAGCTTGAAGGGAAATGTCAACGAGGCTTACCTTTGGTTTTTTTTTTTCTGGGAGTGACGAACTGACGATGACTCTCGTTGAACTCTCTCTGTCTCTCTGATCTGAGCAAATCTTTTTATTTTGTTTATTTCTTTATTTCTTTTCGATAAATCAATGTCCGATAATTTGACGTCGTTTGTTACTGGGAAACTGGAGTAGATTACCCATTTTAGGAGTAAAATGGCCAAATCTGAGGTTAAAATATCCCGGCCTTAAAATCGGTTCGTTCTCCCATCCGATTTGCTCTGAATATTTGGATATCTGAGGACTGAGGTTTTTGGATCGGGTTCCAGTCTTCCAGACCCAAAAACCAGTCAATAAATAATAAAAATAAATTATAAGTATATATTTTACATTCAATTGGGTGAAGTAAAGAGAAATTTGGAATTCTGATTTAAAAATCTTTGGTTCATAAAACCACTAAAACTAGTAAAACATTATGACAACTTTAAAGTAAGAAGGTCACATTTGTAAAAAAATTCAAAACAACTTAAAAAAGTTATTCCAAATAAACAAACAAATCAAATAGACAAAGTGAGTGAAAAATGGCATGGTGATGGTGTTCTAGTGGTGAAAAATATTCATGCGAATTTAGACCAAGGTCCAAAATCTCATCAGCTATTAATCTTCTTCACCGTTAGCCTCCTTTTTGGTTTAAAGCTTGGCCTAAAAACTCAGACTAATCTTTAAAGTATTTTGGGAAAATGGGTCACGTGTAATATTTTTTGTCGGATGGGTCGAATAAAATACCAAATGGTGGCAAACAGAAGAGAAAAATTCACTTCATATGCGTAAGACTATTCTTACTAAAAAAAGAAAACGCATCTGAGAGAAGAATATTTCTATCTCTCCAACTCTTGTAAAATCCAGATCATGCCGCCATGTACTTTAGTTTTTCAGGTAAAGACAACTCATCTGATAAAATCTCAACCGTTCATCTCAACTCAATACCTCATCCTGAGCGTTGATTCAGCATCGTCTCCTCGTTGCGTTTGTACCAAAATTAACCTCTTTGACAAATATCGGAAAACGAGACAGAGTAAGATACACAGAGAGACTCCATCAAAGCCTTCGCCGATTAATTTAGAAAAACAAACAAAAAATCAAAACTTCCTGGGCAAAAATAATTAAAATCCAGAAGCAAAAAAACGGAGTTTTAGGGTTTCTATAAACCAGAAATTATCTATCTTTTTTAATTTCTTTTACACAATTTGATAGTCATTCCTCTCCAATTGCGAAATTTCCTTTTATTCCATTTTTTCCTTTTCAGTTTACGCCCAGAGAAATTGATTTTGGTTTTCTGTTTCTGTTTCGTGGAGAATTCCCTGGAGAAAATATCTCGAAATTAGCTTGATTGTTTCCCGATTTCTGGGTTCGCCGAGACGTAAGCCTTCGTTTTGCGTTTTCGGATTCTGTTATCTCTATTCCGATTGTGTTATTACGACTCGAAGAGCCTTTTTCTCTCATGAATCCGAGAATCTAGTGTTCGAGAATCTGATTACATGAAATGTGTGTTCATCGCAGAATTGGCTTCAGCTGGAACTTAATTTTCCCGAGAAAATCATCACAGCGATTGCTATGATTTCTTCTAATGATGTATCGGATTCAACATTCAGGGCTTAGTGCGATTTAGGTCTCTAATTTCGATTTTCCGGATAGTTTGTAGTCGTTGTGAGAATCATTGGATTGGAATTTGGATTCGATACTATATATATCATCACCATCTCCGATGGAATCGGGAATGTCGTCTCCGTCAAGAGATCTGATCAAATGTTGCGACTGCGGATGCGATTGCTCTCCAGATTCCTGGATTCGATCAGTGAAGAGAAGACACGAGGAATTAGCGAACGAGAAAGGATTCACAATCCCGGAGCTAGATCATGACGCAGACGCAGAGCTCTTCTCTAATCCCAGAGTCCATCTCGAGAACGAATGCGAATTGCTCCGCGAGACTGTTACAAGTCAACAGCAATCGATTCAGGAGCTGTATGACGAGCTAGAGAAAGAGCGTAACGCTGCATCAACAGCTGCAGAAGAAGCAATGTCCGTGATGCAGAGGCTGCAGAACGAAAAAGCTGAGCTCCAGATGCAACTCAGGCAGCACAAGAATTACTCCGAGGATAAGATTGAGCATGACCAGCAAAAGATTTTCGATTTGGAAGATGTTTTGTATCAGAGGGAGCAGACTATACAGGCGCTTACATTCGAGGTTCAGGCTTATAAGCATAGGATGATGAGTTTTGGGCTCACCGAGGCAGAAGCTGAAGGTGAGAAGAGCGTGTTAAGCCGTGAACCGAGCATGATCGAGGTTAACTCTGAGTATGACCTCCCTGCGTATGACTACCCTCCTTTGAAGTGCAACATTAACGAGAACCATGATGATCCTCTTGAGGCTGATATCTATGTTGCAGATGATGAGAACTACCCACCGGCTTATTCGCCTCATGAGAGAGAGCATTTGAAGACGTTGGATCTGAGGATAAGCCAGCTGGAGACAAATCCTAGCTTTCCTCAGTTGAATGGTGTTTCAGAGAAGGTGGTGGTTGGTCAGAGTCCTAGGCGTGAAAGACAGTTTAGGAGGACTTCGACTGCTGGTTCAAGCTCACAGTTGGGAGCGTCTAAAGATCTAAAAGCTGATATCTTTGCTGATTCACCGAGGTCCGAGAGCTACAGCTCCAAGAGAGTGGCAAATTTCTCGTATACAGAGAATTATAATGGTGAAGATGAGTCGTCGGAGATAGGAGATGATATGAGTGACAGAGTTTACACCATTGATTCAGTCCATCAGGGTGCGTCTCTTAGTGGTGTAACTGACCAGAAGCTTGGTGATGAGAGTTCTGATGGCAAAGGGGTTTTCCAAAGGGAACAAATGGATCTTGATGATCCTGACATAACGAAGCTCTACATGCGGCTTCAAGCGCTGGAAGCTGACAGGGAATCGATGAAACAGGCGCTTATCTCTATGAGGACTGAGAAGGCTCAGATGGAACTGTTGAAAGAAATTGCTCAGCATCTTGTCCCGCAACGGAGGCTGCCTCTGCGTAAAGCTAACAATGCTGGGCCATTGACTTTCACGCCAGTCTTTAAGGTGATTTTGCTCTCTTAACTCCTCTTCTTGGGTTGTTGTCATATTTATTTATGAACACATGTCTCATTCTTTAACTGATTACTTTGATTATTACTCATTTGCAGTGGATCACATCGTTTGTTTCGTGGAGAAGAAAGGCTCGTCGAAGCAAGTAAGTAGTCTCTGTTCTCTTACAAACTTTGTTAGTTTATGCTTCACATATCTTGTTTCAGTGAATGTTTGAGAGAATACTTGAAAAACTTTGAATTATAAAGGGCAATGCTTTGAGAAAATGTTTCACTTACGATTGTTTCTATTCAATGGAAATGTAAAGGTACATGTATGGGATGTCAGCAAACAACATGGGACTGCAAATGCTCTTAGAAAAGGTCCCTAGATCAAGGAAATGGCGATGTCTCAGGAGCACGCAAGTGTGAAACAGATGCAAGCAAACAGAAACACTCTCCTGACTCTAGAATTTGGAGCACATAATCGTCAAACACTGTTGAATTTAGATATCGAAAAGTGTTACCCTGAGGTAAAAAAAAGTTGTGTGTGTGCCTTTCTCCAACTCGAACTGGATTCTCATTCTTTTGGGTTGCAGAGGAAATGTTTGTCCTGTGCTGTTTTTCTCATTCTGTTTTTCCCCCAATATTTTAACTGTTTGTATAAAAAGAATGGGGTTGAAGAAATGATGTATAACTGAGAGAGGCTATACAATCTTTGTATGGTTTCTGACATAAATTGATTCATTGGTTTTCTCATATTTTGGAAATCGATTCTTTATCATAAGTTTTAACGCGACCATCAAAATTCAGTTACTGTATATAGTTATTATCCTCATCAACCACGTCTCGTCCAAATAGTATTGACCGACTCAATATCCGACAAGCCGATATGTATCTTGAGCTTGAGTAGATATAGATATTGACCTTCTTTCTCCATTTCCATTCTTGTTCTCATTCTTGATATTGCCGTCGAATTTCCTTACCGGTCCAACTCTAGTAAGATGTATTAAACCGGAAGTAAATCATTTACGTCGACAAAAAATTGGTATTCTTATTGACAAACCGGACTAAGCGAATTGGAGCGCTTATTTTTCAAAGAATCCCATTTATTTTCATAAACCCTACGTTTCTTAAGCGACCATTATCTCTCTCTCTCTTGCATCCTTTGACCTAAATCAATAGCGCACTCCCGACTTTTTTCCTCCGTTATCGGGTTTTCGCCGAGCAGATTATTCTCTGCCTCTCTTTGGATCCGGTGCTCCATACTTACTTCTTTGCATCCAGACTTTAATCTTCGGCGACTCTGCTCGTGATCTCAGTAGGTGTAGCTTAGCTCTTTTGATCCATGAGAAGTAGTATGTTAATCTGATGGCTTGATTTTCCGTTGGAATTGTTAATTGATGAATTAGCTACTGAACTCTGGATGCTTTAAACTTTTTCTGGCGATTGAATCCGATATAAAATTGTTCAACTCCATGGCCACTACTCACTAGGATGTCTGGAAATTTAGTTATATTTTTTAATCTGGTCGTTGCCTATCCTTTTGTTATGTGTTGATGTTCTTATGGTCTTTGAGATCTCATTCTGTCTCATTCTGTCTCTCTCTCAGCAATTCAAGTTTCCAAATCATGCCTACTGATAATACTGATGAGTGGTGGTGAGGTTTTCTATTTGTTTCTTTCTTTTTATTTCTAAAGTTACACTAATGGTAACACTAATCTGTTTATGGTATTTTGTAGTGACAGTGACCTGGCGGACGTTTCTAATCAGTTCGAGCAGCTCATTGTTTCCGATTCATTACCCAACCTCCCTCCTTCCGAGGAATTATTTCGTTTAATGAACCCTCAGGTTACTTTCATCTATCTTCATTCAATTTTTTTTTAGCATATTAAGGTACATGGTATGTGATGTCATCGCATTCAAATTCATGAAACTCAATTGGTCTCTAATGATATCGCATTGGATTCATTAAACTCAGTTGTGTTCCTGTCAGCCTTCTATGATGCTGAGTTCTGTCTTATTTTTTTAATAATAGTATATAGCTTGGTAAATTGTTGTGACATATCTACACTTGCTAAGATTTGTCCCATATAAATTTTGTTCTGTGCAGGAGATACAGAGTCTCAAGGACACGACCTTCCATAATTTTCAGAGGAAACGCAATCCCCTGGACACACCCTTCGATCCTGTGGAAGTAAGTCTATTTTTTCCCTCATACCTTGCATCTTTCTTCTTTGATAGCGAATTGACTGTTTTTTCAGCTAGATAGGATTTATCTTTTTGACAAATGTTAACCAATAATTTCTTGTTTTGCCAAGTAGCGTACGGATGAAACAACTTTGGATCAGTTAATCATCCGTTGTCTCCATATTGTGGAAGTTCTAAATGTTGATAGAACATGTGTTGTGCCCAAGCGTGTTTTAAACTTTGTAAGTTAACATATGTCTCTTTGTGCTTCTTGACCTGTTTAGTGCCATGTTTCATACTAATGCTAATGCCGTTACTCCTCCTATGCAGCACTGGAACTTTAGAAATGGGCAATGGTCTCCTCTAGGTACATACCTTGCGACAATAGAACCAGACGGGGTAGTTATTTGGGATATCTCTGATACCTGCCGTAAACGACGTCTCATGTCTTATCGTCACTCTTCGGTTTGTTTTTTCTTATGTTATTTATTGCAAATAAACCGTCATCGTGTTTTTTAGTTTCCTTATGACTGACTGAAGTTTTAACATTTGTTATTGAAGGTAGACCAAGTTGATTTCTCTCCCGGCGAGAAATACTTGGTAACGTACAAACGACCTGAGCCAAGCAACCCTAGTGTGAGCGCTTCTTTGTTTACATTCTTTCCAACTCTTATTTTCATGTCATTTTCACTAAAGGTAAAGCTTTTCCACCGTTTTGCAGGAACTCGTATTAAAAATATTTGAAGTGCAAACTGGCGAATTTTTGATGGGAGGTGGTGGTGGTTCTGCTGGCGTCTCATGGCCTCTGATCAGATGGGCTGGTGGAAAAGATGATAAATACTTTGCCACCTTCAGCAAAAACACTGTTTCTGTGTATGATACTGACTGTTTCAGCTCATTAGACTTTAGGCCGGTAATAATCTTTGATGATCATGTTGTGGAGATGAGTTGGTCTCCTACTGATTCCATCCTTGCTCTGATCAAAGGTGATGGGAAAAAACAGTCTTCCAAGGTACATATGTTCTTTTTATTTCTTTTCTTATGTTCAGTTGGAATCTGTTATTGAGGTGCTGTAAATTTTAAATTTTCCAGGTTGTGCTTGTGGAAATCCCTAGCAAGGTGGAGCTGAGGCACAAGAATCTTTTCAGTGTTGAGGAATGCAAGTTGTACTGGCAGAGCAATGGAGAGTATCTTGCTGTCAAAGTCGACATTGGATTTAAGCTTTTGAGGATCAAAGATGGAGGAGGAGATGTTCTCAATGAGAAGAAGATGCATGCTTTCGCATGGGAACCCAATGGCGACAGGTTTGCTGTTATTCACGGTGATCATCCACCAGATGTGAGTTTCTACTCCATGAAAGGAGGAAAGTTGTCAAAGCTAATCTCTTTGACAGCCAGCGAAGTGGATGCTCTCTTCTGGTCACCCAGAGGGAAGTACATAGTACTCTCTGGGTTGAAGAGCTTCAATGGGAAGCTCACGTTCTTCAACTTAGATACCTTGCAGATCATGGCAACGGATATACATGTCAAAGCCACCAATGTTGCCTGGAATGCTACGGGAAACTTTGTGACTACCGCTTTGATAACCGATACTATTGATTATGATGAGTTGAAGACACCTGAGAATGGCTTTAAAATGTGGGCTTTCGACGGTGAGCGTCTTCATTGGTTACAAAGAGATTCCCATCTCTTACAACTCGATTGGCGCCCATATGGAGGAAACATAGACGAGCTGATTGAGAATCCATTACGAGAAGTAAGTATTTTTCTTTCATATCAGCTTCTTAGATGTTTGTTTGAATCTGATATTTGCATCTGGTTCCCGTGCAGGAGATTCCCATGGACAAGTCCTTCGATCCAGAACTGGTAAGTGGACCTTTTTCCTCGTACTGAGTTTTACTTTTTGATTGATGCTATTGCTAACCAATATTTTATTGTCTTTTTTAAGTGGCGTACTGATGAAACAGCCCTATTTCAATTAGTCATCCGCTGTGGCTATGTTGCTGAAATTCTACAGAACGAAGGAACAGATGTGGTGGTGCCTGAAGATGTTTTTAAGCTTGTAAGCTGCGTTACATATTGTTGTTTGTTTCCCGTCTGTTTAGTAGTACCATTGTGTGTGAAATGCTAATGTTGTTACTCGTCCTATGCAGTCGTGGAACGACATGAATGTGAAGTGGTCTCCATTAGGTACATACATTGCGACACTGACCAAGCATGGAGTAGTTGCTTGGGGTGGAGCTGATACCACCTTTAATCGTCTCATGTATTTTATGCATTCTATGGTACGTATTTGAGAAAATACTTGGTTCTGTTTTTTTTTTTTTTTGTTGTTTCTTCTCTGTACAACTGAAGGTGGCGTTTTTTTTTGTTATTGAAGGTAGAAGAAGTTGATTTCTCTCCAGGTGAAAAATACTTGGTAACCTACAGAAGATCAGGGCCAAGTAACCCAAGTGTGAGTGCATCATTGCTTGTGTTATTTTTCAAGTCTCATTTTACATGTCCAAATTTGACTTAAAAGAGTATTCTGATTTGCAGGAAGTCGACTTCAAACTTTTTGAAGTGACAAGTGGGAGGTTGTTGTTAAAAGGAAGAGGTGATGACGCCTCAGGGCCTGTGATTGGATGGGGTGGTGGAAAAGATGATAAATATTTTTTCATGTTGAGCAAAAAAACTGTATCTGTTTATGATACTGCTAGCTTAACGAATGTCTCTGAAACAGACAGTTTATGCCTGTCAGACATGAAGCCAATATTGAATGTTGATCATGTTGTTGGCATGTCTTGGTCTCCTACGGACTCCATTCTTGCAATGATAAAAGGGGATGGGAAACAACAGTCTCCCAAGGTATGCTCTTTTATTTCTTTTTTTTTAATTAAGTTGGAATCTGTGATTTGCATTGGTGTCGTAAAAATATGATTTGTCCAGGTTGCTCTTGTGGTAATAATCCCTAACGATGTGAAGCTGAGGCATAAGACTATTTTCAGTGTTACCGAGTGCAAGATGTACTGGCAGGGCGATGGAGAGTATCTCGCTATCAAAGTTGACTCTGGATTTGAACTTTTCCGCATCAAAGATGGAGGTGATACTCCCATGGACCTTCTTAAGGTTGACAACATGCTTGATTTCGCATGGGAGCCCAATGGTGACAGGTTCGCCGTGATTCACGGTGACCAACCAAAGCCAGATGTGAGCATCTACTCTATGAAGACAGCCGAGAACCTTGGAAAGGTTTCAAAGCTAATCACTTTGGAGGCTAAGGAAGCCGATGCCCTGTTTTGGTCGCCCAGAGGCATGCACATCGTTTTAGCTGGATTGAAGAGGTTCAGTGGCAGTCTTGAGTTTTTTAGCGTCGATGCTATGGAGACTTTGGGAACCGCTATACACTTGAAGGCCACCGACGTCGCATGGGACCCAACTGGAAGGTACAACCACACAATTTTGCATTAACCATTATGTTTTCCCTTGTTCTAGAAAATGATCATTTTAGTTTTACTTCTTTCTAGGTATGTATCAACCGCATTTATAGCCCAGGATATGGAGGAAGAGCCTGAGGAGGAGCATGAAAAGGGGTTTAAGATGTGGAACTTTAAGGGAGAGTTTCTGTACTGGTCACATAGAGACCACTGTCTCTTACAGGTATATATATGAGTATACTTGGAAAATGTGGTGTCTCTCATTTCCCTAATCATATAAATGTGTCTGTTTCATGGTTACAGTTGGAATGGCGCCCATACGGAGGAAGCATAGACGAGGCTTTGAAGCATCCTGAAAAAACGAGCCTAAGTAGAGTGTGGACTAGGGCGATTAAGGCCTGAGAATATATCAGTAAACCGCCCCTCTTGTAAGGCAAAACTACAAAACTTGTTAGTTATTTTCAAGTGCTTCATATCTTAAAACCAACTAGCTTCTTTTGAAAAAGAAAAGTAGCACTTGTTCTGTAGCAAATCCTTCTGAGCTCTTTGACACTGCTTCTCAGCTTCATCACAGTCTCTGTTCCTACTTCTCCTTATCTCTGAGTACTATTCTTGATGGAGCTTCGGTTTATTTCCTTGTCTCTCTATTCTCGTCATCATTCATGTCATTAGGAAACAAAAATTCAGATATATATCAACATTTGTAGAGACTCTCTGATCTATTCTTTTACGGTTTGAGCGCTAGTTATTGATGAAACTCACAAGGCTTGTGTTACACGCATTCTTATTGCAAGATATCAAAATTCAAAACAACATAAATCCTCTTAGTGTTTACATGAACAAACTGATTTTCACGCCAAAATATACGAAGCAAAACTGCAAATGTTCACATTAGATGCTAGAAGAAAGGGAATAACAAATACTCAGCGTAGAAGAGATTCCATATAAACCGGTAATATCCTCCAATAGCTTCCTGCAATAATAATAAAAAAAAAATCCTATATCACATTAGATACACACTCCATTCATCATCATCATCCTCATGTTCTTCTTAAATTGTTTCGTGATAGGAAATTGATGGTATTTTACCTTTGTGTAGTTTGCTTTGTCTAGCACCAATGTCTACAAAAGAAGAACAAAAACGATATTAAAATTGATGAATATGGCAGTGAAATATTATGGAGCTTTGGGATATTATCTCAGCTTAGATACATAAGAGTACTATTTTGGGATGCATTACCTGGAAAATCAAGTATAAAAGCCAAGATCATATGTGCAGGAATCATCAAGCCACCTCTAAAAACCTGTCAAATGTTTAAGGATAGAGGGTTGGTGTTTCAAAGCTGCATACCGAGTAAGTTTTGTGGAAACAATTTATCAAGATAATAAATGTAGTAATGGTGTTCATAACCGAAAGAGTTGGTGAGAATTTGGAGGGAGAGATGTGTGTCACCTGAGGCATGTAGAAAGCTAGTGATATGGCAGAAATATAGTTCACCAGCAGAAGTCCAGAACCGAGGAATGCAATGTTCCTCACTCCAAGCTTTGTTGCTAGTGTTGATATTTGGAACCTATTCAAAATCAATCCAAAAGAAGATTGATGACACTACAACTTAGAAATACAACCTCCTCTGCTATGGCCTATGTAAGGAATCAGGTATGGTTGGTTAAATAAGCATAAATACAACCAGGATAGTAAAATGGATGCTGAGGATATATGTTCCATTGCAATGTTATATACGCAGTTACTTACTTGCGATCTCCTTCAACATCAGGAAGATCTTTTGTAATAGCAATGACCAGTGCAAACAATTTCACAAAAGACGTGATGAAAGCCACAGGCGCACTGCAAATTTCAGATAGAGAGTTGAGTAATCTATATATGCTCCATTATGTTATGATGAAAATCAAAGATAATATTACATTCATACAAGCATGCAAAATTTTATCTCATTATTTCGACCCTACATGATAAGTATTGAGCAGACGACTACTAACCTCCACTGAAACGGAAGTCCAAGAGCAGCTCTTGTAGCATGGTACACACCAAAATTCAGCAGGAAACCTCGTACCTGATAAGGACATGTAGATACACAAGACATGTTACTATATGCTATGGAACTATCACATAGGGTCATCATAGTTATGCTATGGTATATCATTCGTTTTATGAGATGAGTATTCCCTATCAAAGCTCTTGACACCAAGGCACTGCCATTCAAAAATTACATTCAAGCTAAGATGAGACCAAGGAATATGGAGGCTTTCATAAATTCAATATACTAACGTACGTGGATCCTAAAACTGTTCCATGGATCGTATGGGGCCTGAGAAAAATCTCCAGCAAACATTTTGGAAACGCGCAACTTTATCCAGAACTGGATCGGAACCAGGAGCATATTTAAAATATATGCATATAAAACGCAAATAAAGAAAATCAAAAGTGGATAATAGTCTAGAAATGAACCAAGTCTTAGAGAAGCAACATAAGATGTTCGGTGAGATTTCTACCACAAATATTCAACATTAACAGTACCGGTAGGCGGTAACTCTTAACTTATCAAACTTTGTTTAACAAAATTCGACCGCATTCTCGGAGTTGATAAGCTCGGGAAGCCAACATTTGTAGAGCGGCTTACAAACTTCCCAGCTAAATGCGACGGAGGATGATGATGAGAAGCTGCTAAGAAACGAGGCGAGAAACGAAGACGGCGGTGACTGCGAGATCGAGAGCTCCATTGATTGATGCTACACAAACTCTGACCACTGCCACTTTCTTTCGCACGAGCAATTTGTTTTTGTTCGTTCTGTTCTTTATCTATAGTATTTTGCAATTCGGTTCCTTTATTCTTGAATATTATCCTTCAAAGACTAAAACTTTTAATTTGATTGAATTGATCCATCAGTTGGACACTGGTATTGTGTCCACTGACTGAATCAATGGAGCTCACGTGTGCAGATACTTTTGGTTTTTGAAGAAAATTCGAAATGAATTTACTTTTGGTTTAATGAGAATTTTTTTTTTTTTTTTTTTTTTTTTTTTTTTGTGTCTCAAACTTTAACTTAACACTTACCAAACGATTACTACCTTTTATCATTCTCAACAATGGGATTTATCCAATTTGGCATAATGAAATACAGCTTGGGGACAAAGTTCTCAAATGAAAAAGTCTCCCTCCCTATTCAATCCGCCACTCTATTTTCATATCTAGGAGTGAAGACTACATTTGTTGTTTTCGATCTTGGTTAGTTCAAAACATACAAAATCTCGGTTAAAAGAAAAAAAAAAAAAATCCATGTTAAGTTGGGTGTCTTAACAAAAAATTTATGTTGTTGTTTCGGTTGACTCAACAGTTTCTTGTAATGAAAGAAAATTATAACTTTTAACTTCTTATTTTAAAATTTCGAAGCAGTTGTATCATGGACTAGATCCAATAGTCCAAAAAAACAACACAATATTTTTAAATATTGATGATTTACTTTTCAGATCAAACTTATAAAATTTAAGTTTGAATCGAAAAAACATGACTTCTCTCATCTGAATAAAATTATCTTTTTAAATTTAAACTTTAAACCCTAGTTAAGAACTAGTGAGCCCAAACTTAGATATTAAATTTAGAAAAAGGTTTAGTTTTGAAAATTAACACCATAGATGTGTAGTTTTGAAATTTGACACCCAAAATATGTATTTCTTAAAATTTATCAAGTAAATACATACAAAATAACATTGGATCAATTAGTCATCCTTTGTCGCAATATTTGTTATATTTCCGAAGTTTTACAAGATTGATGAAACATATGTTGTGCCCAAGAATGTTTTGGAGTTTGTAAGTTAACATATATTTTATGTGCTTCTTGGATGTTTAGTGTTATGGTTGTTATCTATAAAATAATGTTTTTCTGGTTAATAAAAAAATGATACTGATCATTAAAAACTATCTTTAAAACTAAAAGAAGTATCACAGTTTACATTTTATTTAATTAAAAAAAACTACCAATGATAAAACACAAATGTATTTATTCTTTGTGATTTTGGTAATGCACGAAAAATGAGCATTTTGAAATTTTGTGTTTGACTTAATCATTGATCATGTTGGACGAGCATTGGCTTGATCATTAATTAATCACTTAAAAACAAACTTTCTCCAACGAAACTAAACCATTTTCATAATCTAAACAAGATAACAAAAAGTAACCATATGTTTGCTGTGATTGGATGGGCTGGTTGAAAAGATGATAGATACTTTTTCATGTTCAACATTGTATATGTTTATAATACTGACAGCTTCAGCATATCAGACGTTAAGCCAATAAGAATGTCTCTGAAACATACAATAGTTTATGCCAATCAGACATTAAACCAATATTGAATGTTGATCATGTTGTTGACATGTTTTGGTGTCCTACGGATTCCATTCTTGCAATGATAAAAGGAGATGGGAAACAGTCTCCCAAGGTATGTTTTTTTTTTTTTTTTTTTTTTTTTTTTTTTTTTTTTTTTGTGCAGTTCGAATATGTGATTTGCGTTGGTGTCTTTGAGGTGATGTAAATATTACTTTTCCAGGTTGCTCTTGTGGTAATAATCCCTAGCGATGTGAAGGTGAGGGAGAAGAATATGTTTTCCCTTGTTCTAGAAAATGATCATTTTTGCTGCTTTCTAGGTATGTATCAACCGCATTGATAGCCCAAGAGATGGAGGAAGAGCCTGAGGAGCATGAAAGGGGGTTTAAGATGTGGAACTTTAAGGGAGAGTTTATGTACTGGTCACGTAGAGATCGTTTTCTCTTACATGTATATATATTTATATGTACTACACTTGAAAATATGGTCTCTCATTTCCCTAATCATACAAATGTGTCTGTTTCATGGTTACAGTTGGAATGACGCCCATACTGAGGAAGCATAAACGAGGCTTTGAAGCATCCTGAAAAAACTACAAGGTAGCGAAAGTGAATCGAAATCATATTGTGTTCAGTTGATAAGTAAACAAAAAATTTAATAACATTTTGATGATGTCAAATAATTTAACGAGGTTAATATTTTCAGACACAGACAACAAAACAAACGAAATCTCGTTAAAAGGAAAACAAACAAATAACTATATAAGTCTGTGCTTCTATATATCATACTTGACAAACAAATAACTCTATGTTAAAAAAAGGTAGGTCTCTTCACACAAAAAATGATGTTTAAAATTGTATTTCTTCTAATTTCGTAATTTTGTTGTTGTTGTGTCAACTTACTCATTCTCTTTCTTGTAATGAAGGATGTTTTTTTTAGAGATTTTAACTTTTTAAAGATTTTAAGCTCTCGTGTATCATGCAGTAAATTGATGGAACATGTGTTGTGCCCGAGAATGTTTTGGTGTTTGTAAGTTAACATATATCTCGTCTCTCAGTGCTTCTTGACCTGTTTAGTGTCATGGTTTATGTAAAGGCTAATGTTTGTTACTCCTCCTATGCAGCCTTGAAGCTTTAGAAATGCACAATGGTCTCCTCTAGGTATATACTGTGGGAACTGGAATCCATACAATAGTTTCAAAGGATGTGTTTAAGAGAGGGCCTAGAAATTCTAAGTGTAACACAAAACGAGATCCAAAGGTAGTGGTTTTTATTGATGTAAAGTGTGATGAGCTGTGCAGCGTAACAGTGTGTCAAAAAGTGATCCCTTGAACAATGAGGGATAATGCATATTTATACAAGAAAGAGGTGAATATTTCTAGGAATATCTTTGAGATATTCTCGTAGATTCGTTTCCATCTTTATCTCCACCGCCATGTCGAAGTCGGCTTATGCGTTCTAGGGCAAACTCCGTCTTGGGCCTCTTTCATGGGCTTCGGCTCGAATTGTCATGAAAGATGTTGGTTCGGCCCATGAGATGTTGCAGTTTGGCCCAGTAAACTTCATACGCTCAACCGGTTTGTCAGTGCACTCTCTGGTTCGTCCGTGCACTCTCCGGTTCGTCCGTGCACTTCCGGTTCGTCATTTATCTTGTGAAAGGATGTTGGCTCGTCACTTCTTCATGGGCGAGCTGACTATTAAGCATTAATTGGTTTGGCACGGATGTTGCACAGATGATGTTTCGTACGAACTTCGCACGGAGAAGGTCAACGATCAGCTAAAACGGTCCTTCACTCTTTGGCTCGTCGGTCTGTCGACGAGCTGCAAAACGGGTTCGACACAGAACTAGCACAGGATTCGGCTCGGCACGATATTTGCACGGAGGAGGTTTCGTACGATATTTGCACGGAGATTTTTGGTGACGAGCCGTCTTAATCGATCGGTCTTTGGCTCGTCGAATATTGGCTTGTCGGCTCGTCTGAAAGAGCTGATAATCACACCAAGTGGGCTCGGCACAGTATTTGCACGGGAGATGGTTCGCACGGATTTTGCACGGAGGTTGATTATCGACGAGCCAACATCTTCGCTATACTCTGCTTCGTCAGCTAGACACACTCCTAAATTTAGTAAATCTGTTGATCTTCAAGGGGTGAAAACCGACCCCAACAGTTAGCCCCCAGCTCGTTAGTTTCGAAGTCGAAAGTGACGAGCTAAAAGTCTTGGTCAAGATCAACGATGTATAAGATAACTACTAAGTAACAGGGCCAACCTTGATCCGTTGACGAACCAAGCGTGCTGATGATGAGCCGACCTTGCTGATGACGAACCAATTCCTTTGAAAATCTGCTTGATGAGCCGACTGGTTTCGATGACGAGCCAAACATTTCGATGTCGAGCTGATTCGTTTGACGCCGAGGCAAAACAAGTTGATGTGCCGGAGAGATATTTGCAAGGTTGCTGCCGAACTGCCGAGCTGACTGATCTAAGGTTGTGCTTGGGCAACATGTCGACGAACTGCACTGATGACGTGGCGACGTGACGATTTGTTTGATGCCAACCTACGTTATTGACTTGCTTCTAACGAGCCAATTGATTCGTGATGAACCAAATTACTCATGGAGACCATTCGACGATCCGAGCTGTTCGACAACGAGCTGACTTAATCCAGGAGGACGTATGATGAGCCAAACTATGTGACGTCGAACCAACTCAACCGAGAAAGTCATTTGACAATCAAATTGGTTTTAATGTCCAGCTAAAAGGTAGATGACGAGCTGGATGGTCCAAAGCTACGCCAAGATGAGTTGTTGACGAGTTGAACGTGTTGTTGCCTAGCCAATGTTTAGGGAAAGGTTGCAAAGTGAGAGCTTGCAGTGAAGTATATGATTGATTAGCGAATATTTGGTCGAGCTGAAAATTCGTGTAGTTGGTGGCCGAGGAATCGTCAGAGAGAGGATCGTCGAGCCGTAAGGTTTGAACGGGAGTTAATCCACTAAGTCTTAGTTTTCATATACGAGCAGACTTCTGCTAAAACTTTGCATGATGATGTTTAGAAAGAAAGGTTCAAGTTTTTCCGACGAATTCACACTTGGCTATTTCCGCGGTTTGAACAAACTTTCCATTGTAGAGACGTTAAGACCAGCTTTGCCGAGGGGCACTTTGTTTCAACTGGGTTTGAGTTGTCTTACTTCGGTTTTTTCCACAAACTCGCACTCGGCTGTCTTTGTGGGTTGAAGTGATCCATAGTCAAGAGACGTAAAAGACCAGTGTTACCAAGAGGCGTTTTGTCGTTTCTGGGTTTAAGGTATCTTTGTTTCAGTTTTTTCCACGATCTTACCCTCAGTAAGTCGCAGGTCGAAACAACGACAATCGATCGAATTTGTATAGTGCGCGCTTATAAGATAGAGAGTATTAGTGAAATCCATGTTGGATTGTATGAGTTCGTTTGTTGTGGCCAGCAACAAGCGAGAAGTGAGTAGGGTTGAAGTTAGTCAGAGTTGACTTGAAAGTGCGAAAACAGTTTTCGAAAGATTGAGATTAGCGGCGAACCGCGTTACAAAGAAAAAGACAAGAATGACTAGGCGGTATACTGCGTCACGTAATGGAGAGTATACGAATGTACATACTCCACTCCCCCCTCCTTTTTTTTGGGAGGCAACTGAATCCATCAAAGATGAATTGCCTACGTACCCCTCGCGGGGATCAAGTCACGCGTAGTTCTTGTAAGAAGATGATCAGGTCGGCGTGATAAGATCAGCCTTGTAAATGCGAGATGAGCTCGGCTTTAGTCATAATGGTGTGAGCATGTGCTTGATTTTTAGATGCGAGACTTGGCTCGGCTTTTAAGGAATTTAGATGCGAGACTTGGCTCGGCTTAAAGTTGTTGTAAATACGAGGCTACGCTCGGTCAAAGTGGATTGTCAGTTTGCTATGGTTACCTTGATGTGTTTTGATGGTTGGTAAGATCAAGACCCAACTTAATGTTATCCTTGGGTCATTCGACTCACCGGCTCTATCGGTTTGTTCGTCCGCTCACCATGTCAAATTTTGAACACCTCGCCGCTTGGCTCGTCGTGAGGATTTCAGCTCGTTAGGATGCGTTTGAGTCGTCCTTATGATTATGGCTCGTCGCTATGATTTTGGCTCCCTGCTATGATCTTGATCCATCGTGATGATTGTGATTCGCCGCAATGGTTTGGCTCGTCGCCGCGTTTTGGCTCATCGTCATATTTTCGTCCCATTGATGATTGTGGCTCGTACTCCTTTTTTCGTCGGTGTTTGACTCTTGTTTCACCGAAAGATTTCTACCAAGTTTGTTTTTTGTTGTACGCGTAACACTTTCCCGCTTGGCTCGTCGCCACTTGGCTCATCATCGCCGCTTGTGTGGTCATTTGGCTTACCACCATTGAGAATCTTATATATGAATTGTGCTTCCTTGTAAAGCTGGTTTGTTTCATCATGATGTCGCCTTGCGTCTACCATGTGTTACACTTGTCACGGCTCGCCGTTGTCCGTCTTTAACTTATCGCAGCGGCGTCACTCTTCGTCTGCAGCTCGTCGTATTGTGCGTACAGTTTGTAGCAGCGGCATCATAGCTCGTTTCAACAGCGTCATAGTTTGTTGGAGTTCGCCCACAGTTCGTCATAACGGCGTCACAAATTATCTTACTTCGTTCGCAGCTCATCGTAATGGCGCCACAACTTATCGTAATTTGCTCGCAGTTTGTCGTAGTGGCATCGCAACTCCTTCTAGTCCATCCACAGTTCGTTGCAGTGACATCTTTTATTGTAGCAGCGTCATGGCTCGTCTTAGTTCATCCCCAATGGATAGGTTTGTGTGTTAGCTTGACGGTTCTTGTTAGGTGACAACGTCCTAGTGCGGAGGCGGACTCATCATAACGTTCATGGCTTGTCACGACTGGTCTGTGGTTCGTCGCAGCTTGCCTTTGATCAATCACAGCTTGTCTTTTGTTGCGAGCTCGTCACAACGCTTGTAGCTCTGCGCAGCTCGTCAACACGCTTATAGGTCTCCGCAGCTCGTGGCGATGCTTTTAGCTCTCCTCAACTCGTGCCAATGTTTATAGCTCTCCGCAGCTCTTGCTGATCCTTGTAGCTCTCCGTAGTTCGTTAAGATGCTTGTAACTCTCCACAGCATGTTGCGATATTTGTAGCTCTCTACAGCTCATCGCGATGATTGTAGCTCTCCGTAGTTCGTCTATAGCTCAGTAGCCTGACGCTGCGGGAGCCGGTTCCTCCCATGCATGGTTTGGTTCGTTCCGCGAACTGGTTCGTCGCACAGTTCGTTCGTTGTACAGATTGCTTCGTCTTTGTTACGTGGATAGGTTGTCGAAAAGCCGATATGGTTCATTGCGTCTTGATTTGTCGACGAGCCCGTTTGTTTCGTGTGCCTTTGTTTGTCGATCTGGACGTCTATGGTTTGGCTCTCTATTATCAACGCTGAATTATAGTTCGGCGAGACATAAGGTTGGTTTGCGGCTGAAATGCTGAAGATGATCGTTTCCATCTCTGTTGCCGAGCTGCGTAGTGTGCTATTGATATGTTTGTTTCGTCATCTTGTCAAATACCGCCACTGAGTGTGATGGCTCGCTGGATAAATTGGTTTCGTTGGGTTTCGTTGTCGCTTGATCTGCCAGAGGGATCCATTCAAGTTGGTTGCCTAGACGCGTTCAGGTTGGTTCGCCGCCAAATCCAGGTGCACGATCTGCTTGTCTTACCATCCTTAGATTTTCCAGATCCTTCGTGAGAGCTTTGTCCGTCTTGCTCTGGTCGTCGACTTTCTTTGCGGCGTGCATGTCCCTTAACCTCGTCACCAAGGTTTCTTCGGTGTCGCTTGTCGTAATGTCTCTTTGGTTTGTTAGGGTTGAATTGTCCCTGCTAGGAATCTTTGGCTCTTGTCCGCTCTAGTTGCGGCAGTATTTGAATTAAAGTTTGGGACTGCCGGATTGACGCGTTCCCTTCGTGCTGCTTCCGTTCTTCTGTCCTTTCGGCGTTCATTCGTAGGGTTTCCAGATCCTTCTTTAAAGTGTTGTTCATTGTTGTTTATCGTCTGTGTTGCTTCTTTGCTGGGATGCTCGCCCGTTTCCATTGGTGTTGTCGCGTCTTGGATTTATTGATTTCTAGTCGGCGGTGGGTGTACTCGAATTACTAATGCGCACGTCGCCACATCTTCGCGGTTTCCCGTCTCTTGTTGGTAGATCCGCATGCTTTGGTTCGTCAGTTTCTTTGCCTCCGTATGTGTATAATTTCTGCGACGTTGTGAAGTTCAGCGAAGTCGGATTGCTCTCGTATGCTCTTGCTCCTTCTCCGGGTCGCCGCATGGATCTGAGCTCAGCTTCACGGGTTTAGGCTTCCATCATCAGAGTCCATAGTTTGTTTGTCAGATCGTTGTTGCGCCTGTTCTGATCTTCAACTCTCCTTTGTAGAGTAGTGATAACGTCATTCGTTGTTGTAGATGGATCTGCTCCGTCTCCAGTAAGTCACGGCGTGCCTGTCGGTGTGGCTACGTCTTCGGCTCGCTTATCTCCCGTCAGTGCGGTTCTGGGCGGTGCGCCCGTGTTTCATTTGTCTGATATCCGGAGGTGCACTGAGAGCTTTGTTGACCTGGGATCTATGGTGTCTTGTGTTCCGTCAGATCGCGCCATTCTAGCTCGTAATTCTTCCAGCTGGTTGTCGTTCGGGCTCGCGCCGATGGTTCCCGCGATCTACAGTTCGTTAATCTTCTTCGCCGTCATTTGATCTACGAGTCCGGCAAGCGCTTCGTCGCTGTATGGGTTAGCGGCCGAGCTGTGTGTCGTGTGGGCTCCTGTTCCGTCTGCTGGCGCCGATCCTCCACCTGGCGCACGTCCTGTCGCTCAGGGCTCGCCGTTTGCATTCGCGTTTGATCTGTTTAAGGGAGATGGATCTGTGGCTCCGTCTCCGACCGGCGTTCGTCCTCCTCCTTCTGCCTCTGGGGTCGTGAAGTTGAGTTCCAAGGGATCGATGCCATTCCTCCTCGCGGCTCTCCTTGTCTCCTCTCCCTGCTGCCGGGTGGCTCGCAAAGTCTCTAACTCCCTCGTCAGCGAGCTGTTCAGCGTGTGTTGTTCCTCGGCCTTCTTCTGTAGAGCGGCGATCGTCTCCTGCATCTTCGCCAATTCGATCGCCGCGTTCCGGGCGGTTTGTTGTTCGTCTGTCGCTGCGATTGGATCGGTTCCTGGCGGGATGACTCCTGTTGCGTTCGTCGTCGGTCCGGTCATCTCTTCAGATCTCGAGTGTTATTTGAGTAAGAAATCTTCTACTGACCCTCCTTCTAGCGCTAAATTGTGGGAACTGGAATCCGCACAATAGTTTCAAAGGATGTGTTTAAGAGAGGGCCTAGAAATTCTAAGTGTAATACAAAACGAGATCCAAAGGTAGTGGTTTTTATTGATGTAAAGTGTGATGAGCTGTGCAGCGTAACAGTGTGTCAAAAAGTGATCCCTTGAACAATGAGGGACAATGCATATTTATACAAGAAAGAGGTGAATATTTCTAGGAATATCTTTGAGATATTCTCGTAGATTCGTTTCCATCTTTATCTCCGCCGCCATGTCGAAGTCGGCTTATGCGTTCTAGGGCAAACTCCGTCTTGGGCCTCTTTCATGGGCTTCGGCTCGAATTGTCATGAAAGATGTTGGTTCGGCCCATGAGATGTTGCAGTTTGGCCCAGTAAACTTCATACGCTCAACCGGTTTGTCAGTGCACTCTCTGGTTCGTCCGTGCACTCTCCGGTTCGTCCGTGCACTTCCGGTTTGTCATTTATCTTGTGAAAGGATGTTGGCTCGTCACTTCTTCATGGGCGAGCTGACTATTAAGCATTAATTGGTTCGGCACGGATGTTGCACGAATGATGTTTCGTACGAACTTCGCACGGAGAAGGTCAATGATCAGCTAAAACGGTCCTTCACTCTTTGGCTCGTCGGTCTGTCGACGAGCTGCAAAACGGGTTCGACACAGAACTAGCACAGGATTCGGCTCGGCACGATATTTGCACAGAGGAGGTTTCGTACGATATTTGCACGGAGATTTTTGGTGACGAGCCGTCTTAATCGATCGGTCTTTGGCTCGTCGAATATTGGCTTGTCGGCTCGTCTGAAAGAGCTGATAATCACACCAAGTGGGCTCGGCACAGTATTTGCACGGGAGATGGTTCGCACGGATTTTGCACGGAGGTTGATTATCGACGAGCCAACATCTTCGCTATACTCTGCTTCGTCAGCTAGACACACTCCTATATTTAGTAAATCTGTTGATCTTGAAGGGGTGAAAACCGACCCCAACATATACCTTACGACATTATGACCTGAGCCAAATAACCCTAGTGTGAGCGCTTGCTTATGTTCTTTTCAACTCTTATTTTCATATCATTTTCACTAAAACTATTCCACCGATTTGCCTCTAATTTGCCGGGAATGGACTTAAAAATATTTGAAGTGCAAATTGGGGAAATTTTGATGGGAGGAGGTGGTGGTCCTGCTAACACCTCATGGCCTATGATTAGATGAGCTGGTGGCAAAGATGATACATACACTGCAATAATGTCGAAGTTTTGGAGTTTGTAAGTCAACATACATTTTATGTGCTTCTTGGCTATTTAGTGTCATGGTTGTTATCTATAAAATAACGTTCTAATTTGATTTTGATCATCAAACTATATTCAAAACTAGGAGGATTATCAAAGTTTACATTTCATTTAATTAAATAAAAAAACTACCAATGATAAAACACAAATGCATTTACTATTTGTGATTTTGCTAATGCACAAAAAATGTGCTTTTTGAAATTTTGTGTATGACTTGATCATTAATCATGTTGACGAGCATTGACTTAATCATTAATCACTTAAAAAAACAATTTTTGTCTAACCAAATTAAACCATTTATATAATCAAAACAAGATAACAAGATGTAACCACTAAAACCAATTGATGAAAGAACCACTTTGACAGCCAACAAAACAAAGCCGATGCTCTATTCTGGTCACCCACAGGGAAGTACATAGTTCTCTCTGGGTTGAAGAGCTTCAATGGGAAGCTCACGTTTTTCAACGCCCATACGTTGAAGACCATGGCAACAGATATACATGTCAAAGCCACCAATGTTGCATGGGATGCTACGGGAAGCTTTGTGACGACCGCTTTGATGTGGGCTTTCGATGGTGAGCGTCTTCATTGGTTACAAACAGATTTCTATCTCTTACAACTCAATTGGCGCCCATATGGAGGCAAAACTACAAAACTTGCAAGTCTATGTTAGTTATTTTCAAGTGCTTCATATCTTAAAAACAACTAGTTTCTTTTGAAATAGAAAATAACACTTTCTCTCTCACTCTTAGTATAGAAGATATATGCACATCAGATTACTTGAAAACGATATTCAGTTGATGAAAGTACCTAAAAAACACTAAAATCAAATTGATTAAGCAATACACAAAATTGGATTACACTCAATGACTAGAAACGATGTTTATATTTTCAGAAAGACAACAAAACAAACAAAATCTCGTTAAAAGGAGAAAACAAAAAAAGGCATATTGGGTACGGTTTAATGATCATTTTTGAAGTCATCAACATTTGTAGAGACTCTGATCTATTCTTTTACGGTTTAAGCGCTAGTTAGTGATGAAACTCACAAGGCTAGCTGGTGTTACAAGCATTCTTATTGCAGGATATCAAAATTCAAAACAACATATATCCTCTTAGTATGTACATGAACAAACTGATTTTGACTCCAAAACATACGAAGCAAAACTGCAAATGTTCACACTAGAAGCTAGAAGAAGGGGAATAACAATAACAAATGTTCCTACAGAGTGTATTACAGAAGATGGGTTTTAACGAGACTTGGGTCTCATGGGTTTATGGAATGCGTCTCCATTGTTTCTTACTCATTCCTCGTCAACAACTCCCTCCATGGTCATGTCAAACCTTCTCGCGGATTACGCCAAGGAGACCCCTTATCACCCTATTTCTTCATCCTTTGTACAGAAGTACTTTCAGGTCTGTGTAGCAAAGCCTTAGCCTCCGGTACTCTACCTGGAGTTCGTGTCTCAAGACGCAGCCCTGCCGTCAATCACCTGCTTTTCGCCGATGACACCATGTTCTTCACAAAGACACACCCATCTAGTGTGCTGGCTCTCCTTAACATCATCCGGAGGTATGAAGAGGCTTCTGGACAGCGAATCAACACCAGTAAGTCCTCCATTACCTTTTCGGGCAAAACCCCACCGGAAATAAGGTCTCGAGTCAAAGCGACGCTTGGAATAGATAAGGAAGGTGGTGTCGGAAAATACTTGGGTCTCCCTGAAAACTTTGGTATTAGGAAGCGAGACATCTTCACCGGAATTGTGGACAAGATTCGACAAAAGTCAATCAATTGGACCCACAGATTCCTCTCGGGTGCGGCGAAACAAGTCTTACTCAAATCCGTGCTCTCTACCATGCCTTCTTACGCTATGTCATGCTTTAAGCTGCCGAAGTCACTCTGTAAGCGGATCAAATCCGTACTTACGAGGTTCTGGTGGGACGATAATCTAGACAAGAGAAAAATGAGCTGGGTTTCTTGGGACAAGCTGACTATTCCCAAAAACTGTGGAGGTTTAGGTTTCAGGGAGATCGAGGTCTTCAGTGATGCTCTGCTCGCAAAAATTGGAGCCAGAATGATTCAACATCCAGATTCCCTCCTCTCTCAAGTACTGATGGGCAAATATTGCCACTATTACTCCTTTATGGAGGCTCCGGTTCCTTCTAACGCGTCCCACGGTTGGCGCAGCATCGTTGCAGGTCGCGAAGTCCTCAGGAAAGGACTAGGTTGGATAGTGGGGAATGGCGATCAGATACCCCTGGTCTGAGCCATGGCTCTCTACCTCTGAACCAATTCGTCCAATTGGACCCCCCACGGAAGCGTCACAATTCCTCAAAGTTCGAGACCTGATCCACCCCCTAACCAACAGCTGGAATCTCGAAGCCATCCGCCTTCACATCCCACACCACGAACAAGAGATCCGGAAACTCCAACTGAGCTCCACTCAGGTCAAAGATGCTCTACGATGGCTCCCGGTCAAGACAGGTCGTTGCACCACCAAAACGGGCTATGCGCTCACAAAGAAGTTCCTGGAACCGAGCTTTGCGGACGGGTTTAACTGGCAGTCCAACCTATGGCGCGTTAAAACCTCCCCAAAGCACAAATTCTTCCTGTGGAAGGCCTCGGCTAATGCTCTCTCCGTTGGCTCTGCCCTTCTGGTGAGAGGTATGCCAACTGATGGCAAGTGCATTAGATGCGGAATGATAGAAGATGTAATGCATGTCCTCCTCGCTTGTCCTTATGCACAAAGAGTCTGGCGACTGGCCCCGGTTATCTACAAGCCCGATCAACTCACCTGCACCTCAGTCAAGTCACTACTCAGCAACGCCAGGAGAATGATCAACTTGCCTCCTACTGGTATCTATCTCACTCCCCTATTCCCTTGGATCGTTTGGTTTCTATGGAAAGCCCGGAACATCCGCATCTTCGAATCAAAAACCATCTCGGAGGAAGACACTGTCCATAAAGCGATCTCGGAGGCCAAGAACTGGCAAGGTGCACAAGAAGCTCGGGACAAGACCACCACTATTACGGCCTCACAGTCGGACCCTTTACTCGTAGTAAATAGGGATGTGGCTCTGTGTTTTGTCGATGCAGCGTGGCAGGCGGGGAACTGCTCCGGAGGTATGGGTTGGCTCTTTAAAGACGCTCAAGGGCACCCGATTTCACAAGGCACTTCGTCCAGGCCTTTTCTTCCTTCAGCCTTAGCTGCTGAAGCTGTTGCAATCAAGCTTGCTCTCTCAGATGCGAGAGCTGCTGATATCTCAAGACTGATCTGTTTCTCGGATTGTAAGGAGCTTATCCTCCTGCTCAACTCCGGTGGTCACTCAAATGAAATTCAAGGAATCCTGCTAGACATTTCGAGTCTCCTAAGCTCCTTCTTGTCTCTTGAATTTAAGTTTATTCCCCGAGCCCAGAACTCGGAAGCTGATGTACTAGCAAAGTCTAGCCTTCTTTCTTGTATTCCCTCTCTCTTGAGAGGATAACCTTTTATCTAATCTAATTAGTCTCGTTCGCACAAAAAAAAAAAACAGATACTCAGCGTAGAAGAGATTCCATATAAACCGGTAATATCCTCCAATAGCTTCCTGCAATAATAATAAAAAAATTCCTATGTTCCATTAGATACACACTCCGATCATCACATTCATCTTCTGAAATCATTTCGTGATAAGAAATTGATGTTATTTTACCTTTGTGTAGTTTGCTTTTTCTAGCACCAATGTCTACAAAAGAACAACAAGAACAACTTATATTAAGATTGATGAATATGGCAGAGAAACAAAGCATATAGTTACATAAGGATGCATTACCTGGAAAATCAAGCATGAGGCCAATATCATATGAGCAGGAATCATCAAGCTACCTCTAAAAGCCTGTCAAATGTTAAAGGATATAGGATTGGTGTTCACGCTTAAAATTACCGAAATAGTTTATGCGAATTTGGAGGGAGAGATGTGTGTCACCTGAGGCATGTAGAAAGCTAGTGATATGGCAGAGATATAGTTCACCAGCAGAAGTCCAGAACCGAGGAATGCAATGTTCCTCAATCAAAGCTTTGTTGCTAGTGTTGATATTTGGAACCTATTCAAAATCAAGAGAAGCATAAATATAACCAGGATAGTAAAATGGGATGCTGGGTTACTGGGTATATATGTTCCAGTGCAATGGTATATACGCATTTACTTACTTGCGATCTCCTTCAACATCAGGAAGATCTTTTGTAATAGCAATGACCAGTGCAAACAATGTCACAAAAGACGTGATGAAAGCCACAGGTGCACTGCAAATTTCAAATACAGAGTTGAGTAATCTATATATGTTTGAAACTGTACACATACAAGCATGAAAGATTTAATCTAATTATTTCGACCCTACTTGATAAGTATGGTGATATGACTACTAACCTCCACTGAAACGAAAGTCCAAGAGCAGCTCTTGTAGCATGGTACACACCAAAATTAAGAAGGAAACCTCGTACCTGATAAGGACATGTAGATACACAAGACATGTTACTATATGCTATGAAACTATCACAAATGGTCATCATATATATATAGTTGAATAATCAGATTGAGAAGCCTACCGTGGCAATAATAAGAAATGCTGCAACTGGAAATCTTTTCATTCTAAACGGTGGAACAGAATAGATGGTTCCCAGGAAAAGGCCAAGAGAGTAGAGGCAAGTAATGAATGCATCAAAGGCATGCATTGCATTCAACAGCCCTGCAATTGCAAAAAATATCACCAACAACCATGCAGACCGAATGAAGTATCATATGCTTAAACTTAAGAAATGAATAATATGTGAGCAGGAAACAAACAATACAGAATCTAGTAACACCTGAATCTTTTTCTCAAGACTTAAAACACCAAAATAACGAAAAATTTGTAATGGTTTACACTTTACACATACTTGTCAATTCCAATGTCGTAGATCTGATTGATGCCAACTATATAACCATTTCCACATATAAGAGCAAGAAGACCTGAAAGAGTGCCTTGAGTACGAGGCTCCATTTTATGAGATGAGTGTTCTCTATCAATGCTCTTGCCACCAAGGCACTGCCATTAAAAAATCACATTCAAGCTAAATGAGTCCAAGGAAACCGAAGTTCTCCTTGTAAATCAATATGCAACATGTACTGACGTACGTGGATCCTAAAGCTGTTCCACGGATCGTATGGGGCCTGAGAAATCTCCAGCAAGCATTTTGGAAACGCGCAATTTTATCCAGAACTGGATCCGATCCAGCTGCACCAACCTGAGAACATGCCTGATAGTATCCACTTTTGTGAGTGCCATTGAAAATATCATATTAACACACAAAAAGACTAAACAAGATTTAATCTTTCTGAGCTTCCCAGTTCCAGATACAACATACCAATCGTTCTTTTGTGAAAATCGGAAATTTCGAGAAAATTTACCAAAGAAAAGGCAAAATCTGAGCAACATTCGTGAGGTTCTAGCTTTTAGATTTAGCATTACAGAAGAATATATGTGATTCATCTAATCCTAAATTGCAGTTTTTTTTTTTAAGCTCAACAAGCTTTGTCAGCTAATTGAATAGAGACAATTCCAGAAATCTTCAAGTTTTGAAGAAAATCTCGAGACATGTTGATTGACTAAAAGTCAAAGCAAAGGATAATTTGCTTGTTGAGCCAAAGAATGAGAGCATACCCGGATCGAGATTTTTCTATAATTAGTTGAAACAAATTTGGACCGCATTCTCGAAGTTGATAAGCTCGTGAAGGCAACATCTGTAGAGCGACTTATAAACTTCCCAGCTAAATGCGAAGAATGATGATGATGATGATGATGATGAGAAGCCGCTAAGAAACGAGGCGAGAAACGAAGACGCGGTGATTGCGAGATCGAGAGCTCCATTGATTGATGCCACACAAACTCTGGCTTACTCTGCCACTTTCTTTTGCACGAGAATATTGTTTTTTTGTTACTGATGGTGTTTTGCAATTCGGTTCCTTTATTATTTATGTATAATCAATACAAGGCTAAAACTTTTTATTTTATTCAATTGACCCATCAACCGGCAAGTCAATCTTTCGGGTTCGGTTTTTGAAGAAAAATCGAAATGAATTTTGTTTTGGTTTAGTGAGAAATCGGTTAATTATTTCTCGTTCGGTTTAATACATAAATCGATGTTCTCGTGTAAGATTTCGGTTTCGATTCCGGTTCGAAAGGGTCGACACAAACTACAAGGCAGCGAAAAGTGAATCGACATCATACTGTGTTCAGAACACAAAAATAAAAAATTGGATAACATTTTGATGACGTCAAATAATTTAACGAGGTTAGTTGTAACATCCCGATTTGTAATAAATGATGAGAGGAATAAGAGAATTAATTTGGCTACCTATATCATCAAAGTGCACTTACCTTTTCAGTCAAGGGCCCATAAAAAACTCCAGAGTTAAGCGTGATTGGGCTAGAGTAGTGGAAAGATAGGTGACCTTTCGGGAAGTCCTCTGCGAAACCGTGTGAGTTAGGAAAAAACACGGGAAAAATGTCGGGTAATGAATGCAGGGATAGTGTAAATACATTCTCCGAACCTCCCAAAAATAACGCACCGACCGTCGGACAGGAGTAGGACCCACGGGTCGAGAGAAGGCGTGGGTGATTCACCGGGAGAGACCGCGGGGGCGTTACCGAACCTAGACATATGTGTGGAGACGAGTGGGCTCACACTGTAAATCGTTAGGGGTGATGATCTTCGTACACAATGAAGACGTTGCGCTTATTGAGTCGGGGTGAATTGTAACATCCAACATATGATCCATAGGTATTAGGTGTTAGATTCATAGGTGTTAGATCGTAAAAACATATGATCCAACATAATTCAAAATCATTGAAGAAATAATTTTTGAATTAGTTGATACTTGATAGTTGCTTACATTTACAATAGTATGTTAATTTGTTATTGTTTTTCATCTCACAAAATGCAGAAAAGAAAAATGGTACATCATAGAAGTTCTGATAAGAACTCTCATATGAACGTATTCATGTACGAATAAATTATTTTACAAAATAAGAAAGTGACCCATAAGATAAGAAAGAAAGGAAATGAAGTCCTTCTGTCATATGAGTATTGAAAAAATAACCCTGAGAAACTAAAGAAACTTATTATACAACTATGTAAAAACAAACTAAATGACAAAAAAAATTATCACAACTTTAAACTAGTGTATTATAATGTTTACAAATGATGTAATGGTAACTTGAATAATAATGTAGATGTTAAAAGATATTCCTTTGAGAGTCTTATTTTAAGAAAAACTAAAATGAAAAAATAGTTGATCCAAAGTGAAGCGAATGAAGCAAAGCAGAGTTGGGCGAGTACGAGATACTTTTTTGTAGCCAAATCTTTCAGAACATAATATTTTGGGGTATCATCAGACAAGTGACCAGAGAGATTCATAGGTGTTATTAACAACAAAAAACAAAACGTTGTCGTTTTTGATGAATACGCAATCGTCTTCTTCTTCCTCTCTGTCGTGTCCTCTCTCTTATCTTTGCTATCTTCTTCTTCGATTAAAGATTTTCATCCAATTCTAAGCCCCGATACGAAATCCCATTTAAATCCTTTGTCTTTCTGAGATACGTTCAAATAACATGTACTCTGCTCCGACGTTATCGTCATCCGAAAGCTCCCTCTTATGGCGGAAGCGTACTACACCTGCACCTCCGCCTCCGTTCAAAGCTTTCTCTCTTCCTTTCTCTTCCAATTTACGTTTTATCCACAGAACCAAAATTTCACATATTTCTCGTTCCACTGAAACTTCCTCCCTGAATTCAATCGTAAGCTATAATATCCCTCTCGATTCTGAATCTGAAACTGATCTAATTCTAACGCTTGTTGGCTTCTTCTTGTAGCGTCGTGGTAGGAGTTCGCTCAAAACGTCTCCGGCGAATGGGACGGTTTCGGGGGTGATTTTACAAGTCAAGGTCAACCGCTTGAGCTGCCAGAGTCAGTGGTTCCAGAAGCTTTTAGAGAATGGGAAGTGAAGGTGTTCGATTGGCAGACTCAGTGTCCAACTCTTGCCCACCCCCCACGACGCACATTCTTTTCGTTACAAGTCCATCAAACTTCTCCCCACCGTTGGATGTGAAGCTGATGCAGCCACTCGTTACTCCATCGACGAGAGGAGCGTCAAATCGTCGCCGTTAGCATTCTCGTATTCCGTCACCGGCTCCTATGTCGCCGTCTGGCCTCTTGCGGAGAACGTTATAGAGTTGGAGCATTGCTTGTTCAATCCAAACGACAAGGAGTCCCGTGTGAGGATTTTCCAGCTTTTACGCTTAGAAGAGACCAAAATGTTGCTGCAGAGTGTTAAAGTTTTCTGTGAGCTGTGGTACGGTCCGTTCAGAGATGGAGATCAGCTCGGTGGCTGTGCCATGCGTAGCTCTGGTTTTGCTTCTACACCTACCACTCCAGCTTCGGTTGTAGCCGGTTCTTGGAGAGCTCTTCTTGCTACCACCACTACCTCTAATGCTCAGGCTTGTGTTCAACAAGTTACTGGAGAGAAAGTGATTGATATTGTGCGAGAAGAGAAAGATCTTTTACTGCTTCCGAAAGATCTGTGGTGTGAGCTACAACAAGGCAAAGACGGAGAAAGAGCTTTTTCTATAGGATGGTTGTTTGAGCCAGGCCATGCTGTCACATCCTCATGTGTCTTCTCCAGTGCCTCTAAGCTAAAGGTTCTTATAATTAACAATAGTCATCTCTCTTCTCCTTGCTAAACTTGTGCTCATGATTCTCTCTTACCTTGCGCAGGAGGTAACAATGGCAAGAGAGACTGCTCAATCACATGTATAATCGTTTATATAGGATGTGTGTGCATACAAATCTAACATTACAATAAAACGGTGTTATAGAGAAAACTCGCATTAGGTGTTATGTTGTATGTGTTCTCGAGAACAATTTGACCAAATTAAACTCAAAATCAAACATTAAAAAACCAATTATATACCAAACATTTCAACAGACGTTTCGAGTAATCAAACAGAGTGTTAACAATCATGTCCAAGTACAAACATACCCGTCTTTATCAGCAGAAGCCAATGGTTTCCCAATCCCACACCACGAACAACAGAGTATAGGAGATGTTTGCTCCTTGAGAACGCTCACAATCTTGCCTTTCGAGATAGATCATACATGCACCGTCCCATCCCAAGATCCCGCGGCCACGTACTCGTCGTCCGGACTTATACACGACCGGCTCCAGTTCGACGCCAATCTGTTTCCCGACGCTCTCAATGTCCCGCAAATCTCCAAACTCCCGCTCGTCAAGATCCTGTTCCAGTTACGTGACAACGAGACCGAGGTCACAGCGGAGGAATGTCCAGCCACTTCAAAGAGAAGCTTCCCCGTTTGTATATCCCATAGCCTGAGATTCCCATCCATGTGGCCTGAGAAAACCGTGAGCCCGTCTATGCTTAGGCACATGGCGTTGCAGTTGCTGGTGAAGAGCACCGTGTTAGTGCAGTAGCCTTTCTGCAGATCCCAGAGCTTTATGGTGCGGTCGTAAGCCGCACTGACGACGTGCCGGCTCGAGAACTTGCTCACGTCCACGGCGTAGACTTTATCCGTGTGGCCTGTGAGAGTGTGGCGCACCCTACCGGAGCTAACATCCACACAAAGAGATTGTTCGAGGTGGTTGCCGCGGTCAGGGACTTGTTGTCGTGTGTTATGGCTAGGTCAAGAATGTTCCCGAGTGTGCCGTGTAAGCTTTTGATCAAAGAGCCGCTGTTGGTGTCCCACATTTTGACAGCTCGGTCTTATCCACCGGTGAAGAGAGTACCAGAGTTGTATTCAAAGATGATTGAGCCACAACCACTTCATGAGCATGGATACGGTGTCCACATGTTGACGGAATCGTTGACTCAACAAAGTCATCCGTTCCATCTTCGTTCCGCCGCACGATCCCATCAACTTGCTGCCGAGCAAGATTCTCTAAACCATTGGCCTTAAGCTTCGCTAGCATTTCTTCATAGAGAGCATTTGCCTCGTTAAGACGTTCTGCGTCTTGCATCTTCTGCAACATCCACCGATCAATCAACATTTTATTCTCAGACTCTGCTTTCTGAGCTCTATCTGTCATTTCCTCTAGCTGAGATCGGACTTCCTTGTTCTCGGCGATAAGTAAATCCAAAGTCTTGGTCTTTTCCTCTAACTCTTCTTGTAAATTTGTACACTTTTCCCTACACAATCCCAAATCTAGTTTTCAAGAACCGCACATTACTTATCAATTCCGTTAACAGTCACTTTGCAAGAAAACACCAAAATCTGACCTTGTTTCGGTTAATTCCGTCTCCATGTCGTTAATTAACAACTCCTTCTCTTGTAAAGAAGCCTTTGATGTTCTTGATTCAGCTACTTCTATCACGAGTTGCTCGGATAATCGGGATTGCGCTTTGCAACATTGTTGTAGCTCTATCTCCAGCTTCTCTGTTTTCTCCTTCCATTCTGATCCCTGCATGCATATACACAACAAAAGGATTCAATAGGTAACTTCAAGGCGTAGTTTTTTCATCTGAAGCCGGCAATGTTTTAAACTAAACTTTGTGACACAACATTATAACAACATAACCAAAAAGAAGCACAGATTAAAGAATGGATCAATTGATGAATTAAACACCACATAATCTTCTAAAAACTACAGAAGATGGATAAACTCACAAAATCAACTATACAAACATACTGAGAACTACAAAATTTCTTGATTAAGAAGGAACTTTCTTCTTCCAACTGCTGAGAAACAATACCATTTCTTGCAAACTTTCATCATATACAAGAAAAGCCTTAATTTTCCAATGTTTTTTCTCTTGACCTTCTTATACGAGCAAGTGAAACTGAACAAATCTCGAAAAACTGAACAGATTACAAACAAATTGATTGATTAAGAGTCGTACGAAGTATTCTAAGCTAAAGGTTGAATTTGCTGAAACAAAAGGTACCTGAGAGATTATAGGTTTAGAGAGAGCAGAGCAGAAATCGCCGGAGCGTGAGCTCCTTCTTCCAGAAGATGACGCTTCCGTAGAGCTCGCAAAGCGTCTTTTATGGCTTCCATAGCTTTCTCCTCCTGTAACCTGAAAAGCAAAAAAAAGTCCCGACGACCATCGGAATTAGAATTTTTTCGTTTCCGTTGAATATCAATCGAAATTGGCTCACATAGCGGTTGAGTTTCTCAACGGCTGTCTCTGCTTCCTCAACGCTACTCATTGTTACAAAACCGAATCCGCGGCTCTGGTCGGTGTCTCTATTGTATATAACCTACACAATCAGATTCCATCAAAGCAAACACCATGAAACCAAAAAGCATACCATACCATCCTTTTAACTCAAAAACAATCTTAAGACACTAAACTCAGACAATAATATGAAGCCATGAGTTCAACTATTCTCAGGCATTTGGATTCAGTTCAAGAAATGAGATTCACATAACAGAAATTTGAAAACTTTCTCAAGAACACTTAGTAGCAACGCTAAAGAAGACATTAGTTCAAGAAATAAGATTCACAAAACAGAAATCTGAAAACTTTTTCAAGAACAAGAAGTAGCAACGCCAAATAAGACATTAGTTCAAGAAATGAGATTCACATGACAGAAATTTGAAAACTTTCTCAAGAACAAGAATGTAGCAACGCTAAAGAAGACATTATTTCAAGAGATGACATTCACATAACAGAAATTTGAAAACTTTCTCAAGAACAAGAATTTGCAAGGCTAAAGAATACATTAGTTCAAGAAATGAGATTAACATAAACCGAAATTTGAAAACTTTCTCAAGAAGTAGCAATGCTACATAAGCCATTAGTTCAACTATTCTCAACCCTTTGGATTCAATTCAAGAAATGAAATTTACTTAAACCGAAATTCGAAAACTTATTCAAGAACAAGTCTGTAGCAACGCCAAAGAAGACATTAGTTGCAAGAAATGACATTCACATAAACCGAAATTTAATTTTTTTATCAACAAGTAGCAATGCTAAAAGAAGACATTAGTTCCACTATTCCTATACCATTTGGATTCAATGTTCCAAAAAATGACATTTACATAAGAACTTATACCTCTGAAATCTCAATTGTACCAGCTTGCTCAAAGAGCATAGCCAAAGCCTGGCTATCAACATCGTACGGCAAGTTTCCGACGAACAGTTTAGCCTCTTCCGGTGGCTCTTGAAACCCACCACCGTCTTCCTCAGTCCCACTCGTGTCTTCTTCTACTCCATCCCACAACTTGGCTTCCTCAACCGCGACGGAAGCATCTTCGCCTTCTTCCTCTGCCCATTCCGAAGTTTGGGAAACAAAGGTAACGAGAGGAGATAAATTATGGTGAGTTCTTGATTTGAGAGAGAGAGGGAGGTTAATGGGTGGTCGTGTAAGAAGGGGAAAACTGGAGCGGCGAGGTTTGGAGGAAGAGATGTTGAAGATTGAAAGAAGAGAAAAGGGTCGACGATGATGATTCCGCCATAGCTAAAGAATTTAAGCTTGAAGTTACTAATGAAGAAGTCATTTCTGGTTTCACAGAGATTACAGAGGAAGAGGAAGAGAGGGTTTGTGAAAGCGATAAGGGAAAATCAGACAAAGAGAGAGGTGGTGGTGATACAGAAATGTTCGATTAAATTTTTTATTTGATTAATTAAATTAAATGACATGGAATATGTATCAAATCGATTTCTGGGTGGCCTTTTGGGCTTTTCGTCTTTGAAACAATAAAATTAAGGTAAGCTTTTTGCTTCACAAATAAACCTGCTCATTTTTATTATATCCGATCTGAATTATTCGAAAGCGTGCGGGTAAAGGCAATAAACATTATCAACTTCATACATTGTAAAATCATAAAATTAATTTCAAACAAAGTTCACAACGGCTGCAATTCCCCCCCCAACGGTTCACAACGGCTCCATGAAACTGGAGCTGAACTCATTCGATTCTCGAAACATCCAAACGCGTGTGACACAAGAGATAATTAAACAGAACAACACAAACCCTAGAGCAATTCCCCCAATTATATATATAAGATACTCTCTCCATTAAACCGGAGCTACACTCATTCGATTCTCGAAAAATCCAAACGCGTGTGACCCAAGAGATAATTAAACAGAACAAGGCAGACCCTAGAGTGTGTCTTCACCGCCGACTTCTCCGGCGAACATGGCTTCCAGGTAGAGCAGATGCTCATGCTTTGTGATTAGTTTATCAGATTATTTGCTGATTTTGTTTCTTTTGGTGATCAGGGGTTTTTTTTCCAGTAATGCTAGTCAGAAGAAACCTGCCAAAATAAAAAATTTGATCCGCGATTTGACATCACCAAAGAGGCAACGCTATTTCCCGCAAGAAAAGGTTAGCATGCCTGTGAAGATCGTCGCCGTTGATTTCGAGACTAATAGTCTGCAAGATCGGCTGGCGATAGTAGGTGCAAACATGGTTACTTGTTGGTATCCAAACGGTGATGGGCTGATTAAAGAGTCGGATTGTTTCGTTCACGATAATGTAAGTAAATTCATTTTTTTTTCTTACGTGATTAAGCAAAGCCAGAGCGAAGAAAATATAGGAGGCAGTTATTAGGTCTGATTCCTCTTATGATTTGGCTTTCTGATGTATTCCTCACCTTTCTCAGTATCCCACAGTTTCTCGCTGTTACTGGTTTATTACATACTGAAATTTTCTTGATCAAAAAGCAAAAAATATACTGAAATTTTCTTGATCAGGGAGAAGAGAATTTCTATGCTGTTGGATGGGCTAAATCGACTGGTCCCCAAGCCCAGTCTGTCATTGTCGCTGGTGGCTTACTTGGAGACATCCAAGTTATTTATGCTAATGACCTTAGTCTTGTTAAGGTAAAATTGTAGTTAAAATCTCCTATTAAGGTAAAATTCTACTTTGGAAACACATTAATTTTGTTACTATTAACTATGGAGGATCCATGTCTTGCAGACTTTGCCAGGCCATTCACTCCCTGTGAATGACATCGTATCACATCCTAAATATCCTTCTTATATCCTTAGTGCAAGCACGGTGAGTTCTTACTTTCTTTATTTTTAATCCATGTTTTTGTTTGTTTGTCTTTTTCGTTTTTGTAATCTTTAATAAATTTTCAGGATCGAACAATTAGAATGTGGTGTGTTGCCAAAGGCGTATGCCTTCAAATGCTTGCCAATGATATGGATGAACAAATGTTTTGGAGCTTGGCTGAGCCAAATCACCCTAATCGCGTGATAGGATCCGGTGAAAAGAAACAGATCACATCCTGGTATACGGAAGGTAAACCATTGACAATTATTTTTTTTTTCTTTTTCTGTAAAGATGGTTGGTTCTCTTCTGAAAAGTTATTGACATTTGCTTTTTCTCTAAAGCATTTGCTGGGAAGAACCAAAGTTCATATGGTAGCAAAGACTACAAGTTTGGAACCGATAGGCCTGTGAGTTCCCTTTTAGTTATTATCTCTGTTTCTGTGAAGATAGTTTGTTTTTTAAACCTCTTTGTTTTCCTTCTATGATCAGAGACAGTATTATCAGATTGGTCGCACTAATGACCCTCCTCGCACTTCCTCGTACAATAGACCAGCATATGTGGACTGTAGCCGGTACATTGACGAAACTTGCGTTTTATCACTGGTAATTATATGAAATGAATTTTTGATACTCTCTTTGACTTTAAATATTGTTTGATCACTTTAGTTTGCTTGTTTTCTTTGCAGGAGCGTGATGTTGGTATAACCTTATGGAAAAGTACTACGTATGATAAAACAGACGAAAAAACTGTTTTAGGATTCCTTGATATACCAGATTATGGGACGTCCAAGGCTATGATGGGGAACGGATCCAAAATTATTGCAATTGGTAAGAGAAATTGTTTAATTGAAGTACATTATTCTTGTTTAATCTAACTTTGGTTTGTTTTGTTCATCAGGGAACAAACTAGGGAAAGTGTATGTCCTAGACTTCACAAAACTCCAAGAGCCTAAACTTCTCGCATTGTAAGTACGTGATTTCATTTGCAGTGTATTAGGTAACCACAAATGCTTGACATATAATTTTTTTTTCCTGACAGATTATCAGATGATTCCAGTTATGCAATTACACATACAACAATAACTGCGGATGGAGGGTATGTAATTTAATCAAACAACAAATTTGGAAATTTTACCTTTTGATAATTTTTTTATTGGGCATTTTTAGGTATATTGCTAGCATCAACGAGGAGGATGGAATAGCAAGTATTTGGATAAGTAAAGAAGAACAGCAAAAGGAAGTAAGAATTTCTAGACGCGCATATGTACTTGTAAATAAAAACTTGAATGTGTTCTTAAAAAAAAAACCCAAAAATGTGTTCTTTTTTTTATTTAATAGAAGGAAAAGGAGCAGGCAACGGGACCGACGCAGAAGACTGACAGACGTGAATTGGCTAAGGATCCGGAACGAGAGAAAATGGTTAATATGGCGATCGGAAGGTTTTTGTCCGAAATCGGAGCTGACTTCGATGCGGCGAGTTCTGTTCATTTCAAGACGTGGGTCGATGAGGCTGTTTCTGGAAAATTTGGTCTTCCTCTGCCTGCATACGAAGGCCTCAGATGTTTGTTATTGAAGAGTTGCGTAGGGGAAATGGAGAAATATATTGAAGAATGCAGATTGATGTGGAAGAAGAAAGGTTGTTCCCTTTTAGTCCAGGAATCGAACTCGGATCAAGGCCGGAAGTTCCTTAATTTCTTGGTTTACTGCCCTAGAAATTCAGTGTTTCTGAAGTCCGTTGCTGCATCGCCGATGTTTTTAGCTTCTGAGGATAAACTGTTGGAGTTACTTAAGACGGTGGTTGAAGAGGTTGGTGTGGCCAATGTTGTTCAAGTTGTCACCAAGTGGGAAGATCATTACGTCTCTGCAGGGGCAAGGTTGATGAAAGAGTACCCTTCTCTATACTGGGTTCCTTGTGCTAGTCATTGTATAGACAAGATGTTGGGAGAAATTGGGGAGATTGGGTGGATAAGCGAAATCATCAAATCAGCTCAAGCAGTCACAAAGTTTATCTACAACCACAGTGGTGTTTTGAATCTTATGAGGAAACTGACTTTGGGCACAGATATCGTGAAGCCAGACTGCAGCAGCTCCACCACCAGTTTTGTAACAATTGCCAGAATGGTGGAACTAAAACCCAAATTGCAGGACATGGTTAAGGATGAGTTTTGGAATGAAGTTGGTGGATCATCATCATCATCGGCCGCCGAGTCTATCAACTCAGAGAGTTTCTGGGAGAAGCTAACAATGGCAAACCAAATAACTGGTCCTCTGTTAAATGTTTTGAGGGTTGTTGATTCAGCAAGGAAGCCTGCAATGGGGCTTGTCCATGCGGCATTGTACAGAGCCAAGGTAGCTTTTAAGAAACATCGGGCTTCGGATTACACTAACTACTGGAAGATCATCGATAAGTGGTGGTATCAAGGAGTTCCTTTGTATGCTGTTGGGTTCTATCTCAACCCCAACTTTAGCCGTAAGCTAGACAAGATCTCTGATGCGGTGAAGAAGCTGGAAAGTGACTACGAAGAGAATAACGAGGCCAAGGACAAGGATGCTGTTCAGAAAATTGGATCATCGTTTCTTGGTACCGTTCTTTTCTTGCTGGTTTTTTAATCTCATGAAAGACTCATAAATTCATTTGGTTTGTAAGTAATTAAAAATATGGCTGCTTCTTTTTAGCTGAATGGGCGTCTATACATGGATTCTCCTGCGGGAAGCTGTCACCATTTGCCATACGCCTTCTGAGTCAGACATGCAGCTCACTGATTGGCTCTGTGCGAATTCCGACACTTTATGAGTCGAAGAACTCCATTGAGCGACGACGTCTCAGCTACATCGTATTTGTTCAGTACAACATGCGCCTCAAAAGCCTGTAAGTTGGAACCTTTTGCCTCTTCTCAGTTACAACTTACAACACCATGTTTGTTCAAAACAGAAATAAAGTTTTTATCTGCCTCCTTCAGGGGCCGTAGAAGCGGAGATGGTTATGTAGACCCGTTATCTCACAGCAACATGGGAGTTCTTGAAGACTGGATTTCAGACTGGGAGTTGGACGGAGATGGAATCTCAGACTGGATGTCCGGCTCAGACTGGAAGTCACTCGATTCCATTGAGATCACAGAAGAATTAAAGGTTATCGATGAAACAGACTTGGATTCAGGCGAAGGTAAAATCTCTCACAGAATCTGTTTTTTTAAGATGGTATAAAGGTGTGAGAAGTTGTTATAGGGTTATTAAAAGAGGCTTCTTAATGAAATGTGGAACAGGTTTCTATGATGAAGAGATATTCAAGCTGAGTGATGGAAGTCTAAAGGCATAGTAGCAAAAGGAGGGATTCTGATGCAGAGCATCCTGCTACTCCATCAGATTCCGACAAAAAAACTATCAGTATTTATGCTTCGACCCTTCACTATTTTGTATGGAACTTATCCAATGTAGCTTCTCAGAGCATGTCCTCTATTTTTTGGTCTTGTTAACATTTTATGCATTTCTTAGAAAAAAAGAGTTTCTGCAAGTTTGTACTTCTTTAGTTGGCGACTTATAACAAAATTTCTAATGTTTATGGTTTTGTCATATGGTAAGATCATAAAACAAGCGTACATGGTGGACTACTTACTTTAAACATCAAACAATCATTCAAGTAACATACATCAAGATTGTGATAACAATGCCCAACATAAATATATATACATTACATTTAGACGTGTACATCAATATTACTTCTATATCCAACAAACAGCTCTCTGCACAAGTTTGTTGTCTCTACAAAATCTCCTTTGCTCGGTCTACTGAAAAAACACGTGCTATTACTTCTGCATCTGTTAGCACTTTCAATCTGCATCTGCTGATGAGGAACCCTTTCCTGCACAGTCAAACACTAATCTCACACCGGTGGATCCACAAGAGATTTCGGGGAAGTAAAACATAAATTTGGGTAAGTAAGGAAGAACCTTTCTTAGGTGCAGAAGAGAACCCATTTAGATCCTGTCCGAAAGAAGAAGTTTGGTTGGAGAATGTCACTGGTTCCTTGACAGACTTATCATCCACCACTGCATTTTCCAAGTAAAAAAACACAATCCTTGCTTAGAGAAACAAGAGATGTGTTTTGATTAATATATTAGTAGAGGGAGGATTCATCTTTTTACCTGAGAATGAATGAGTTTCCACAACCCCATCTCCCAGTAACCATACACTCCTCCGTTCTGTATTTGTCAAGCTTCGCCCTCCACGGATGCTGAAACGCCGTCGTCACTGTCTTTGCCGCGGTTTCTGCAGCTGCATTTCCAGCCATAGCTTCTGTCGTGTTTGCAAAAAGATAAACATAATATCATACTGCAGCAGTTGTATTAATATAATCAGTGAAACTTAGTTAAGAAACATTATAAGTTAATACATTTTGAGTTAACTAAAAGCAGAGGAGATCAACTGAATGAAGGTATGATACAATGATGGTGAATAGAAGAAACAAAAAAAAAACAATCTTTCAAGCGATGGAGAGATGTGAGTGTGAAATCGACAGAGAATTTTCTTCAAAGTGCTAAACTTTATCGCTTAACTCAACGGATCTGGAGAGTAATCTTTTATTTGCTAAGAAGAAATGTGATGCAAATGGATTCATCACTGACAGAGAAACCGAAATTAAAACTCTACGCGACGATTCCGTATGCCTAACCACCAAAATGAATTTGGATTCTCAAAAACTAAGACTTTTCTAAGATCAATCCCTCACGACTAATCTAGAAATAAAGCTGAAATCTTCGAGGGTAAGAGCAAAATTCTCAACGAAATCAACATAGTCACTGGGATCTGGAGGCTAAATCGACGACAGAGGAGGAGGGAAGAGCCATACCTCGGGGGCAGAGCAACGGAGAAGAGCAAGGGAGGAGAGAGAAGCTAAAGAGAAAAATGAGGAAGAAAAACTCGATTTTTTTCTTCTCATTAACAAACAGTCAATCATATTCTGCCACGTAAGCTGCGACGATTCTCGTCTTCTTTTTACTTTTGAATTAAATTTGGGCTAAGCGTCACCTGAAAGTGTTGGACGTGCTCTCAGTTCCCAATTTGAAAACTGTTCCATCCGCCATTTCAGCAAATGATACTATATGTTAAGTTTTCGTGGGGATTGACTACGTTAATTCTTGGAGATGAGTATACTCAATTCAGACTTCAACTCTGTTAATTTATTGGCTATGGTATCTGAGATTGAAAACAGTTGAAACAAAAAGAACAAAAATTAAGAAATTAGAAGAAATCCGATCAAAACATCAAAATTCATAATTACACTGGCCCATCCTTTTTGATAAATAGATTCAGAATGTTCATTTCCACCTTATACAAGTCAGTCATATATGATGCGTTCTGCGTTCGTGTACCAGACAAACGTCGTCGTCACTAGACGACCCGTTAAGCCTGACTAATGGACACAAAAAGTTAGCTCCAAAGTCTTCATGGGGCACAATTCGACACCACGCAATTTCTTGAAGTGACGTTTTGAATACTTTTTAAAAGAAGAGATAGATCATAGTTTCTTAATACAACTCGGTGATATGTACCATTGGTAGGTTTAGTAAAAGCGGATTATTTTACAGTAGAGTCTTTGTTTATTGCAACTACAGTAGAAATTCTATAAATTAATATTCGATAAATTAATAAACACGATAAATTAATAAATTTTAACGGTCCCGAGTTGGGCCGGTGTAAAATATGACACAATTCGATAAGATAATAAGATAATAATTTTTTTTAAACTCCTATGTAAATTATGGTCCCAATAATAGTATAAATTAATAATTGTCATATAAAAACTTATATATATCTAACTACTAAAATATAAATATTTCACACAATAATCGTATATAGAAATTAAAAGAAAAAATGAAGTTAAAACAATATGCAAGTATGAAAGAAATGTAAACAACAAAGTAAATATAGAAACATCAAAGAAAAAAATTAAGAAAATATACGTATAACGGAAAATTGTTATTTAGTTTAAATGAAAATTTAAAAGATTATCATTACTGAATTTTCTTTTTTTTGAAAAATTGTTTTTAATCAAAATCTATATATTAATAAATCTATAAATTAATAAAATATCAAAGTCCCAGCATTATTAATTTATAGAATTTCTATTGTAATCTGATCTCTCTCTTCGAGTGTATAGACGATTGGTCCATAGGTAAGGCAAAAGCGGTCGATCGGTATTAGTCTTTGTTTATTGCAACTAATCTGACTTCTCTTTCTCGAGTGTATATGCTAAGCATAATCATATTGCTTGTCCATAAAAACCAAATTATTTTTACAAGTTTCCCGGTGCAATACGAAATACATTTACCAGCATAGTTTCATCCAATACAAACTTTTAGACGAACGCATTGAATATTTTGCAGTCTCATGCTCTAAGTAAAGAAAAATAATAAAATACATAATCTAGTGACTTTTACCAGTGATGAATTCCATATTCAAATCCACATACTGTATATGTTATTGGGAAAAAAAAACTATGTAAAAAATGTTATTATTTGTTCAGGATATATATGTAATATTAGGTGTTGTTTTCTTCTTCTATGGTATTGGAAAGCAACTCTCTTATTTTATTCCTATATATTGGTTGACCGAAAAATGAAACAAACATAAAATTTCCATCAGTTGAATTGAGTAAAACCACCTTCCAGAACCCACCCAGTCAAATAAAAGCAATTGTAGTGTCATCATCATTATTTTATTTTTATTTCTGAGAAAGAGTTTCATTATTATCTTGTAGTATACAATACCATTTCATTGAATTAGCATCACAAACATGTTTAAAAATGAAATTAAAAAATTGTAATTCAACCTAACCTAATAGTAAAATTTATTTAGGGGGCCGGAGAGCTTGTTTTAAAAAATTGCAATTTAATCAATTACATGCATGATCAATGATTTCATTGACATACAAAAACATACACGTAAGACGTGTCAAGTGCTTTTGATAGTGACATATTACTTGTCTAAAAAACATGTGATAGTGGAATATTGAAACTCAAAGCGAAGACCATTCGACAAAGTCTTTCCTCAGGTAAACGTAGCCGCCACCTCTTACCCTCCACTTATTTTTCTTCTTCTTCATTCTCAATTTTCTCTTCATCGTTATATCATATAATACACACATCATTGATACAAAATCATTGGGTTTCTTTTGTTTCCAAATGGATCATGAAGAAGAAGAGATCGATATCCCTAATTACTTTATATGCCCAATCTCACTAGAGATCATGCAAGATCCTGTTACGGCCGTTTCGGGCATCACGTACGACCGTCAAAGTATCGTTAAATGGCTCAAGAAGGTCCCTTCTTGTCCCGTGACGAAACAGTCTCTTCCTTTAGACTCCGAGCTTACACCGAACCACATGCTTCGCCGCCTGATCCAGCACTGGTGCGTGATGAACGCGACTCGTGGCGTTGTCAGAATCCCTACGCCTAGAGCTCCTCCGGGGAAACTTAATGTCTTCGAAGAGATCAAGAATCTCAAGAAGTCTGGAGACCAAGGTACGGGACCGGTTGTTATTTCCAATATTTTGGTTCGATCCGGTTATTTCAAAATCAAAAAAATATGTTATTTTGGAATTATTTCGTTTCGGGCGGTGTAGGAAAAATTTATAGTTCGGTTTTGAAAAAAAAAATATACACCAAACAAAATAAAAATAAAACATGTTATTTTCATATTTTGGTAAGTTAAATTTCGTTGACTTGTTCCGAGTGAAAATATTGATACTGATCGGTTTAAGATTAAATTTTGGTTAATTAAGTTTCGTTTGGTTTTTTAATTTGCGCAGTCTTAGGAAAAGTAGAGACGTTAAAGAAGCTTGAAGTTTTGGCGATGGAGGGAGATAGAAATAGGAGATTGATGTGTGAAGGAGAAGTACATAAGTTTTTGATCTTGTTCATAGTCAAGTATAGTTCTGAAGAAGAAGTAGAGGGACGACATCGTATGGAAGGTCTAAATGAGTCTCTGCGTCTTCTTCACTTGATCGGTGTTCCATCAAACGATGCAAGAACAATCTTGATCGAAAACGATCGAGTCTTGGAATCTTTAACTCGGGTTTTACACAAACAAGACTTCCTCAACAAGGCTTACACAATCGTGCTCTTGAGGAATCTAACGGAAAACACTTCCTCTCACATCGTCGAGAGACTTAATCCCGACATTTTCAAAGGGATCATAAGGTTTCTCAAGGATGTAGTTAGTAGTCTCAATCGCACAAACCCTACCTTCAGAGACACGGTACAATCATCAAACAGTAGGTTGGGAAATACGGAACCATCGAAACTTGATCATAGCTTGGTCATCAAACAAGCTGTGACCGCTGCACTGATGATCCTTGTAGAGACGTCTTCGTGGAGCCGGAACCGAACAATCCTTGTGGATAACGGTGCGGTTTCCGAACTCATCGAACTCGAACTGAGTTCAATAAGTGAGAAGAGAACAACAGAACTTGTTTTAGGAGTTTTGTCTCGTCTGTGTTGTTGCGCCAATGGTAGAGCCGAGATTCTTGCCCATAGAGGCGGAATCGCGGTTGTGACAAAGCGGTTGCTGAGGGTTTCGACTGCGGCAGACGATAGAGCAATGTCTATCCTCAGCACAGTGTCCAAATACTCGCCGGAAAACGAGGTGGTGGAAGAGATGGTCAACATTGGTACGGTGGAGAAGCTCTGTTCCGTTATGAGAGTGGATTGTAGTTTGAGCATGAAGGAGAAAGCGAAAGAGATACTTAGAGATCATTTTGATATGTGGAAAATGTTTCCATGTGTTGATGTAACTCTACTTTCTAAGCTGATAAGCTCTTCACCCAAAGATCTACTCTCAGAGTTTAACTCACGAGTTGGTTTTTAGCTACTTTCCGTATGTACTCAAATTAAGCACTTAAATTTGGTGGATCCACAACGCAATTAGAACAAGTTTTGCGATATGCATATGGTTAGAGACAACTATAGATTATGTTACATTGATTTATCCTCGTCTTGATCTGATTAAAGAAATAAAGTTTTTTTTTAAGTGTTAATAAAAAAACCACACTAAAACTTATCTTCCACAAACTGTATGGACATACCGAACAGTCTTCTAATTCAACACAAATACAATAAAAAGCTCTGTTAATTTCAAACCCAAAATTCAACAAAAATCGAAATTTAGAGAAGAAGTCCACAAGTTTGCCATAAGAAAGAGAACTTATCGTCTTCTCATTCCACGGCCACGGCCTCCACCGCGTCCTCTCCCCATTGCTCCTTGGGCAGCCTCTCCTTGTGCACTCTCCGACTGTAATTTTTCATACACAGTTATCAATACAATATATATATACACACGTTATCAAAGCATACAGAGGAACATGAGAGCAAATGTTATTTACTTTAGGGTTCTTCACGGTTTCGTCGACGCTAAGAATAAGGCAAGCTGCTTCAGTCGCAGCGTTTATAGCGTTGATCTGCCATCAATAAATATGGGTAAATAAACAAAATTTTCACAACTGGCATAATATCCTCGAGAAGGAAAAAAAAGAAGAAGTTAAAAGTAAGTTTTGTAGAATCTTGCAATACCTTCACAACTGCTGGTTCCCAGACGAAGTTAGCAAATGAATCTGCAATTCCGCCAGTGTTAATGTCAACTCCATATGAAGCTCCTTCACCTATTACATAGCACGGATATGAGATTAAGCTACTTACCAATACATTCATACATCAACCTTCTATGTGACTGTGAGAGAAGGGCTTACCACTTTGCATGGCGTGTTTTTGTCTTAGTTTGTTCAATACATCAGTTGCATCAAAACCAGCATTGTCACACAATTGACGTGGAATAACCTGTAATACAACCAAAACCAGTGTTAAATCCAAATCGTTTTCTCAAAGGCGAACAAACAAATCTCAAATCATAACCATAAATCTATCTAGAAGTAAGAACGTAAAACATCCAAGCCAAGCATTAAGTGTACCTCTAGAGCCTTAGCATAAGAGTTGATGAAAAGCTGTGACTTCCCAGCAATTGTTCGTGAATGCTGCCTCAGGTACTTGCTGATCTCCATCTACAAACAGGAACAGTCACTTACATTGTCAATGATATTACCCTACGTACAAAATTCGAATACTGAACAACAATGGAGGGAAGATACTTACATCTATAGCTCCACCTCCGGGAACAACGGTTGAGTTCTTTACAGCTCTTCTCACAATCATAATCGCGTCATGTAAACTCCTCTCAGCCTCTTCGATGAACTGCCATTAACGTTTCGAAAAATTCATATTCATATGCTGATTGGTTTTTATTCACGAAGCTTTCAATATTTGATGCATACCTGATCAGCTCCACCACGGAGGACAATTGTTGCTGTACGTCCTGATGGGCAACCACTGAATATGTTGAACCTCTCACCACCAACTTGTTTTTCCTCAAATATCTCACAAGTTCCAAGAACCTGCAGAATATTAAAACCAATCTCTGATTCAAAGGAACATAATCAACAAGTCACCTGCCAGTGAGCATATCCAAATAGCAAGTAAGGAAAATTATTTTTTTCACTAGCCTCGGTTATTATGTTGTTAACGCTCGTCTGAACTGTTCCTCCGGCCGCAGCAGCCACACGATTAAGATCTTCTTCAGCTACACGGCCAGCGCAGAAAATATCACGATCTGCAAAGTACTGCAAAGAAAAATGCCAACTTTCTTCAGTCAAATGAGTAAAATAGAGTCACGCACTCTCTTGACTGATATGAAAATGAAGAAACGAGATGCGAGGTACCATTGTGAACAATATTGATTAACAGGCAAAATGAACTTACGCAGAGGTTTCTAAGAAAATAAAGCATATAGATACACTAAAACATGGTAACATACGATTGCAACTTTGAAGTAACCAACCAATGTACTCATGCCTCAAAGATGTTGAATGATTTCACAAGAAATAGAGATAGACATGATATACAGCTTGGCTATGCAGGGAAAACATCCTGGGTAGATAAACCAATAAAAAGACAAAGGAAATCAACAAACCTGGGTAGCTAGATCACCAATAGCCAATCGAGAAAGAACAACTTTTGCTCCGCTTTCAACACATTTGTCTAGCTTGTCATAAATGATGTTCCATTCTGCATCAACTATTGACTGATACTGTGATGGATCTGACAGCCTGTGAAAAAAAAACGGAAGGAGCCAAGTCAAATAAGGCCAACAGATGCTTACTTGAAGAGAAAAATTAACATAAAGAGCAAGAATTCCAACCTAATCTCAGCGTTTTCCTTCTCAGATTTCAACTCCAGCTCGATGTTAAGCAAGAGAATTTTAGGGTCAAGAAACTTCTTTGGCTGTTGTTCAAAACCAGCGTACGAGAATGTCTTTTTGAAAGCTACACCATCAACTAAGAAAGAGTCTCGCATATTGCCACCAGGAACCTGCAGAGAAAGACATTAGCTTATAAACATTATTAACCTGGCTTCAAAGAGGCACAAATGGAAATGTCTTTCCGTCGACTTGAACGTTGACAAATCCCTCTAGCACTATGCTCATCCCTACTTGTCCAAAACTAACCGGACTTTAGAAATGAAATGCAATAAAAAGATGCGGAATGCAGTAGACAGACTATTTGTGGCAAATGATTGCAACTCGAAAACTGCTAGATAACAAAATGCTATGCTATTGGAATTTGCAAAAAGCCGTGTAGAAATGAAGTTGTGCGATATACAGAGCATAGCACAAGACTGGACATAGATAAAAGAAACATTAACCGACAGACGAAGCAAAACCAATTGAAAAAATCATACCAGAATACTAAAGAATGAAAGAAGAAAAGCATGATTTCTTTACCTTTTTGATCCCAATCATTTTAAGCCTGTCGTCATCTCCAATCGCCATTACAGCATCAACAACCATTGTAGCAAAAAACTCCTTTTCTCCACCAATAAGCTTAGAGGAAAGAGTCGTAGCAGCACATTTAGCCAATAAACCTTTCTTTTCCTCTACACTCTTCCCCTCAATGCTAACAGCGAGTTCTTTAACCTTTGCAATTGCCTACACAACCAATAAACAGTGTTGATTATTAGATCCAGTAACTAACGACTTTTAAATTATATACTCAACGAGAAGAAAACACTAACCAGAGAGCTTGCAGTGCGGTAACTCCTAATCAGATTCTGGGAGTGAACACCATCTTCAATAAACGGCTTAGCCTCTTTCAAAAACTCTGCTGCAAGAAGAACAACTGTAGTTGTTCCATCACCAACCTATCCAACAACAAAAATCAGCACCAGAAAAATTCAGTGTTCATGAACTCAATCACTCATTCTAAGATCTAATACTGGATCGCACTTAATGTCAACACTGAAGATCCAAGATCCAGCTCGATAACCAATAGATTCAGGATTCAATTTAGAAGAAGGGAACATAAAATCCAATTGAGATTGGGGCAAAATCGAAAGGAATCAGTACCTCTGAATCTTGAGATTTGGCGATATCGACGAGGATCTTAGCGGCGGGATGGACAATGTCGAGGAGCTTCATGATGGTAGCGCCGTCGTTGGAAATGGTGACGGATCCCTTATCGTCGTGGATGAGTTTGTCCATCCCTCGGGGCCCGAGAGTAGTTCGAACAACATCGCCGACCGCCGTGCAAGCGTTGATGTTGCTCACCAGCTGCGCTTTCCCCTGAGAAGTGTCCGTGCCTTCCTTGAGCAGAATGATTTGCGGTTGCTGCTCAACGAAAACCCAAACCAAAGTGGAATCGGTGAGTAAGTATCTGAACACGTAAATACATATGCACAGAGAGTGTAGATACACTTACCATCATCGACGCCATTGCAGATTCGTGAAGAGCTACAGAGAAAAGGGAGAGAGAATGGGAGAAATGGGAGTGTGGAGAGAGAGGGATTTAGGGTTTAGTTAGGTCTTGTGTTCATATAGGAGCGACGAGATCGAGTAATGATTTTAGATCCGGACCGTCCGGTCGAACCGGTAAACTGCAACTTAAGCGGATGTCCGATCCAGACTCGTTTAACACCATTTATAAATCCACAATTTCTCTTATATAATTACTAATCTGCGTATACGCGGGTATATTTTAAGATTTTATAATAAAAGCATGGAAAATATTAAACAAAATTTGATCATTTTTAAACATAAACAAAATAATATTGAAAACCCGATAAAAATATTTAAATAAAATAAGATTGGTAATACTTTTACATTTTTATTGTAATTAATTTTTCTTTTGAATTTATGATATGACAAAATGAATTAATTTGTTTTACTATTATTTTTATCCAATACAGAAAGACTTACACATGTCTAAATCTGATCAACTGATTAATTAATCAAACTTTTATTATTCCATTCAAGAGATTTTAATTGATGAAATATTTATTTCAATTTTTTTACCTAACAAAAATTGAAAATCAAACTATTTAAAATTAGAATATCAATTATAATTTTTTAATATTAGTTAATTGCTTGATAATTATTTTGTTAGTTTTTTATTTATATTTTTCTTTCTCAATTTTGTTTTTGCCTCGGACCATTATAAATACTATATATTGGTATTTTTCCTTTTCGAAATGGATTTTTTTCCTTTTCTTAATAGATGTAACAAAAGAATTTAAATTATTTGTTTCCTGTTTTTTTATTACTTTTAATGGATATTTTTTTTTCATTTTAATTATTTGTTATCTGTTTTTCTAATTTTTAGTTAGTCTTATACATATTAATTTTTTATTATTTTTATTCCATGACACATGTTACGATCTTCATACTTCAGAATTTTTTTTTTCTAAAACACATGTCGCAATTTTGTCAGTTATAAAAATCCTATGTATCGCAAAACTTTCAAAAACATGATTTTTAAATTGGAGAAATATAATCAAAGGGATTTGATGAATTTGTTTTGATGAATTTATGATTGAGAAATCTTGACTCTCTTTTATAGGGTTCAAGTAACCTATTACATGCAGTTATAGGAAATTTAGTTTACATAACATATTCCATGTACAAATAGGATTTTATTTATTACATTATTTTGATTTTATTATTTGTTTGGATAATATTAATTTGATGAATGGGAAACCTTTCTCTATTAGGATATGACAAATATATTTTTATTTCTTTTAACTGTAATGGATTAATTTTTTAAAAACAATTTCCTTTATCTAAATTTTATTATTATTGTTTTTTCTTTTTTTTTCTCTAAGACATGTGTCACGATCTTAACGGACGTAACATTAAAAGTGACACATGTCGCGATCTTATAAATTATAAAAATCCTATGTGTCGCAACCACGTCGTGCGCATCCAACTTTATATAATAAAAAATTGATGAATGGGAAACCTTTTTCTGTTTGGATATAACAAATATTATTTTTTCCTTTTTGATATAATATATTAAATTAAATTTCGTTTTTTTAATTAACATTTTTCTGGAATTTTTTTTTTTAAGTTCTCTTTTTTCCTAAGACACATGTCACGATCTTAACGGACATAAACTTAAAAGTGACACATGTCGCGATCCTGAATTTTATAAAAATCCTACGTGTCGCAACCATATCGTGCGCATCCAGCTTTATATAATAAGATTTTAACAGAAATAAAATTTTATTTCCTACTTTTTAATAGCTTTTTAGTTGGAATTAGTTTCTGCATAGTGATTGAACTGATTAGTAAGGGTTGGACATATAAAGGTTTTTACTTTTTAGTAATAAAACCCCTTAAGCATAACCATTAGAGAAGACGACGACCGAGGTCCTCCATTCTCTAGTCGCCGATGTGCCGATTAGACGGCTTCTCTGGATTCCATGATCTATGTAAAGACTAATTATTGTCAAATGGTTCAAAAGTAGTAAAAACTCTTCATGATGCTATCTATTGGCTAGGCTAGTCACTTCTTCTTGAGGCTGAGTTTCTGATTGTTTGGGCCTCAGTTCAGGCCAACTTTACCAATCGGTTTTATTTTATCTGGACCTTTAGGTTTCTCTCTTCACTTGAAAAACTGGGCCAATACATCTTGTATGTCCTAAACATTTTTCATGAAACTGCAGTACAAAATCTTCTTCTTTTTTTCTTTTTTGCTATTTTGATTTCTTTTTCATGTAACACGAACTTAAAAGACCGTACTAATTTTCCCACTAATCATGATAAGGTGGAGTATTATACAACCGTGAGTATAAAGATGCAATGAATATTTTAATTTAGAAACAGTAGTGCTTTTGAGATTTATATGCATAAAAGCCTTCTTTTTTAATAAATGTGAAATGGGTAACTTGTGAGCTGTTTGCTTGTTATTATGATATTATCTTCTTACCGTAGACGCCACACGCTTTCACCCTCAGCTTCCCTTCTCCGCCATTGTCACTTGCTCAGAAGCTTCCAAGTCAACCATGGAGACTTCCTTCTTAATTCTCTCTATTTGACCTCTTCTCCGAACCTTTTACCAACCAAATAATCCATTTGGACTTTTCCTCTCTCCCTCTCCCTCTCTCTGTCTCTATTACCCTCTTCAGTCTCTCGATAAACCGTGTGGTTGAATCAGTACGACTTTTCTACTTCCTTATTAAAATCCTTCTGTTGAACGATTCCGATCTGAATCTCTCTCTCTCTCTCTCTTTCTCCCTCGATTTTTAATTTTGTTTTTCGATGAACGATCTATTTTCCAGCTCGTTCTCTCGCTTCCGCGGAGAACCATCCCCTCGCCGAGACGGCACCGAAGGCGGCGGCGGAGTTCAGATGACGCACCCGGCGGGATCAACCGGTGGTGTGAACCTAGACAAGTTCTTCGAAGATGTGGAATCTGTGAAAGAGGAGCTCAAGGAGCTAGATCGGCTCAACGAGACACTCCGATCGTCTCACGAGCAGAGCAAGACACTTCACAATGCCAAAGCCGTCAAGGATCTCCGCTCGAATATGGACGGCGACGTCGGAGTTGCGCTGAAGAAGGCGAAGATGATCAAAGTGAAACTCGAAGCTCTCGATCGCGCCAATGCTGCTAATCGGAGCCTCCCTGGTTGCGGACCTGGATCCTCCTCCGATCGAACCCGGACCTCCGTCCTCAATGGTCTGAGGAAGAAATTGAAGGACTCCATGGACAGTTTCAACCGCTTGAGGGAGCTAATCTCGTCGGAGTATAGAGAAACTGTACAGCGGAGGTACTTCACCGTCACCGGCGAGAATCCAGACGAAAGAACACTCGATCGACTTATTTCTACAGGTTAGTTTCATCGTCTCTTCCATTCGAATCACTTGGGGGTTACAATTTGGCCAAAATTCAACTAAAATTACATAGTTCAGGGTTTAAGATGAACACTCTCCAAGTTTGGATGCTATTGAATTAACACATGATGAAGAAAACTCGTTGCCTAATAGCTTCAGAACACTGATTCAAGCCTTTGTTCACAATGTTTAGCTTCAGATTTTGCATTTTGTATTTAGCATCTCCCAAACCAGAACATGTGGAATTTGGCCCTTGAGCCAAATCTGATTGTGAAGGACTATAACTTCAGATTTTGCATTTAGTCCAGGGAAATTGATTTGTGTATGGTACGTAGCAGGACTAGTTCCTAGTTGCTTTCACCTGGAAATGAAAAGAAGCTTGATCTCACAAAACTAGACGTATTCTTTTACATGAATGGTGTGTGAATTTGTCTTTTCTTCTACTGGTTTGTTGCAGGAGAGAGTGAGAGATTCTTGCAGAAAGCAATACAAGAGCAAGGAAGAGGAAGGGTCTTAGACACAATAAACGAGATCCAAGAAAGGCATGACGCTGTCAAAGACATTGAGAAGAACCTCAAGGAGCTCCACCAGGTTTTTCTTGACATGGCGGTGATGGTGGAGCACCAGGGTGCTCAGCTCGACGACATTGAGAGCCACGTGGGCCGAGCAAGCTCCTTTGTCAGAGGCGGAACTGACCAGCTACAAACCGCTCGGGTTTACCAGAAGAACACTCGTAAATGGATGTGTTACGCCATTATCATCCTCATCATCATTATCGTTGCTGTGGTTCTTCTTGTTGTTAAACCATGGCAGAACAATGGAGGAGACAGTGGTGGTGGTGGTGGTGGTGGTGGAGGAGCAGGAGGAGGTCAGCCAAATGCAGGTCAATCAACACTTAGTCCTCCTCAGGCAAGGCGTCTATTGCGTTGAAGTGAGAGTTTTCGAGATTTGCAAATATATTCTTTCTTTTGGAAAAACCTTTTGTCAAACCAGCAGCTTTGTGTTTCTACTGCAGATTTCTGCAGCTGGTTTGTTTGTCATTAGTCACCCTTATATTTGATTTTTGTGAAAGAATTAAAAATATGGGTTAGCTGAGAAAATTAGTAGAACATTGCCGTTGTATTTGTATCTATCTATGTTGCTATATCGTGTTTTTCCCTACTCTTATGTGATTTCAGAGTTTATTGTTTCTTATTTGTATTTGGTTTAACCTCTCTAACACAGTTTTTGAGTAAACCACTTCTCTGTGTTATATAGCGGGAAAGTGGAAACAATTGCAAGGAGTGAATTTTAGACTCGTATTCGTGCGTAAGTTTTAATTTCGTACACTCATTTTACTCTATCCTCCACAAAAGTGTAATGGAGCACCTACCAGGAATAAACCCATGTGCAGTCAAATGTATAATAGTCTATACAAATTTAGACATATTTCAAGGTCTTTTTCTCAATAAATAGTACATAGAGATTCATTGTATACAATAATATACTAAACGATTTCAATGGGTTATTAAGGAGAGAAATCCAAATGCCCCAAAGTCAAATCTTATCAAAAAAAATTCAACTGGATTTTACAAAACGAAACAAATAACAAATGGTTTATTACATTGGCTCATAGCTACTTTATATGACTTGTCGATTAGGCTATTGATATAAGAAAAGGATATGTTGAATGTGTTATACGTGAATTTTAAGTAAACGAATGACCAATATTCCACACTTCCCTCTTCAATGATGCATTACACTCTAACAAACCGATCTATCTAAAGAAATGTTTCTAACAAGTATTTATTCGTATGAGAAATTGGATTTATCCAATATGCTTATGCTCTATAACTTTTTATGCAATAAACCTCTTAAGAACGTAAAATAAAAAAAAACTCCTGCTTTTTATATTGAAACTATATTTCTCCTAAAATGTTAGTGCGTAAGAGTTTATGTAATGGGATAATCATGATGGTGAGAAATTGTAACCTTAATTTTGAATCTCTTAAATGTAAAAAATCATTGCGGCAATTAAAAGATAACATAACAATAGATAATCAAAGTCTTTCACTCATCAAAACAAATATCATTTAACATATATAAATATCTTTATATTTAAAAATCAAGAAGATAATGAAAAAATACAATATAATTTTGAAATCAACTTTTTGTATATTATAGCAAGAAGATTTTAATATGTTTCTAAATTAGCGCGAGAATAATCTTGAAATGTACACACAACATTTTGTTTTGTTTTTGTCAAAGGAGGGGAATATCCCCCAATTTATTAAAATAATGAAAATTACAGTCCAACTTGTCGTTAGGTCAAGACCCCAGCCAAGTCTTCTACAAGCAATGAATTCAGATCAACCGGAACAGAATCAAATAAATGAAAACCCAACGGCAAAATAAACACATAATTTGCTAACCCATCCACAAGGTGATTAATCTCCCCATACACGTGAAAAATACGAACTATCCAATCCCTTGATATAAAGCCATGAAACAACCGCACAAGGAACAACAGCGGATGCTTCTCACCAATCCATGGGTACAGTCAACATTTTGTTTCCAAAAAGAGAAATCAAACTTTGTACAAATAATAATGGAAATGATATGGTCAATCAAATTATAAGCATTAACTAATAAAAAATTAAAGATTAAATCATAAATTTGATGTATTGACTATGACCAAAAAGTCATATTATTCTCCCAGCATATTTGGAAAGAAATTCATTTTACAAAATTCCATGGAAGAACATATCCAAGTAGATATTTTTACACATGGTTTAATATTTGGTTTGGTTTCGAACAAATAATTAATGTATAAACCAAATCTAAGATTTTGGTTTAGTTAGGAATTTAATTCTGAGCCTAATTATTTTAAAAATCTGATATAAATGAATTTATTTAATTTATAAGAAATTTATATCATTTTTTCACTATGGTTTGAAATAACCTAAGGTCTTTTTGATATTTACTACTATAACTATTTTAAACAAAATACGGTATATTTTTCAGTTTCTAGGAAAACTAGTTTTGATTTAATTTAGATCGAACCGGTTTAGTTTTATCTTGAACACGTCAACAAAAATTTAATTCTATTCAAACAAAAATATTCAATTTATATCTTTAGAAATCATTCACCCATTTGTTCGTCGACAAATATTAGAATACCAAAAAAGTTTCGGAAATTCAAACCAAAGTTATGAAGTTTACATATAAAAATCAGAACGATAGGTGCGAGCAAGATCATCCATCCTATCTCTTTGTTTCAATTCTACTTATATAAACCACTGGTGAAATATTCTTCCATCAACACCAATTGAAACAGAACAAAAAAAAAACTCAAAAAAGAGAGATCAAAATCAAAGAGTGTGTGCTCATGACAAGAAACAAAGTGAAACTTGCATGGGTAGAGAATGAAAGCTCAAGAGTGATAAGTTTGAAGAAAAGAAGGTTGGGGTTGGTGAAAAAGGCGAGAGAACTAACTATATTGTGTGATGTAAAGGGTTGTTTGATAATATTCAGCCCCAATGAGGTTGAGCCAACGGTGTGGCCATCTCCTGAGGAGACTCATGACCTCCTAGACGATTTCTTTGCCTTACCGGAGATCGAGAAGAGGAAGAGAGAGCTGGGCCTTGAATCCTACCTCAAGGATAAGACAAGAAAAGTTCAAGAGCAGTGGAGGAAGAATCATAAGAAGAACATGGAGCAGGTGATCGATCAACTGATGCTGCAACTACATCACGGTCGAAGATTTGGTGATCTTAACTTGAACGAGATCTATAAACTGCTATCTTTCTCAAAGGATAAGATCATGCTTCTCAGGCGAAGGCTAGATTCCATGGAGCATCCTCCTCTTCGCGATCCACCGATGCATCCTTTTGAGGCGCAGCCCAAGGAGTACTCTAATACCACCAAAAATGATGTTCTCGTGATAGGAGGTGGTAAAGACGATGATAGATCGGGGAAGAACGATGAAGCAATGCAAAGGGTTAACATCGGTTCTGTACTAAGGGGCAATCAAAGTCACTACTTGATGGATAAGTGGTTTGTTGCATCTACTGATGAACCACTCAACTCTCGAGTCCACCAGCGAGCCGGGATTGAAGATCCAAACCCTAGAAGTTATCTTCCGTACCAAGGAAGTTATCTTCCATACCAAGGAAGTAGTAGCAATGGAAACGCCAATTGGGAGATGGAGCCGATTGGTCTCCCGGTGATGAACTTCAGTGATTTGCTTGGGTCAGTCTCTCAACCATTACAACATCATCATAACGTGGTCAATATTCCAATAATGGATATGAGTCAACCAAGGCAATACCCTTTTAATTTCATGAGCCGTGGACTTGGAGTGAAAGAGGAAGGAAGCAACATCAACAATGGTGATCCTCACTTTCACTGGAGCAACAGCAACACTATGACGGCCAACAATGGTTTCCGTCAAGAGCCACCACCACCTGATAGAACAAGTGCTGAAGAAGGTAACGTTGATGCGGCGTTGTTTGATATCAATATGGATTGGCCGGGTATCAACAATCCTCATTTCTAGATTTGTAGGAATGATATTATGTTTGTTTTGAGTTCTTTTGAAACTGTGTTTGTGTTCTGTTTTTTATCTTTTGATTTTCGTTTGTGTTTGTTTGCTTAAGGATTCATGGTTATGGACCTTTAAAGCCTTTTATCTTTGTCATTTTGATTCATCATGATGTCAACAACCTATTCGGTAATTTTTGGGAGCTAATTCTAGACTGGTAGGAATGATATTATGTTTTTATTATCATGTTTAATTTTTTTTGAATCTTTTTCAAACTGTGTGTGTGTGTGTCTTTCTTTCCCTTAAGAGTTAAAACAATAAAACAACTGGCTGGAAATTTTGAGGAGATTTTTTTTACATAACTCAATATAGCATAATTATTCACCTACAATAACATGTTATTTATCAAACTAACTTATCATTTCTTTAAGCATTCCCGATATATAGAGATGTCAAAATTATAAATGCAAATATTATTGCATAGTATAGTTTTTGAGAAAAAATTGCATACTTATTTCTTTGACTTCAAAATTTAATACTAAGAAGTAAGAACACTCTAAATCATTAAACTGACTACCAAAATACTCCATGTGTATATATTCAAACATATTCAATATTATTTTTGGCAACTCAATAATATCAAAATTTCAAAGTAAAAGTAAAATCACACTATGGTTTAAAGTAGTAAATTAAAAGTTTATAAATTCAAAGAATATATTTATTTTTACTATATAGTCAAAATAAAAAAATTGGTGGTTTATTTATTTTTGTTAATAATTTTGACGCTATTAACTGCTATTAATAAGTTATTCTAGCAGGTTTTTCAATTTTTTGACTAACAAGCTTCTTCTTACTATCAAAACGTAAGCAATAATTAATTTTACATCTTTATAAATTAGTATACAGCTTATCTCTCTATTTCAAATCTTAATATAAATAAACAAGTGCTTTGTTTCCTCTCACATACTCAACAACAAATAAAACTCACAAAAAGAAAGAAATATATATATATATATATATCAAAATTGAAGAGTGATCATGGGAAGAAGAAAGGTGAAACTTGTGTGGGTAGCGAATAAAACCTCAAGAATGTTAAGTTTGAAGAAAAGGAGGATAGGGGTGTTGAAAAAGGCAAAAGAACTTGCCATTTTGTGTGATACAACGACTTGTATGATCATGTTCAGCCCTAACGAGGCTGAGCCAACAGTGTTTCCATCTGTTGACGCCGTTCGTGACATCCTCGACGACTTCTTCGCCTTACCGCTGGTCGAACAGAAGAGGAAAGATACGAACATTGTGTCATACCTGGCGGAGAAGACAGATAAGGCTCATGAGCAGTTGATGAAGATCCATGAGAAGAATATGGAGCAGGAGACGGATCAGCTGATGGTGCAGCTACAACATGGTCGTAAATTTGATGATCTCAATTTGGATGAGATCCATAAATTGTTATCCTTCTCAAAGGAGAAGATCATGCATCTTAGGAAGAAGCTGGACTCCATGGAGCATCGTCCTCTTCGAGATCACCCGGTGAATCCATTTGAGGCACGACCCGAGGAGTTTAGGACCACCACGAATGATGTTTCCGTAGGAGGTGGTCAGGAGGATGACAGATCGGAGAGGATTGATGAAACTGCTGGGAAAAGGATCAGCATTGGTGATGTAATCAGGGAGAATCAACCTCATTACATAATGGATAAATGGTTTTTTCCATCTCCTGAACCGGTAAACCCTCAGATCCACCAGACAATTAGGATGGAGACGGCATCTTACATTGCAAATCCAAACCCTAGAAGCTACCTTCCGTACCAAGGAAGCAGCAGCAGCAGCGGAAACCCTCATTTTCAAGGGATGGAGCCGATTGGTACACCAGCGATGACCTTCCATGGTTCGGTTGGACCAGTCTCTCAACCATTGCAGCACCATAACATGAGTCAACCAAGGCAATACCGTACTGAGGAAGGAATCAACATCAATCACTGGAGGAGCAACACTATGACGACCAACGATGGTCTTCATCAAATGCCACCACCACCTAATGTTGATGCAATGTCGTTTGCTTTCAATAGGGATTGGCCAGGATTCAACAATGGAAGTTACCGTCCGTACCAAGGAAGCAGCAGCAATGGAAACCCTCGTTTTGAACATATGGATCCGATTGGTACACCAATGATGACCTTCCCTGGTTTGGTTGGATCAGTCTCTCAACCATTGCAGCAACATAACGTGATCAACAATCCAATGATGTCTATGAGTCAGCCAAGGCAATACCGTCTTGAGGAAGGAAGCAACATCAACAACAATGGTGTTCCGCAGTTTCATTGGAGGAGTAACGCTATGACGACCAATGATGGTCTCCGTCAAGTGCCACAACCACCTCATGGAACAACCGCCGCGGAAGGTAACGTTGATTCGATGTTGTTTGGTATCAACATGGATTGGCCGGGATTCAACAATCCTCATTTCTAGACTTGTAGAAACGGTGTTATGTTTTTTTATGTTTTGTATGAGTTCTTTTAGAACTGTGTTTGTTTTTTTGTTCAGTTTTTATTTTTTGTTTGTTTTTGTTTACTTAATGATATATGTATGAATACTCACAAGAATGAATTACAAATACATTAAGTACATCTGAGTATTCTGACTATTTAGCTCATAAGAAAGTTTGCAAACCATGTAATAAAATACAGCATATATATATATATATCATGCAAGTAAGAGACCAAGAATTAGTAAAAAAAATCAAACAAAGCAGGCGAGAAAATAACACAAAATTACACAAAGGAGAAAGAAACTCATCAGAAGATGTTACTGAACTGGCTGCTTAGTGAGTCTTTTAGATTGGAGTAGAGGCCATAGAGCGAGTACTGCTTCAGATTTGCAACCTCATACCACGAATTCAAAGCAGTGTAGTGCTTATCTGTTCCTGAAAACGCCAACTGGATCCCCAAGCTGCAGTCCACCTGTCCTCCTTGGTTCTTGCAGTTTTGCGTTTTGATCGCACATTCTCCTGTGCTTAGGCACACGAACTTCGCATCTCCTGAACATTTGGCGCATCCGTCTTTCTTCCAGAATAAGTTCTCAAGCCTGCCCTTCTGGAACTCAAGAACCTGCAAATTTAAACCAATATTTTAGCATAACGAAAACTTTGATTCATGTGAGAAGAGGCTAAGAGAGCTATATTCACATACAAGGGTGAAGCTTGTGACGATGTGATTGCTGTCTGCAACCATAATTGGGAGTGATCTTGCGGCGTATTTTGCACCAGCGAATGCTACCATATGTCCCTTTGAAGCATCCTGCAATCACAAAGGTCTCATCATTCAAAACGGATCATTTTGTAAGCTAACACACACACACACACACACTCAAGAGCAATAATTAAGTATTTCAAATCAAAACTTCTCCTCTGTTTCAACATCTCATCTCACTGAAACCAGATCTTCCAAGAACAGAGATTACTTCCAAAACTTTTGTTACCGATACAAAAATCGAATCGATCATGCAAAGAGATTTCAACCATTAGCTTGGCATCCAGAACAAAAAGTTGCTAACATTCTTCTAAGCAGGGATTTTGACAAGTCAACAAACTAAACTAATCTAAGCAGATAAATTCCGATCCAATCGACGATCTATATGAAATTTCCCTAGGATGTACTAATCTGATCAAAACCAGTAATCGGAACGAGCCCTAATTCATCACGATAGATCGGGGATGAGAACGAACCGGGCGGAAACTGGAGGAACTGGAGGAGGTATTGATGGTAAGGAGGGTGATCTCGTCGACTTTAGGTCTGAATACGGCGAGCTCGGAGTTTCCGTTGAGCGAGAGGTGGCGACGATCGCAGGGAGAGTACTGAACCGTACGATTGTTACCAAGGAGAGTCTCTTTCGACGCGAAGGCAATGCCGAAAGTGAATCCATCTCCGATCGCCACGGTGGAATCTGAACACGGCGAGTAGACTCCATTGTTGTCGCCGGCTTCCGTCAGGGATGACGTCAGCGCCGTCGCGAAGAAGCAACAGAGAAGAAAGAATCTGGCCATCTGTCAATTGTCAAAAAACTAGAAGCTCCTTCGCCGTCCGATTCATTAGGATGTCTTTGAATCATTAAAATCAAATAAGCCTTTTCATTTATGGGCCTGGCAACTTTTGGCCCAAAACAAAATTATATTTAATTATCTAAAATTAATTTACGTATACGAAAAAAAAAATACTTGGTTTTTAGATAAGAACTAGGAGAGAACCCGCATAATGCGTGAATTTATTAAACCAAATATTTTTAATTTAATTATTCAGAACATTAGATTCGAATATATCATTTGCTTTTTACTCGAATATATTAGATTCTGTAAGTTTTGCATTTTGTTTTTTTTCATATAGTTTTAAAATTTAGCTGTTATTTACGTGAAATCTTATATAGACTCATAATGAATAGTTTCATATGTTTTTTGTTCTTTTATACAATAATTTATCGACTGGAGTTGAGTTCTTCTAATTTTTCTTATACTAACAATCATTATAAATTGATTATTATCCTACATACTCATAGATAATAATAATTGTAATCTTTTTTAAAAAGAAATGAAATGAGCTAATTAGCCAATAAGCCCATTTAAAGCTACCATGGAAACGAAGAGGTCCGATAAATAATCAAGTCATAGATAATAATAATTGCAATCCTTTTTAGAAGGAAATGAAATGAGCTAATTAGCCAGTAAGCCCATTTAAAGCTACCATGAAAATGAAGAGGTCCGATAAATAATCAAGCCCATCAAAACGAACAGCATTACACATAATTTTGATTTAGATTTTTTTTTTTTTTTAAATACGAAAACGACGTCGTTTTGGTGTAAGACGAAAAAAAAAAAGCGCAAAACGACGTCGTTTTGGTGTAAGACGAAAAAAATATATATAAAAAAATAAAGCCCAAAACGACGTCGTTTTGGTGTTAGGCGAAAAAAAAAAAAAAAAAAAAAGGTGTCACGTGTCAAAGGCTGGAGATTGTCCAAGTTTTATTAGTTATGTAGAAAAAAATAAAATCCAAAATGACGTCGTTTTGGTGTTAAGCGGAAAAAAAAAAAAAAAAATGTCACATATCAAAGGCTGAAGATTGTGTAAGTCTTAGATTCGTGTTGGAAAAGATAGAATCTCCATTGAACTATTGTTTTCCAAACTAAGAAATGTCAATAATGTGCTGTATGATTTACTATTTAAATATGGGTCAAATCTGAGCTGGCAAAATCCAACTATTTTTTGGTACCAAGTGCTTAACTACAATTGAATTTGTTTACACAATCCCCACCTAACGGTTTGTTCACTGCTAATCCTATACGGTTAACCACACAGCTAGAGTTTAGCCACGAGATCTAAACCGTCTATTTACAGAAATCAAGGACCTAACAATATCAACGGTTAAGATCAATCCGACATTCCTTGTGAAAATGAGAATCCTGATTCCGCATTTCTGTTCTGTCTCTTCCTTGTTTAGTCTCCTCTCCTCTTCCTCAATCATCATCTCAAACTCTTAAAATTTCGCTTCGAGAATCAGAATTAATCATGTCGAGAATTTTGAGCTTTTCTCTCGCTATCTCTTACTTTCTCGTCGTCTCAACGATTGTCAGAGCCACCGATGTCCACTACTGCGGTATGTTTGGTCCCCATAAGCGTATCTGTGTTAATTCTTCATCGATTCATGATTTCCAGTTTTTTTTTGTTTATAGTATTTGTTGATTGAGTTAGCTTTGAAGTTTTCGATAGTTCGATTGCCGTTTGTTTCCAAGGATCCAGTTCGATTTTCTTAAGATAATTCTGATGTTTACTTTTGAATTTTGAAACTAGTTGTGGTGAATCTCGATCTGATTTTGTGATGTGTGAGGTTGCAGATAAAAACGAAGACTATGAAGTAAAGGTGCAAGGAGTTGATATATTGCCATATCCTATATCTAGAGGCGAGGAAACCACTTTCAGCTTTTCTGCTACCAACACAGGTACACTCATTTTTCTTTTTCTAACATTTCGTTGAAGATTTGGGATAACACATGAAACATAGATCTTTGCTGTGTTCGATTCTTTTGATGTTTTGTTCTATAAAAGTGTCTCTATAATTGTTCTAAGAATGATTTAAATGGAGTTTCTTTGTTATGATGATTTTGAATTTGGGTTTTGCTTTCGTCTTATATAAAGACAATGTGATCACAAGCGGAAAGTTGGACATCGAAGTATCATACTTTGGATGGCGTATTCATTCAGAGTCACATGATCTTTGTAAGAAGACAAACTGTCCCGTCGCAATTGGAGATTTCTTGGTTGCGCACTCCCAAGCTCTACCTATTTTTACTCCTCCTGTAAGTTTTTTTTTGCTTCTATCTTCTGTTGATTAGTTTGAAGTATAGTGTATATCGTGACATGCTTATTCTTTAGGCTCATTTAAATGTGTATGATCGAATAACTTAAATAGACTTGACTGGAATTAGTACATGGGGAAGTAATAAAATGAATGAAGGTTAGAAGCTAAACCAACGAACCATATTAGTTACAAATTTGCCAAACCAAAATTTGTTTTTCGGTTTTTGCATTCAAAGGAACAATCTGATCCTTTTGTTTCTGACAGGGTACATACTCACTTAAGATGAAGATGGTGGATGGGAAGAAGAAGGAGTTGACATGCATCAAATTCTCATTTGATGTTGGATTTGGATCATCCGTGGCCGACATGTAGAGCGATCTCCTCGCTAGAATATATCGTGGAATCACTCCATTTGCTTTGTATAAAAAGAAAAAGACACATCCTTTATTTGTACCAATATTGTTCATCACAGACCATTTTAAAATTGGCAACCTTGTTCTCGTATTGAACCATTTATGTAATCCCATTTATAAAACTGACACACTCAAATTTGGAGAAATTACAAGAAAAATATAAGTTTTTTTCATAGCTTCGTTGTATCAAAATTGTTGATCATTTATGTAACCCCATTATCAAAATAGAAAAACTCAAATTTGGAGAAATTACAGTTTCAAATCCCATCTTCTTTTGGTTCAATTTTAGTGTTTCTTCTTTCTGTTACCATTTTTTGTGTTAGATTTCAGTTAAATTCATTGGAGTTGACAGTTCTAGTACTTTTCAGTAAACCTTCATCTATGAGTTTTATTATTTCTATGACTACGACTATAAGCCTATTAACTTAATATTTCTATGATTAATATCGAAGGAAAAATTTCGAAAACATAACTCAAGACCAAAGTAGCTGAATTTTTCAAGTCTCTTAACCAAATCTAACCACGAAGAACAAAGAACAGATTAAACAAATATGTGATTTTTTTTTTATACTTTATCCGCTTCTGGTTAACCTCGAGTTGCTACATAGACTCTTTTCTTGGTTTAACGATTCAACGGATGCAAGCTATGAGATCCAAATTTGGATTACCACAATGTCTGTCCCGAGAAGTGAGAACCAAGTTATACAAAACACACATGGAAACATCCGAACGTGTCGACTGAGACACGTGTCCACCACTGGGCATGTACGGACGGAGGTTCATGTCTCATACTTTTTTTTTTTGGTCGGAGGTTCATGTCTCATACTGGTACACTAAGATACAATACCCGGGATAAAATGATTATAGTAAAATTAAATTAATATAGTTTTAGTTAAAAAAATCTGATTTAATTATTTAGTGGAGAAATTGAAATTTACTTGTGTATATTATGTTATTGTTTTCTAAATAATATGGTTATCCGTGATATAATTCTAAACGTTAAAGTTAAAAAAAAAATCAACATAACAAGAATTAATATATCAAATCTGAAATTTATTTATGTATATTTAAATTTGAATAAAAATGTGTTTCACCTATTAAATAATTTCAAATAAGTCATATCCATTATTATATAAATTTGTGATATATTATTTTTAATTTGATATGTAAACTATAAAATGTAATTAAATATTTTAAATGTTTACTGAATTTTAAAGTAAAAATAAAAACGAATTTAATTATAAGATTTAACATTAAACTTTTGACATAATTACTTTTGGTAAGTTTAGAAAGATATAAATATAGTTGGATACAGGAATTAGAATAATTAAAATTTTGAACAATGAAAATAATTAAATTTGGTAATGAATATAGAAAATAAAATATCAAAAATAAAAAAGTTGTGAAAAGTTATGGAAATGACACATCAAAAAATGTTTTTCAATGTTCTCTGCTCCTCTGGTATATAGAGATTTCTTCTTCATCTCTTTTTCTCCTGCCAGAAACCCAATAAAGAGTTTCTCTCTCCGTTTACTAGACGACCCTTCTCGCACCGAATCTCAAGGTTCGATTTTTCCTCCTCTTTGTGTGTTTTTCTCTTCTGCATATTGAAAAGTGAAAACCTTCAATCCAAATCAACAAATTATGTTCCATCTGATGAACTTATTTACGGATTTTACTCTTTCTCTGAAGCTCTGATCGCTACTTTGTAAATGTCTTCCCTTTTATTTTTCAAAAATCACAGAAACGATCAATCCAAACATTGACTAGCGTAAACTTGTTGTTCTAGCTAAATGCATTTAGCTCTAATCGCGACTAACATTTCTTTAATCCATCATTCGATTGCTGCTGATACACACACTCATCGAGATTTCAAAACTCTTCCCCTTTAATGCTTCAGATTTGCTTTTAACCGATTCCGAATTGATAAGTCTATGAAACATCTATGATGCTGCTCCCGTGTGTAATCTGATCAGGTTTTGTTGTTATTCAGACAACATGGCCTCATTTGACGGGCCAGGGTTTACAATGGTTGATGGTGCTTGGATCCGAACCAAAGCCATCGACGTTGAATCATCAACCGACATCTCTCCATACCTCTCCCTCCTCCTAGAAGACTGTGTCTGGAACGGAAACCGAGCCATCATCTTCGACGTCTACTGGAACGTCGAATCCGAAGACGCAAAGTCCGAGTGGCGTCTCTCCTCGGTGAAGCTAAGCACCAAGAACCTCTGCCTCTTCCTCCGTCTCCCAAACCCGTTTCACGACAACCTCAACGATCTTTACCGCTTCTTCGCTTCCAAATTCGTCACCTTCGTCGGCGTCCAGATCAAAGAAGACCTGGCTTTGCTTAAAGAGAACCACGGCATTGTGATCCGCAGCTCGTTGGAGATTGGGAAATTGGCTGCTACAGCTCGAGGAACACCGATCGTTGAGTTCCTTGGAACGAGAGAGTTGGCTCATAAGATTCTTTGGTATGACATGAGCCGGCTTGATTCGATTCAGTCCAAGTGGGATGAAGCAGAGTCTAAAGATCGTCTTGAAGCTGCAGCTATTGAAGGTTGGCTTATTTACAATGTGTATGATCAATTGCAGCAGTGAAAAAAAAAACCCTTTTGTTGACTATTTTGTGAGATTGCGCTTGATTGATTGATTCTGATTTCTGCATTTTTGATATGTGCATTGTTGCAACAATAATGTCTGAAGAACAAAACCAGTAAACACTATGCCTGTTTTGTCTGTTCTTTATTTTCCAACTATCAACTTTTAACAATTTAAACTCATTAAACTCTAAAAGAGAGCAAAAATGCAAAATCCGTTAGATTACAAACATGTTTAAAAGTAACTAAAAGAGAGAGAGAGAGTAACAAGACATTCACAAGTTAAGTTAAAGCTACAAGAACCCTCAACAGAAAAAAAACATTTATCATTTAACTCTGCCTAATTTTATTTTTCAGACCGCAACCTCTTCTGCTTTTATAGTAGTCATCTTCGTGTAATGAAACTCGATCTGTAACCGGTGATGAACAGGCACAGTGGAAGCCAACCCTTTCTTGATATCCTCTTGCAACTCCCTAATCGGTATCGCCGCCAAGAAACTCTTAATATACTCTCTACACGACTCTTTCCCTCTGCACACAACCTCCGATTCCAACTCACACGTCTCCGGTTGCGACTGCGGTTGCGTTTCTTCTGTTTGAAGATTCTTGTGAATAACGGTTTTATCGTCGAATCTCAAAATGTAAGCTTGATCACAACCTTCATAAAGCCTCTCTCCTAACGTGTCAATGATAAAGTAAGCCTCTTTCTCAACTTTGAGAACAAAGAAGTGATCATTCCAGCTCACAACGTAAACACTCTCCTCAAGATTGGTCACAATCTCATCCCAAATGCTCTCGAAAGACATTGCGCCTTGAAGAAACTCGAATCTTCCTTCGTTGATCATCCCTTCAGGGTGGAAGAAGCCAACGAAGGACTTCTCAGGGACAACGGACAAAGACCTGATCTTCGCTTGTAACACGGTGTCGAGGTCGAAATGCTTGTCAGGGAACTTCTGCATGTAGGTTTCGTTCTCGCAGAGGTTTCTCCACTCTAAGGAGCCTTCTCTGATCAAACTATCGAACTGAGACTTGATCGGCATGATGTTACCGTTCTTCTGGAACCAGTCCGCGATCACCGCTACAAGAGCCGTGCACGCGCTCTCACCAGCTGCTCGCTCGCTTCTCTGGTCGATGGAAGCGAGGAAGACGTTCGTGTGAAGCTTCATTTGTCCGTCTCTGCTTATCACTTCTTTCTCCTCCCAACTTCCAATCGCAAAACTGTCGTCTCCAAACTCAGAGAAAGAAGAGAGCTGATTGGCTGATGATGAATCTTCCTCTCTTTGGCTCTGCAATGAAACATATGCAAGAAAAATGAGAACTTTGAACACACACAGAGAAATGAGCAAGAATCAAGAACAAGATCTTACCTTGTGAGCATCATCTGAGCTAAGTTGTCTCCGATCAAAGTCAATGTCATCTCCACCTTCTTCTCCGTTGTCCTTCTTCAACAAAGGCTCTCCTTTGGATTTCGGAGACCTAAAGCTCAGTTTCCGTTTCCTCCACGGCAATATGCTGCGTCGTGGAAGAAGAGATGTCTCGTAGACCAAACCAGCAATGGGATCTTCAGCGTCAGAGCAACCTCCTCCTCCTGCGACGTCAGATTTCCTGTGGCTATAATAAATCCAATCTTCATCTTCATCGCTAGCTTTTGTTGCGCCGCAAGAGTTCAACGAGCTTCCCACGCCGTTTGCGTAAGACAAAGGTCCATAAGAGAAAGATTTTCTCACACTCATTAAATCTTCTTTGCCTTTGTAGAAATCTTCTTCGAACTCGTCTAGTGATTCCGATGATTCGAAGCTCGAGAATCTGTCTTCTTCTTCTTCTTCTTCTCGGCAAGGCTTCTTGGCTTTCCTTGTGGAAACAAACTCTGTAAAAATCTTGACTTTCCTTAGACCAGCTTTGATTGCAGAGACGTCTTCCTTCTCTGTTTGTTGAGTTTCAGTAGCCTGCGGTGGTGGAGATGGAGACGGGACAGGCACAACCGCGGTTTGTGCCACCGAGTCCAATGTTTCTGAAGCGGCTCTTAGCTCAAGCAAGCTCAGTGATACCTAAAAAAGCACAAGAGAATCACTAAAGGTTCACTAAACCAATAGCAAGCCAACAAAGTAGTAAAGAGAGAAGAAGTCTTACAAAGAGCAATGGATGTGGCTCGGAGGAAGCAGCAGAAGCAGAGAGAGTAAGAGGAATGTTCAAATCAAACTCCTTTTGATCACTCACACGAGCGTACTCAGCAAGATTCAAGAATGCTGTTCCAACAACAGGAGCTGCTTTGTTCTTCTGCCCTTGCTTCACTCCCTGAAATCACAATAAAAATTCAAACTTTATCAGAATTGCGTCTTCTTTGTCTATAAAGTCTCAAGCTTTTGATAATCCAAACTACGGTTTCATAGTATATTGTAGAATCTATAAGCCTAATTGAGCATTTCCCAAGTTGAACATTTGAATCTAGATACTACTAATCAAACCAAATTAGTCTCTTTGATCGTTTGTTTGAAGACTTACATTGGAGAAGACAGAGAAAGCAATCTCCCAAGGATAAAAGAGAATGTCTTTGTAACAAGTGAGAGAGCATAAGCTCTGAAACTCTTCGTCTTCCCACGAAACGACGTCGCTTTCTCCCACAGCTTCCTTTGTGAAGTTCCTCTTCGCCGTCGTCCTTCTCAGAGATCCCAATGTCGACTTTGGTCCTTTCCACCGAATCTCCACCGTCAATCTCTCCTTCTCCGGTGAGCTCTCTCTCACCGGATCCCAACCTTCCAGCCTCCTCACCGATACCTTCACCTCGTATTTCCTCGTTACTAGCGGCGGCCATGGCCGCCACTTCATCATCTTCACCACCATTTTTTCCTCTTTTTTTTTCACGCAAATTGAATCAAAAAGAAAGAGAATCTCAGAAGAAGGAAGAGACGTGGAAGAAAAAACTCTTTCCAGGAGTTGAGAAATTTGGGAAACTAGAAATCTAGAAAATAACAAAGTTTCTTTCTTTGGCTTCAATCTAATTACTCGAAAACTATTAGATCAATGCCCAGAAATAGAAAGCAAATTTTAGACTTAGAAAACTTTTTTTTCTTGGTAAGACAAAATTGAAGCAAAAACATTAGCTTGAGATTAGCTTCCAGCTAAAGATGAAAAGGATATGGTGTGAGAGGAGAGAAGAAAAAAGAGAGGGAGAGAGAGAAAGTGCGCGCACACACAACACAGCACAAGCGTGTAGACAGACAGAGACAACGAAGAAAGTGAAAAAGAAAGATCCGAGCTTCACAGATCTGTCCCTCTCTCTAACGATACGATAGAGAACAGTGGCCGAGAGAAAAAACAACCCGGTGTTAAAATTAAATGTGTGAAATTAACTAACCGTGGTTAAGTTGGTTGGCGTATCAACCGGTTTTATTATAATTGTTTTGATTTTGATCATACAGCGACTACTTCACGGCGTCAATTTAGTTATGTTTTGTCCTTTTCTTTTCCTTTCTTGGAGTAAATCCTTTAGAAACAAGTTGTGTCATTTTTCTTTGTTTTATTAGTAGCTCAAATTAAATTAGTTCAAGACTTCAATTTTGGCTTCATGTGTTCGAGAATTGGTAGACCATGTGTTTTTGTCCCATGATGATACTTTAATTTAAACGTACTAATTTTGGTTGCATTTGTCTATTATTACTCCTCCCAAAATTATTGTCATTCTAATAAATAAAGGGTATCTCATCATTCCACTACTGAGAATTTGAAATTTTGGTGTCTGATAGCAGAACTTATTCTGGTGAAAAGAACAAGAAACAGAATTGCTTTTTGTAACTTGCTATAAATATGCAAAACTATTGGATAAACTCGATATAAATGAATTAAAGTTATATTTTCAGATATCTCCAAACATTTAGGAACGACCATATAGCTACAAAATAATACATATATGTGTGAACCTATAATATGTATTTCACTATATATATCTACATGCATGTATTCTTCTTTCTTCATATAAGTTTAGTTTTCGTTTAGCAACAGTAAAAAAGAAAGTAAGTTTTGTTTTCACTTTGAATGATTAAATTATGCGACAACGTTTGACAATGTGGTTCATGCCACTAGATGTGGTGGTCACTTGGTCATCGCTAATGCTTCACACTAAAGAAACAAACGGTATCAAGTGCATTATGCATGGTTATCCTTTTTTAATTATCGCCGAAAAAAATTCAAAAAAAATCAATCGAATCATTTAGTCAGCGATATTATCGGTTTATGAGATGGTGGGATTTCAGCGTTGTCGTCACGCTAGCCATTGACTGCATGATTAAGAACTCAGTTGAACGAACAAAATACTGAAACTTCAAACTAGTAATACTACTATTAAATAAACTAGGTTTGAAGCCCCGCGCAAGCGCGGGGTTGTTTGCAATGTTTTCTGTTTAGTTTTGTTTATACTTTATCTCACATCGCGTGTCCTTTTATTTTATTTTATTAGGATGTTAACACCCCACTTTATCTCGAATTTTCTATTTCTAACATTTTAGCATATTATAAATATTATGTTTGTTTACTTTTGTTAGACTATAAACATGCATATGTATAATTTGACTCAGCGTTAAAATTTGTAAGTATATTGTAAAATCGCATTTGCACCGAAATAGGATGAAAAAATATATATATACTTTTATACATATCTACTTTGTTGTGGTAGCATATGAGCCTCATGACCATTGATTATTTTCTATTATGTTAGTTTTGTAATTGAATATATTTGGAAACAAACATATCACAATCCTTAAAATTTTCATGTTTTTCACTGCAATTAAATTTACATATAAAAACTTGACTTCTATTTGTTTAAAAAAGCAAACTCTAACTCTAATTTCTCATTGGTTTTTTATTATCTTAATTAATTTATATTCAACTTTTTAACTTGTGAACACATTATAACATTTTGAAGTAGGATAAATCTTTTAATAAAAAGGTAAATATATACCATTTCAAGATAAATATATTTTTACTTATATCCAAACTTTTTGATAACTTTTAACATCAAGTTATCACATACTTTATATTAATTAAGTAATTTAGTTGTGTATTTTTCTTAGTTTTATTTATATTTAAAAATATAAATATAGGTAAAGAAATATGAATAGTCATGTATTAAATATTTTAAAAACAATTTAATGAATTTTTTGGCTGATGTGGATAGCCTAGATGGAGAGAGCAAACTCTCCTATTATATATAAGATAAAAGTTTAATCGTTTTTAGTTTTTTTTTTTTTTTTTTTTCGTTTTTAGCGTTGAAGTTGGGTTTTGTGTCTCGACCACAATTTTAGAGCTACTTTTTAAAAGCTTGCTTTTCTTTGGATGCTTGATGGTTGATGCGTCTGATGCCAAGAGTTCGTGTGACATTTTCTCCCATATCGTTTATTTTCTATGAAACTCATTCTGATATAGAGTTTGAAGTGAGAGTGTCCTTTCGAGGTAGAGAAATTATGAGAGTGTAACGTGGAGTCGTGGACAACTATATATAGTACGTCGATCATGATCAAATTAAATTGTTTGCTACTGATATTGGCATATTGCAATGAGAATAAATATAATTTATTTGGTTTAGACTTTGAAATGTGGTTTTTATTTTCCATTCCTTTTCTTTTTTGGAAATTATTGTCGAGGTGTCAGATATGCGACTAGTAGCACACTATTAGGGGAACGCTGACTTCTATTTTTGTATATACAAAGCAATAACAATCCAAAACAAAACAATTGACTTGTTCAGAAGACCAGTTCAATGGGAAGTGAAGATGGATTTCGTGCATGATTTGGTATTTGATTGCCTCATACATTGTGACCATTGATTTTTATTTCATCTTCATCATCTCATATTGTGTTGTCGGTTTCAGTATGTGATCGACGGACCCTGTTGGGGACATAGTGGCCAATTTGCAGATGCTTCTCCTCATGTAAGTATTTAACGGATAATCATCTATCTTGTGAAAGAAAAGAAGGAATCGTGAAACACACTCTCTAAAATCCTAATTATATTGGACCACTTGGCCCAAAAGCTTGAAAAGCCCAACAATTGTCCCTTCTTGCACTGTTCCTCTACGTACGATAGTGCAAGTAAACTTACCAATACCAATATACTACATACATGGCTAATTATGAGAGATGGTGTTGGTTCCTACCTAACATGATCTTCATCAAAATCATCCAGCTTTTCCTCATGAACCAAACATCGACATTACAAGAAAAGGCTCAAAGTGGGGTTTCACTTATCATCATAGTTTGGATTTTTAAAAAGCTAGCTATTTTAAAGTAGACTTTATGAATAATGTAAGAAAATTTTACTTTATAAATTTAATTTTAAAAGCCAGATGTCCTACCGGACCATATTAGTGGAGTGGGTTCACCATCAATGGATCCGTTGTCATAAAATGGCTGATGACCACCTAAGATATGATACTAGTAGTATTTATGAATAAATTGATTTTGTCACTATAATATTCATTTTAGTGGTACATTAGTAAGGAGATTTGCTCATGAATAAGATGGAGTAGTTTAAGGAATCCTTGTGCACAAAAAAAAAGTTTAAGGAATCCTATATTTTAACTCTAATGAACAAAAGTAAATTCTTTAATTTAATTTAAGAAAATAAATGATTAAAAGTTTTAATATTTGTTTCCACTAATATCTTCATTTTAAAATGGATAAAGATAAATAATTATGAAATAGTTAATGCACAAATCTTGCTTTATTAAAGAAAATAAAAATATTAATAGATGTCATGGACCAATAAGAAGAAACACTAAAACCTAAAACAAATTTTGTGTGAAACAACAAAAAGAATGAATGTTGTTTATCGGATTTTGGGCCTATAAATAACTGACATTGGGCCACCACCATTGCCTCTGCTTCATTGTCCTTTGATATTCACAACTGAGTTCCTCCGCTATCTCTATCTCTCCCCCATCATCATCTCTCATCCAATCTAAAATCTATTGCCGCGAAACACAGAGAAATGAAAAGCTCACTGGAAACGACGGCTCCGGCGACGGTGGAACCTCGAGGTATGTCCGAATCTCTCTTTGAAATCGTACGTCGGTCGCAAAAGCCTGACGGTTCTGTTTTTGTTTGGTTTAGACTCAAAATTGGGTTAAGAAGATATAGGATCTAATACTTCGTTCTCATGATGATCTCATCTTTAATGAATTTTCTTATTAGTTTCTCTCGACATGATTATCTGTTTAGTCCGCTGCAATAATTTGGTTGTTTACGTCTGTTGGTTAATGATTTATACAGTCTGTATTTATTTTTTTGATTGGCGTATAAAATGATGACATTATAAGTTATAAAAATGTTTTTCGTATTTGTGTTGTTTGTGACAAGATCTTGCTTTGTAAACTTGTGGATGAAAACATTTTTTTTTCTTCCTTTCTTTTAAGCCCTTAAGCTTATAAGCAAGTTTTACTATAGTTCTTGGAACAGAATCATCGGAGAAAAACAGCTCAATGACTGGTGACAAACTGAGACTGAAAGGGTTAAAATTTTACGGTCACCATGGAGCGATTCCAGAAGAGAAAACTCTAGGGCAGATGTTTCTTGTTGACATTGATGCGTGGATGAGTCTTAGAGAGGCTGGTGAATCAGACAACTTAGCTGATACAATCAGCTATGTTGACATTTTCAGGTTAGCTCTTACCAATATTCTCTATGTCTCATCCCTAAGTTATGACTAGTTAAAATCATATATAACTTTGGTGAGGAAAATGAATATGATTTGCAGTATAGCTAAAGAAATTGTGGAAGGGTCACCGAAGAATCTTCTGGAGGCAGTTGCGGAACAAATCGCGTCCAGAACGCTTGAAACGTTTCATCAGATAACCGCTGTTCGAGTGAAGGTATCGAAGCCAAATGTTGCACTTATTAAGACCACTATCGATTACTTAGGGGTCGAGATTGTCCGACAGCGAAAGCACTAATTCAAGGAACTGAACAAATTTGTGTCAATAATCATTTGTTGAGACTATCCCATGTTCATTGTCATATTTAAACAAATTAAAAACCTTAAACATGTTGACCAATTCCTTTTCTTATTTATATAGTTCATTTTACAATATCAAGAATTATTCATGAAAAAAACTGTTTAGTCTTCTGAGTCTTCTTTGTTAATGTCATCGAGAATTACAATGAGAGAGACTATGAAAGCAAAATCAACATTCGGAAAAACCGAAACCGAGAAATTGCTCTTCCCTAATATTATGCTCTGCGCGGTATGTTTCTTGTGCATCTGAAGAACCATAACACAACAACGACAAATCGGTTAATACGATGAGATTCACTAGCTGCACCGGTTTACATTTTACATGAAATTAGTCCGGTTTTTGAAAAAGTTGATTGCGTACCTGAGCAACAATGGGCCCATCAGATTTTCCGGCGTAGACGGTACATGACCGGTCGATCCAGCTTCCTTTGACATGGAAGTCGCATATCTTCATTTCCTTATTTTGAGCCAAAAAAATGTCGAGTTTTGGCTTCAATATCTGAATCATGGACGATCGTTTCAATGTGTATACGAGATCATTTTGGTCTGTACTCTTCCCTCTGAATACTTGCCACCTATCGTGCAAGCTCACCTTCTACGAAAAGTTCAAAAAGTAAATATGTTATAACGAATTTAAACAAATGAAAAAAAATTAGACGTCAACACAAGTTAGTAGAGAAAAATGTTTGTGTTCTTACATTTTCTCTCAACGTAAGAATTGGAGTATCCGATGCATCCAACAAAACTCTTTTGTCGGAGAGACTAAACAAAGGCTCTTTGACTTTGAAAAGGAGATTGCCATTAGCGTCTGTGACGGCGAAGTTACCATCGGGTATAGTCATCAGCTTCCGTACGATTCCCAATTCTATCGGGTACGGTGCGCAGAATTGAGGACCAACGATCGCCATTTTTATGAATCTCTCTCTTTTTTCCTCTGTTTATAATTCTTTTATACGCTTAGGGATGATGAGATTGTGTTCGTTGTTCATCATTTTAGTTTGTTTATATAACGAGAGAAATCCGCGTGAAAATCTAAGTGCTTTTAATTTTGGATTTTTTTTCTATATTTGTTTTGCTTATTCTTGGAAATTATCTTATTTTATATTTTTGCCAATTTAGCTGATTACATTTTGGGTCATTTTTTTTTTAACGGGTTGATAGAAAGAATAAATTACAAATTATGAATTATCCTTTTTTGTGTGGAAGTACTAAAATGCTGATCAAAGATTACTTAACTACATGCTCAAATACCAACGAGCCACTTGCAACAAGCACATATTTTGTGTCATATAGCACAATCTAAATATCTAAAAGTGTCTTTAGCGAAAAACAAAAAATCTATGCCTGTTTAATTATGGTTTTTGCTACATACCCTTTTACCTATTTTAAGTAAACTATTATATTTTTTATATATAGCTTGCAATCACATTTGTTTATTTTCTCACTTATTGCCACATTCAAAATTAAGTTGTAATGTTAGATATCAAAACTTTGTTAATCATCTAAAAATTTGTGAATAAAAATGCCAGACTGTACAAATTCTAGTGAGAAAATATTCAAAGTTTCTTTATTGTCACGGGACAAAGGAATTAAAGTAATATTTTAAAATTGTAAATAAACTGTTGACGGGAAAAAGAAAAGGAAAAATCCAATTGAAGTCGTGGGGTTCAATATTCACGACTTCACGGCACTTAATTGACACGCCTAACCGCAGCTTCCTTTTTCTTTTCTAGAGAGAAAGCGTTTTCCAGGGAAACTTTTCCCCATCTTCGAATCGGCACTACCAGCTTGAGAAATCATGAGCAACGAGTAGTAAGTGGTTCTTCTTCCGCATTTTATTCGTTCCGATTTTGAATTTGTCGGCACCACTCGCATCGAATTTCGTATTTATCCTTTTTTCTCTCCATTTGGGCGTTTTATTGTTGTTGTAGCGATTATCTGTTCAAGCTTTTGCTGATCGGTGACTCCTCCGTTGGAAAATCGTGCCTGCTTCTTCGATTCGCTGTGAGTTTGACTTGATTGACTCTGTTGTCGATTTCTGATCTCAACCTCAGCTCCTCTTTCCAGTTTCTCCCATTTTGAATATTGAGCATGAAATTGCCTGATTCTGGATTCGCTTTCATTTTCCCCAGGATGATGCGTACATTGACAGTTACATAAGTACCATCGGTGTTGACTTCGTGAGTTCTTTATCATCTTGGTTACCACATGTATCATAGCTAAGGATTCAATGTGGTTTATATCGATTGTTCTTTCAAAATTGGCAGAAAATCAGGACGATTGAGCAGGATGGGAAGACTATTAAGCTGCAAATCGTGAGTTTAATCTTCTCAATTAGGGCATTTTTTTTTTTTTTTTTTTACGTTTCGGATGGTTATATGTTGAAATCATTTGCTGTTGCTGCTCTCTTCAGTGGGATACTGCTGGGCAGGAGCGTTTCAGGACCATCACTAGCAGCTACTACAGAGGAGCTCATGGAATCATCGTGAGATATCTTTATCTGCTCATCTTACTTGCTTTTGGTTTAGTCGCTAACAATGGCGATTTCACAATTTTGCAATGCTCTGTGTTCTCTGGAACTTGATTAGTGGGAAGAATAATCTTTAGTGTTCAGCTGATGAGAGTGAAAATGATGATATTTGCAACAGATTGTGTATGACTGTACTGAGATGGAAAGCTTCAACAACGTGAAGCAGTGGTTGAGTGAGATTGATAGATATGCTAATGATACTGTTTGCAAGCTTCTTATCGGTAACAAGAATGATATGGTTGAAAGTAAAGTTGTTTCCACCGAAACTGGAAAGGTAACCTCGCTTTCTCTCATTTTCTTTTCTCTAGTTGTTATTGTGCTTCGTCCTCTCATTTGATCATATCATGGTTCCACAAAACTATGAACCGTGTGATGGTATAACAATCATTGAGAGTAGGTATACCATAACTTAAGGCTATGTATGTATATAATCATTGACCAAACTTTAAAGTTTACATGATTGTCTTACGTTTTCGTCTACTCAAAACACTACAGGCCTTAGCGGATGAGCTTGGAATTCCCTTTCTCGAAACCAGTGCTAAGGATTCTATCAACGTCGAACAAGCATTCTTAACTATTGCCGGCGAGATCAAGAAGAGGTATGTTCACTATCTTTTATCTTTCATCATTATTTCCTTCAATATTCTACCCTATATCCGTTAGTGAAGCTGAGTGAAGCTGTTCTAAACTCTTCTCCTTGATCATCATTATACATCAAAGCATTCTCTGGGTTTTTCTGCTGCAATATATATAAAATAAGCCATTCATGTAAAGTTGTAAATCCGAAAAGCGTTTTTGGAGACTTCTATATCAATCTTTTGTAGCCTCCTCCTCAAGCTTTACGTTCGGTTATTATATATATATATATATATCACTGTGTGTTTGATCTCATTGTATCTACATTTACTTGTTCTGTTTCGTTTTACTGAGACTCTGATCACATTTTGACTCTTGTATATTTGGCAGAATGGGAAGCCAGCCGAATACAAACAAGACTACTGGAACTGTGCAAATGAAAGGTCAGCCAATCCCACAGAACAATGGCGGTTGCTGCGGTCAGTAGTTTACATGTAAAAGTGTTGCTATCAAAACTATGTGAGACTCTCTTTTATTTTCTACTATGTGTTTTGCTGTCTAATACAACCGGGAACTGTAATATTTCATGTCACTTGTATCCGAATAAGCTATGGTGTTAGTTGCAGTATCCTCGTCTTTAATATAGTGCTTCTTGACTTTGGTTATAATTTGATTACATATAGATACAAAAACTCCTTTTCTGTTCTTAGGCTGATCATGTTATTAATTTGAAAACTTGCTGCTAAGTCCATAGAATGAGAACAAATGTAAGCAAAGCGTAATCCAAAGAAATTTGAGAGATGAGATCTCACACATGTGAATGAAGAAGAAATCTGGTTTATTGTACTTGAGAGATTCGAGCCCAAGTCAACTTTTTTGCAAAACAACTTCTAGGTTACATCAACCTACTCATTACTCACATGGTTTTACAAGACCCCAAATGTATGTCTTTCTAAAAATTATCAATTTCTACATCATTGTTTTGGTTTTATACGATCGATTCAAAGTTAGATTCATTCATCTACACACAAATTCAAAACAACATTTCATTCATGCACATTCTTAACTGATTCATACAAAGAGAAAACTAAAAGTAATCTTAAAACTTAATGAAATCATTTTTTTTTTCAGAGGTTCATGACTTAATGAAATCATTTTTTGTGTGTACCTTGCCATTTTACACGGATAGTAAAATGTGTTATTTTTATACTCCAAGTTTAATATCCGATTGATGCCAACCCACTTTTAAATGAAAACCACATCTTTCAATGTTGGTCAAAAACTTGGAAAATACCATATTACAAGAACCCCAAAGGTCAGTCAAAATCTTAGACATAAAAAAAAGAAGTTTATGTAGTTTAGCACGATCTAGATGATGCTTCAGATCAAACTATAAACATTTAAAATATTTTTGATTACAAAGTCACATAAAAACTGCTATCAAATCGTATTTTCTTCTGGTTAAAAAACAAAACAAAACAGAGCATTCAAACTAGAGTACTAGTCAACTGACAGCGACACTTTACCGAACTCGTCCTCTAAAGTCTAACAAAAAAAAAAAAAAAAAAAACTCAAACTTTGTCAAATCCGTTTCGAATGGGCGTGCGTACTTTTAAGCATTTTGGGACATGAGACTTTTCCCTTTTTTTCTTTCCTTTTCCCAGATTTGTAGTTTCCCGAGAAAACGAGAGAAAGTATCTAGCTGAGAAAACATCTCCACGTTCTTTGCCCGTCTCGTAGGTTACGCATCAGGAGCAAGCTGGGTTTCGTCTGGCAAACTCAAAACTTGAAACTTTTTCTTATAATTGCCGTACGTTTCAGGTCTTCTCTTTTCACTTTTCCTTCTCCTTCTTCTTCTTCCTCACGAAGTTCCGTGATCTGGACGCGTTCTTATCCTATTTCTCTGTTTCTTGCCTTTGATTGGTTCAAACCGAATTTGATTTACAGAAATTCTTGGTTTTGATTTTTTTTTGTGGTCTTTGATTAGAGGATCCATTTGTTTCTAAAGTTGTATGCGGATTCAAATTGAAATGCAAGTATGGAGAAGAAACGAGAAATTTCAGAGTACAGAGAGAGACTTGATAAGACCTTGGCGTCTCCTGATCTCACCAATGAGCAGACTCTTAAAGCCCTAATCAAAACACAGCTAAACCAAGGTTTTTTTTTGTTTGTTTGTTGCTTTTGCTATTATGAGAAAGAAAAAAACTCTCTTAGCTGCTTTTTTACTTTTGAATTGTTATAATGTTTTTTTTTCATGTTTTCGCAGAGTGTAATGTGGATATATTGGATCAAAAAGTAGCTGGTTTGTCCACTATACTTGAGAAGCTTAGGAGTGTATCAACAAAGGATCAAGATTTATCTAAATCAAGCAACGAGACATCGTATGGTGATTGGAAAGTATGTTGCCTCTTTTCAACAATTAGACATGTTTTTTTTGTTATCGAACATAGTTGCCTAAAGTGTTTTGTTGTTAACAGGTGAAACATGACCATGAAGATTGTCGTGTTATGTACCGTGAAGGACTTGAAGGAAGTCCATTTCATACATTGCTCGTTGAAGGTTACATGGATGGACCCATCGAAGACTGTAAGTTTTCTTAAACAGTTTAGACCGTAAGAAAAAAAGGTTTTCAATTTTTATTCTAACTTTCTAGGTTTATGCAGGTTTATGTGTATCTTGGGAATCATCACTCTATGAGAAATGGTGAGAGTTTTTCTGTGTTTTTTATTGCAGATTTTGTATTTTTAACATCTACAAATTGAAATTAACGTTTTTGTGTTTTAATGTTATAAGGTGGCCAAATTCTGTATTTCCGGCATTCAAGATCTTACAAACTAAATGTTTGCAAAACTTTCGGAACGATGAACAGATATGTTTAGTGAGGTCTGTTTCTCACACATTGCAAAGTTTATTTGTGTTCTCCTCATTATGTTTTTGTGAGGCTAAACTAAATATAAATCTGAAAATTTGGATAATGTTTTTGTGGAAGAAAGGATGAAAGTACCATGGCCAATGACAAACAGAGAAGCTATTGTTCAGTTTTTCTTATTCGAATACTTCAAAGACGGTTTAGTCATCATCCTACTTAACTCGGTAAAACCAACTTTGATCCTTTTTTCTTATTTCATATCATAATCATTTGACGAATCCTAAACTGTTACCTATTAGTTACATCTTTAGGTCTCAGCAACAGAAGTAGAGAACGGTATATCTGAAGCAGTGAGGATTGATTTAGTAGGTGGAGTTGCCATACAAAAGGTGTCTTCACAGAGGAGTTACTTAAGGTGAGTAAGTGAGTGAGTGACAACATTTTGAGAAATATAAACATTATGAAACCGACAATTTGTCTAATATTTTTGGTGTGAAACTTTTTTGTAGATACATATCGGAGTTTGATATAAAGCTAGACTTGATCCCTCCATCTCTTATTAACTTTATGTCTAGGCAGCTCCTTGGAAACGGTTTCAGACTTTTTAAAAAGGTCATTTTTCATTTTCTTGATTATTTAGGTCATAAAAGCCTGATTTTTGGTTGCTAACTTGTTTACTTGAATAAATGTCCAGACCATTGGTTCGGTGGCTAAATCTGATGACTACAGCAGAGTTTTAGCTGGTCCGTTGTATACTAAGATACGTCAAGCTCTGTATTCTACTGATAAAACTCATGAAATCTGCCATGCAAACGAGCTCAATAGCCAAGAAGTAGGAGGTCTTGAAGAGAAAGAAATGGCACCTTGCAAAAGAGATGCTCCTGAGATTGAGGAAGAAGAAGAAGAAGAAGATAAAAGTGTTTCTTCGGATGGAAATGTCGTTAAGAAGACTCAAAACAAGAATGGTAAAACACGTTTCTGCATAAGTCCAGAGGTAGAGCAAGCTTTAGGGACATTAGAGAAAGTGATATCAATGGTTAGAAAATCCAAAACAGAGAACAATACATCAATCTCCTCGGAGGAAGAAGAAGAAGAAGCATCACCATCATCACCAAAACAGCATTCAGAGAGCACTGCGGTTGTTTCAAGTAGTCAAGTTTGTGTTCAAGATCCTAAAACTGAAGTTGTTGGTGAAGCTTCCCTCACACATTATAACAACAACAACAGCAACAGGTAAAAACTTAAAGAATCTCAAGAAAATTAATTATATACTTGTGATTAAGAGATTTTAAACTTTCGAGTTTGTTTACAGGCGAAGTGGATCGAGTTCATTTGCTAGAGAAGGCAACAAGATAGCTCCTGCATCACCGGAGACTGATCTTACAACAAACTCCGACGTCACTAGAATAACAATTTCACAAGCCACAACTCTTTTCAGCCAAACAGCAGAGTATAGTGACAACAAACCGAGCGGTTTATATAGAAGTAAGAGCTCGGTTCTGCAGAGGAAACGTAAACCGGGCTGCTTCGGTTTCAGGTCATGGATGATGATGAGAAGGACTTGAAGGATTTGTGTCTTTCAAGTTGCCAAGAGTTTATAATAGCAATTACTATATAAGTATAAATATAAGAAAACATCAATTGTTTGTTTTCCTGCTTCACTTTAGATAGTGTAAAGATCTGCAGCACGTAATTCCACGAATGTAAGGGATGTAAACATTAATACCATAAAGTTTTGTATGAACAAATATGAAATTTGAGAAATTTTGTTTGAAGAGTTTGAAAGACCTTCTAAATGTAGATATTGTTTGTGTCAGCACTTTCAGTTCTACCAATTATAAAACTAAAAGCACTTTCAAACCAATATTAAATTTATATTATACCAGTTATAAAACTAAAAACACTTTTAAACCAATACTCTCTCCATTCAAATTAGTTGTCATTCTGAGAAAATGTATCTGTAGAATTTTGAATGTATTAAACTCAAAATACATCCATACACATCCAAATATTTACAAATACATTTTTCCATAATGACAACTAATTTGAAACAGAGGGAGTATTATTTAAATGTAAAAAATATATTTCCAGCAAATGCATCAGCGTTCCATTAAACCAGTGTTGATTCCGATACAGATCAATCTTCTCCGGATTTGTGTAGTTTCCAATCTCCGTCGGTATTTCACCGGAAAACCGATTCTCGTATAGAAATAGAGTTTCCATTTTTCTGAGGAATCCGATTTCTTTTGGTAACTTGCCTTCCAGTTCCAAGTCATTGCGATACAGATCAAGTGTTTGTAGATTCCTTAGGTTAGACACTGATGGAGATAACGTACCTTGCAACCTATTGTTGTAAAGAAGAAGAGCCGTGAGTTCCACGAGCTGAAATAAAGAATCTGGGATTCGACCGTGAGCGTATTGTCCGCCATATTAAGCACTCTTAGTGACTGACATTTGCTTATTTCCTCCGGAATCTCACCAAATATAAAGTGTTCATGACCAAATAAAGGTCCCAACAAATAAAAAATAAGATAAAAGAAATATTAAGCAATAAAAATATAACTACATTTTCTTATATAATATTTTACTAAAAATTTAGCATTAGGTTAAACATAGTTTAGCAAAAAATAAGCATATATTTATTGTTAGTTTAGACCTAGTTTAGCAAAAAATGAGCAAATATTTCATATATTTTAAATATTATTATAATACACATGCTTTTAATATGGTTTTTTATTGATAAATAGACATTAAAAGATAATTATACTAACATATTAGAAAAAATGGAACAATCTATTTTCAACAAAATATGTAACAAATTAATAAAGATAATATATACTTCACTCATAATATATATATCAAAATAAAAATTTCAATATGCAAAAACATAATATATTGTTTAGATTTCAAAAAAAATATTAAAATAAGTAACTAAAACCTTGATTTATTTTAGTAAAATCAAATAAAATTAGAAAGTTACGTTATAGACAAGTTGGAAAGAATATGTGGCATATGCCACAGTCTCTTATAACCTATGTCCAGCACTGGTAGAGATACAAAGTTTTCAAAGAAGAAGTGGTTGGAGTGTTCCATTTCGAAATATTTTGGAAACGGAAATACCACGAAAACGCGAGGAAACACCTTTCAAATTGATACAAAAGCGACAAATAACCCTCGAAATTACATGTAATATCGATGGACTTTTAAATGATAATGAGTGGATATTTAATTGCTTTTTTATGGTTTTTGAGCTCATTGGATTAGATTTTGTGACTTTTCTTCTACAATAATTTGTTTCTGTCTCTATTTCACAGAACAGTAAACAAAATTAACAATTGATTCTGCAGTTGATTTGTGAGTTTGGAAATGGACAAACAAGCTGATAAGGATTTGGTCATGACTATTTAAGCGACCCGGTTCGGTTTACAAGCCTCTTCATCTTAAGTTGAGAGGCCACAAATTTGATCCTCACTATATAAGTATAAATATAAGAAAACATCGATTGTTTGTGATCCTGCTTCACTTTAGATAGTGTAAAGATCTGCAACAAGTAATTCAAACGAATGTAAGGGATGTAAACATTAATACCATAAAGTTTTGTATGAATAAAATATGAAATTTGAGAAATTTTGTTTGAGGAGTTTGAAAGACATTTCTAAATGTAGATATTGTTTGTGTCAGCACTTTCAGATCATGGTAAGATAGATATACCAATTATAAAAGTAAAAGCACTTTCAAACCAATATTAGATTTATATTATACCAGTTATAAAACTAAAAACACTTTCAAACCAATATTATTTAAATGTTGAAATGTATTTCCAACAAATGCATGAGCTTTCCATTTAGACAAGTGTTTCTTTCAACTCTCCTTCAAGTTTGTTGCAAGAGAGGTTTAGATATCTTAAACTCTTCATGTGTGCGATGGCTCCAGGAACTTTTCCGACAAGCTGATTGTGAGAGAGATCAAGGGACTCAAGCTTATCTAGAGCCGAGATGGTGGATGGGATTTCTCCGGTTAGGTTGTTGTAGCTGAGGTCTAGAGCAACTTGAAGATTCTGAAGCTGTCCAATCTCGACAGGGATTTCACCGGTTAAGACATTTCTGGATAACCGAAGCTCGTAAAGCTTGCTCAGCTTGCCTATCTCTGAAGGAATAGAACCTGAAAGCTGATTGTTTTCGAGGTTGAGCACATTGAGAGCTTCCAAGTTTCCAACATCTTGCGGGATGGAGCCGTTAAGTGAGTTGCCATCAAGAGATAGCACAAGAAGAGTACTGCTCAAGTTGAAAATGCCGGTAGGGATTGATCCGGTAAACCGGTTAGAAGAAAGCTTGAGCTCACCTAACAATGGAAGCTTTCCAAGCCATGGAGGAATAAGCCCTGAAAGAGAGTTATTGTTGAGAAGAACATGTGTCAGCTTCTTGCACAAACCGAGCTCTTCCGGTATGGTTCCCGTGAGAGCATTGCTTGAGATATCCAACATAGATAGCTCTTGGATCTTCCCAAATGTCCAAGGGATTCTTCCTGTGAATCGATTATTCCCCAACCTAAGACGATCAAGATTCGGAGACTTGCCTAGATCAAGAGGTATGTCTCCTTGGAATCGGTTTCCTGTGACGCTAAACGAGAGATAGAGCTCGAACCGCACAAGGGACTGATCGATCCATTGAGCTTGTTTCTGGAAAGGTCGATTCTTGTCAGATTCTTGAGGTTGATGAGTGAGCTCGGAAGATTCCCCTCAAGAGAGTTGTTATAAAGGTATAACTCTTGTAACGACTTTAAGAATCCGAACGAGGAAGGAATCGAACCGGAGAGCTGGCTATTCGCTAGATCAAGAAGCGTCAGTTGGTTACAGTTTCCTAAACTGGCCGGAATGTTACCAGCAAACTCGTTCTCTCTCAAGTGAAGTAAGTGAGCTCTTTCAATCTTCCGATTGAAGATGGAATCTCTCCACTGAAATGATTCCGATACAGATCAATCTCTCCAGATTCGTGCAGTTTCCAATCTCCGCCGGTATTTCACCGGAAAACCGGTTCTCGTATAGATATAGAATTTCCAATTTTGCTGAGCAATCCGATTTCTTTAGGTAACTTGCCTTCCAAGTCATTGCGATACAGATCAAGTTCTTGTAGATTCCTTAGGTTAGACACTGATGGAGATAACGTACCTTGCAACCTATTGTTGAAAAGAGCAAGAGCCGTGAGTTCCACGAGCTGAAACAAGACTCTGGGATTCGACCGGTGAGCTTGTTGTCCGCCAAATTCAGCACTCGTAGTGACTTGCATTTGCTGATTTCCTCCGGATCTCGCCGGAAAGCTCATTTCCCGACAATCCCAGTTGCTCCAGACTTGTCTTGTTAGAACATATAGTCTTTGGAATCGGTCCTTCGAGCTTGTTTGACGACAGATCGAGTTCGATTAGGTTTATTAACCGGCCAATCGAAGGAGAAATCGAACCGGTTAAGCCCAAATCGGAGAGATTTAAACCGACGACTAATCCACCACGGCACGTGACGCCCCTCCAGTTGCAGAAATTTGGATCATCGGAATTCCAGTCTCCGAGAACCTTTTCTTCTTTCGGGTTCGTGACAAGAGACTTCTTCACTTCCAGAAGAGTTTAAGATCGTCTCTTTGACCCGGTTGGCTCAAACTCGACCCGATTAAAAACCAGACCAGAAACAGAACATGAAAAATACATGGTTGCTGCATTTTCGAATTCTTTTTCTTCGAATTCTTGTGGTGATGAATGGTAGTAGTGATTTGTGAAACTAGACTTATAGAGATTTTAAGGTAATGGTTTGGTATTAAGCTGGCATTAAGTCAGTGTGTGTGTATGTCCTGATACACCCAGGAGCCCACTTTCTTTGTCAAAATATTTATTTACTAATTAAGTATGGGAGAATTTAATATATATCTTTGACCACTTATATATCTTTGTTGACCACTAATTGAATTTGAATTTGTGATTAATTTCAAATATATGTTTGTTGACCACTTATTTAGCCATATGGAATTTTGAATTAATATATGAAATTTGAAATTCACTTATTTATATTTAAATTTGTGATTGTTATCTACAGAAATATGTTTCACCGGTGATATAGTAAATTGATGGTTTTATAGTTATAATCTAAAATCCTAATAAAAATTACTATATGAAGTTCTTCTTTTCGATCATGTATATTTAAATTTGTGATTGTTTTGTATACGAAAACATTTCACCCGTGAAATTCTTAATAAAATGTGTTTTTAATTTCTTAGTTCAATAACAAAAAAATCATCCTAAATATTAAATTTATCATCAGAATATATTTTGATGATAATTTTACATGCTCATATAATTTATTTTTGTCAAATTAGTTTTATTTTGCTCAAGCTTAATTGTTAAACTCAATAATAGATTTACGGTGAAATACCGACGGAGATTGGAAACTGCATGAAGCTAGAGAACTCATCAATAAAAATGGTCTTCAATGATGTGTTGCATGGAAACTCTAGTCACTGAACATTTCATGTTTCGAAAACCGGAAACAGAAATGCGAGAAAACATGTTTCAAGTTTATACAAAAGCGACATATAACCTTCGAACAACTTACATGTGATATCGATGGACTTTCAAATCATAATCTGTGGATGTCAATGGCGAATGTAGTAAGGAGGATACGGTGTCACTTGACACCGTATAATCTCGGTATAAAATTGTTAAATGTACATGAATAGACAAAAAATATTCTAACAAATATGGTAAAAGTAACCTATTGACACCTCATAACTTGGATTCGATTCCCATTGAACCCATTTAAATATTTTTCTACATCCGCTACTGGTGGATGTTTAATTGCTTTTTATGGTTTTTGAGCTCATTTGATTTGATTTTGTGACTATTCTTTCTATAATAATTTTTTTTATCTCTATCACAGAGCAGTAAACAAAATTAACAATTGATTTGTGAGTTTGGAAATGGACAAACATGTGTAGCCGTGTAGGTAATAAGGATTTGGTCAAGTCAAAATTGTGAGACTTTTAAACGACCCGGTTCGGTTTAAGCATAAACCGAAACGAAACCAAGAAGCCCTAATGGCTGGCTAGATTTGAACAAAAAAAAAAAAAAAGGGAATAATAACCCTAAAGAAGACACATTCTCTAGTGCTCTTCTCATCTTCACCCTCTCCTTCGCCGTCTTCTTCTTCTTCACCGCCGGTAGGGTTTTCTTCTATAGCTAATTGAGAAATTGGATATTTCTGATTCTTCGTAGACTTTACTTTCAATTCGTAAAAACTTGAAGCAATCGTTTATTCACTGAGGAAAAAGCGTTTTTTTTCTTGGAACCAGGTAGCTGATTTCGATGGAAGGTTCGGCTGATCAAGCTACGCAAGCGATTTCGAAATTATCCATGGATTCTACTGCTGGCGCTAGTGATGGAGCTGGAGCTGGAGCTCAGAGTAAAAAGTACGTTTTTTGTTTAGGTTCCTTCTTACCCTCGATTCTTATTGAATTCTATAGACATGGAATTTGATTGTGGTGGAATCGGGTTTTTGCGTGAAAATGTTGCAGTGCTCTGAAGAAGGAACTGAAGATGAAGCAGAGAGAGGAAGAGAGGAAACGCAAGGAAGAGGAAAAGGCCAAACTGGTAAGCCACTCTTCTTCGCTTTCTTCTGATTCGTAACATACTGTGTATTCTGGGGAAATAATCATTAGATTTGATCCACACCGCTTAATTTGCAAATAAGAGATTTCGTTTTGTTTGATTCAGGCTCCCAAAGCAAGCTCCCAGAGCCAGAAAGCAGTGGCAGCAGATGATGAGGATATGGATCCGACGGTACACAATCCGCTTCATAATTTCTCATTGAGCTAATGCAATGCAGCTATGTCCGGGCAATTACTAATCAAATGCTCTTTTTTTGTTGCTTTGGTAATCTTTTGCAGCAATACTTTGAGAACAGATTGAAATACCTTGCGGCAGAGAAGGCTAAAGGGATTAATCCATACCCTCATAAGTTCTCTGTGTCATTGTCCATTCCTGAGTACATTGAGAAGTATGGTAGTTTGAACAATGGGGATCATGTTGAAGACGCTCAAGTTTCTCTAGCTGGTATGTTAAATCCCGCTTAATGCCATTTCCTTTAAAGTGTTCTTAGCCACTTGTCCTTACACTGAAGACTATGTGCTTTCGTTTTTGAAACTTTGTTAGGGAGGATAATGAGCAAGCGATCTTCCTCTTCCAAGCTCTTCTTCTATGATCTGCACGGTGAGGACTTCAAGGTCCAGGTTATGGCTGATTTAAGGTGAATGCTTTGTTTCACCGGATTCTCTTCTTTACTAACTTAATGATCTTGAATAGATTTACTTAGATTGGTTGCGTTTTTCTTGTCTCAGCAAGTCAGAATTGGATGAAGCTGAGTTTTCAAAGCTCCATGCGAATACCAAGCGTGGTGATATTGTTGGTGTCACTGGGTTTCCAGGTTTGTCCAACCTCTTTTTTTTACTTTTTTACATCATAATTCCCGTCATCCATTTTCACTGTTTTCATTACTCTGATTTCAGGAAAAACTAAGAGGGGAGAATTGAGTATCTTCCCCAGATCATTTGTTGTTTTGTCCCATTGCCTCCACATGATACCGAGAGCGGACAATCTTACTGCAAAGGTAAATCAAATCCAGTGTAGATGTTATAATACCTTAGAGTTCTCCTTATTTTACACTAACCTGATTCACCTTTTTCTGCTGCGTAGAAACCTGAAAACTGGGTTCCAGGTCAACCGAGAAATCCTGAATTATATGTTCTGAAAGATCAGGTAACATCAGTTTTTCAAAGGGATATAAAGATTGTTGTAGCCTCTTCATTATTTTTTGCTGTATCACTTTGTGTTAGTGTTTTAGACTCTATTGTCTCTATTATTCTGTTTATATCCTGGCAAGTGCTTGATGTTACGTTTTGTTTTGATGTCAGGAATCTCGATATCGCCAGCGTCATCTTGATCTGATGACGAACATTGAAGTTCGCCATATATTCAAAACCAGAGCTAATATCGTTTCCTACGTTCGCAGATTCCTTGACAACCAAAGATTTTTGGAGGTTTCTACTTTCTCATTTCCTTTAAAAAATAACTTACATAGTTTCATTTCTGGCTCTCTGGTTCAAGTTTTCTTTTCCCTGTATTTTGTTTAGGTTGAGACACCTATGATGAACATGATTGCTGGTGGAGCTGCTGCCCGACCATTTGTGACACATCACAACGATCTAGATATGAGGCTGTACATGCGTATCGCACCTGAGCTCTATCTTAAGCAACTTATCGTTGGTGGCTTGGAGCGTGTTTATGAGATCGGAAAGCAATTCAGAAACGAGGGTATTGACCTGACCCACAATCCGGAGTTCACCACTTGCGAGTTCTACATGGCTTTCGCTGACTACAACGACCTGATGAAGATGACTGAGGATATGGTGAGTGGCATGGTGAAGGAACTAACAGGTGGTTACAAAATCAAGTACCATGCTAATGGGTATGATAAGGAGCCAATCGAAATCGACTTCACTCCTCCATTCAGGTTTGCGGCAACACCTTCATTGATCAAACAACAAAACACTCGGGGTAAAAGCTTATCTGTGGTACTAATCTTACTTAATTTTTGGTTTTTGCAGGAGGATTCAGATGATAGGAGAGCTAGAGAAGGTGGCTAACCTCAACATACCAAAAGACTTGGCTAGCGAAGAAGCTAACAAGTATCTGATTGATGCTTGTGCGAGGTTTGATGTGAAATGCCCTCCTCCTCAGACAACAGCTCGTCTGTTAGATAAAGTAAAATCTTCTTTCTTCCTCCTGCGTGTTTGAAACATCTAGTATAGGAAATTTAAATCTGAAATGTTTGTCTCTTTTTTTTCAGCTTGTTGGAGAATTTCTGGAAGTGACATGTGTGAATCCAACTTTCATCATCGACCATCCAGAGATCATGAGTCCCTTGGCAAAATGGCACAGATCGAGCCCTGGTTTGACTGAGAGATTTGAGCTGTTCATCAACAAACATGAAGTAAGTAAAATCTGCTGATGATGTGAACTTCCTTTCTTTAAGAGTTGTTTGACTAACTTCACTAACATGCTATAAACATGACCGCAGCTCGCCAACGCCTACACAGAGCTGAATGATCCTGTGGTACAGCGCCAGCGTTTTGCTGATCAGCTCAAGGACCGACAATCTGGTGACGATGAAGCAATGGCTTTAGATGAGACATTCTGTAATGGTTTGGAATATGGATTGGCTCCTACAGGTGGTTGGGGATTGGGAATAGACAGACTTACTATGCTTTTTACTGACTCACAGAACATCAAGGTCACTCTCTTGCCTTACCTCAAAAGTTTATGAATAATGATTTAATCTTTTTGTCTAACCTTATGATTTGTGGAATATGGTTTGCAGGAGGTTATTCTCTTCCCGGCAATGAGGCCACAGGACGATCCAGCAGCAGCTAAAGGTACGATCTAACTGCTAATTTAGTAATAACCTGCGGTAATTTTCCTATTGGATTGCATTTTTATGCTGTTGTTTTTCTTCTTGTTTTGTTTACAGCTCCTTTGCAACCAGAGACTAACAAAGGAGAGTAGAGCACAGTTTTCATCTCTTTTGCCAGTCTAATGTTTGGTAGTGAATTTGCTATTATTGCAACAACCCGCTCTCGAGTTACTTTTTTTTGCCACCATATTTTTACAAACAAAAAAACTAGCTTTTATCAAAATCCGCTGTAAGACTTGTTGGAATTGTTGATCTTTTTTCAATCGTGATTTTCGCGTTAGTATTGAAGAGCCTAAAGTATCAATAACATACGAAACATACAGAAATGATATGGAGACATGTATTTAGTACATGGTGCGTATCGTTTCTTCAATTGTTATTGTGGGATCTAATCTTTGTCATCATTCAAAAATATAATGTGATTGTGACATACGAAGATGCGGTGCGTTTGTAGTTAAAAAGGAGAAAATAATCAAATAAAGCATACACTGTTGAAGAAAATTTCTTGTAAGTGCGTATTGTTTAGAGTATCATATTTGATTCGTGTAAGTGCGTATTGTTTTTCTCGTAATCAGAAATATTTTATAGCTCCATTCCATTCTAGTCATAAAAACATTTGTTTCGGCCATTTCTAATGCTAATCAAAATCATCCAAAAGGTCGATAATAGTTAGAGAAAATTACATCGACACCATATATTAATCTGATCAATCAATGTTTGTTACCCCTTTTGTTCGTCAATTCCACTTATTCTGTTCACGTTAACCAGACTTAATTTGTTTATTTTCCATACTAAGCCTCTGATTATAGTAACAAGTCATTGTCTAAGTCGTGGAATTGTTGATTAACGTGTTTAGAGTTACAGCTATTTACTAGGATTGAAGGGGAACAAAATAAGTCGTGGGATTGAAACAAAATATGTATTTTGACGAATGATGATCACATAGAAAAAGTCAGACAGCTTTAGGTCTCTCGAATCATAATAATATCTCACAAGACAGGCTTGATCCAACTCATCACCGCTCTCCAACACATGTTTCATTATCTCTCCTACCAAATCCCTTTCATATTTATTTTGTACTTGCTACAAATTATTCCTTTTAAAATTAAAGTCATACCTTTCACAATTAATAGACCCAACCGAAATGGAGTTTTCTTTCATTTCTATGATATATAAATTTATTTTCCAGCTGCGACAGAATATTGCAAATTTATAAACATACCAGTTATGCAATTACTGTAATGCTGATGATAATGATACCATTTCAGGTGGAGACTTACCTACCAAACAATCCACGAACAAAACACCAAATACAAAAAGAAGAGAAGAAATCCTTGCGAGTGAAGAAAAGTGGTAGTGGGTTGCTCAAATCTTTTTATTTTGTTTCCCACTTTATGATTCATTTTTTCATACACCAAATCAATTAAAAAAATTGTGTTCAATATCTAATTACAATTTATATCCCAAAAATAAAACCCCCCAAAAAATACGTTTTTATATATGTAAAAAAATCCAACAAACCTCTTTTTCATATTGCATTGAAGAATATGATGTGAATTTTGATGTTTTTTCTCGTGTTTTTTTTTTCCTTCTCTTCTTTCACATTTTCATTCTTCTTCTCCTAAGATCCTGCAGAAAAGCGACAACTATGAATACCTTTGTTTTTTCATCAATTACTCAAAACAGAGAAATGATCGAAAAACTATTTACAGCGAATCCTAACCTTTTGTGTGTGTTTACAGTTTACACTTCAGAGACTTGTCTTTGATAATCTCTTCAGGTTTGTGAATCCATCAGCAATTGCTTAGATATGAGTCCTTGCCAATAGCTCCAAGCATTCTACATGCTACTTCCAGCAACTTCCCTGTTGATTAATTAAATAACAAAATTTAATTATTAGGTCATGATCACAATCAATTGATTCCAATCACAATCTCCTGCCACCTAATTATAATATTTTATGGAATTAGACTTTAGAAAAAGCTATAAAAAACCCCAATAATTTAACAAATGTTATAAGTGAAGTTTGTAAACGTGGGAAGATGCTTTAGGTCATACGAAGAAGCTTCTCATGATTCTTTCTTTCTGTTTGATATCTTCTAATATCCTCACAAATCTTACTTCATTTTCTTTTTCTCACAAATCTTAATTCTAAACTCCAAATTCACGCAACCTCAAACCAAGAACTACAATTTCTATCCTCAAGCCTAACTATAATGTTTGATTCACTTAAACTTAATAAACCATTAACACATAAATCAATCAAATAAAAATATCAATTAAACATACCTCTTCGCTGTTGAACAACTTTCTTAACCGAACCACTCGGTTTATTAACCGTCTCGCCTTCCTCCTCAGGGAACAAAACACCATCAATCCCTTGAACCGAAATCCGACCGTCCGTGTAAATATCCGGATCAAACAAGTAAGCAGACCGGTCACCGGAACCGAATTTAACCGAACCATCAGCTTCCTTAGCCGCAACCTTATGAGGAAAACGCAGCGTTTCATACTTCACCTTCCCAAATCTCCTAACCGAATTATACATACTCTCCTCCGTCTGATACTCCGGTATGATGTGGTAATACATGATCTGCTCCGGAGCTCCGGGCTCGCTCAACTGATCCGTCGTCAATTTCGCCATAGCTTCGTCGTTCGGGGCCAACACCGTCAGGACATAACCTTCCGACACCAATCGACCCATCTCCGTCGCGAGCGAAGTCAGATTCACGAGAATATCCGCCATTTCGTTGTACCCGCCGTAATGTAACAATGTGTGGATAAAATCTTTGACCTGAGCATCGCCGTTGAAATGCCCGCGTGGACCTCCTGGTCCCGGAGCCGGAGCCGGAGCTAGCGACGGACCTGGAGCCATAGCGGATTGGATCGGGAGAACCGGTGGAGATCCGGCTGGTACTGAGACGGAAGCGGCGGCGGATTTCTTGAGACGGTTGGTTCTCGGGTCGATTTCCGGAGCTCCTTCGGGTAACACGGCGGAGATTGATCTGAGATTTCTCCGTCGGTTGAAATCTTCTTGGACGGATCGAGGGATTAAGAGCCGTTCGATTCCGTGGATCAACCCGTCGGGTCGGGTTAAATCGTCGGGTCGGGTAATTACGGCGGAATTCACCAATCTCAATCTCTTTCCGTTTCCTTTGATTTTGCTCAAATGCAGCACTTGGTCGCTCCCTAGCGTGGCGTGCTTGACGCGACCCGATTTCTCGTCGGGCCATTGGTTTGACCCGACCCGATTGGGTATAATGTGGGACAGGATTAGCGATTGGAGAGATTTGAGGTTACCTGGCTGGAGCAAGAAGCGTTTGAACTCCGGGTCAAGGTCACGCTCGAGAGCTTCGTTGCGAGGGGCAAAAATGGTAATGTTGTGACGACCGACGGCGTCTTCGAGGGTTTGGAGGAGGAGAGCTTTCTCGACGAGCTCGGCTAGCTCCGTGTAACGAGAGTCGAGGAGAGCGACGAGGACGGAGTTTGAGTTTATTTGACCCGACCCGGTTAAGTTGTGGTGACCCGATTCGGAATTCTGAGGCGAAGCGGATGCGGAGAGGAGGAAGAGGAAGAAGGTGAAGAAAGTTACGGCGGAGCAACCATAGATGCAGCGACCCATGGTGCTCTGTAAGATTGCGATAATCTCTCGAAGAAGGAATCAAAAAGAAAATGCTTTTGTTTTTTATTTTGCGAGAAATTAATTCGGTTTCTCTGTTTCCTTGAAGCGTCGGCGATCGGAAAGTGGGAGTGAGAGACAGAAGAGAAGAAGAGAGAATGAGAAAGAGATGTGAGTTTAGGTGTCTGTGTTGTGTGTGTATCAAAACAGCTTTGGGTTTTCGGACAGGCTGGTGGTGGGACCACACGGTGTCTGATACTTTGCGATTATTATTTTAGCTGACTTTGGCTTTCTTTTAAGTCTAAATTCGGCTCAGCAGCTCGGCTTCAGTTACGTTTCAGTATATTCTTTTTCCGGCTAAATCTTTTTTATAATCATTGAATAAGCACCACTTTCTTCTTTGTCTTCTTACTAATAATCAAAAATAATTTCAAAAGAAACAAGCTCTGCTTATTTTAAATCTTTCTTATAAATTCTATTTAAGCAAGTGAATTATTATTGATACTGATCTGTGCTTAAGGGATCATGATATTTAAAAACTCAAATATAAAATGATTGCAATTATATACATCGTAGAATTGTAATAGTAATTTGAATAAAATTAAAAGTGAGGGGCATAATAAGATTCGCAGTAAAATAGAGGAACTGTTCCTTTAAGATAAACAATTATTGGGAGCTACATTGTAGATGATTTTATATTGATCTATGAACATATTAAAAAGTATGATACGGTAGAGTGAAAGTGATGTCTTTGAACTTTTCCTTAGTTATAGTCTTAATATATCGAAGACTAAGACAACCGGTTAGCTTAAGATAGTAATAAAATAAAGAAACGATAGTTAATCAGTCGTCTTCTATAGAGTTAATGATGTGGTACTTAAATTGAAAGTGAAATTAAGAAATGAAACCAAACATAAAAAACAAAGACATGTGAAGCTAAGAAGAAGCCGAAGAAGAGGGAGAAACACGTGGCTTGGATTGAAGCTGTCGGTGTATGACCTAAAACAACCATCATTTATTTATTACACCTTTTGGTTGCTACGCTATGTTCGTGAATCGTGTTATGTGTCCCACCTCAGTTCTACTACTTGCTTATTTATATTACGCGCTTCAGCTTGGCGCGTGCTCTCGCGTCTTTGTAACGCTAATGCTTTGTAAGCTTTGTGTAAATTGTAAAATTTGTATTCTCTCGTTGTTCCCGCGCAATGAAAAAACAGGCTTTTAAGGCCCAATTGAGCTACCAATTTTGTTAAAGTCTTGTCTTATCTTAGGCCAGAGTTATCTTTGTTTTGTTTGGGTCCTTTATTACACTCACGGGCCTAAGTCGCTACCTATTATCCTACCCAAAAACAATAATCGCATACACTGCTGATACGATACACAACAAAATGTCATATCGAACGATCTGAAAGTGCTATAAAAAATGTTACACAAAAATAGGAAAAACAATTCGTACATACAGATTTTGAAATCGGTTCTGTATCTATGTGCTTTATAAGTTGATGAGACATCGGTATTCCAAAAACGAAGTTGATTTATAAGCTGAAGACTGGACTGTACTAGAGGATGAGAGTCATGAGACAATGGTATTCCAAGTCAACATGATTGTCTTACCAAGAAAAAAAATCAACATGATTGTCATCACCAGCAGAACTTGCATCTTCGTAAACATTCTAGCTACAAATTAACTTGGATTGCACTTCTTTTTTATTTGTTAGTTATGTACCTTCACAATCACATATAAGAGTAACTGTGTTGAACATCAGAACATGCGATGCGGATTTTTAAAAGCCATATCGTCCCGCATGTAAAGTGTTAACTGTGTTTCCCATTCATAGCCTAAAGATTCCCGAAGTTTGAGAACTTCGATTAGAATTTTCCATACCACTGGCACTAAGTGATTTCATCTTTCTTACGTCCTTTGTGCTTTTCAGTTTTCAACTAAATATATATATGTATATATTCGAATCTCTGAATAACAAGCAACTGTAAGGTCTAAATAGAAGTAGCTAGTTAAAGTGGCCGAAAGAGCCGAAAGATAACCAAAACTTAAAAAATGCCTCGTCAGTTTTATTATATTACGGAAAACAACTAAATATTATCTTGTGAATATTGAACTCTCAAACATTTCCTTTCAACACAAGACGCACGATTACATTTTAGAATATAAAAGCAGAGTTTATCTTATATATTATCTTGTTCAACAATTAATTTTGTCTCTTTTTTTCTTTCAATTCATCCCTACCCCAGATGTACCCCCACAATATTTTATACAATTTGTGCTGATTGTATGACATATTTTATCACCAACACAAAAAAAATTCATGTTAAAACCAATGGTTGAAGACATATTTACGAGGTTGCCTTTATTTTCTCCTTTATTTGGTGCATCTAAACCGATTGCCACAGCTAGCTGGTTTAACGAGGTTGGTTATATGTTTACAAGATGCTATTTTATAATGCGTTTCCCTAAACTCAGTTTATTAAAAAAAAAAAAAAAAAAAAAAAAAAAAAAACATATTTACTGTTTGATGTCAAAAACATTTACTGAAATTTTGTTGTAGGAAGCCCTTAATTAAAAAAAAAAAAAAAACATCTGAAGCATAAACAGTTGCATGAGATTCACCAGATAATGGGGGAAAAAATGAAGAAGGGTCACATCAAAGCTGAATTAGTGAAGTATAGTAAAGACAATTGAAACACAACAAAGCAGAAAAAAACTAAAAAAGAGAAAAGAGAGATGAAAAAGGAAAGAAGAGTAATTAAGAGAGATGCAGAAGAAAGATGGTAGTGGTAGCAACACCTGAATTAATGCTTAACACTAATGCCAAGTGAGTTTTGTGGTCCCCTCACTAACCTCCTCTCATCACCTCCACTTTAAAACCCTTACGAAAACGACAGTTTCCACGAGAGAGACTTAAACCATAATCTAGTTTTTACCCTCACTCCATGTCACTAATTCTTTACCGCATGACTTTATTACTATATAGTTCTTCCGAATCTCTTAATGGTCCACCTTGTCTTAAGAGTGATTATACATCCAAATTAAACTCCCTAACTTCTCTCATTATCGTATTGAGTTTGAGTTTAGTTTTTCAATCTGTTGAACTAATTGATCTACTCAATCATAGTCCATAGTTGGCTACATGTTTTCATCTGCCAAAATGATTATCAGGAGTTGAATAATTTTATACATCTCGTGTATGTCAGTCATGTCACATTTTCGACAAATACAGACATTACCCACAATTCAATTTCGAAGTTCATATTTGATGATCACAAAAATCCCAAAACATTCGAAGTAATTCAATCACACAACAAAGATTTGATAGAAACTTTGGGACAAGTTGTAAAACTCACACATTTTGCTTTCACACTAAACAGCCCGTCGTCACACAATCAAAACTATTAACAAGATTTTATACGCATTTCTCCCCTAATCAATGTCGAACGGTCCTCGGTGGCGCCGCCACCACCGTGACTCCTCCGCCTCTAATCGACGTGTTCCGGTACACTTCAGTAATCGACGGCCTCGGCGACGATGAGGAAATAGACTTTGAGATTCTCGGAGAAGAAACTGATTCTCTCTGTGACGGACTTCGCCAGAATCCGGCGCCGTAAAACCTGTTCCACATCTCTTTCTCTAATGCTAGCACCGCCTCGTCGTCTTCATCCGTCTCCTCGTCCGTTGTCAGCCCAGCCGCTGATGATTTTCCGATGTATTTCAGATCGAAGAAATCGTCGTCGTCGTCTTCAGAGACGTCGTTGCTATCCAACGGATGGATCGCGAACTCCGAATTCTGGAACACTCTCTGCATCCGCTCGCCTTTTCCGTCCGTCGGAAGCGGCGGAAGGATTCCGCTCTTCACGAGCTGTTTACGGCGGCGGCTGCGGATAGCGCGGCGGCAGATTCCTTTAGGGACTTTGTAGATCGCGAGGACGAGGAGGTTGACGAGTCCGCAGGGACAGCAGCACCAAACGGCGGCGCAACTCGCCGTCGTGCCGCCGCAGAACTCGGCGGGAGTGGATCCGCCGCAAGTGGCTCTAGGAGAGGGAGAGGAGAGACTTCTCTGGAGCAGAGGCTGTCTCCGGTGGCTACGAGACGGAGAAGACGATGGAGTATCTGACGGTTTCGTCTGCCTCGAGATCTGCTTCGGATCGTAACGTAACGTCGTGTTCATAGTTTTGGAGAGTAACAAACAAACAAACAAAATAAAATTGCAGATTATATACAGTTGAGAATCAATTCAGTGATCGTCTTCTTCCTCTTATCTCTTCTTATTGCTCCAATTGCATCACAGGACCCGATTGAAATTTTGAAATTCCGAGGAAATGGATCTCGAATTTCGCAGAGAAGAAAACAGGAGAAATCGGATTCAAGCTCAGATCAAATGCAAGACCGGCCTAACGCAGCACCACGGGAATTGCTCCGGCGATGGCGGCGGCGAAGGCGAATAAACGGTCCCGGGGGTGTTAAACGAGAAGAAAGCCCAAAGAAGAATGGAGAAATTGGAGTGACTTGTACAGAAGATACGATGCAGACACAAAACTAAATTAGGCGCGAGAAGTTTTGGATCCAATCGTTTTTGACTTGGGAGCACGAGAAAAATATCCTTTTCTCGGGAAAAATCAGGGGTTTGATTTTCGGTGAGAGGTCGTCCGAAATGGAGGGAGAGACGGAAGATGAAGAGAGAGAGAGATTTGGGGAGAGGATGATTTTGAATTTGGGTTTTAATGGATTTGGTCGTGGGAAGGTTGAAGAAGAAGGAGGAAGGTGTGAATGAAAGATTTGTGTATTTATATACAAAGAAAGCCCAACAAGTTATTTTTGGGATTGAGACTTTCTCTGTTAGTGTTATCACATTAACTAGACGGTTATTTTTTGTTTTTATGGTGGTCAAAGTAATAAGTATTTACAATTTAGTTCATTTCCAAAATACATACATTATACATACCTACTTTTTTATTGAGAAATTATTATTATCATTTTGATCAATGTACCGTAGTAAAAACCATAAATTTCAGGGTTTTAAATAAGATTACAGTATTTGACCAAAAAAAAAAAAAAAAAAAGATTACAGTACTATTTAAATAAAAAATAGCCTGAAATGAAATCTTGTACTACCTTGCTAAGCAGATTTCTTGTAAATGTGGTTGATTGTGAAACTATGTATGTAGTAGTAGTATACATTATATGGAAAGCTATTTAACAGAAAGTATACATTATATGGAATTTTTCTTTTCACTTTTATCCAAAAACACATACCATCATTATATGGAATTTTTCTTTTCACTCTTACTTAAATTACTGGTCAACGTAAATACAAATGTAATTACGATACCATCATTTTATTTCTATAAAAATTCCTTTGTAATACATAAATGCAAGTACAAATCAAAATTTTGCTTTTATCTGTGTCTTCACCTTTTTATCAACGATTTTGCAATTTACTAAAAGAACAGAACTATATTATTATAATAGTAACGAAGGACAGTGATGATGATTAGCTTATCTATCAAATATACGCGTATGTGTGTGTTAAAATCTGTACAACACCTGGATTAATCTATTTAGACGTCATCTTCCCGCGGTTGTTAGATGTTGATTGGTTTGTTTGTTTTGGTATATCTTTATTTTCGTCAACGAATTTGATTCGTTGTGAGAATATTTTATCGAAACCAGAACAAACAAAAAATCAAGTATGGCGTACCACTATCATTTGAAGAATTATAAGAAGTATATACCAGTTACTTGTATATATTATCTTGGAAAGCTATTTGGGGACTGGTTCATGCCCTCGAGGCACAAAGTTAAAAGGTCAATGCGACTACTCATCTTGAAAATATTCGTATCTGAGCAAGAAAAGGGAATGATCAAGTTTCATAGAACAATCTCAGTTTTTGATTTTCCATTTTTTTTTATAAAGCAGTAAATTTTACCAAGCAATCTGATTAAAAAATCAATAATGGGCTTGTTGTAAAACAGCTATTTGATAGTTGTTGCGTATTGTTTTTTCAGTTATCTTTGTTTCCAATGTATTTATGGGTTTTGGTACGTTTTAACTGAAAATACCATTTCAGTGAGAATTAAAGTTTCAGATACATGATAAACATGAACAAATGTTTTACTCACCTGATCTTGTTTCTTACCACAACCATGGATAAATATCCACTTTGACTGGACTAATTAACGAGACACGAATGTTGAGCACGACATACAAACCACTTACACCTAAAATTTAATTTATCCTTGAGCGTTGCATACATAAACAAGTTTACTAAAGAACATTTTCAGCTACACATACTGCCACAACCTATTTAAGTAAGAACTTTAAAAATAGAAATATCAATTATCGTTAGAGAATTCCTTCAAACTTTTAACTTACATTCCGAAACATGAAAAAGTAGATAATGCTAATAATAACTCCAACACACAAGAGACGAGAAGAATCAATCCTTAAACGGCAAAGGTAAAATACATTAAAACGGACTTTACAATTTAAATCAAGAAAGAGTGAAACAATTGAAAAGTCTTGCTTTTGTAGTGGTCACTCACTCATCAGTCATCACTGGTCGTGTGGACCGGCTTGGATTAGAGATCTCTCCACGAGCCCAACAGTTGCTGCTATGTATAGAATAAAGAGATTTCTCTCTTTTTTCCTTGTCTAACGTGCAATCGGATATCCGCAATGTTTATAAAAATAAAATCGAATATCCTCAATCATTACCTATAATTAGGTGTACTCGAGCAATCAGATTTTGTGTAATTTGAATCAAAATTTTGAGTACTGTTTTGATAACTAAAAAAAAAGACAATTGCTTTTTGGTTATTTTATGCTGCGTACTTAACAAAACTAATCCCGTTGGATAGTTTTGGACATGATAACATGAATAATATTGGACTGAAAAACAATTTTTATGCGACCTTTATGCGCAAGTAACCACACTCTCATTTGACCCGTATATACGAGTGAGAATTGGGTATTGGATAACAACTTGGTGAGAATTAGTAAAAAATACAGTATGTGCTTACTTCACACGAAAATATATATATAAAAAAAAAATTACTGTCTAAACAATTTGTCGGTGGTCGTCTTGAAGCTTGGCGATGAGATAAGGCACCTTGATTTCATATTGTATCCGGACAAGTTAGTAAATCAATTTGTGAAAACAAACTAACAAACATAAGGTTAGCAAAAAGATATTCTCATTCACATTGATTAAACAGGTCTTAATTATTACCTAACATCTTCTTAAGCCATATTGGTTTTTTTCGAGTGTGATAGATTTCTTCTCACGTCAAATTATATCTTCTATTTCGAGGTACCTATTAACAAGTTGCATGGGTCCGGTTGGTAGACAAGGGTAGGAGCAAGCAACCAAAATCGCTATGAATTTAACTAATATAAACCAAGTTTTGGATTAGGTCTTTTACTCCAATACACACTAATGTGTGGACCCTCTCTATGTATCTCTAATGTGGAAATAGAATGGTTCAGTGTTTCATCTTGTCTTCATTCAGATTTTATACATTTCTAATTATTAATGGTATAGTCAAAGTCATTTTCTACTTCACCTACGCAATCTCAATAAGACATCTGTGTTTCTCTAGATATGACAGCTTGATTCCAACAAATTCTACTTCAAATTTACTAATCAGTTTCACAACCTCTAAAAGCAAACAAGAAAGATGGGATGGAGGAAGAGGTTAGAAGCAAGTGCACGAGAAAGATAGAAAACGACACCGTGTAGCCTCCTCACATCCAATATCTTCTCTCTCTAGCTTCAGAAAGTTTAAGAAGACTACAAAACCTCACATGTTTGATGAAATCTTGTCTTGTACTCGTACTTATGATGACAACTTAACTAAAGATTTATGTGTCAAATAATGATTTAGAAGTCTATTTTAAAACGACAATGCAATAACTGAAAAGATGGCATATTGGAGATTTGGACGTGAGAGAGTAGTTTTTTGGATGATTTGGATCTTGGATTTATGGTCCCTTTCATGTTAGAGATATAAATTGAACAGTATGACACGTGTAAACCAGTCATGAAAAGACATATATGTGCAAATATTTCATATCTCGAACTAACATGTCACTAAAATAGTTTGGTTTAAAACGGCACTAAAATCTAGAATAGTTTCGAATGACCATCGACGTATATCATACAAACGACGACAAACCATACACGTGTATACTTGACGCCCCAAATATCATGTTTCCCACCAAGTCGAGGGTGGATTAATTTTGGTTCGGTTCGACTATTTATTATGAAATTTTATAGCTGGTAGCCTGGTTGATTCATATAGCTAAATGAATAATATTTTTAATTAATCAACTCAAATCAAACATATTTTTCTATACTTTATTGTAACACTAGAAAAAAATGAAATTCCGTTCTGTTGAGCTATTTTCGAATTAAGTTAACTTAGGGTGGGATTTAGACACTGGTTTGATTTGGTTCGGTACAACAAAAGCTGCCAGGCCAGGCCTGAATCAAAATCACAGATTATGGGTCTCGATTAAGGCCTAGATCAAGTGGTTCGGCCCAATTAGGTTGTAGACAAATCTTGGTCAATTATTTATCGGGTGTGGCCATAATCAAAATTTCTTTTGTTTATTCACTGTTTATGGTACAAAATGGGTCGGTTCTTACAGGATTCAGTTGATCTTAATGTCATTAGGTTACAAAACATAAAGTAATCACAGATACTATATTTTCTAAAGGAAGAACACGCCAACTATACAAGTTGCAAAAGCATGTGCACGAAGGTGTGGATAAGAATTATATTGTAACTCATAAGAAAAACCAAAATATTATAAAAAACAAGAACGAAAAAAAAAACGAGTAGGAATTTTTTTGGTATGAGTTGAGCCAAATTGTCATATAGTGATGAATGAAATGTTCCTTTTTGGCCGGTCTCTTCCGACCAATCCGACGTGAAATTTGATGTCCTTTTCCTGACCAGTCTTACGTATCACTAGAAGACCCACGTTCCGGTCACATTGATGTTCTCCGTTTAAGAATTAGTCACGCACTACTTTTTGTTGGAACTAATCACCAAAACATAACTTTTTTTTATGAAATGGTCATGTATATATCTACGAAATAAATTAACAAAAAATTTAGTGTAAACCTAGTGAATGATGTATACATAATACTATTAATACATGCACATCTACAACATAATTTCCAATCACTATAAGTTATTTTAGGAGTTGGAATTGGATCAGTAGCTCTTGCTCAGTGGTTCGACAACGTTTTAACATTTCACATAAAAATCTTTTAATTGTTTTGGTTATAGTTTTGTTTTTTCTATTGCTCGGTGTTTCCGTCACTTATAGTTCACAATACAGTTTTCGATAGAAACTTACTGCCCATCCATCACAAAATTCTTACAAGTTACAACACGTTTACTAATATGTCATTAAAAACCGGACCGGACATGATAATGGATGGCTGAGAGGTTGCAGCAGATGTTCAGGCATGCAAACATATCAAAGAGAATATTTTGTACATCACTAGTTGGATATATTTTCTTCTGAGCTTTGATATGGAATTTCATAAGATGCGTTTTTTTGTCGGGTTAGCTGCGAAAACATTACATTTCTATTTCTATCAGTATATTCTTACAATGGAAACATCTACCATTTATATTTTTGTGACAAAATGGTCTTGTCAGTTATTTTCTATGCACTAGCGAGTAATCTTATATATCCTACCAAATTTTTTTGTAGAAGTTAAAAATAAAAACGTATATTAGTAAATCTAGTGCGGCACAAAATTGTTCTCTTATAGTGATAAGTTATCTTGTCACGTTTAAAGATGTGAACAATGAAAAAACAAGAATATGATATACAAAGTACGGATTGGTGCACAACTCAGAATGAAATCTCGATCATTCATTCATGTAATATTCTTGGAATAATGCTTAGATTTTTTTGTGCCAACAAAATGAAAAAAATAAATGGATGTGTATTTACAAACTCTAAAGTTAGAACAAAAAAGAATGGACGAAACGACAATTGTTTAAAAATAGATATTGCAGTTAAATTCATCTAACACCTTTTTCAATTATCAAATCAATGGTTTTATATAGATTGACTCGTCAATTTTAGTAATCCCTGATTCCTTGCGTTTTAATGCGTACTATTTTCTCAATCTACAAATATCATAGGCATAATAATATTTTTCCTTTTCATAATTATATTCATAATGCCATTGATTTTTTTGCCAATCCATTGATATAACGTACGTAATTTTAATCATTTTTTTGTTTTAAAAACTTGTAGATGCAGAAATTAACAAATAATACGTATCATTTCCACAAAAGTAATAGATTGAAAAGTCATATTTTTGTATGGAGTATATGAAGTTGTGAGCCGTAAGGTTAACCGTGTTTGATATGAGACAAATTTAATACTTGTATTGTAATTTATACGAGTAATATACAAGTTCCTTTTCTTTTTTGAAAAAAAGGTTATAATTTACAAGTTCCTTGTTATAACGTTTATCACTTATCAGCCACATGCTGATTAGTATCATTAATCTTATATTTCTTTGATCAATTATCATTATCTAATCATCATAATACACATTGGAAGCACTTAGTTTGACCACTACTGAGAGAATTCACATGAAAGCATCTTGAGAATTGACAATTTTACAATAATATTTATTTGCTTCTAAAAGGTTGTCTGTATATATATCATTTTTAATCAAATAAACACAGAGCTGCTGTAAAGTTAGAAGCAAAACATTCTCATCCTCTGATTTAGATAGCCTCGCTGCTTAGCCTTAGTGGGTTCGATCAACTTGGTCCTTTTCTTTTCTTTTTTTCTTTTTATATAAGTTTTTCTCCTTTTTTTTTTGTTTTCTGACTATTACTGTTTGTTGAAGTAGTGGAGCTCGTAAAAAGATAATAAATAAATTTTAAAGTTAATATTTAGTCTTATATTCGACCTACGTAATACCAATTTGTACATCTATATATATTCTACTTAGCTAGGTGAATGAATAGCCATCCATCACTAAATTAGATCTAAAGTTAAAAAGTGACAATCACGTACGTTTTCTATTTTCATTTTTCAATATATATCACTGAAAATCAAGGCATCCAGATAAAATATTGGTTTAGATGCAAGCTTAGTCAGCAGTGAAAGACTTGTCTTGTCCAAAACTAAGCTTTCTAGTTTCTTCTACCTATAAATATTGGCCAATACTATCCAACATAAGCACAAGACACCCCAAAAGTGTTACGAATATTAGCCAATTTCACAAGCTTTCACATTTTCATTGAAGTTTTCGTGGGAGATGGATCTGAATGCTCAAGAGAAGAAAGCAGGGTTCTTACAAAGGGTTAAGGACTTCGCTAACAAACTCAAAGACGGTGTGACCAAGCACGTAAAGAACGTGCACAAGTTTGGGAAAGATGATCCAAGACGGATCATGCATTCCATAAAAGTGGGACTTGCACTCACATTAGTGTCAATGTTGTACTATGTACGACCACTTTTTAATAGTTTCGGTGTTTCGGGTATGTGGGCGATACTAACCGTAGTCGTGGTCTTCGAATTCACTGTTGGTAAGTCTATTAAACCAAATGAATATATTACTATGGCAGACTTAAAACATTTGTTATATATAGAAAGAAGTTTTGAGTATTTTGCTAAAAACAAAGCTGACTTAAAACATTTGTTCTTGTAGGTGGGACACTTTCAAAAGGTTTCAACAGAGGTTTTGCAACATTAACAGCCGGTGTCTTAGCGGTTGGTGCAGTACACATTGCTCGATTCTGTGGACACAAAGGAGAGCCAATTGTTCTTGGGATCCTAGTGTTCTCACTTGCCGCAGCTGCAACATTTTCACGTTTTTTCCCAAGGATTAAACAGAGATATGACTACGGCGCCTTGATATTCATACTCACATTTTGTATGGTTGCCGTTTCGGGGTACCGTACAGATGAAATATTGGTTATGGCATATCAAAGACTATCGACCATTCTTATTGGTGGAACCATATGCATCCTTGTGTCGATTTTCGTTTGTCCTGTATGGGCAGGAGAAGATCTTCACAAGATGATTGCTAACAACATTATCAAACTTGCTAATTACTTAGAAGGTGACTTACAATATCCAAACAATTTTTATTTGTTTTTTTCTAAGTAAAAAATGGAATATATATATATATTTACAGATCTTTAACTTATGCATGCTTACATGTTTTAATATCTGTAAAAAGGTTTCGAGGCTGAATATTTTCCATCACCGGAGAAGACTACAAAGGAGACAAACTCGTGTGTTGGACAATACAAAAGCATTTTAACATCAAAAAGCACTGAAGATACTTTGGTATATATTTATTTGAAGACCCATAAAATGATTTATGTTCCTATATAGTATTGATGTTCTGATTTATTAATTAATGATTGGAATTTCTTGCACTGTTTTTGCAGGCGAATCTTGCAAGATGGGAGCCGGGACACGGCCATTTCAGGTTAAGGCATCCGTGGAAAAAGTACTTGGAGGTTGCTGGACTCGTTCGCCAATGCGCCTTCCATTTCGAAATCCTCAATGGATATCTTCTCTCCGACGTTAAGGTTCGTCGTAGGAAGTCATGACATAAGTTTAGTTTGTCATATTTACACCACTAAAAGTACTTTTTTTTTTTTCGTTTCAGCAAAAACCATTAAACTTTTACACTGAAAACTGAATTGGAAAGCGAGCCAATTTTTTTTTCTATAATCGGATCGACTAAGTAGAAGACTACTTAAGATTACCATTGTTTACTGTCAATTTTCAAACTTACGATTTGTATACGTGTTTATAATTCATCTATTTAGGTTTATAACCATGTTATCATATTTACTATTCGATTCCGAAACAAATTGACTTCAGGTTTGTAAAATTGTGTAAAAATGGTAAAACGTGTGTGTATATAAGTCACGTCGTATGTCGTTATTTATTTATTCTTCATTTCTTCTCACCTGCAAAGTAATTAATATATACACATGCATAAATAAGATTGTACTATTATATATACCTAGCTAGGCCTTATTTAATAATCATCAAAGATTGCGAATGAAATGTCAGCGCCTAAACAGATGTTACAAATATGTCAAGGCTCTAAATGACCAATCCATAAATAATAAATAATACGCATATTAAATATTAACAGATGTTACAATTGCATTTTTGTTACTTGTGGCGCAAGCAGGCACCGCAAGATTTCATAAGCAAGATTCAAGAGCCATGTTCGATTCTGATCAGAGAAGCTAGTGAAGCCCTAAAAGCCATAGCCAACTCAATCAGAACAATGACCAGGGACTGTCTTTGTGTGAATGCACACATTGAAAACTCCAAAAATGCCATAGAAAACCTAAGGGTTGCACTCAAATCGCTTTCTCCAGAGATAGATAAAGATCTATTGGAGATCATTCCCGGAGTCACAATGGCGTCAATCTTGATCGAGATCGTGAACTGCGTCGAGAAGATCTCTAAGGCCGTGGAAGAATTATCCGGTCTGGCAAACTTTAAAGAGCGTTTGGATCCAAAATTATCACCGGAATTAGGACAACATCAACTACTTCACAGGGGAAGTGTAAAGCCGGTTTTAGAGGGTGCCAACGAGGAAAAGTACAACAAGTCTCCCCATGTTCTTATCACTGTCCATGATGAACAGCCACCAATCAACGAGAAGAAAGTTTTGGGAGCAAAGAAGGCGAGAGTAGATGTCGTGTAAATATGTTTTTCCTTGTCAAAGTCTTAACAACTCTTTGACGGAAACTTGTTTTAAGTATATAAAAAACTACTCATTTCTTTTTTTTGTTAAAGAAAAAACTACTCATTTCACTCAACTGATTCTAGAAATAATTAATTGTGAGTTTTAAAGAACGTATTAAGCAACAAAAAAAAATTCCGTACTAAAGACTAATGTAGTTACTTAAAAGTTAAAATCAACAAATATATCTTTTTGTTGTCATCAGGTTTGACTATGTCTTCGATGTCGTACAACCTGAACTTCCTGAACTTCCATGGCTAGACTGTAGTGACCTATTCGGGCACATGGCGCATAAACCCCTTGCACTTAGTGAGCCGCCGTCGTCCTTGTCTCCTACCAATTCTGCAATCTGCAATTAAGTAAGAGTGTTATTTTCATTGAAACTGTAAAACATCAATTAAAATGTAACAAATTGTTTGCTTTAACATCTGACATATTAATATACGATTTTTAGTAAGTAGCAATTTATTTTTAAAAACAGAATACGATTTACTAAAACCTCAATGCACATATAAACAAGACATTCAACTATATATATTATTTTTCTACTTTTCTTAACAACTGGTTGAATTAGATTACTCAAATATGTTTTAACGTGATTTTAGCTAATACACAAAACATGTACACTTTATAAATTTAGATTGTGTGTTTGTGTTTGTGAGCAACTGAAGATTGTGAGACAGTGTTTTGGAGGGGCACATACTTGTTGATTTGATACACCGCCTGTAGGAGCACAATGCAATAACTGAAACATCAGCTTTTATCAAACTAATTAGAATTTAGCTTGAAGAAAGAAAACCAGAACGTATCTGTCTCAAGTATGGAATGTGATATAACATTTGTATGAGAGAATTGGCATAAGGCATCTCACCATGTTCCCTTAACAATTCGACAAATCCTGTGACTCTTTTCGAGTCTTGAGGCATAGTACAAAGATTAATTAAACCTCTAAAAGGAAAAAAGTCTAATTCAAGGATTTTTTTTCTTTCTTAACCACTCGTTGTGTTTTGACTTATACTACTACTACTATATAAATGACCACAAATATATGATGACGTAAAGACTAAAGGAATATAATCTTCTTTGTGATCCAAAATCTCAAACCAAGAATGCCTTTCTCTTTTGCAACATAATCCATACGCATTAATCCGAATATTAGAAGAAGAAGAACAAGAAACATGAAAACAATTTATAAAACTGGGAGTTGATTCCCTTAAAGATAAGTGAAAGTCGCACTTCATAGTTTGAAACCTAAACCCGCTGGCTGAATTAGAGGAAGCGATCGTTATGCAAATAATTAGTGTCGTAAGAGACACTCACTTATGGTTATGGGGTGTGGCTAAATATAAATCCAAATCTAAAATCATGTTTCTCTTTATTCTGCTTTCCAAACTAGTAATATGTATATATATTTATGTATCACAAAATACGTTTCGTATTAATATTCTACAAAAATACCCTCCAAACTGACATATCTACTAACTTTCTTTCTATTAACAAACGACTTTCAACAAACTATAATGAATAATCATAATAATAAACGTAGTGGTTTAACAAGTCAAAATCCCCAAAAAAAGAAAATCTACCAGCCGAAGATTGGCTTGTGAACGTGAGGCGGAACAAGATTCAGATCCTTGCAATGTTGCTTATCATAGTCTTTTGTTCTTGGTGTTGCTCCACTGCACAGTCTCAAGAAATCGTTCCCTGTGAGAACATAGTGTGTGAATGCCAATCCTCCATCGATGACCTCGTTAAAGCTCGGAACCGATCTTGATTTTCTCATCCTTCTTCTTTCTCCATCTCCATCGTTCAAGATCTTATCGAGATCCGAATACTCCATGAATCTCTGTGTCGCTGCTTCCCAAGAAAGATTGTACATTTGCTCTGGAGTCAGCGGTAATGGCTCTTTCGACATTGCTTCTTTCACTTTGTTCACAAAGTCTTCTGATGTTTTGTAAGTTAGACAGTTTGGGAATGATCTGAAGAACTCGTTCGAAGGATGGTCCGCACACACCACGAATTTCCCCATGGCCAGTGCTTCTGCGGTTGCTGTGCATAGAACATCGCTGATGCTTGGGTTTATGAACACTTTGTACCTTCATTAAGACGAAAGAGAAACAATCATAAGAGAGTAACATTAAACAAATTTGAAGAGCAAACCAAATTTTTTGTTCAGAACTTACTTGTGTAGAGAATCATCGGCATGGTCTCTTCCTTTAAGGAAATTGAGATTCAAATCGTGTTTCTGTGCTGCACGTTGGACCTCGACTGCATCTTCACCGTTTCCATACACATCTAAATTGAAGCTCCCGAGGTCGCTTTTGTGTTTAGCCATCAGATCTATCAGTTCTCTGTATCCTTTAGCCCACACCATTTTCCCTAAGAAGTATGCGCCTTTTGAGAAAGCTTCTTCCCCACGTGACCTCTCATCAGCGACTTTCTCCCCAATCATTAGGAACTTGGGGTTGACACCATGGACATTGCATACCACAGATTTTGGCAACTCTTGTGTTGCCCCAGAGAGGCGAAGAACCTTTCATGAGTGAAGAGAAAATGTGTTTAGCTCATGTACTTTTTTATTAAAGAGGACTGAAGCAACAGAAGAGGGAGAGAGTAGAAAAGTCACCTTGTCGCAATATGCTCGTGTGACCCAATTGTTTACATGATTCACAAAAAATGCTTGAAGAGCACCATGCTTCTCCCTCTTGATGTACTCCAAGTAGTTTGTGTGGACGATTCCAACAACATGGTTGAATTTATCGGTCCATCGCTTCCCGTGATGATACCAGTTGAGATGTTCCGGCTCTTCGAGAATAGCAATGTCAGCATCTTTCGACGGTATGAATTGAGACGTGTCACCAGCAGGAAATATGCTTCGTCTTTCTTTTGAAAACTAGAAGAAACCAGAAAATTCATGTCACTCTCAAGTAACCAATAGATTGCAATTATAGTATCCAACATGATCATCTTACCTTTCCCGGGTAAAAGGAGATTTTGAAATCAGCCTTGAAACCAATCCTTTCCTCCAACCATTTACGTATATAACTCTCCTGTTCTTCAGGTGAACTAAAGGTGAGATTGTTCGGATAAACTAGTTCTTGATCAGATTCACAAAGCCAAGGAACCAAGAGGGTAACACTCTGCTTTGCAGATTTTGCCAAATAGGCAGCTCGGAACAGAGGATTTACAGCTGTTCCGGTCATCCAAGGGAGACTAGCTGTTGTAACTATTGCGACGTGCCTTTTGCTTTCCGGCGTCTCAGGCTTCAGAAAATCAGTCCAAAAGCCACCATCATAATGGTGTCCTGTGCTCTGAAGAACACTGGCTATCCTCATATCCAGATCATCAACGTGGTTCTCATTTTCAACTAACTCGGATGCTTGTGCAGATGGCAGACGCCAAAGGTGTTGGCTCTTGGATTTGCAAAGGGTTTCTACTATTCGGTCGCACATATCTGAAAGACAATTCAGGTGGAGTAACATCAGGGACTTGGATTCTCATGTAAAACCATCAAAACTAGATGGTAATGCACAAGAAAAGGTGTTTTCTACCAATTCTGAAAATTCCATGCCTAATAGTCCACTAAATGGCAGATTTCATTTGAGTAAACTGTTCTCAAACAAAATTTAGACCTACAAATATTTGATATCCAGAAAATGATCAAGAAACAACAAAGCACCAAACCCACCAACTAAACTTCTGATGAAGCAAGCAACCCACTAAACGAAGATTAACTTTTTGTTTCGAAGATCACCTATGGTAGAGAAACACCAATATATTCACAACTCAATACATACAACTAAAAAAAAACTAAGCAAATAAAGAGAAAAATGCAATACGTACTTACCCTTTCTTACACCAATCTGATCAAGAAAAGGTTCCGACTGCCTAACCAAACATGCCAAAAGTTCAGGGACATCCAGTGGGGGAACATCCTGCACCAAAAGTTAAAAGGACCCCATTTTAACACTGAACTTATGTCTACCTAAAACCAAGAACAAAAGAGCCATTCAACTTCAAATATACCAACCTTGGCCTCATCGGTTTCTTTGTATATCGATTTCTGCAAATTGAACAAAAGAGAAATCATAATCAGAAAAAGTTGCCATATATACAATAAGAAACTCAACTAAATCATAACGCAAAACAAACTCTCATGTCAAGCATTTTACGATGAGTGGTTAATAACTTGACATGAGAGGCTCATAAAAGTGAGAGTAAATTACAAGAGAAGCGACTTCTACAGTAAGCTAGAGACTTCTGGATATTTAAAACCTCTGAATTCATAATTTGACTAGAAATGAAACAAAAAAAAATCCCTAAAATTTGAAGGATTAAGCATGGAGAGACTTACAAAGCTGGTTTTGAGCTTCTCCACGAACTCGCTGTTCTTGAATCCACTCAATATTTCCAACGAGCTTCGTTTCTCGAACTCTTTAAATCTAGTCTTCAGAGACCTAATCGGCTCCCAATCTCCGAAATTAGCTTCTCCTTCTCTCTCAGTCTCGGCGCAAAACTCCGTAAACCTAACCCTATCACTATTACGCCGTCTCCTCATCCTACCCATCTCCAAAACTCCCTGACGCTCATCCAATTCCATCTCAGACACAATCGCTTTCTTAATCGCCGATAGATCGATCCCCAGCTTCGCCCTCGCCGGTCCCCACCTCTCCATGACCTTGCGGCTGATTTCCGGCGCCGAATAAACCCTGCGGAACTCCGATATCTTCGGCTGGAGCTTCTTCATGATCCCAATTTCACTCGAGAAAGACGACGCCGACGGCGACCCAGCGGAAAACGCAGACCTCGCCGAGTTATTTAGGAAATTCTCGATCTCGCGGTCGAACGTCGATGCTAGATTCTTAACAGAGTTAGCTCGGTCTCTCATCAGCTGCAAATCCGCATCCGCTGAGTCCCGTACCTCCCTCCACCCTTTCGACAAAAACGACAACGCGTTCGTGGAGGACAACGTCGTCATCGAGAGAGACGACGAAGAAGCAGACGCCATTCCGGTCGTCGTTGACGTGGAAGAAGGAGGAGTGTGGCTCTCCTTCACCATAATTTCAGGGTTTTGTCGTTTCGTCACGACGATTTCGTGGAAGTGTTACGGTTTCTATCTGTTGAGAATTTGGGGAAGAAGGAGAAGGAAGAAGGAGAAGAAGAGGGAGAGAGAAAAACAAAAGGTAAGGAATTGACGGCTGAGATTAATCGGAAGAGTCTTTTTAATTGATTCTCTCTCTGTATTATTCTGGAAGTATACACGTGGAAAATAAACAAGTCGGACGATAGCAGCTTGTGAAGCCTTGACTTGCGGCTGACATGGCATGAGTCCCACTGGTTGATGACGTGGCGTATAGTAATTGGTTGACGAGATTATCCGATTGTGTCGGGTTCACTAGGAATATGCTGGATTTATGAAGAATCTGGTCCTACGGGGCATGTGGCAAATGACAATGACATGATATAAAAAAAAACATATGAAAATGATATCAATGGACGTATTTGGACTTTTGATGAAAGCCCATTAACGGTTCAAATGTTGGCCGACTTCGCCAAAAGAACCAACGTACGCCACATGGAATACTTTTGTCTGATTGAGAAGAAAAATCAAGGGAAGTTTTTTTTTGTCTGAACAGTTTCTGTTTAGTTTTTTTTGTTGGTTTTAAACACACACTCACCAGTCACCAATATGCATCGTGGTTTACAATTATGGGTTTTGAATACTTACGACTTACAGTAATACGTATCATTGCTTCAGTATCAAAGCTTGTAACTAAAAGTAGTATAAATTCCGAAAGAAGAAGGAGACAAAAAAAGCTTTAGGTAGTTGCTTACACGGTTACACCAAAAAAAAAGGGGTCTAGGTGCAAAACATTGAATTTTCCTCGTTGAACTCAGCCTGAGATCTCACGATCAAGAAGGAACAGCTCCATCACGAGCACACGCCTTGATAACGACGCCTCCTTGCAATTTCAATCTGTTGTTGTACATATCAAATTTTTCTGGTAGATAAAATCAGAAAGCGTCACTCACAAGTCATCCAAAATTCGAAAATCACGGATATAATGATATCAGTGGTTTCAGCCATCTATAAACTCAGAACTTGCAATAGATTCAATCACACATTTCTACGCATCATTTGTAGGAAATGATCGAAACAAAACAGTTCAGAGTTACGGAATTCTGCATACAAGTGTTTTGAGTTAACTTTGAACCAGAGTGCTACTGAAACAAGCAGGCTTATAAATTACAATACATTCCAATCACATATTAGTACTACACGTCTTTGGTCCGTAGCATGATGGTTTTTACTCTGAATTTTGTTTCTAGATAGAGTAACCGGTTGTTCAAAAAAAAAAGATAGAGTAACCGCAAAACAGAAGGCCTCAATTCGCAAAATTAAAGAGGCCAAAACAAGAGAGGTGCTAAAAACACTTGCATTTTCACGGAGTAATTTTTCTTGGCAATCAACTTACCATTGATGCCTAGAGATTTTTTTTTTTCAACAACAGGTCCATGAACGAAATTGAACAAAGTGGAAACAGAGATATGCTTTTCTTTTCTGTGCATTTGTCTCTGTTTTGTTGGAAATATGCCGCAAATATTTGCTATTCTCTGTTTTTTGGTTTCTTGATTGCATATTTGCATGAATTTTATCGCTAACAAAAATATATTAAAAATTAATGTATTTTTCTACAAGTTATAATTTATAAATCCTATAATATCGGCCCTCCATATATTCTTCTACACGTTTTAATAATTATGCATGTCCTCCTTGCAACATGAGCTTCAAATCTACATAACTAATAAGGCTTGGACATCTCAAGCCTTTGACACGTGGCACTCTTTTTTTTTTTTTTTTTTTCGCCTAACACCAAAACGACGTCGTTTTGCTTTTTTTTTTTCGTCTTACACCAAAACGACGTCGTTTTGCGCTTTATCTTTTTTTTTTCGTCTTACACCAAAACGACGTCGTTTTCGTAAAAAAAAAAAAAAAATCTAAATCAAAATTATGTGTAATGTTGTTCGTTTTGATGGGCTTGATTATTTATCGGACCTCTTCGTTTCCATGGTAGCTTTAAATGGGCTTACTGGCTAATTAGCTCATTTCATTTCCTTTTAAAAAGGATTGCAATTATTATTATCTATGAGTCTGTAGGATAATAATCAATCTATAATGATTGTTAGTATAAGGAAAATTAGAAGAACTCAACTCCAGTCGATAAATTATTGTATAAAAGAACAAAAAACATATGAAACTATTCACTATGAGTCTATATAAGATTTCACGTAAATAACAACTAAATTTTAAAACTATATGAAAAAAAACAAAATGCAAAACTTACAGAATCTAATATATTCGAGTAAAAAACAAATGATATATTCGAATCTAATGTTCTGAATAATTAAATTAAAAATATTTGGTTTAATAAACCCGCGCATTGCGCGGGTTCTCTCCTAGTTCTCTGTAAAGAACCAGAGGAGAGTACGAAGGTAACATGTCCTCCATTGCTCCCTTCTCGGTTGTTTCACATCATTTCCTCTAATTCTTCAATTTCAGCTTGTGAGCTTTGGTTATGATGATAATCAGTGAAAGTAAGATTTTGAAGCTCTAACGTATAGGTTACTATAATAAGTGAGCATGCATATAGTTGTAGATTCACTTTACGGAAAATGAATACCCGATCTATAAACAAAGTTTCTTTGAAAATTAAAGATCTGTTTTACTAAAACTTAAATCCGAACAGAAATTAAAATCGAATCGAAACCATCTATTATAGATCTGGTTTTATTTTAGATATCATCATCACAAAAGAAGAAAACAATCCGAAATCCGTATTGATCACCTCTACGCGATACCGATAGCAGTTACAATTAGTGCCCTTTTAAAAGAATATTTTTCTCCAATATTACAACACAATGTTTTCAGCAATTGCTGTAATTATTAATCAACGTAACAAGACAAAGAAAATGATGGACAAGTGGTGGTTTATCTTTTTGTCAACTAGTGTTAGGTCACTTACGTCCTCTTTTCTATTATGGGAGACTACGTGGATAAATGAAACTTTATTTTCAATCTCTATCAATTATTAATCTATACATGTATACAAAACATTTGCTCGTTCAATACTTAAACTTTGATTCGACTCCAAACTTATCACTAACGGACTAGTAGTTGGTACTGAAAATTCATCGACCCATGTGATATAGCTCCAAATATCAAAACGTTTGTGTATCTCTAGACTCTAGCGTTAAAACATTTGAGTGATCCATAAATATTTAATCCAGGTCAAAGCATATAACTAAAACATAGATATAGTTACTTTTTAAGTTTTAGTTAAGTTTCAATCTTTCAAATGAGGAAAGTGAGAATGAAATTTACCAGCTGAGTTGCTTATTAGTTGTTGGATGGAGGCGATGATGAAAAGATCTTCGACCACACATAAAGTCATAAAGTCACCTTTCTTAGGAAAACCTTCACCGACCATATCAAATCATCTTCCAATTCACAATTTCCAACACTTCTAGAAATATAACTTTACATCAAAAGTTAATATATTATGAATCCATAACTTTACATTACCAAAAACAAAGATCATAACAATATATTAGACATATGAGTGCATGTTTTTTTCTTGGTTTGATTAAAAAAATACATATATTACGTACTAGTTACATTCTTTTCTTATTAATGAAAAGAAAAACTTTATTTGCCTATCACTCTCCTATAAAGCATACACATACATTAGCCCATAATTTAGAACACACCAAATAAATAATAGAAGAAATCTCTTTAACAACTCTTCCATTTTCTCCCCACCACCACCACCGCCAGAGAAAAAGCACCCACCACCATGACCTCCAAAGACTGTGGCTCCCACGGCCACTCTCGCCGGAACCTAATCCGCCGAATAATATGGTCAATAATCTTCATCATCTTCATAATCTTCCTCACAATTCTCCTCGTTTGGGCCATTCTTCAACCTTCAAAACCACGTTTCCTTCTCCAAGACGCCACCGTCTACGCCTTCAACGTCTCCGGCAATCCACCGAACCTCCTCACTTCAAATTTCCAAATCACTCTCTCTTCCCGGAACCCTAACGACAAGATCGGCATCTACTACGACCGTCTCGACCTCTACGCTACTTACCGGAGCCAACAGATCACTTTCCGAACATCGATCCCTCCGACTTATCAGGGACATAAAGAAGTCAACATATGGTCGCCGTTTGTCTACGGAACCTCCGTTCCCGTCGCTCCTTTCAACGCCATGAGTCTTCAAAGCGATCGAGATAACGGCGTCGTCACGCTGATCATCCGTGCTGACGGCAGAGTGAGGTGGAAAGTTGGCACTTTTATCACCGGCAAGTATCATCTTTACGTCAAGTGTCAGGCGTTTATTAACTTCGGTAACAGAGCTGCCGGAGTCATCGTCGGGGATAACGCCGTTAAGTATACGTTTTCCGATAATAGTTGTAGTGTCAATGTCTGAAACGGCGACGGAGCGAGAAAAATCAGGTTAATTAACGGCTCCGTTAAATATTATAGTCTTCGTAATTATCATGATTGATGTAAATTGTACATTTTGCTTATACGATAGCAAATATTACAGATTCGTGATGTTATTGTAACGAGTTGTTATGAGAATTTCAGTTTCTATACTTTTAATTATTGTAGTTAAATTCTGTATTTTTATTTTTTAAGTTGTGATTTTCTTAGAATATAGTTTCGGTGACTAAGATGCATCTTGTGATCCTGACAAATCGACTCTTTTTTGATGATTTTTTTTAGTAGTCGGTAAAGTTGGATGGCGATAGAAATTAAAATATATTCGAATAGATTATGACTCGTTAATGGTTTTGTGGACATTGGGTTACGGTGTCATTATCGATATATGTCTCCATCTTTCTTCTTGAATTAAATCGAGGTTCAATTATATATATTTGTACAACATTCCACAACAAATAAGAAAGTTTAAAAAGAAAAAAAGTATGTGGACTGGATTTTTTAGTCATATTTGTGGACTTACAGATCATCTGGTCTATACTACTCTACTCTACTCATAAAGTATTGCTTAAATTATGGTTTTGTTGCCACTATAAAGCACGTTCTTCTAACGTTTTGCTTGATATCAGAATAAAGTTAACATTACGTTACTTTGGGTGGATATTGTGAATATTTTTGGATCTTGGGATGAGAACATCAGAATCCGATATAGCTTATGGGAATTTAGCTAATAATTTGAATTAATTAGTATATACTTGGCTCTAAATTTAGATTCCTTATATATGACGTCGGATCATCGCGTAGCTCTCAAGTCTCAACAGCTAGAGACGTGACCAAAAAGACTTATTTCTTGCTTCGCCTATTTCCATTCATTTAATTAAATGGTCCCTTAGATTGATCAAAGATAAGAGAATATGGTCCCTTAAAACTTATTATTTAACGATTGAGAAATATGCAATCAAGTTTTCTTGAATTTATACTTTGGATTTCATTCACATGATAGTGATATTATATGAGACCTTATATGATATATACAACTGTTTTTTTGTTGAATAAAGTTGAGAAACCTAACCTTGGATTTTCCTTCTTGTATATAAAAGTGGTTATGAACGTGGTATGTGTCACACACAAACACTAGTAGCTACGATGTCCGAGTAAGAGTGTAAGACTCTGCCCCAAACCTAAATAATTCTCTAATGAATGACCTTTTTCAACCTAACTTTGAAATAATTTACAAGATCCGAAATTCCACCTAGATGATCGATAGTACATCATTAAATCAACATTCATGTTTGGAATTACTCAGTATTGAGTAACTACACAGTGGAACTATCTCCAAATATAGTTTTATTCGAAAGTTCGAAACGAAACAGTTTAATAATGAAGTGAATTTCCGAACAAATAAAATAAGAAGCATACATATCTAATCTTCGAAAATTATGTAAACTATGTAACTATGTAATCTTCAAAAATGGTATAAATCTTCACATTTGCACCAAAAAAAATAATAATAATAAGAAGCATATATAGTCGTGTGTCTATACGTTCGTCTACTATTGGGCTTAGTTTATTTATGCTGGGCCTAATTGTTGTGATGTTATGATAACAGCATCAACACAACATCTACACAAATTTAGCTGCATGGAACATTGGAACTACACAAAAAGCCTCATCAATAAATTGTATTTTTTTTATCTTCAATAAAAGGCTAGTTGAGCTGTTGATAAATTCATTTTTAGGTATGAAGTGCTTGTTTTTTTTTCTTTTTTTTTGCTAAAATATAAAATTCATATTAATGAAGGAGATGGTTTTACAAAAGAGCAAACCCTTACAAATGATTTCTTGGCAAAAAAGGTAAAAACAAGTAAGCATTATGAGATTTTTGAAATTCATGAGACGTCTTCTCGTGTTAATAGTGTTGATGATTTCCTGTCCACACATTCAAATTCCTGAAGTGCTTGTTAACAAAAGGGTTTTGTGCAAATTAAACCTCCAACTAAATTAAATTTGCAAATCAAACCCTGAATTTTGTTCTATGCAAATCAAACTAGCCAAGTCAAAAGTCACCCGCTAATTAACCCCTCCATGTGATTGTCGTCAAGTTCAAACGTTGACATAAAACGTGTCGTTTTGGCCTTTGAAAATTTGTGTTGTTTCTGCAAAAATCGATTGGGGCAAAATTTAGGGTTTGAGTTGAAAATCGGTTTGGAGCAAAATCTGCAAACATTGTCTTGTTCTTCTTCTTCAATGACAATTATAATCTCTTCCTCAAAAGATTGGAATTCAAAACTCTTATGCGTCACCAAACCGTCAATCTCTTTCTCGAAACTCCATTTACTTACTATTTTGTTAATGAATTTAGAAATCCCTCTTGACCCATTATAAAACCTGCACTTTCAACACTAATTAGGATCGATTGTTCCCTGTTTGTGCTAATCTGGTTTTGCAGAGCAAATTTAGGTGACTGATTCTTCTTCTCTCGATATCAAATCTCTTCTTGGATTATGCAGGATCTGATCTTTGTTTTCCCATGATTTCATAGTAAAGAAAACGGAAGAAGAAAATTAGAGTAGGAGAGAATCATAGGAGAGATGAGAGATAAGAGAAGAAGAGGGAGAGGAAGAAGAACGTGATTTTTTTTTTCAATTTCTTTTTTGTTTTCTTTAATTAGTAAAACAGCATGTAGTTTTTGTAAAGCATTGCAAAAATTGTCCTGTTTTCGAATCTCAAAACGGTGCGTTTCAATATCCGTTAGTTTTTTGGACAGTCAACGTTAGGATGACGTCGACGATATAGGGATGGTCAGTTTAGCGGGTGACTTTTGACTTGACTGGTTTGATTTGCACAGAATAAAATTCAGGGTTTGATTTGCAAATTTAATTTAGTTGGAGGGTTAATTTGCACAAAACCCTTAACAAAAGCTTTGACCACACACACATTCAAATGCTACCTTCTCGCCTCTCGGTAACAAAACGTAACGGCACTTTTTTTCAAAAATAAACCGGTGGTTGAAAGGTGAACCGGTCTTTGTATGATTAATTTATTTTTTGGTATGAATCTTAACCCATTAATTAATTTCTTCTTTTACTAACAACAAAATCCAGACCACATTTTGAATTCGTTTCCTTATAAAAAGACGCGTTACGTTAATCTTCTTCTCAATTAAAACACAATTTAATTCATTCCCATCACACACATTATAAATCACTGCATCCTCTTCTTCTCCACTCAAACGATTCGCATCCTTTAAGTTTCAGATTCTTAAATCTCTGCTTCGTTTTTCTCTCTGTGGAGGCATATCGTCGAACAGATGGGGGACAGACAACCATACCTAAACGGCGCATACTACGGCCCATCGGTTCCGCCGCCGACTAAGGCCAAGCGACGCAGATACGATTCGCCGGGAATCGGATGCTGCTGCTGCAAATGCATCGGTAGCTGCATCGGAAGCTGTATACGCTGCTGCGGCTGCTGCATCCTAAGCCTGATCTGCAACATCCTAATCGCCGTCGCCGTAATCCTCGGAATCGCCGCCTTGGTCCTCTGGTTCGTATTCCGTCCCAACGCCGTCAAATTCTACGTCACCGACGCAAATCTCAACCGATTCAGCCTCGATTCGAGCAACAACAGCAACCTCCACTACGATCTCGACCTCAATTTCACGATCCGCAACCCGAACCAGCGAGTCGGCATCTATTACGACGAGATCAAGGTGAGTGGGTACTACGGAGACCAGCGATTCGGCACCGGAGACATCACGCCGTTTTATCAGGGGCACAAGAACACGACGGTGGCTGCGACGAAAATCGCGGGGCAGAATCTGGTGGTGCTCGGCGACGGAGCGAGAGCGGATCTGGAGGAGGATGAGAAAGCCGGCGTTTATCGGATCGATGCGAAAGTGAGGATGAGTGTTAGGTTTAAGTTTTGGGTGATAAAGTCGTGGAGATTCAAACCGAAGATCAAGTGTGATGATCTCAAGATCCCTCTCGGTGGCTCTAATTCAACCAGCGGGTTTAAGTTTGAGACTGTGAAATGTGACTTTGACTTTTTTTAGTCAACAACTTCAAGTTTTATGAATTGTTTTCATCTTTCTTCTTCTAGTATTCGGATTTAGATTGTAAAACTTGATTAATCCATTCCATATGGATTATGCGGTGTTTGTTGGAGTTGAATGTTATATTTCTTGTTTGATTTTGGTTTATATGGCTTTTAAACTCCATTTTAAGATCTACATCACATCATATCACATAGTAGTTCTTAATCATGCAAAAAAATTTTGTTTTGATGATGAAACCAAATCAGTTGCATGATTAATTAAGAACTGCAAAAGTCTTCACTTCTTTATGTGTGGATTTGCATGTGAAAACATATCTAGCAGCTTCAGGTTTTGACAATTTCATCAAAAGATCTTTACAACTCAAAACATATGTAACAAAACATACGAGTTCATGGTGAAAATTTCATATTGCCGTACATAATAAAACTACGACAAAGTTGTAAATTCTAACCAAAAGAGTTAATAAGAATTCCAACGAAATCCGTAAATAATTTACTAAACTGTTCTAAAGCGTTGGAAACTTGGAATTAAGCAAAAAAAAAGAAAGTTAACATATCTGAGAGCTTTGGAAATTAAAACAACAGCTCCCGCTGCTGCTGACGACGTCATACACATCAATGACGCCATCCGTATCCCGACCAGGAGATGGTGAAGGAGTGAAGTAGGGAGGAGAATCACACGGCGTCAAGAACGGAGTCGGCTCGCCGGAATATTCCACCGGGATATCAATTCGAAGATCACCGCCGTCATCCGCATCATCATCATCTTCTTCCATTTCCGAATCCTCTTCTTCGATTGTAAACAAAAGCCTCGACACTCGCCACTTGTCCACCGCCGCTACATCCTCTTCCTCCTCCTCCACAGCGGCCTCCACTACCGCCACCGCAACTGTATTTTCCTCCATCTGTACAGAAACAATTCCGGATGGCTCAATACGAGAATGGTTCTTCTTCTTCTTCTTCTTGCAACACATGAAGAATTCGAGTAGAACCGCTTTACTTGCCGGAGACGGCGTGGGACGACAAAAGATGTAGCAGAGCTCGGCGACGAAGATGAGAAGGAAGAAGAGTAAGACGGCGAGCAGCACGGCGCCGGTGTTGGTGAGAGCATGCATCGTTCAAGGGAAAAGCTCAAAAGAACGATCGAGTGGGGGAGTGTGAGAAAAAGAATATGTGACCGGATCGTAGAGTAGCTTAAGCGGGAGAGTTAACCGGCGTTTACCGGTTACAGGTTGCTCGAAAAGAGGTGTGTTTTGATGATGATGATTAATGATGTTGGAACTTGTGGGCAAAGGGGGACACATGAGGAACTTTTTACAGGTAGCATGCTGCTTTTGTCTAATGTTGTTATTATTATTACAGTTGTGGAAAATAGTCAAATACATAAAGTTCATAAATTTGATTTCTAAAATGTATGATATTCTGTATATTATCCCTATATTAGCCCTATATTATCATGTTCTTGTGTTTTCATATGATTAGTACACTATATGCAATACGAATTGCATTAACGAAAAAAGGAGTTTTATAGATTTGAGTCATTTGACAACAATGTGTAACGATTCAAACAAAGGATTGTTTTAGCGTAAAAGAAGGGGAAAAAAAGGCTCTGCTCACATCTGCTCACATATAACAAAGATTGTACCTTTTGCTATCTTAGACTCTTAGTAGCTTCTAAATAGCAGAGAAGTACTCTTTGCTGAGCTTGGGGTCGGGTTTCATCGACTTCTCACCTGGTTTCCATCCCGCCGGACAGACCTCATCGGGGTTTTCCTGAATGTACTGTAAGGCCTGCAACAACAATTGAGAATGTATCAAGCAAAACCGAAATCAGGTGAATGGAACAGAGCGGTTTTGTATGGTGTGAGTAATTTATGTGCATGCCTGGAGAGTTCTCATAGTCTCATCAACGCTACGTCCAATGCCAAGATTGTTGATGGTGGAATGTTGGATCACTCCTTCCTTGTCAATAATGAAAAGCCCTCTCAGTGCTATTCCCTGTTTTTCTCATTCACACAAATAAAGTTCTCGTCTTTATTATCCCAAACACTTTGAGAGTTATAAAGGAAGCCAAAGATTTGAGAGGCTAACAATGTATGTACCTGGTCATGGATGAGCACTCCAAAAGATTTTGAGATTGATTTAGTGACATCTGATATAAGGGGATAGTTGAGATCACCAAGCCCTCCAGATTTTCTGTCTGTTTGGACCCACGCAAGATGCGAGAACTACACAAACACACAACCAGAAGAAACGGTAAGAATGAGTCAAGCAATTTGCAAACAGATAAGAATATCAGTGCAAGATATTGCAATAAACATCATAAAGAAGGATGAGAAAATCGAGAGAGTATGATGGTGATTGTATAAGTTATGTACTTACCACACTATCGACAGAGACACCTAATATTTCAGTGTTCAACTTCGCAAACTCTTCATGTCGGTCACTGAAGGCAGTAATCTCTATAAGACAAAAGAGAGATTAGGATGCAGTGAATGAACATTGGATATTCAATTTCGATATAATTCTCAAGCAAATGCTAACCTGTTGGGCAGACGAAAGTGAAATCCAATGGGTAGAAGAAGAGAATCACATACTTCTTCCCAATGTACTCAGAGAGCTTAACCTGAAACCATCAATTACCAATTAGAACAATAAGACGCATACACTAAACAAAACACACAAAAGACTAGTCATTTGGCTACAACTCTAAACTTTATGTCTCATATTAACAAGAAGCAGCAGATAAATATTCAAGTTTGTTGTAAGAAACTAGTCAAGATTTTCAAAAACGGAGGTTCTTGAACCAAGATACCTTGATGAACTCCTGATCGAACACAGCCTCCGCCTCAAAATCAGGTGCCTTGTTTCCAACCAATGGAAGATCATCCTATGAACATAAAACACAAATCGTTAACGAATCTGATCTAAGGAGCAAGATAGCTCAGCTCAACAGTCAGAGAACACATCGAGCAACCATATATATACATAGCCTAATAAATTGTCAATCAATTTCGTTAAATTGGAGGATTTCAAATCCATTTTCCTAATTGAGTGGCCATCACCACTAAGAACAAAACTAACAATCCTGTAACTAAGCTAATCAGAAGGAAGGGAGAGTGAAGTCTGTAACTAATAGGCTAATGAATTTCGATTCCAATCAGACCAAAGGAGAAAGTATCGGCATTTTCGATAACTTACGCCCAGGGCCTTGACAGCGAAGCTCCTGCGAGAATTGGAGCGGACTGAGCTGAGGGAAGAGCGTTGAGCAAACCCAGACCGGAGAGCAGCCGATGCGGAAGGAGAAGATACGTTTCGAAGGAAAGAGACGGAGGGAGGGGATGCAAGCGACGAAGACTTGGCAGGGAAAACCCTAGGGGAGGAGATGAGAGTAGTTGAAGAAGCTACAGACGCCATTTTGACACACTTTGTGACTCTCTCTCTCTCTCTTTCTCAGCGACGAAAAACTTATCTGTGTCAACAACCTCTCTTTGTAGTCAGTGGAGATAAGCCCTCAAACACTCAAAACGACGTCGCATTTACTTGGTAGAAGGAAAAATAAACAAATTGTATTTCCAAATGCCAACGTTATGTTTGCGGAGAAATGTGGTCATCGTCTTCTACCTTCGATAACTCCGTCTCTCCGCTGTTACCTTCCTCCGATCGGCGTTTCGATTCTCCAATTGATCAATTCCTACTCTTTTTCCAGGTGCATTGTTCGTTTTTCTACTCACACGGTTTGCTTTAAAAGGCTTTTGAGTGTTTCAACATGCTTCTCCACTCTTTTAAGTCATTTTTAGTCTCTAATTGAGTTCGGATTTCTCACGTTTTCTCTCTCTATTTTCCTCTGTTTCTCAGTTTCGTAATTAAGTTATTCTCTCGTTGATTCTCTTCTCGCCAGTTCTCGGAGAAGATATCGGTTGAATCGCGTGATCGCAGATGATATGGAGAGTGAGAAGGAATTGATGAACAAAGCTAAAAGAAACGTTAATTCCAGACTGTGCAGGGTTTCTGGGTATTATAATCTATCCTTTTTTCTAAATTATTTGAAATGTGTTCGACTTGATTTTGATTATAATAATCACACTTTTTGTTGGGTTTGTGATCAAGTTCGATGACGGAGGTGATGGAAATTCAAGCTGAGAATCCAAAATTCCATGTACTGTTTATCCCGGGAAATCCAGGTTTTCATTTTATAACCATGCTCAAAGGCGTTTATGTATTCACTATTCACATATAAACTAAGCTAGATATGAAATTATATCATGTTCATGCATTGGCTTGTAAATTTTGAAGGTGTGGTGTCATTTTACAAGGACTTTTTGGAATCTTTAAACGAGTTTCTTGATGGAAATGCATCTATAACAGGTATATGTCAGCTTTAGAGTTCGCTTTATATTTCATGAGTTTTGATTGGTTCTTTTTCCCTCTACTGGTTTTGTTTTCTTCTTGCGTAGCTATTGGGCAAATATCTCACACGAGCAAGGTACTATAACTTGGCTTCAGATTCTATTGTAATACTAGTTGCATTGATACTGTTCGTATCCTCTTAGTTTTGTGTACTCAAGTGTGATAGCTTAATTTGTGCTTTTGGTGATATTTGATGATTATCATTCTTTAAGGACTGGGAATCTGGTAAGCTGTTTTCGTTGCAAGAACAAATTGATCATAAGGTAATAAAGATTTTACAATGTTCCTAAGAAGTTCTTGTATTGTTTATCCCATGGAGTAAAGATCTCAATCTGTTAGTTATATCTATCATACAGGTTGATTTTATCAGACGTGAGTTGGAGGGAGTCAAAGTTCCAATAGTATTGGTAAATACATACTAATTGTCTCATGTATACAATATGAGTTATATAACATGTTTGAAATTTTTTTAGTAGCTCAAGCCTTAAGTTGGTTTTGGCAGGTTGGGCACTCTATTGGGTCTTATATATCCCTTGAAATGTTGAAGAAATGCTCGGAGAAGGTTCACACGCATTCCTCTAAGGCTCTATCACCGTTCCTCTCTGCACTATGTGATCATTTACATTCGCAAGACTGGTTTTGCAGGTGGTATATTGCATTGGCCTATATCCATTTCTGACTTTGAACCAACAGTCGACAAAGCAATCAGTGATTGGGAAACTTGCAGCGTGAGATTTTTCTTTGATATGAAATCATTACCACATCATGTTGCTTTCTCTCTGCCAATACGCAGAGTTGTCTAAGGAATTGTTATAATTCAGGTCTTCGGTTTTGTCGGCTTCAGCAAGTTTTCTGATTGCATCACTGAGACTGTTACCTTTGTGGGCTGCACGGCGGCTTGTATCAAGCTCCATTGGAGCCGGATGGTCTGATACTGCTGTTCAAGCTACTTGCACTCACTTGAGGCAGGTACTATCGTGTTTCCATATCCACTTGTTTTACACATCAACCTAGTTGTATAAGATCCCTGAAGATAATGATGCTTGTATTCTTTGTTATTATTATTATTTCCTTGCAGTATCACACCATGCGCAATGTTCTGTATATGGCAATGACAGAGTTTAGAGAGGTACTCTGTTTTGTTGACAATGTGTCCTAAAGAGTATTATAGAGAGTAGAAGATTTGACTGTTTTCAATACTGTTTGGCAAATAAGCTCGCAGCAGAGCCAGATTGGGACTTCATGAGAGAAAACCAGAAGAAGCTTGCATTTTTATTTGGCATTGATGATCACTGGGGTCCATTGCAACTCTTTGAAGAGGTGGATTTAGTTTCGTTTTCTCAATTAAATGCATAATTAAATGCATTTTATGACACATGAAGAAGAGTCTCTCATAGAATATCTCTTCATTGTTTCCAGATATCAAAGCAGGCTCCTGCTACTTCCTTGTCTATAGAGAGGGAAGGTCACACGCACGGTTTCTGCTGCACCGTGGCTGGCTCGGTCTGGGTTGCGCAGCACGTTGCAACTCTAATCAAGGACCAGTTATCGCATCTTCAGTAAATGTAACTTTCCATTCTCAACCATCAAAACGTTTTCTTTAGAAATGTTTGTTGCTATACTAAAACAGAGTCGTTTAAAAACTGTCTTGGATATATTCTGTAACTATGTTCTCACTCAAACAAATCTACTTCTTTCAATCACAAACGCAGAACATCTCCACAATTGCAACCGCAACAGTTGCATTGATCCGAATTCCAATAAACCGCGGTTAGTGAGAATTTAAGATAACAAAGAGGTTAGGTATGAAGAGGAAGATTAGGGAACATTAATTGAATTCACCAAATAAAACTATAAGTGATTTCGTTTTCCTCTTTGATTTTCGTATATTTATTCATTTTGAAAAGATGAATAACCAAACCTATTGCAAAACAAGAGGCTTTGAAGGATGATGAGATTGCTTAAGTGTGAAGGTTGCAACAGAAAGGTGGCATTTAGTGAGTGATAATAAAGAAGAGAAGCTGATATGTTTTAAATGAAGGGGAAAATAAGAGAGTTAAGACGATAATAACAATAAAGAAAAAGAAGGTACATTTGCATCATCACCATTTTATTTATTTACTTGACAAAATAAAAAGTATTTAAATTGAAGGTGGAATTTAATTCGTATTTATCATTCTTACGTAACGCTCATTATTCTCAACTGCCTCAATTACTATTTGCATTTATATTTTGGTTTTAATGATTTCATCACTTCAAATCTATTGAAGAAGCTATCTGAATTCTGAACTACCCCCTCTTCAATTTTAACCAACTTTCACCCCTTTGCATTCTGTATTAAAAAACTTAAAAGAAAAGGAAAGAAACAACATAGATTTTCTGAAATTTACCATTTGGATTTTCATTACTTTATTTTTGCCATTTGCAGGTCTCAAGGACACAACCCAAGTTTTTTCTTTGTCTCTGACTAATAATGCATATTTTAGGAGAAAAATCTTGTTAATTGTTTTTGTTATGAAAATGCATATTGTGGCTACGAAATCCAAATTTAGTTTTAGATTATTGGATGGTTCTGTTTTTGATATATGGAACCTACAAAAAACACACGCATGTTTTGATTTGGGTCGTATTTGATAGCCATTTTCCAGTTTCCATCAACTTTTTCACAGTTTTTAGTTTATTTTCGTCAGAAGAAAAAACATATATATGGGTCAAATATATTGTGTACCCAAAAAACCAAAGACTCATGTGAGATTTTCTCTGGTAGGACCATAAATACTAATTTTATTCCATCTCTAACCATTTTTGTATGGACTACCAAAACAAACAGTTCAATCAACAAAACGATAACTAAACCGAATATTAAAAAATGTTCTCATGTCCTTCTTACATAATCCGAGGAACTCTAAGACATGTTCGAGAAATAGAGTACTGTTTTTTTTTTGTGTGTGCACAAGAGTACTATAGTTTTCCATTTTACTTGCATAAAAAGTCATTAATTCAAATATCTTGTAAAATAGTAGTAACTCAATTACCGACAATTCACCGGAATAGCTGAATTACAAAGAAACTCCGAAGTAAACAAATATGATGATGTTTCATCACTCTTCACCAACTCTAAAAAATTTCATCTTCCATTAAAAGCAAAGTTAGTGCTATTCACGATCCACTTCAAGTAGGGTCTAAAAGTGGAGCGTGATTAGCACTACTCTAAGACAAAAAACATCTACGAGGAGAAGCAAAAGAAAGACAGAAACAAGTGCGGTTGGATCAGTCTATCGGTTATAAAAGAAGATAAAAAAAAAAGGACGCGGTTGGAGTCATTATTTCATTTCCACCAGGTCTTATTGCGTTTAGATGTTGCGGCGGGAGCGGTTGTAGCGGCGGCGGAGGCGTTTTGATGGAGGAAGTCGAGAAGGACGGTGCTTTTGCATTTTGGGCATTTTGGGTCATCTTGAGAGAGCATAACGTACATAAGGCAGCGAGGGCAACCCACAAGGACCATTGAGGTTGTTGTGTCGATCTCCTCCTGGTTCGTTTCAGAGGAAACGCATGAGCTCGGTGAAGTCGTGTTGGATCGGCTCGGAGAGCGAACGAGACTCATCTGGCTGGCTTGAGAAAGAGGTGGAGAAAGATTCAGCTTCAGGTCGAGCTTTGGGCCATTCCTCCGGCTCATCTCTCTCTCTCTCTCTTTAGGGATTGAGAGAAAGAGTTATTATAGTTATATTGAGAAGTCTTCTTTTTGGTTCTGGTTAGGCCATTTTATAACAATACACATCAAGTTGTCTAGAGAGAGAGAAAGAGATTTCTATTAAGCTTAATTTAATTATGATAGGTGAAATATATAATAAATTATACTATGATGGTTAGATATACTAGTCTTTAACTGCTAACAATTACTTTTGCTTAACCGGCTCAAGAAAAACCTTTTCTTTTTCTTTTTCAATGCTGGCACATAAGCATAAGTATTTTCGAAATTGTATTTGGTATACTATTTATTAAGAAGGAGGACCATACGATAATACGAATAGTCTTTGTTGACAAAACAAGTACTTTAATTGTATAGACATTTAATGGTATAGACAGATACATGCGTTATACGAACATGTATTTGTAAAGGTGTCTTAATCGAAGCAGGAAGTGTATTAATGTTAATCACAGGATTACAAAATCTTTTAAAGAAAGTAAGAAACTAGTTATAAGTACAAAATGAATAATGGCTACGTCAAAGTTAATTGTTATGAGTAGAAATATCACGTAAAAGCAAGCTATATTAAATATTGCAGTGCGAGTTAATTTCCCATGTGAAGTTATTTAATGGATTTGTTTTTGGAAGAAGGGTTTTGTAAAAACAAATTTATGTTTTCCCTATTTAAAACAGTACTAACACGGAAGTAATATCTTCCGAACTACTAGTATAATAAAAGCAAGCAACCTTACAATTAATTTCATTGAATTGAAACTATGACCATGCTTGGCTGGATTTACAATTAATGTTAAGCGATAAGTATGACTGAAAAAAAAAAACAATATTTGGATTTGGTATCTTCTGTTACAATAGCTGTAGTAGGAATGCATGAAACCATGATGTGAAAAGTTAAATATTTTGTTTTGTTGAGCCTGTAGGAATGCATGAAACTATAGTATGCGAAATTCAATTGCAGTTTATTTTCTGTCGAGAAAAAGGCTGAAAGCACAACCTTTTTCCTTGAAAACAAAAAAGTACATCATACATGTAAAATCTACAAGCTTCTAAATATTTTCATTTAGAACTCACAATCATCTCAACTGATTTCTTTTTTGTTTGTTTCCCAACTAAAACTGATTAAAAGATACTTTATTTGTTTCTGAAATTTTTTTTTTTGTTTTAAAACAAATCATTCCCTCTAAGTGATTGTATACCCCAAGCTTAATTAATTAAATTAAGAAGTTGCACAAAATTCTATAAATGCATCATTATTATTATTTAAAGTTACTTATAAAAAATTAAAATTCATCATTATTAATGAATAACAAATGCATTATAAACAGAAAATATTCATCTCTAAAAAACAAATATATATGTTCAAATATATCATCTCTGAAAGTATAAACAGAAGTATATTTTTCAACTAAAGATAGTTTAAAGTTTAAAGTCGTTTTCAAGTTGTTACTATTTCAACTCTCAAGTGTTTTGGGTCGGAGATAGGAATCTATTTTTTTTTTGAACCAATCCAATGCTTTCTTTTTAACCTCTGCCAAAACAAAATCTACTTTTTGTACTTTTTTTGCTAAAGACTTTTGTTGTACTTTTGTCCCATTTTCTTTTTTCTTTTCATACTACGAAAATAAGTTTTGATTTTTAGGATATTGAGAGAAAAAAAAGACTTCTAATACTTATTACATTTTATTTCTTGACCATTATCGATTTTAAGATTAAAGAAACCGACTGATTAAGCCTACATTTGAACGGTTTACATCCAAATTGACTTGGTTTATGCATCTCAATTTATATTATAATGAACCGAATTAATCAAACGTGAACCAAACCGACACTGACATAAATCATTTCGACGATTCTTCAAAAATTACTCATATAAAAAATCGAAATACATTAGAATTTAAGCTCAACTCAAGATTTCACGTTAGACGTTAGCCTTTTTTTTTCTTACGTCAAACTTAATAGCTTCTAATTTTTTACATTATTTCATTTCATCGTATATAAATTAATTGGTGGTGAGACTATACGTTTACATGTAAACATTAAGTTCGACCGTATTTGAACATGGACAGACACGTGGACTAATAGTAACGACTGCCAATTAAATTAAATGCGTATAAATGATTCAGTTTCGTTGACTAAATCCCTTTATAGATACGTGAATCTTTAGAATTAATAGCGTTCGTGTAAACGACATGGGCAGAGTAACAAACGATTAGATTAGATGACTTTAGACATTTTTGTTTAATTAGCTAACTAATTATTCTCTACATCACAATACAAAAGCTGAAGTAACAATTGTCACAAAGAAAATGATTGTTTCTAAAATCGAGTAGAGAAGTTAACCGGATTAAGTTTGAAAATGGTTATGGTGTTTGGTATTTATATTGATTTCAAAACTCAATCGTAGTTCTGTCTTTTGTGTTATTCACTTGAACATGTTGTAATAGAAGTACTAAAGATGTATTTACATTTTCAAAACTCTGAAAAGATCACTAGTCGTTATAACGCGGGAACTAATCCGAGTATCTTTTTTTTTTTTTTTTTTCTCTTTTGGCCCAAGAAACATTTCAATAATATTTTATCGGCTATTGATATAACTCTTCGACGTAGTAGATACATAATTCTGTTTGACAATTCTGAATATATAGATAAACAATGATGCAAATGGGTGAGCAAGGATCATAAAGACAGAAACGTGTTAAGTTTCCTTGGCATCCAATCTAAAACCAATTGGCAATAGGTGGAGATACCTCAGTCCCTTATATATTATTCAAGGTCTCTCCCACTTTCCAATGTGGGACTTTTATCTTACACACTCTTTAGAGATTAAGGCTTCATGGTCCATTAACCTCTACAATATCCCAATACCCTCCCTCGAGATAATGGCCATTCTAGCCATTAATCTCGCAGACCATCAATCCTAGGGTCGAGGGGTCAGGCCCTTTCTGGGCCGGGTCATGAGAGTGTGCGGATCTTAGCTCTGATACCATGTTAAGTTTCCTTGGCATCCAACCTAAAACCAATTGGCAATAGGTGGAGAGGCCTCAGTCCTTTATATATTATTCAAGGTCTCTCCCACTTTCCGATGTGGGACTTTTATCTTGCACACTCTCTAGAGATTAAGGCTTCATGGCCCATTAACCTCTACAATATCCAATAAAAGGATAACAACGGATCTGTTTCATGTGGTACAATACAAATAACAAATCTCCTATATATTTCAAAAGTCAAAAGATGTGACGAAGTTGACAACTTACTAATATACAAATAATAACATACGCATATCCGCATGGTTTTAGTTTTGTCGATTAAATGCTTTTAGTTCAAAACACTTTTATAGTTGTAAGAATTTGTAATTTTCTACGAGATAGACTAGGAAAATAACCATCTTAAGATGAAGTCTCAACTGAGAAAACGTGACTTTTCCTCTCACTCATTTCTTGTATATGTGGGCCACAAGCCCAACGAGTTAAACATAGTCCTTGTGAAACCTAGCATTTGTGATTGCAATTCGCGCCATCCTCCTTCTCTCTCTCTCACAGGCTCAGCGAGTCAAGTTTGGAAATCAGGTCAGCATAACGAGAAGGTTGAGCGGTGAGGTTTTCAATTTGTTTCTCTCTTTTTATTTCCTAAAGTTTGTTGGAGATGTGAGAAACCGGAATATGTGTGGTACACTAGGGTTTCTAATCATTTTATGGTATTTTTTGTAGTTGCAGTGACCCCATACAAGTTTCTCCGGTGATTTGATCAGCCCGCTGTTTCCCAGGAATTAAACAATGAGGAGAAGATGTCATCGGGCTGGTGTTTTCGTTTTATGACCGCTGAGGTTAGTCGATGTTACTTGCATCATCAATCTTCATTCAAAATTTTGTGATCAAATTTATTTTTTATTCACAGGAGGGAGACAATGACTCACAAGGAAGAGTCATTCTATTATTTGCGGGGGATAAGTGGCCCCCTTTGTAAGTTAACAATTAAACATGCATTCTTTTGCGCTTCTTGACTGATTGTATAATTAGTGTCATGGTTTTATGTAAATGCTAATGATGTTATGTACTCTTCCTATGGCCGCCCCAATTCATCACCATACTAGCATTACTATTCATCACACTTGACCGACCTCTCTGTGTTCTTCCAAGATCATTGCCACGAGGAAAACCTCCATGACCACGAGGAAGATGGCCGAGTGGAATAAGATCTTGAAAATCGAATGCAGCAGGCACTCTCCAGACAAATGTGTGGTCAAACAGTTTTTCGAATACATCGCAAAACGTAGCTCTGTAGACAAGAGCTCTGGCAGTGTGTCCTCGAGGCAGCATAAGATAGATCCGAATATTTGAAACTGCTGGAAGGAGGTGGTGGTCCTGCTGACGTCTTATGGCTTATGATTAGATGGGTTGGTGGTCAAGACGATAGATACTTTGTCACGTTCAGCAAAAACATTATATTTGTCTATGATACTGACTGTTTCAACTCATCAGACATTAGACTGATAATAATGATTGATGATCATGTTGTGGAGATGAGTTGGTCTCTTGATTCCACCCTTGCTCTGATCAAAGGAGATGAGAAACAACAATCAACCACAAACATTTTATTTGTTTTCATATTATTGGAATATGTGGTTCACGTTAGTGTGTTGAGGTATTGTAAATTTCAAAATTTACAGGTTGTGCTTCTGGGCTTACACGAGAGACTATTTTATTTGTTTTTCTAAGTGGGAAACCGACGAAAATTGTTTATTCGCTCTTGGTCTAAAACGTTTTAGGGTCTGACTGGTTTAACCGCTGCGGTTGCGGTTGCGGGAGTTTGCGGCTGCGGGAGTTTGCGGAAGCGGGAGTTTGCGATTAAAAGCTGTTTGTACGACTGGTATAGCAATTCATAGCGGTTGCGTTTGCGGGATATTTTTGACTGGTTAGCCAGCGGGTGCAAGAGCGGTTTAACCAAAAGTTACTAAAATAAAAATAATATATAATTATTCAAAACATTTATAACCATATTAATAATTTTTTTTTTGAAATATATTTTTTGATGAATTTTTAATTTGAAAACTACCCTTTTTTTTTGGTTTTGAAAAATACACTTTTTATATGTAAAATGATTATTCCTAATTTAATAAAAACGAAATTCAAATAAGAAATATAAAATATTAATATTTGATAATAATTTTGTATCATTTTAACATCCTAATTACCTGTTTAGTTTTTTTTAAACAATTTAATAAAAATATAAGATTGTTTATATAAAGTTTAAATGGGGTGAGATTAAAGTTGTTTATGCAAAGTTTCAAAAATATTTAAATTTTTCAAAAGATAAACATTAAAAATGAAAGATATATTTCTCCACTTTTAAATTTTTAATAATTTATAAACTTTAAATATATGTAAAGTTTTAATTTATTTAAAGTTTCATTTGGTTTGAATGTGTATGAGGTTAAGTTGTTTATATAAAGATCCAAAATATTAAAATTTGTTTCAGTTTAACATATACTATATTTATTTGAAAAAAAACTTATTAGTTTATTATTTTTTTAAATTTTCGTTTATAATTTGTAATTATTTATTATTTTTTTGTTTAAATCACGTCAAAACATACTTTTTACATTTTAAAAGTGTATTTTTCAAAACAGAAAAAATTTAGGGTATTTTCGAAATTTTTAAACATAATTATGGTATTTTTCAAAAAAATATACCCTTATTCCAAATTTGGAGATATTATGTTTTTTTTTTTTTTTTTTCAAACCGCAACCGCCCGCAACCGCAAACGCTTGCGGAAAGGAGCTTTTGATTTTCAGCGATATAGAGCGGTACAGAGTGGTATAGAGCGGTTGAAAGCGGTTGTCGTGATTGTTATAAAACGCTAAGAACCGCTACGAACCGCAAACGCTGCGTTTGCGGGTGGTAGCGGGAGAACCAATCATCACCTTATTCGTTTATGGATCCCAATGATGTCCCTCATTTGACGAAGTTAACAATTTATCTTTATTATAATATATTAATTGAGAAGATACATTCTTTGGAGTTTGGACTTTGGATACAAGTGATGGCGGGAAAACCAGGTGTGTATGCAAAAAGACATTGATGACTTGGACCATGTTTCTGACAAACGAAAGGAATAAGAAGAAATGTGAGTGGAGTCAACAACGAAGCACTTCGAGCTGCATGAACAAATTTGACATGACTGCTGCGGAGCAATTCAGATGTGACAGACTCAAGGAGTTGTTGAAGAAGTGATGTGCTACATGAGTTTGGCAAAAGTCATGACAGGACTGCAAGTGCAGTTCGGATTGGCAATGTCTAAAAGTAAAGAAGACATGTGACAATCCAACGGTCAATAGCGAGTTTCCGAGATTGAAGATTTGGGTATAAATAGAGATTTCCAGGGCTTTGTATCTCTTTTGTAATAGAAAAAGGTTTTGTTTTCTATAAAGAAGAACAACCTGTATCTGGAAGAAACTGGATTTCAGTGAACAAAGAAACACGCAGTTGTTACTGTGTATGTGAGATTGGGTACATTAGGATTTAGTTTATGAGCAAATCACAAGCGTGATGTTGAGTAACTCTGATTGAACAAGATTGTAAGGAATCTTGGTGTAAAGTAAATCTTAATAGAATCTCGCTGAAAAAAGCTTGTGTGTTTGCTTTGCTGTGTTATTGTGATTGTTGGTACAGGTTCCTGTAATTACAAGTTCTTGTCGTTTAACGCGGGTCCAAGAACATGTTTGGGGAAAGAAGTGGCTTTGATGCAAATGAAGTTTGGGGCTGTTGAAATTATACAAAACTATGAGATGAAGATCGTTGGAGGGCAACAAATTGAGCCAGCTCCTTGTGTTACTCTCCACATGAAGCGTGGTCTTCAAGTTACAGTTACTAAATGGTCTGAATGTCTTAAGTAAGATGTTTTCTTTATCTTCCCTATTAGTGAGGAAAATCTAATGTGCTCGAAAGCAGTTTAATCCAACAATAAAATATCAAAGCAGTATTTGTTTTAAATTAGCTCCGGAAGTGTGATTATGTGAACTATAAACGGCAAAAAAAAAAGAATGGAATGGTTTTATCAAACAAAATCTAACAAGTAAATGAGACATCATACAAAGTATCACTTTTATTGCAAAAACGAATTTTAACTCAACTTGAGCGCATTTCACTCCAAGCTGGTACATTTCTTGGTAATTGTGACTTTAAGCCCATGCTTTATGAGAAGAATAAGACCAGGTTGTGGCACAATCTTTTGTTCATTAACAACCTTAATCTCATAGTTAAGTAATATATCCCCTATCACTGTCTTCATCAGATTCATACCTAAATTCGTACCTATACATGTTCTTGGACCGGCGTTGAACGATAAGAATTTGTAAGCAGGCTCATGTCTAAAGACTCCTGTCTCTGACATCCATCTCTCCGGCTTGAAATCCATTGCGTCTTATCCCCATGCAAATTTCATCCTCCCGAATGCGTAATCATAATATTGATGTTTGATTTGACTTTATGCCCGCTTTGAAGCACATCCGATTTGATTGGAGACTTGCGTTCAAATGGAATCGGTGTGGTAGAGCCTCAGTGATTCACTCAATGTGGCATGTAAATACACCAGCTTGTTCAAGTATGAGGACGTGTCTTCATCACTTCCGGTTCTTGGCAGATTTGTGTTGATCTCTTGAAGAATCTTGGCAAACAAGTTAGGGTTTTCAGACAGAATCCAGAAGAACCAAGTGAGTGCAGAGGCCCTGGAATCTCTACCAGCTGCCATGAAACCTACTGTGAAGTCTCTGTGTTTAAGAGCTCGTAATTACTTGTATCAAGCTTTGTGAAGGATGTCAAGAGATCTTCACTGGAATTACAGAACAAGAAAACCCTTGTGATCTAATCTCTTTCCTCTTGGCTGATATAAATTCTGCACTAACACGATAAAGAGTGGCATCAGCTCTCATCATCTTTTCCTTTGTTCCGATTCCAATCAATTTTTGCAGCTTCCAAAAGAATACCTATAAAAAATGACTTCTGCAGAACTCAACCTCTGACATTTGGACAGAGAGACTTCTGGGATCAGATCCAGTTACAAAAATGAAGGTTGTACCGAACATGAATCTCTGGAAGACATCTTGCAAGTCCACAACCATCTGTTCCTCCGGAAAATGATTGAAAAGAGGCACAAGCCCATCCTTGAGTTTATTTCTCGTGGTGGTGGTTGAGAAGCTTTGGTACCTTTGATGGCTGAATTGAATATGGCCTGAGAAGCTTTCCTCAGATTTCTCTGCAGCTCTGAGTCTCCAAAAACTTAGCAAGATTTATTGGAACTCAGGCCCTTTGATGTAATTCGAGAAGTTTGATCTCATAATATAATGAATATTTGATGGATCAACCGTTACCGTGGCGAAAATATCCCTTCCAGTTCTCGAGAAGCTCAACACTCCACTCATATATACGGTGGAGCCTCACGAGCACACCGGGAAGCATACCGAGAGCCGGCCAATTCCAAGGGTAGCTTTTAAGGGTATTCTGTTGCTTGTGAAAGAAGAAACAGAATGTGAGAAAACAGAATAAAGCTACTAATGCTTCATAAACCCCTATCGAAGCCATCAATAAAGCTACTAATTCACTTAAAGGTGGAAAAAAACAAGACAAATCATTTATTTATAAGATTTATATCGTGATAGATTTGCAAGACAAACTAGCTAACAACGATTTAACTAATGCAATAATGCTTTCAAGCTGTGGATCTCTTAGTAATTGTGATTCTAAGTCCATGCTTCATCGTCAATATAAAACCAAGAACTGGCTCAATCTTCTGCCCTTTGACAACCTTAACGTCATATTTTTGTAATATCTCCGCTGCCACTATCTTCATTTGAGTCATAGCTAAATTCTTACCTAGACAAGTTCTAGGACCACAATTAAACGCTACAAACTTGAAGGATGGCTCATGTTTTAAGCCTCCATTCTCTAATATCCATCTCTCCGGCTTGAACTGCAACGCATCTTCTCCCCAAACCGCTCTCATCCTTCCCAACGCATAAAGACAGATAATAACCTTAGAGTTTGCATCAACTTTATGGCCACTTGGAAGAACATCTGATTCCACAGAAGACTTGCGCCCAAAGGAAACTGGTGGATATAGTCTCATTGCTTCACAAAGCGCACCATGTAGATACACCAACTTGTCTGAATTCACTTGGACATCTTCGGTGCTTGATAGAACCGTGTTAATGATCTCGTGACGAATATTGGCTACCACTTGTGGATTCTCAGAGAGAAGCCAGAAGAACCAAGAGAGAGCGGAGGCAGTTGTATCTCTCCCGGCTAAAATGAAAGCTAAGATAGTGTCTCTAAGGAACTTATCATCACTTGGATTCAAAAGCTTGTACTTGGTCGTATCAAGCTTCATGAAAGAAGTTAAAAGATCCTCACTCTCTCCATTGGAAATACCTTGACATCTTGTTATCTCTTCTCTCTTGGCTGATATGAACTTCGCGCACACACGGTCAAAAGTTTTATTAGCTTCTTTCATCTTCTTCTCTTGTCCAAAACCCATCCAGTTTTGCAGCTTCCACAAGAACTTTGGCTTAACATGTCTATACAGGATCCCTTCTCCAACATCGTCGAGAGCTTTAGCTAATTCATCCTCATGCATTTCTTTGGAGAGAGATCTAGGATCAGAATCGGTAATAAGGATTGAGATTGTATCGAAAGTGAACCTCCCAAACACATCTTGCAAGTCGACAGTTGTGCCTTCCTCTGCAAAATGATCAAGAAGAGGAACAAGACCGTCCTTGAGTTTACTTATCATGGTACTCATTGAAAACCTTTGAAACTCTTGACTATGGAGCATGGCTTGATAAGACTTCCTCAGATTCTTCCAGAGCTCCGAGTCCGTGGTGATTATCCCGTCTCCGAACACATCAAAAACTTCTTGGAACTCAGGACCTTTGACGTAATTTGAGAAGTTTGAGCTCATTATATAATGGATATTATTTGGATCAACCGTCGCCAATGTATCCATTCCAGTCAACCATGGGCCTTTGACTTGAAACGTTAAGTTGGAGTTCTCGAGAACCTCAACGATGTGGTCATATGCACGGTGAAGCCTCACGAGCACACCGGGAAGCATACCGAGAACCGGCCAGTCTCTAAGCAACGGACCATGAGGTTTCTTGAGAAACAAGTAACTGATGATGAGAAAGCAAAAGATGGCTGCGGAAGTTTCAAGTAAGTTTATTGAAGCCATTGGAGGAGGGAGTACATAACATTTACTTTGTTCCACTATGATGGATTGGTTACTTTGTTCGAAGAAGGAACTAAATTTATTAGCACACTGCATCACACATTCACACACTTCAAGGCACACAATGATGGATAGACTTTTTTAATTACACTAAATTTTGTTATAGGCACAAATTGCAAGGCACGATTAATGCATTTAGAAATTTGTATTAAATGGCCTGCCTATACAACTAACTTTAAAATTTTGTTTTTGTAATAACTCACCTAGTTTTTAAATGTTTTTAAAATTGTCACCCAGTGAACCGGCCAATTCCAAATGAACCACCGTTCAGAAGCCATCATATGAATTAGAGTAATTAACATCCACTGGCGGAAAGAACTGAATTATAAGCATGCACACTGTACTGACCACACATTTCAAAGCATAAATAATCAAAGAAATTGTTTTTAAAGACACTGAATTTTGTTATATGGGCAAACTGCAAGGAAATTAACGCATAGATCACAAAAATATAAATCTGAAACAAATTGCCAATACAAACATTTTTAGATATTTTGAAAATTGTCAATATCGCCCGTTTCTGAATTTATCTACTGCAGTTAAGCTTATGAAGCTGTTAGAGAAAGGGCCGTGCCTAAGTGCAAAAAATTGAAACATTCGCCTACGGGCCTTGTTTTTTTTTTTTTTTTAAATATCATGATCATAATTTTTGTTTTGATGGTAATGATAACGTGAGGTCCAAAATCTATAAACATAATGCTTTTAGAAGATCAGCTAATGATTTTTCTCATTTTTACTCACACAATAGAATAACTAACTCATTATTCACATATTAATTTTATGTGAATTTTCATTATAATTTTCCATATATTTAAAAATGACTATAATTGTTTATTTCATACTTTTTTATATATGAAATGATTTTTCTATTTCATATATGGCTTATGATTCTAAAAACTCTAAGAACGGTTCTGTATGGATTCCCAGATGCACATTGACACACGCAGTTCTGACGAATTCTTCTCAGCGAACAAATCGCAGCGATAGCATCTGCGACAAATTAAAACGACGGTGACCGGCAGCCAACAATAAAGAAAACGACGACAATGGAGCTAAAATGATGGTGATGAGTTGTCGCAGGAGAGAGAAAATGGCTCGCAAGAGAGTGGAAAGTGTCGCTGAAAATCTATAGCAACTGTTACGGGCTTTGCGACTACACACGCGACTACCATTTTTAAAGAGCAGCGGCATCCTACGTCTCTGTCTGCGTGTATTTTTTTAGTCGCAGCGACGCTGCGATTGTTCTCCGAACAGGGCCTATATGAGCTAGCGCTGAAGGCTGAAGGAATTGGTTGTTCTCTGTTTTCCCTATAATAGCATCGTATCGCTGTTATGGTGAAATACAATATTAATTAATAACTTGTTTTCTGTTTTTCTCAGCCTTAACTGGAAATTTCCTTTTTTACATTTTTCTCATTTTCGTCATATTCTTTAAATTCATTTATTCTTCAAATTTCCATGTCATGTGTAAAAAATTCATATTTTATTAACTAGATATCTTAATTATATATATAAAACTTTATATAATAATTATATTTATAATATTATTGAGACCATATATTACAGAGAAAATTACATTTAGGTGGACTTTTCGAGTTTGGCTTTATATTTTGAGGGTCTTTGTGAAAGTGGTGGACTTTCACAAAGGCTAAATTCTAAAATGCCCCTAACTAAAGTCTAACTATATTTCTTTCTCCTCATTTTTCTGGTTGATTCACAATATTTTTTTCACCTTAATCATCTCTTTTCATCTTTTTTATACCAATACTCTTATCATCACAACAAGATCTTCTCCAGTTTTCTGAATCTCTAATTCAATTCAAGATCTAAATCTTTTCTTTTTTATATAATCCAGTTTTATGATTTTTAAAAAAAATATATTTATCTTATTATCTTATCAATTGTGTCATATTTTACACGGGCCCAATTCGGGATCGGAGAAATTTATGTATTTATTAATTTATCGAATATTAACTTATGGAGTTTTTACTATATAAACTTTCATTTCTAAAATTATCATGCGTAAAAGATATATTAATGAAGTAAATATAATGTTACAAATTAAAAGAAACAAATTCAGCTGGATTCTTTAACATTCAGCAATTATTATTCTTAAACGTACGCGTAATGAACAACTATCAAATGGTTCTCGTGTTAGCTGATACAAAACGACCCAAATTAAAGGCCCGGCCCATTGGTTATCTTTATACACATATTTTGCAACACGGGAGACTTTTCGCCGGCGGTGAAAAGAAAGGATGGTGTTTTTTATGTCGTACCCGCCGACAAGGCGGCAGTTGATGGTGTCTGTGGGGTTTTTCGCGGCGGGTGTTTCTCTTTTCGTAGCCGGAGCGTATCTCTCACTCGAAAACATTGGACCGCAACAAGATCGCGTCAAGGCTCGGAACCAATTCGTCAAGGACCGACTCAGGAAATGGCTCGACGATTAGAATCCACTCTCTCTGTAATTTCAGATTCCGAAGCGAAAGGTTTCTCTAAGGGTTTAGGGTTTAAGCAATCTAAATCTCCAGTTGAAAGACAATTCGTGCATTTATGTAAAATTCAGGCTCTTACATCAAAGTTACATGTTTTGGATCATTTTCAGTCCAAAAATTCAAGCTTTGTTTTGTCACTTACATGTGAAGAAGAAGAATCACTCTTTGACAAAACGAGCAAACAGAGAAAATGTAGATCATTAACAGATGTAAACGTCTTTAGAATATATATTATCTCTGCTCCCAAAATTTGAATAAATTTGCTCATTACCATCTTGATTTTCTAGCATTCTGGTTTTCGCCTTTCGCAGCATCAGACAACCGCGACTTCGAAACGGAACCACCGCGGAAGTTGCTCAGCCTCGAACCTGAGAGGAGATGGTGATCTTTCGAAGAAGCCTTGTTTAGTTTATAAGCTTGAGTCTCATCTAAATACCCTTTAGGCTCAGCTTCAACAGATCTTCCCCAATCCAATCCTCCATCTCCGCTTTTCTGAAGCTTCTCGCTCTGTACAACCCAATCAACACAGTCCGATATGCTTCTCTGTAAAGAAAGGCTCTTCCTTGGCGTCGACTTTCTCCCTCTGTTGTTCTCTTCACCACCATAAGGCCATTTATAGCTCTTGTTGTTGTCTATGTTCAGCTCTATGGAGTGAAGATCGCTTTCCCCTGAATCTTCTTCGTTTCCGTCTTCAACTTCTCCGTCTTCGATGTTATACGACCCGAAACCGATGTGGTGGTTCAAGTACTCTCCGGCGTCTTCGTTATGTAACTGAATCTGAGTCTGAGGCTGTTCACGGGTCTTCTCTTTGCATCTTTTAGCTTTGAGGTAGGTTTGAAGCTGGTTCCTTAGCTTATCAACAGCTGCGTTTTTCTCCTCGAGCTGGTGTTTAGCCTCGGAGAGTTTCATCTGCACTCTCTCCTCGCGCAATGCGTCAGCTAGCTGCAACATCTCTCTCTCCTTCTCGACTTCTTCTTTGACTTTGAAAGACTCTCTCTTTAGTTCTTCGACTTCGGCTTTGTCTTCGCTTATGTCTCTCGCTAGCTCATCGCAGACTTTCTCAACCATCACTCTCGCTCGCTTCTCGTTCTCCATTTCTTTCACTGCTTTCATCAGAGCTGACTTTGTTTCAGCAAGTTCTTTGCCCAGTTTCTTGTTCAACCCTTCGAACCGTCTCCTCAATTTCCTCTCCACCTCGAGCTCACCGGCAACAGATTCGATCGCAGCCTCGACGACTTCTTGCTCTTTGCTTTTCCACGCAGCTTTCTCTTCAGCAAAACGTTTCATCAAGTAGGAAATGTCATTGTTTTCCGGTTTGTGTTCGTGGATTACCTGATTGACCTGTAAGCGAGCTCTTTCGAGCTCCGAATGCAAAGCAGAGACGAGAGACATGCTGGAAGATGGGCGGTCTTCTTGACCCCACATTCTGTTAATGATTTTGAGAAGCTCCTTTGATGTTGTGAGAGCGTTACTGCAATCTTTCAGCCGTGTTTTGATTCCCACGGTTGATCCAGTCGGTGTCTCCGCCCGTGATCGAGTCTCAATCTGCATTGAATAAACCAGTAGATTAGTATCTCCTCGTGGCTTATATAGACTTACATGCAATGTAGATGTCCATAACAAAACATAGATTATATCCTTCCAAAGTGAATGAGAAACTACAGTTGTAGTCAACAACCAAAAGCCTCTATTTTGTTATGAACAGCTCAATCAAATACCAAAGTTTTGGTAAAACAAAAAAAAGTATGAAAGCAGAAGAAAGAAAGGTTTCTCCACAATTCTGAAAGAGACATCTCCAAAAGTAAGAAATCAACTTACATCCATGAAGCTGCCATTGCTAAAAGGATCCCTAGCTCCCACATTACAGTCTCCAAGCCTAAGCTTCTGCACAGTGGAGGATGATCTTCTCTGGCGACTTCCAGTCCCTGATCTTTCCATCCTCTACAAAACCAACAAGTTTCTCAGCTTCCTTATTACCTAACACACATGTTAAGAAAGCTCCATTCGCATTGTCAATTGCCATATCTCGCAGTTATATACATAACCTCCTTAGGTCTCAATTATGTGAGAATCTAGGCCTACATTATTCCCAATAAATCAACCTCTAATAACTAACCAACTAACCTCTATATGATGATTGATGAATGAAACAAAAACTAAACAAACTGCCCAATTATGCAAAACTAATACGCACCAACTTATAAAAAAGAACAATGCCCCTTCATACGACCTTAAATGTGTTGCTTTTGAGCACATGACAAAAGATTCCGAAGATCAAACAGTTTTCTATTCGTCTCTAATCCCACTTCTTAACATTAATCAGAAGCTGCAGGACAAAAAAAAGATATTCCCTTGATGAATAAAATACTCATAGAGGTTGCCAACAATTCTCAACTTTGACTAAATTCAGACCTCAGAATCACACAAAGATGATCGTTTCTACCAGTC